ACGGCCGGAACTAGCACCTTAGCTAAAGAGTAGAGGGTGTCGGAGAGTAAGGGCTAGGGCTATAGCAAGTACTAGAGCGCTAGAGGCGCTTACCGCGGGCATAAGAACGTTAGAATTAAGAGCAGCCATGTTGCTGCTAAAAAACAAATTTGTTATTTTTAGAAGAAGTAACTAAATGCTAGATCTTATAATAATCTAATTTAACTATAAGACTAACCTCCTAAATAAAGGGAACTAAAGGCGCCTTAAGTCGCCTTTAACAGCAATCTTAGCAAGCACAAAGGGGCCGCCGCAAACGGACAAGCACCACTACCACTAGGAACAAAGGTTGCAAGCCTTTCGTTAAGACCTGCCTTAAAGGAGTCAGGCATAAGAGGGGAGCAATTGTAACGCCGCCTTAGGGAGGGGACCAACGCAGGCTACGCGCAAGCCGTACGCAGTATGCGCACAGCGTATTAGATGCACATTGTGAACTAGAAGCGGTGCTGGTGGCGCAGGCTGCGTGGCGCAGTCCGCGCATAGGCTATAGCACGTGCTAGCGCACAGGCTAAGTAGAAACGGGGTTGCGCTTGTCCTGCGCACTTGGTGCGCTAGAGGTGCGCCTACGATAAAGAGCGCCTCCCGCACTCCCTTAGAGTGTAGAAGGCAAGAATTAGCTATTAAATATACGGCTGCTTCCTTCTATTAAGAAGATACCTTCTTGCCTGCCTAACTTACCTAGCCTACCTAAGTACACCTTTAATAGTAAAAATGTAGTTGCTAGCACTAGTAATAGTAATAAAATACTAGCTAAAACGCTTTTTATTTTTATAAAATATCTTTAAAATACTAGCTTAATTAACTATCTCTTTATATAAGGGTATTCTATATACGCGTCCTTATGCACCGGTTTAGCAACTAGTCGCTTACTAAGCGACGGACTTAACGAACTATCTTAACACGTTGCACGGGACTAGCACAGCTACTTAGCTATGCCACGCCCTACTAGGGTTGCGCTACACCGCATCTTCTAGCCACGTATATATTAGCTAGCAGGCCTTCGCCTACCAGTCTCCTATAGTTCGTTAAGTTAAAGTCTTAATACAACAGTACAAACCGGTTAAGCCTTTGTAACCACGCATTGCACACCACCCCCTTACACTTTATTAGTATACGCTTTAATATTATATATACTATTAGCTGCTTTTTTAAAGGTAATTATAGCCCTTTCTTTTATTACTAAGCTTTACTTAAGCACTTTTACTTGTATATCTTTAGCTTTAAGTAATACTCTTTTTACTTTAGTAACTTAGAATATATTAACAACCTACTATTATACTACTTTACTAGTAGCATCGTTATTCTTATAGCTAGCAGCCTAGTATTTTAAAAGTTTAAGCGCTAGCCTTTTATTACCTTATTTATAATAAAAGCTAAGTTTATTAACTTAACGCTCTTTAGCTATACTTTATAGCACGTTAATTCGATTTTAACTAACCTTAGCGCTTTTATTACTATGCCTTTACTCTTATTTATAAATAGTCTTAACGCACAAGCTATAGTCTTAAACCTTAATAAGTAAGAACGCACTCGTTATATTAATATTCGCTTTAAGTAGATTATTAAGCAAGTTGCAGACAGGCTTATAAAGGCTTTGCGTAAAGATAAGCACCACGATTTTATTTAGCTTCTGCGCCTTAATTTGCGCTAATACCCGCTTATTTTGCTATTTTTATAGTACCCTTTTAGCTTTAAAACAGACGGATAATTACCTTTAAAGGTTTCCTATACGCACTAATGCGCCCTGTTTCTTATCATTGCTCTACATACGCCTAATGTGCTAATACCGCACGCTACCTCCTATAAGGCCTTGTTTTAGGCCGATTTTATGTACCTTTTTGTTCTTCTGCACTGCGGCAGTAAGAGGCTGTGTTGCACGTGACCTTGTGGGTTACTGTGTAGACTTTTCACTGCCGCAGTGCATCTACTAGCTTTAGCTTCCTTTTAGAAAATCCTATGCTTTTCTTCTATGAATTACTCTACTTCCTTATACATCCGTACTACGTCTGTGTCTTTCTTGTAAGGTCCTGTTTTTTTGTTTTTTTTAAGAGGGGGGGCTCTAAATAAGATACTCTAGCTAACTAAGGACAAGTGTTACTAGGCTCTTAGCACATAATTTTACGCTAACACTGCGGTAGTAAATAAAAAGTATACAATTACTCCTCTTATCTTACAAACACTCCTACTGCACGGAGTAGGTAGGGTGCTTAGCATAAGTAGTGAATTTAATTGATGGAGGGCACTGGACCAAGGTCGCAAATTTCAAGCTAGCGCCTCGCGGTCATTTATTCTGGCGAGACGGTGTGGTTAATGATGCCTTTTGAAGATTGCTGGAAACGTGTAGCGTGCTCTGGCCTAAGACAGAGTGTGGTCCAGTGGTAGGAGTCCAGCGTTAGTTTTGTCCACATATTACTCCGTAAACTGATTGACATTTGCTGTGAAGTTTTTCGGCACTGCCCCTATTTCAGGCGTTTCAGTATCTCAGTCCCCGATTTGCCATCAGCAACGCCTAGCTATGCTAGCCAGTTTCTGTCTCCAGGATCTCCAGCTATCATTTCGGGAACACAAGGTGTCTTCAAGTTTCTGGTCAGCGATAAGCATTTTGTATAGACTGTTTTTGGCCCGGGTCTTATTCTGCCTTAGTTGTTCTACATCTACTGCTAGATTCGGGGGTTTGTTGTGTCATAGCATAGAATTTAGCTTCTTGTGTAGTAGTCTTTAACTCTGCAACGGGAATAGCCTCGTCTTTCTCTGCTTTTGTTTTTTTGTTGCAAGCCTTGTATCTCAAAAGAAGTGCCGATGCAGCTAATCTACAATCGATAGCCGCCCTAACATCCTATATAAATATATCTACCGAAGTTAACGGCAACCGGAGGTGTGCTCTGTTTATATTACGTTCCGAGTCATTTGGCCATTCAAGAGGTTGCGTTGACAGAATCGAGGCTCTTAATTTCCAGAGAGTATAACCTATCCCGAAAGCAAACCATAAGTACCCCACGTTTAGCTCACTAATATAAAGCCCACCTGTCATATGCATCGGCATTTTTATAGAGAGTTGCTATTTTTGCACCGTAAAATTTGGCTATCTGCACCGTATTCCACTGATAAGAGATACAGTACATAGGGTGGGTTCCTGCTTTCACCCCTAAGGACCCATAATATAAATCTACTTTTAGCTAATAATATTCTCGCACCGTTGTCTAGTTAAGTACAGAGTACTCTGTACTCTATACTCTATACTTTGTACTCTATAGGCAAACAAAATACATAATTAAATTATATTAGCGATAATACCCACTAAGATCTAGCGTATTATTGCTAATAGCTTTCTCTGTATAATTTACTCTCTGCACTATGTATTGCTATAGTTATAGAAAAGCAGTAAGAACGAACTTTTAGTAGGGACCTCCGTACGTTGTAAAAAGTACTCTGTAATAGTAAGCAACTTTTTTTACGGCAAAAACGTAAGTCTATTCCTATTCTAGTATAGCGCAAAACAAATTAACCAATCAACTAAGTTTTCTTAAACCCACCCAATGTACCATATTTCTTATCAGTGGAATACGGTGCAGATAGCCAAATTTTACGGTGCAAATAGCAACTCTCTTTTTATAATACACGCTTCTCTTCACATGCTTATTAGGATTGAAAGAATGTCTAAGTTCGGTAGTGAAGCAAGACAAGCAGGAAAAAAACAAGGTCGTGAGTGCATACTAAGCAGATAGGCAATAAGCGGAGAGGTTAGGCAGTACGCATGATCTTTGAAACTAGCTATTAGCTAAGCCATTACCACTTTTTCAGTAAGGAAATAACAGCCGCCACGTCTACTCGGCTTTGTTGGGCCGGGGGCCGAAGGCTTTCGTCGAGAAGCGCCAGGCAATATCTGAAATGTCAATCGCTCGGATTTCAGAGCTTAGGAGAAAGATGCACTGGAAGTGGCGAAGACAAGACCTCGAAATGAATAGGGTATAAGAAGGTCCTAGCCTTTTTGCTAAGGGGAGGGCTAGAATATGCAGAGTTCACTGCTGTGAGATGTGGAGCATGTGTTCGAAGCGCAATTGGCGCCCATCTCGTGATCAAGAAATTGTACATGGCCTTTTAAAGTGGCCTGGGGACCATATTGATAATGAGAGAGTACTACGTTTCGGACGGATCAATTAGAGCGTTTCACGCATATTGCCTCGTGGTTCTTTGCCCAGAGCTTTTACCTTGTCTATGCTTGCTTAATTTGTCAGAATCGTGATAACCCCCATAAGCGAATATCCCCCGTGGCGCAATTGGATAGCGCGTTAGACTGTTATCATAAAGTGTGCAATCTAAAGGTTGGTGGTTCAAACCCACCCGGGGGAGTTTACTTTCTATTTTTTTAGTATCTTCTTGACGACGATAGGAGCCAGTTGTTTCACGGTTGCCGTGCTCACTCAATAGAACAAAAAATAATACAGTATTGGTACTCTCAGTAAAGACAGAAAACGGCGTGTTTTGTCCGAGTCTGCTGGTGTGTAAACAGTGGACTTTCTTAGAATGCTGATAATCCCATATCAACCGCCAGGGTACGGAGTAGATAAGCTACATACACGAGGTGTATGGCAGTTGCACACACAGAGGCACCGTAGCTAGAATAATGAATGTGGGCAGATTAACAGTTACTAAAAGCATTCTAGTTGTCTAGACACCACAGCAAAAGTAAAGATTACCATGTGTCTGTTTTATCTCCCTTGTTTCTCATTCTTCTTCCCATTAGCCTTTTACGCGTATATTCCATACACATATGCGCATTCCAAATTGAATACGAAAAAGTCAGATCATGTCATGCTGGAAATACTCATCGCTAGCATCTCTTCATTCGAGTGTAGACGGTGTACAGAGTATATGGGGTCATAGAATCACATCACAGCGCCTCCACAACCCACAGCCCGCCCTGCTCAATTGTATCTTACTTTACCTTTAGAGACAGCTTCTCATCCTGATGCAGCTTCCAGTACGTATCCCAGATGGGCGTGTTTACTACCAGCGGTAGTACACGTAAATATTTCGTCGCAATTGCAGACATCCTCGACAGGCACGGTCTCAATATGCATCTCGCGGCCGAGTAATGCGGCCAGGTTGACTACGCTCTTACGCGTGACATCCTCAAGCCCGTTACGGTCTAGCGGGCGTAACTCGCTGGCCTTGATGATGGCAACGTTTAAGCTGGCGCCCTTTGTCAGGGATAAACAGCGCCACGGTCCTGGACCTCGAAGATGGCACGTGTTAGGTCACTCCACTGTAGGTTTTAGTTGTAGGGTCAAAACTGTCGGGTGAGGTTCAGTAAACCGACCGAGTGATCATGGCCGGGCCGCTGGCAGCCAGCTGCATCTCTAGCGGCATGACCCGGACGTACGGCTTAATAACTATATACAATCAATTAGCCATCTTAGAGAATTCGGCGGCCGGCGTGCCGCGCACACCGCGCAGTCCTCGTGCCACAATGCTTTCCACATACACGTCACGTATGCCGCTCTTTCGGATCATGTCAACCAGTGTTTCTCGAACCTCTTTCCGTGGCAGGGGCCAGCGCAGTCGCATCTTGTCTAGGCTGCGCTCGAGCCGGTCCTGTTGATTATCCAGTCGTAAGAGCCGGCTATCCCAGACTGCCGGCACGTCGTATGTCACATCGCTATGCTTGAAACCCTCGTCCAATTTTGGATATCTCGCTTCGTTCAGGGGCACGAGCTCACTCTCAACCCAGGCCACGTCCTCCTCAAACGGATTTGAGCTGGTCTTGAGCTGGGCCACACGGGACTCGTACGCATTAAACACTGCTATCATTGACACCGTCTGGATTTCGTCAGGGAGTAGAGCGCACAAGTATAGGGGGACCAGGAGCACTACAATTGTGCACTTTAGCAACCTAGAAAGGTACGTAGAGGTGAAGATTAAAGGCACAGAGCAAATGCTTATCGGAAGTATGGACCTGTATGCCAAGGATAGGTTGTAGATAATTGCAGCGTGGGGTAGAAACCATCACGTTAAATTCATTAGGAATTTATAACATACGCAAAAAGGTAAGTCGCCTCAGCGCGTTAACCAGAACATCCTATTTTCACCATTTTTGCGTCACGCCGCTTCAGAAAACCTATATGTACGTTGTTTCTATATTAGTATAATACGCCCTTATAAGATTAACGGATAGCATGCTTCTATCTCACATAATCATAATCATATACAGAGGACGCCTATACACTTTCCGAGTATTTACTTAATAGAATGCCTTTGATTTATCTGGAAGTATAAAACCAATGCTTTCCACCGCATCGAGCGCCGTTTCGGAGGTTTCCTAATAGCCGGTGCCGCCAGCGCCGTAGTTGTGGACGCTGACGCGTAGGCTGCTGTCGACAACGATTTCGCTGCTTTCAATACGAGCTTCACTATCGCGAGACAGACCGCTAGCGGAGGGCCACGGAAAGAATAGTGGGCCCTGCGGAGCGCAGCTTGGCACTTAGTGATCTTGTACGTGTTAGAATCGACCCGGTCTCGGGAGCATAGGCGGCGCAATTGCTGAACAAGTCGTCAGCGGAGAAGCAGTGCATTAACATCGATGCCAATGATTTCGGCGCTAAGAGATCAAAGGACAGTTAGAAGAAGCGGATGGGAAAAGCCTGAAATCGAGCACTGCGCTTACCGAGAACGGCAGAGGCAGCTAAATCGTCTCGGCCCCTTACATACAGCGGGCCAAAGAACTCCTTGGTCTCATTGAAGTAGGATTCGTAGGCAGGGTCGAGATTGATTAGCTGTGAGACAACTTCTTGGACGGTGCCGGTCAGGTTGACAGCAGCGCCCATTGAGGGCAACGTTACTTGCCAGTAATATCTTCGACGCCATATTCAAGAAGCGGGGAGGTGAGAGCGAATGACTGATGCGTCTGTAAGAAAAAGTACAACCTTAAGTCACTATATAACAGATTTTTAAGATTCATCAACAGACGCGGCGAGGTCGACAATTGTAAATATACGAAGGATACCCATTTTGTAGTGACGAGTTTCACCAGATAGGGAGAGCGTATTTCTAAGGTGAGGAGGTGGTTTTGAGGAGTTGAAGAGTGAACCAAAAATGGAGAAAAGACTACGAGGACAAGAGGCCTCTTTAAGACTTCTATTCAGTCTTCCTTTCTTATTCTAGTACCTTTTTATCTTACATGGGCTTACTCTTTACATGCCCGGTGAAACCCATGTTAGCTATGGTTTATCTAGCAGAAAGATAGAACTGTTGCCGCCCCGCGAATGCAGCTTCGCAAAGTTACAGGAGCGGTTGTAACTTGCTTTGTAGTCTACCCAAAGATGGAAAATGCAAGCATTTGCCACACTTTTCCGGTTCTTAAAGCTCATCTTCACGAAACAGTCCCTACTCCCTACGACAATAAGTGTATTTAATGCACGTGTACAAGGTCTTCAGCGGAGAAGCTTGTTTACAGAAGCGGATATGAGTGGTACCCGTAAGCTACAGAGGACACTTCGGAAGAAGTCTATGTAAGTACTTCGCACTCTGTATCCCATACGAGTGTCTTACAACGGGGCTGAAAACATCGAGCTAAGTATTCAATATATAATGGGCGCTTACGGAGTACGACGAGTTCCACAGTGAGCATGTGTGTATTGTTCTACGTGCGCTCTGTACCTTCTGCATGAAGCCCCTACTATGTAAATAGGCGCGTTTAAGCGCATTGCGCCGCACCTTGCTTCTACCAAGTAGCCGATCTTGGTTTAGTTGGTCAGTATTGCCTTTTATAGTTCCCGGACCGAGCTTATTTTAGAGTTTAGCCTTGTTTCGCCGCCATTGCACTGCTACAGAGTACATCTTGTGCACAACCTAGTCTTCGGAGCCGATGAAGCCGCAAGGCGGGATTGGGCCTCCTCCGTACTCGTATAGGAGCACAAGTACGGTCTATAACGCCCACAACAGTGTACGGATTTAATACATTACCTTTGCATCCGTCCCTTCGATTTATAACTGTCAACACCTGGCTGCCAAGCGCTGTGGTGTGATGTATCATTGGTGTGCAGGCGGTGCAATATGAAAACTTTGCCGCTTAGCACGGCGGATCGGGCCACCAACACTATAGGCCGCACTTGCAGGATACAATACTACTCTGTAAATATCCCGTATTTGTGGTATCCGTAGATCACCCTCTGGCTTGCGTTGAAGCTAATACTAAGTACTTCGTATGACCGTAAGAGTTTTGTGGCTGGTACCTTAAGAGGGCTGTGGAATTATAGAGTACTCTGAAGGTGTGACGTAGCTTATACGGAGTAGGATAGTTTATCCCTTGTCTTAAGCGGCTCTAATCTCAAAGGAGCAGGCTAGCCTTCTTGTTTAAGCTGAAACAGCCGGAATAAGGAAGTACTCTACGGAGTATAGTCTGCTCTCCCGTAAATCGTACGACGTTGATCTCTTAACGCCAAACGTACGGAGTACTCCGTACAAACTACGAGTTACTCCTTACCTTGTACAAGTCTCGTACTTTGAAGTAAAGAGCGGCGAGAATTGCAATACATACGGAGTACTCCATCGACATCTCCCCTCCAAGACTCAACCTTTCATATTCGTAAGATATGTACTCCGTACGCCGCATGAGAAGTACTCAGAGCAATGCTACGCCCCAGTGTTATCGTACGTCCCACGTTGTTCAGTTTGTGCACTAAAAAATAGTGTACCGATTTAAACTTTTATAAAACTAAGGCCGTTATTAGACAGATTTCGGGGGTCGGCTTGTTGTCCTGCCGCCGCTATGTAACATACTTGACCTTTTCTTAGATAAGGGGACGGGGTCATGTTTGTTTTTCGGCCTGAAAGAAGAACAGGATACAAAGAGGAGAGAAGAACGAGGCTGCTTGGCATTGTCTGACGAAATGCCCCGATGCCTATCAGACTGGCCAGGATTTACTTCAGGCGGCTGACCATCTGGAGCAGTCTTTTGTTGTTGACCACGGGCTACTTCCTATTCTCAGACGTGTTGCCCGACGTGGCCAATGTGTATCCATATGCCACAACTACCCCGACATCCGATTAGCATGCCCTACGCAAGCCCCTTCGCTCGCAGTGGCATCCTATCGACCGCTTAATCGATGAGGTCAACATGACCTTTCACCGCCTCCTGCAGTCACGCTCAACAAACTTGAGCGATGCAGCAGCGCGCTACCGCGAGCGGCGGGGCCGTCACCCGCCGCCTGGTTTCGGCGCGTGGTGGTAGAGGCCTTCTTCGACCACATCGAGCACGACATCCGACCATACTGGGCGCTCAATGCGACAAGTCACAGCCAGTCGCGCGGCTGTGACTTCACCGGGTGCGCGTCAGCAGCGGCAAGACGACAATGATCGGCGACGTCAAGGGCAAGGTGCCCTGGCTGGGGCTGTGGATGAAGCTTGTCCGCAAGGCTGGTCACTAGATGCCCGACGTTGACATGCCGATCAACTACTTGAACGAGTCCCGACTTCTAGTGCCTTTCGGGGAGATGACACAGCTGGTGGAAGCAGCTGATCAGTAGAGACGGATCATGCCCGTCGCAGACACCCAGACGACTTACAGCAGCCGCAACGGCCGCCAGAAAGACCCCCCGGCCTATGGCCCTCCTTGAATTGAGGGCCAACAGCCGTACTGGAGCCTCGCCCGTGTATCTTGTCCGCCCGACTCGCCCGGACGTAACGTCTCGGCCCTGACGAACTTCTCTGGCCCGTCGGTCTTTCCGGAGCCGTCGTCGTTGCTGCCGTACACATAGGACGGCTATATCCGCAACTTCTTGGCAGCTACGGATCCGTGACTGCAGCCGCACCTGCGCGGGCTACACGGCACGTTCATCGAGCCGAACAGCATGTCGACGACGCGCGAGCTGATTCCGCTGTTTGGCGGCAGCAAGCTGCCGATGAACAACGAGATCCTTATCCCGGGCGCCATGTACCTTAGTACTAACGCGATCTACTTGGGCGGCTGGTCTTATGGGCCGCCATGGCGCCGGAAGCGGAATGCCGTCGTGTGTCGTGGTACCGCTTCGGGCGGCCGCAAGTGGCCGGACAGCTGGCGGCACTTTCACCGCCACCGGCTGGTCGAGATGCTTAACGGCACGGCTGTGGAAGAAGCTGAGGTAGGCGACGGCTTGCTAACCACCGGCCCCTTGCCGTCGCCGGACCAGTACGATGTTGCTCGGCGCCGCGAGGGCCGCCTCAGTGCCTGGTTAAGCAGCTTAACCGATGCTTCCTTCAATGACCGCAACTGCTTCCTGTACGGCCTGCTGGGCTTCTTTTCGGGCGACCGCAAGGGTGACGCGGCTGCACGCTTGCTGGCCGAGACTGGCAAGGCCTGGGCTAAGGTCGTTCTGCGGCGGGACGACATGCTACTATACACATGGCGGGCGCTGCTGGAGTTTGCACGGGTGTGCGATGAGGCGCGAGAGACGCCTGGGTTCGTGGAGAATCTTGTCAAGGGCGATTTACGGGTTCACAGCCATTAATCTGGAGTACATGGGTTTTTCATATCCAAATAAAACACAGCAAGCAGAAAGATGACAGTAGAGGCTAGACAGGACGTCTTTGCCTACAGCCGCTCCGATAATTGTAGAAAGGGCCCTCAGGCAGAGAAGCGAAAGGACAATGTCGAGCTAGCACTATGTTCCGTCTTCCGTGCAGTCATCGGTGCTGGAATTTACAGGGCCTATTTTCCTCCATGAAGCGGATGCAATCAAGACAAACAGTGGCTCTCCTTTTCATACCAGTAAGCTCACCGAGAAATAGTTCTTTGATGTGACCACGAGGTAAAAGGGCTTGGATCTCCCTAACAAGCCCCGACGCCGAACGTTCAAGCACTTTCAGCGGCGGGTATTTTAACGCAGCTATCTTAAGCTCGTCGTGTCTTGAAGTTATCATGTAATTTACAAGCTCTGCCCTCAGCTGCGTTCTTCGCTCTTCTAAAAGGTCTGGGAAATACATTAGTCTCGTCCTCTATATCGGCAAAGCCAGTCGTTCTGCTGCTCACACACTGCTTGCCACGGCAAAAAGTCTCGAACTCTCTTGTTTTCCAACAACGTCCGATAAGTAGTCGCGTAATCCAGGATGAGAGTTAGTGTGAGCTGTTGAAATCTGCCGGCGTCGTCAAATAAGAAGGCTGACGCCGCCAGATAGCCACTGTCGAGTATGCTATGGGTGCCAGAGGGATGCAGCCACTGCGCTATTACGTATTTCAACGCAGAAGCGAGATCGTACTTGCCGGAAACAATGCCTATTTCAAGGACCTTCTCTGGTGGGATTTCAGTCGGCAGCATATTGCTGCGATGGTGGATAACGCAGCATATAGTCTGCATCGCCTCCGCATTGTCCTCTTCCAGAACGACACTTTTTGGATGATCCTTGGACAGGTCGCGCCCTTCGCTCCATCTCTGTCCAAACATGACCTGAAACACCTTCGAGACAGATTGCAGAAACAAGGAGTGCACTCTCAGTTGCACAGCCTGTGGCCCAACCACCAGAATCACATCGCCATCCGCAAAGATGTCGACCACCGGCTCCGTACCTGTAATCGACCCCGTGCTGTTCATGTCTTTCATGAAGACGTCCGGTCTTTTCTGGTAACTTATGCTAGTTGCCGTGGTCGTCGTGTCGGCTTTCAAATTCGGAAGAAAGGAAGTTCTAGGAAATGAGTATCGGCGGCCTCGTCGTTGCGAGGCTGTAACGAAATGGATTCCGGTATTCGGCTGTGGTTATCCCGAACCGCACTACGGCATCCACTGATTGGTTGCCAGGAGCTGACATATTTGCCCTGACCTTATGTCAAGCATTGGAATCCGCCACACTGTGGCCCTTCCGCCCCACTTGGCCGTACGGGCCTGTAATTGGTCAGAAGGCACAAAAGCGGGGCCTGACACTAGTATTAATACGGATCCCCAGAAGGGTCGCGATGTATCTATTTCTTCCTTAGTACACAACAGTCCTTCGCCCACACTAGACCCTATTCAGCCTCCTGCTCCTCACAGTGCATCACGTTATATGACCGCCACGTATAGCCTCCTTTAACCTTCACACCTTACCAGAAATATTTTGGATGCTTCGCCGTAGTTATCACGGTTGCCTGCTGCCAGGCACGGGACAAACGACCAGAATGTATAACAGCCAGAGAGCCAAAAACGTAGCTTGCTTTAACGCCCAAAACTTTTCACTGCCAGATTGCTGAATAGAAGGTCTACATTCAGCAGGTGTGTTGTTGGCAAGCTCTGTTATATTTGTTTAGCCAGCGCACGAAATGGCTGCATTCACCATCGCAGACGTTGTAATTTCAAGCAATACACCAAATTTCGATCAACTGGGGAGCTTTACTTCACTGAAATTATTCTTACGTATGCGAGGGCTTCTCTTCGAAACACCTTACATCGGCCCCTAATTAATCAAGTCTTCATAAATTTTCACAAAGACTATCTATGCCTCTAACAAAATACTTACCCACTCATCAGTTCCAGCTATTCATATTCTCTTCACCATGGGCTCTAACGACATACCGCCCAGCCATATTCCTCTCTGGATCGTCCCCACCTCCACCGCTCTGCTCGGCGTCGGCGTTGTCTGCTGGTGTGTGGCATACAAGCTGATGACGCTGGAGACGCTGCGGACGCATGTCTACAGCATGCCCGTTGTGGCCCTCGTCGTGAACGTAGCCTGGGAGGCTGTATATTGTTTTCTCGCTGTATCAGACGCTTCTTGGCTAGAAGCTACTGGCATCTTCGTGTGGCTCCTGTATGACATTAATCTTGTCCAGGCCACGGTTCTGTATTCTGGGGAGACACAGGACCGCTTCTCTCTGAGCCCTCGACTGCTACACAGGCTACTGCGCACGTTTGTAGCCAAAACGATCTTGGTCGCCGTGGTGTGTCACTGGGTGATTGCAAGCTGGTGGCTCAGCAAAGCCGGACGCGGCTGTGGCGACAAGTCGGGCAAGATTTGGCAGGGCCTGGATGGGTACGACACGACGGAGCTGGCATTCTGGACAGCTAGTGTGTGCCAGCTTGTGACGAGCGTCAGCAGCCTGTCGATGTTGTGGAGACGGCAAGACGCCCGTGGCGCCAGCATGCCGGCACTGTGAGTTTTGCTGAGTACCAGTAGTCCATCCCAAGGACTCATACACCTGAAATAGTTGATGGACGCGCTGACCGTTGATCAATGTCAGAATTTGGCGGACGGCTGGATCGGTGGCCGGCCTTGGCCTTGCAAATGGCATCTTATGGTGGTACTGGCCGGAGGCACACTGCTACTTTTCGCAGCTGCCGGCCATCCTCCTGAACGGCACGGCACTCGTTTGCGACATCACTTATGGCTATGTTCTGAGCCGATATCGGTCTGTCGAGGGGCGCCAATGGCCAGACAAACGGAAACAAGGTGATGCATTTGTACCAACAGCGACCGAACGTACATGTTAGCCCTGCAGAGCTACAAAACCTCCGTGAGACTGATCCCGTCTCGCATGTGAAGCGATCTTTGCATGGAAAATTAGGCAGTAGTAGTCTCCCTACCAGAAATCACTGCATCACAGCGTTCAAATGTGTACGAGTCTCGTCACACACATTCAGCTTGCATAGGTCGTTCCTTGAGCCACATATTGTGCAGTCCCGGCTGGTTTTGCCTTCAGCTTCACAAGGCTCGCCTCGTCATATGTGCGTCGTCCCCAGGAACTGTAGCCATTCAGTAGGCCATCGGCGAAGGAGCGGTCGAAGCGACGGGCACTGTCGATGAAAGCCAGGCGACTGGCACGCCAGTTCAGCCAATTGTGGGCGTCGACGCCTTCGGGAGCGCGCAGCAAGCCGACAGCGATATTGATGTAGGGGGCGCCCTCGGCGTCGGGGCGGTGCAAGCGCTCAAGTCTGGCAAAGAAGACGGTGGCTCCACATATGCTGCAGAAAGCGCGGATGGCGACGGGGGAGAAGCAGTAGGTTTTCAGGGTAGCGTAAGCCGGGTTTGGCAGCTCGCCGGCAGCGGGCTCGAGGACCGGCGGCGGGTGGATGTGGGCCAGAGGCACGAATGCCCACGCGGCCACATGTGTACCGTTGACGAGGCGACAATCGTCGCATCCATCCAGGTTAGCCAGCCAGCGGTCCTGGTGGACAGGACTAATAGGTGTGTGGGGTGAGGCTTTGGGAGACGGTCGCGAAACGGCGAAGCGGACACCGCCACAGTGGCAGCCGACCTGCAGGAGTTCGTCATTGGCGGCAGCGTCAGGAACAGCGGGTGCATACGGCTCGGCTGCCATGGGGAACAGCGGGTGACCAGCAGGCGGTTGCCAAACCTTGAGGTCACGATCGGCAACGCGAGGCAGCCACTGGTGCAGTCCGAAAGGCCCGGCGTTGGCGAAGGAGTGGGTGGTGATGCGAAAGGCCTGGTCGGGGCCGCCCTCGCCGTGGGTGCCGGCGGCGAAGATAGACGAGGCGATGCGCCATTCAGGAGGGGCAGACGTCTCGTCAGGGTAATGCGGGTCGGCGATGGCGGCCTTGGCAGCCTTGTTGCTCGTCAGGTCCTCGTCGCCGATGTGGCAGCCGCAAGTGCTGCAAAAGTAGCGGGTACAGGCAGCACGGGCGTGGGTGTAGCCAGTCAGACTGGCAGCCTTGGAGGAGGGGGCGAGGAATTGAGGAACGACTCCGAGTGGTAGAGCTGCGTGGAAGCAGCAGAGAGCGCCCAGAGTGGTGCGGCAGATAGAGCAGTGGCAAAGATGGACGGGCAGGGGGGGGGCAGCAGTGGGTAGGGTGATGGAGAGGTGAACGTTTTTGCAGAGGCACTGTGCCGTGAGCGTGCGTGTGATCGGCAGGGGTTCGTTAGACGTCATGCTGATATATGAAGGAGGAGATGAAGATGGAAACTGGGTTTGAACAGACGACGAAGAGAGGAGCCGTGAGGAAGGAGAGAGTAGGACGAGAGGACAGAAGCAGGAGACGAAAATAAGCACAATACAGTCAAGGAACGGCAGAACAAGCCGGACGACGCGCATTTGTCAAGGTCGCGTCGCGAACTTCCAACTGCGTCCTGCTTACCTCACAAGATTGTACGCGGTAAGAACGGGGACACTTCACCCCGCGGCTCTCGTCTATTTTCGGTTTCCATGTAATATCGCAAACGTCTTGCTCTCAGCTTCTGTGGAGTGGTAGAGCAGCTAACCGGTCGTGGATTAGTGGCAGACCTTTCCATAATTTCATCCCCGCAGCAGCTTTCAAGGCAGCTCTGGCTGGCTGGAAGTGGGTGAGGTGAGCCCTGCATCTGATCCCGCTTGACCTCTCCGTGTCACATCAGCCAACTTTCTCACCTTGTGAGCGACTTTCACGCCCGTGGATTGCGCCAGTTTTCGTTTGGGCAGCACAAATCAATCGCCCGACCTCACTGGCCTGGGTTCTCCAACAGCTGGGCCGATTGGCCGCTCATTCTCCCGACCACTTCTTCCCCTCTCCGATAAGCCGCCGACAATGGCGAGCAAGAAAGTGCGGCAAAAAATCAGCTATGGTACGGACCTGTGGAATCTAGTTTGGACATCTCGTTTCTTGTGGGAGTGCTTACTGATCATGTAGTCCTCGAGATCGACCCGCTGTCGGTCGGCCACCGGCTGGGGGTGAACGGCCTGGCTTACGACAGCGACAACTCCATCTTGTGAGGCCAAATGTCCGAGCTGTTCTCGAAGCCCCCCATAGCTAACGTATGCATATTCAGGTATTCTGGCGGCCGCGATGGCGTAGTGTGTGCGTGGGACATGCACCTCGACCAGCCGAAGACATCAAGCGACGCCGACAAGGCCAACGATAACGATACGGCACCGAAGCCAGTGCAGGCCGCAGATACGACCACCGACGGATCGCCGCCCAAGCCGGCTGTTTCCCCCGCACGACAGACGGCGACGTCCCGCGCGCAGACACAAGCGCACATGCACTGGATTAACGACATTGTCTTGGCGCAGAACAACTCAGTGCTGGTGACGGCGTCGTCAGACCTGCTGGTGAAGGCGTGGAGGCCGCGGGCCGGTGATAACAACGACGAACCAGCGATCCTAGGTCGGCACGAGGACTACGCCAAGTGCGTGGCGTCGCCGGGGCAGCAGGCGACATGGGTGGCGTCGGGCGGGCTGGACCGGCGCATCCGGCTGTGGGACCTGCAGGGTGGTGGCAACACGAACCAGATTCTGGAGATTGATGTCAGCGGCGAGGAGCGGGCGGAAAAGGGGTCCGTGTATGCGTTGCGGGCGACACACAGCCTGCTCGCCAGCGGCGGGCCCGAGTCGACGGTACGGCTATGGGACCCGCGGACAGGCAAGAACATCACCAAGTTTGTCGGCCACACAGACAACGTGCGGGCGATCCTGATCAACGGGGCAGGCGACACGGTGCTGACGGCCAGCTCAGACCAGACAGTCAAGGTGTGGAGCGTGACGGCCGGTCGCTGTATGCACACGCTGACGATGCACAACGACAGTGTCTGGTCGCTGTATGCAGATCGTCCGGACCTGGGCATCTTTTACAGCGGTGACCGGTCTGGGCTCGTGGTCAAGACAGATGTGCGTGGCAGCCTCAATGACATGGACGCCGGCTTCTCAGTGGCTGTGGCGCAAGAACACGGTGGAGTCAACAAGGTGGTCGCTAGCGATGGCTTCATCTGGACATCGACATCGAGCTCGTCGATCAACCGATGGCGAGATGTCGACACGGGTGCGGCGCTGCAGCGGTTACAACAGCAGCAGCTGCAACAGTCACCGCGGCCGTTTTCGCCGGCAGACACGATGCGTCCGCACAGCTCTTCCGTGTCGACGGTGAAGTCGGGTGGTGGCGGTGGTGGCATTGCGACGTTAGCTGTGGCGGTGACGGCCGGCCCAGAGATTCCCCCGCGGTCGATCCTGCGCATCTCCAACACGGCGACGTTTCCGCGGTTGGTCTCGACCGATACTCTCACGTTGTCGGGCAGCAGCGTGCACGGACGCAAGAACTCGGAGGTGGCGACAATGGCAGACGAGGAGACTGCGACGGCCGAAGAGGTTGGCATCGAGCCGATCCAGCGGCTTCCGGTAGAGACGATCGAGGGCAACTTCGGACTTGTCAAGCACCGGCTGCTGAACGACAGGCGGCGAGCACTGACGCTGGACACGGCGGGTGAGGTGCTGCTGTGGGATCTGATCCGCTGCAAGCAGCTGCGTCGGTTCGGCAAGAGACACCTCGAAGATGTGGAGCCGGAGGTCAACACGACGGAGGCGGTGGCGCCGTGGTGCTCGATCGACGTCAGTTCGGGAAATCTGATGGTGGTGCTGGATGCGTACAACTGCTTCGATGCCGAGATGTATGCGGACGAGCTCGTGCTGGACGAGCCGTTTGCATTCCGCGAGGACCAACGGATCAATCTGGGCAAGTGGATTCTGCGATACCTGTTTGCCAACCTGATCGATGAGGAGGTACGGCGCGACGACGTGTATCTTGCCAAGATCAACGAAGTGATCGACAAGCGTATCGAAGCAGCAGCGTTGGCGGCAGCGGCAGCAGCCGAGGCGGCGGCGATGAGCATGCTGGACGTGGGAAGCAACGGCAGCGACGGGACGGGCGACAAGCGTGGGTCGCAAGCGAGCAGGTCGTCGGCGGAGCGGGAAGAGAACGGGCTGAACGGAACGTCGTCGAACGATGGTAGCAACGGTCCCGGGCTGTTTCTGAGCAAGACGACAACGGGATTTGCAGGTGCCGAGGCATCCGATGGGGCCAAAGACGCAAACACGACAGCCAAGTCGCCGGGAACGCCGTTTGGCAAGAAGTTTCGGATGGGCATGTCGTTTGGCACCAAGAAGCTGGGGCGGTCGGCGTCGACGAGCGTGCCGGAAAAGACGGCTGGAGCGGCTGCAGGGGCGACACCAGCAGCAGGAGTGGACGGGACGGTGGAGGAGGGATTGGAGACAGGGTCGAGTTCGGCAGCAGATTCAGATGCGTCATTCGTCGGGGTAGTGCAGCGGATGCGGGCTGAGTATGAACGACAGCTGGCGGCGACAGCAACGGCGACGGCAGACCAGCAGACATTGGCGCGGGTGGAGTCGCGGATCACGCCGTGTCCGGTGGACGAAGCACCGCCTCTGCAGCTGCCGGCCAACACAATGGTGATGATCCACGAAGAACTGCAGGGCGGCAGCATGGAGGTGTATCGGGGGACGATTGCGACGGCGGGACGGTCGCGTGACGTGGACAAGATCGAGCGGTGTGCGCCGCGATGGCTGGCAGAGGCGCTGCTGGCAAACAGCGCAGTGGGAAAGGAGTCATACAAGGTGTCGTTTATCCTGTTGCCGTATCGGAAGGAGGGGGCGGCCGAGGCGACGTTGCCCAACGTGGCGACACCAGACGGCAGCAGCCGGTTGAACGCGAATCGGATGCTGCGGGTGAAGAAGATCTTGGCGTATGTATCGGAGAAGATTGAAGGGCCAGTGGAGGGGGCGGAGCAGTCGGAAGCAGTACCGGGAGACGGAGAGGTGGGCGAGGAAAAAGGGGGGACGGAGAAGAAGGAGGAGTCTGTCGAGGTCGGAGAGGCTGCAGAGGCGACAGAAACTGGCCAAGGTGCAGAGATGGTGGAAACAGCCGAGACGAGCGGTCCAGTGCTGCGGCCAGAGGAGTATCTGGAGCTGTACTGCAACGAGCAGGTGAGTGAGAGATGTGGAGATATGGAGATGTGGATGCTGGGATTTGGACACGAAGCTGACAGTGGCGAACAGCGTTTGCCGGACTCGATGAGCTTGGCGACAGTGCGGGCGCACATCTGGAAGAACAGCAGCGACATTCTGCTGTACTACCGGTCGAATGGGCGGAAGGAGATGCGGCGGAGGGTGAGCGAAGTGAGAGGGTGAGGAGGGGAAAGAAGGAGATGGGGGAAGAGGGGGGGATATAGGCAGAGGAGAGAAGAGGAGAGAGAAGAGGATTAGAGAGAGACGATATAATACGACTCGGAGGAAAAAAGGGAAGGAGCTGGAAGGCAGAAGAGGAAAGAACGGGACAACAGAAGGAGCGATACAAGAAGCGAAGAGAGATTGGTTTGCATCTATTCCCGTATATACAGCTAATGTACATTTTCATCGTTCTTTGGTCTTGCACTCCATCACGACCACACCACACCACCATCACTCGAGCTGCTCGCCCGGCCGAAGCGTGTTGACGGCCAGCTGGTACGTGCCGAGGAAGATGGCGCCGCCGATGCTGATCCACGTGACGCGCGGTCCGATGCCAGCGAAAAAGGCGCGAGAACCGTGGCGCCGGTGGATGTCGCGCACCATGGCCGGCAGCGCGTGATGGCCGTCGGGGCTGAGCATGATGCGAGTCTTGAGCACGTCGAGGGGGGTGGTGACGGCAGCAGCGACAGCGCCGGCGATGCTGCCAAAGGCAGCACTGGCGACGGCAGATGGCGGCGTCGTCGATCCGTCCACACCGACACTCCAGCGCTGCCGCATAGCCTCCCAGAGCGGGAACTGCACGACAGTAAAGGGCACCTCGCGCAGGATGGTGGCGCCGCCGCCGCGGTAGAGGGCACGGGCCAGCTGGGGCAGACTGCCGCGGCTGGAACGCACGATGGCGGCTAGGGCAGCAGCCGACGAGGCGTGCTGACCGGCCTGAGCACGCTGCTTGACCACTTCGGTGGGCACGCGGACGGCACAGGCAGCAATCTCGCCGAGCGAGGCCGAGAGCATGTGGGTGGTGGCGGAACTGTGCTGGGCGTCGGACATCCACCCCTTTACGCCCTCGTACGTGACGAAGAAGAGAGCTGCCCCCGGGGCTGAACCGACCACGGCACTGCCGACGCCTCGGTAGATGCCTGAGAAACCACCGCTGGCCCAGAATTGTCCCGGGCCGGCCTGCAGCCGCGTCTTGAGGGTGTCGAGCGGAAACAGGCTGAGATCGACCGCCGTGCCGGCAAGGCCGCCGGCCAGCAGCGCGGCCGTGTAGTCCATTGGTGCTGGGATCGGTGCTGGCGGCGTGTTCGTGTGGCCGGTAGCTGCAGCTCTTTTTCCTCTCTCTCGCTCATGTCCGTTGGCCGGAAGAAGCTCAAATTAAAGCGGGTCCACGAGCTGCAGAAAAAGCTCGCCGCTGTTAGCACATCTACGGCATAACGGCAGCCTCGCCCAGAGCAGCACCACCTACCGTCTCCATGCGCCCCGTCCTTCACCGCAGCGCCCAGCCGATTGCCCTGTCCGAGTTCTGCGATGCTTTGCGGGCGGCCGCCCCGCCGCGGTTTCCGCAAGCGCGGTGCATAGAGCATCGGCGCGTTGGTGAGTACTTGCATACGTTTGTTCTTTGTGTTCTCGCTTCGCTCGTCGTCCTGTTCGTCGTCATGTTTGTCTCATTCGTCCTCTCTTCTTCGTTCGTCGCTCACTCTTCAGCACTCGCCATCAGCGGCGGTGTCGACTCTATGGCCCTCGCCTTTCTTTGTTCCCAGCTCCGCCGCGTCGACCCCTGGTTCCGCATCGCTGATGCTCCTGTCGGTGGCTTTACCGCCCTTATTGTCGACCACCGCCTGCGCGATGGCAGTGCAGTCGAGGCCCAGGCTGTGGCCGAAGCTGTGCGCAATCTCGGCCACCGCACTCAGGTCTGGGCCCTCACCAACTTTGGAGGATCGTCGTCGTCATCGTCCTCCTCCATCGAAACTGCAGCCCGTCACTTTCGCTACCGCTGTCTCGGCGTCCGCATGGCCCAAAGCCGGCTGGTCTCGCTGCTGCTGGCCCATCACGCCGACGACCAGTACGAGACCGTGCTGTTGCGGCTGCTGACCGGCTACGGGCTGCATGGTGGCATTCGCGGCCTGCGTGGCATGCGGCCGGCCGTCGACATCCCCGAATGCCGCGGACTCTATGGCGCCCATCAGAGCGGTCTCGGCGAAGACCGGCGCCACCCTCAGCCGTACCTGATGCATGCGCCGTCACGTCGTGAGCGGCGCCGCATCAAGTCGGCCATGCGCGAGGACATGGCTGGCGAGGGCAGTCGACGTCTTGGGGTTCTTGGCTTGGAGGGTGTGGACCTGGATCTGGATCTCGATCTGGATCTCGAACTCGACCCCGACGACCACTACCTCCAAAACTATAACCCCCCCCACATCCTTCCCCTCGACACTGAGGACCTCGGCATCGTCGCCTATCGTCCCTTGCTCGCCTTTCCCAAGGCCCGCCTCATCGCCACTTGCGAGGCCCACAATGTCCCCTGGTTCGAGGACCCAACCAATGCTGATCCCGGCCTCACTCTTCGCAACGCCGTCCGCCACATCGCCCGCCACCACCGTCTGCCGGCCGCCCTGCAGCCGCCATCGGTCCTGCGCCTCGCCGAACGCTGTCATGCTACCGCCGTCGCCCAAGAAGCCGAGGCTTCCCGGCTGCTCGTCCGCGCCCGTGTCGTCGTCCGCTTCTCTACCAACGCCGGCACCGCTCTCGTCCGCCTGCCGCGCCTTGTTGCTTTTCCACGCCGCCGCCCCGTCATCGGTCCTGCTGCTTCGGCCGTCTACGCTGCCGCCTCGCGCACCCGTCGCCACGCTCACCTCCGCACCATCGCTGCTCTCATCGTCCAGCGGCTCCTCGCGCTCGTCTCGCCCGAACCAAACCCCTCGCCCATCTCCCAGCTGCAGACCGTGGTTGATGTCCTCTTTCCCGCTCTGGCAGACCGGTCGCAGAGCCGCTCAGCTCATCCAAAGCCTTTCACCATCTGTGGCGTGCACTTTGTCCCGGCTGTGTCCACCTCCTCCGCCGCCACTCAGCCCTGGGTCCTCGCCCGTGCCCCCTACCCGGCCACCCCCAGCGCTCAGCCGTCGATCAGGTTTCCGGCGTTGGCGCTGCCCCGCCGCTGGGACATGTCCGCTGCTGTCGCTTGGCCCTGGCCGGCTTGGGGCCGCTGGCACCTCTACGACGGCCGCTTCTGGATTCGCCTGCGCAGCCGCCTGCCCGTCTCGGTCGAGCTGCGCCCCTTTGCAGCCGACCATGCCAAGCCGCTGCGTGACAGCCTCGGCAGCCCAGCCGCCCAGGCTGCCCTCCAGGCTGCCCTCAAGACCCATGCGCCCGGCAAGGCTCGCTACACCCTGCCGGCCCTGTACGCCACCGGCGACGTGTCCTGGGCCCTTGCCGGGCGCGAGTATTGGCCAGTGGACACTGACGGAGACGAAGCTAAGACTTCCAGCTCACTCCGACACCCTGAAACCGAGGGCTCCCACCTCGACACCCACCGGTGGCGTCGCTTCACGTGGGAGCGACAGCAACACCAGGACGACCGCAGGCTACGGCTCGTCGCCCTGCCCACGATCGGCGTCCATGTGCCGCGAATTGAGCACTGGCTCCAGTGGGAGACGCGCTACCGCAAGGTCGACACAGAGCTGCTCGAGCGGGCCGGCGTCGAGCCGTGGGCGTGGCCGTAGAGAGGCTGATGCAAGGCTGCGTCACGTGATATGATAGAGAGCGCAAGATACAAGATACCATACTTCGTAGACGGAGTAGAATGAACAAAGGCTGATGGAAAGTTCTCGTACCCCGTACACTTGCTGTGCTCAAGAGCATTAGTATTCGACATAGGCTTGCACTGTGTTGGGTGTTGGCAAGCACCACGTTTTCGCATACGTCAGCTAATTTGTGGAGCCAAATCAAAGACAAAAGAGGTCCATTTAGCTTCTGCTCGTCTGAATGCAGGCAGGCCAACAACACAGACAACATACATACGTCGTCATCGCCTGCCCTCATTGCCACATAAGTCGCATGGTCTTTCTAGCCGTTCTATCCCTTCTCTTTCTTCCGGTGACGTCCTCCTCTACCCTCCCCCTCCTGTGCCCATGGTCAGCAATCGTTGGGTGGCCCGGCTGGTCGGCCTCCTCGTCCTGTTGGTCATCGTCTACACCTTGTTATGCACCTCATCCATGCAGCCAGGGCTGCGCCCCTGGCCGCTGTCGGTCCTAGACGGTGGCCTCGAGTGTGCCAGCAAGGACACCGGCAGCCGGACCCTGTCGGCCGGAGCGCCGGGCTCGCGTGAGCCGTGGTTCCCGCCGCGAACCGGCCTGGTCAACAACCTGACGGCGGCACTATACACGCCCTCGGGCGTCTACGGCTTCCGCTACGATGGCTCACTCGTGCCTGACGCTGATTACGGCGTCTACAACTGGTGCAACATGCCACACGTCCGGCGCGACCGCTACGTCGTGCCGCCGCCCTCCTTTGCCTTGCGCTACGTTGAGCTCGTCCACCGCCATCACAAGCGCACACCCTACGCCGCCAACGCGTTTCCGGTCGAGCCATACCACTGGGACTGCTCCGACGCCCAGGTGCATCATTACAACCAACCAACCGGCACCGACCATCATCCCGGCGATGCCTTTCTGCGCCCCGACGCTGCCGTCCCCGGAAACCCGTTTGCGGCCACCGCTCCCGGACTGCACGGCTCCTGCCGCTTCCCTCAGCTGACCCACGGCGGCCTCGTCGACGCCTGGCAGCACGGAGCCGACCTTTACGGCGTCTACCACGACCTGCTGCACTTTCTGCCCGACCTGGCCGCCAATGACAGCAGCCAGACTGAAATCCAGGCCGCCTGGACCACACAGACTGCCTTTCGCGTCACCAACAACCAGATCACCAGCGAAACCGCCTCCATGGTCTGGGGAGGCATGTTGGCTGCCGCTGGGCAACGCTCCCCTTCCTGGTCCCTCCCCTTTTCCGTCGAGCCGGTTGGCGTTGACGGCCTCGAGCCGCAATACGACTGTCCTGCCGGCGCCGTCGCTTTTGCCGACATCACCGGCCTCGACATCGACTCCGTCCACGGTGACAGTCGTGCTTACCGCTCGCGCGCGTGGAATGCCCACCTGGTCGCCGCTGCTGACGTCTTCCGCCGTCTTGATGCTGCCTCCGGTGTCCTTCCCGGCGACAGGGACTTTCACTCCAGCTTCGACCACTACTACGACAGCCTCTCAGCCCGTCGCTGCCACGACCTGCCCGACGTAGTCGGCGTAGACCGCAACCTCGCCGACACCGTCTTCCGCCTCGGCCAGTGGGAGTACAGCCGCATGTTCCGCGATGATGCCCGCTCGCTCGGCGCCAGTGCTGCGCTTTGGGGCGTCTGGGTCGCCCAGTTGGCCGCTCATCTACGCACCGCTGCCGCTGACCGCCAGACTGCCCCTCGCTACCGCCACAACGTCGCCCACGACGGCAGCCTCAGTCGCCTGCTTTCTATCCTGCAGGCCGACGACATGGTCTGGCCCGGAATGGGCAGCGAGGTTGTCGTCGAGCTCTGGGAAAAGACTGACCACGTCGACGACCATGTCGACCAAGACGCTGATGTAAATGCTGACATAAGCACACACCCACACCACTACATTCGCGTCCTCTTTGGCGGCCGCCTTCTGCGCTCTTCCCACCCCGACCTCGCCGACCTCGACATGCGCCCACTCGACGCTTTGCTGGCCTACCTCGATGACCTCGTCGGCCCCGACGCCAGCCTTGTGCCCCGCAAGTGCAATGGCACCCTGGCCCTGTGGCCCCGCTCCGCTGCTGATGTCACGTGCCCTTTGTCTTGATCAAACAACGCCTTGGATTATGCTATCTGCGTCCTACCAATTCAAATTCACATCTTGTTTTCTCCTTGTCCAACCGCCTCAACCTCTCCGTTGGAACTTGCCCGTGCCATTGTGCTGCCGCGGCTGGCTTCCATACGCCCGCCGTCCACCGCTGCCGCCACCGCTGCCGCCACCGCCCGCCTTGTTCTTGGCCATGCTGGCTGCCAGTGTCAGGTCCACCCGCGGCGGCTTCGAGAAACCAAAGCTCTTTGCCACTGCCGTCAGGTCCAGCTTGTGCACGTCAAACACTGACCGCAGGCTGTGGCTCGCATACGCGTGCAGGTACGCCCGGAAACCGTCCTTGGCACTCTGGTGCAGGTAGTAGTTCTGTGCCAGCAGCTTCTCCAGTTGCGCCTGCACGTTGCGCACTTTGCTTGTCGGGAACTCGTACTCCACCACCGGTACCCGTGCCTCGCGCAGGTACGCCAGAAATCCCACTTCGCTCGGCAGCAGGAATAGCAGCGACTTGCCCCGGCCCTCTGTGCCTCGCGCCGTCCGGCCCACCCGGTGCACGTACGCCCGCCCGTCGTCCGGCGGGTCGAACTGCACGATCCAGTCGACTGCTGGGATGTCCAGCCCGCGCGCTGCCACGTCCGTGCACAGCAGGATGCCCTGTTCCGCGTTGCAGAACTCGAAAAAGGTGCTCGTCCGCTTCGCCTGCTTCTGCTTGCCGTGCAGGTCCAACACCCCGCCCAGGTCGATGTAGCGCAGCAGGTCCGCGTGGTACTTGACCGAGTTGCACGAGCTGAAGAACACAATCACCTTCTTCTTGCCCGCCATCCGCTTCAAGAACGACCACAGCAGCAGGAACCGGTCCTGCGATCCGCACACCACGTACCCCTGCTCCAGCCCGTCCACCGTGCTGAACTGCTGCGCCTCGTCCACGTTCAGGTACAGCGGGTTCGCTCGCAACGACACCTTAGCCAGGTCGTCGATCTTCTGCGTCTGCGTCGCCGAGAACAGCATCGTCTGCCGCTCCTTTGGCAGGATTTTGATAATTTGCCGCAACTCGTCCTCAAATCCTACCTCCAGAATCCGGTCCGCCTCGTCGATGATCAGTGACCGCAGGTGCTTGTAAAGGAAGTTCGGCGTGTTCTGCAAGTGGTCCAGCAGCCGGCCCGGTGTCGCCACCAGCAGGTTCACACCCCGTCCCAGCTTCTCCGCCTCCGCCCGTCGGTTCGCACCCCCCATCACAATCCCTGTCGTCTGCGTGTGGTGCGCCATCAGCTCCTGTGCCACACCCCAGATCTGCAGCGCCAGTTCCCGCGTCGGCGTCACCACCACAACGCCCACGCCGTTGCGCGGCTTGAACTTGAGCGCGAACAGCATCTCCACCGCCGGAATCAGGAACGCCAGCGTCTTGCCCGAGCCCGTCTTCGCCGCTCCCAGCACGTCCTTGCCCGCCAGCAGCGGCGGCAGTGCTCGTCGCTGGATTGCCGTCATCGTCTCGAACCCCATGTCTGCCAGTCCCTGCTTTGTCCGATCCGACAGCGTCAGGTCTGCAAATCGCCCTGAGCCGCTCTCTGCATCGTCGCCCACCGGTGGCAGTGTCAGAGTGTCCGTGTTGGCGTCTTCGCTGATAGCCGGCAGTGGCGGCGGCGAGCCGTTGTCATCGTCGTCATCCTCCTCCTCAGCGACGTTGTCGGCCTTTTCAGCCTCCTCGACCTCCTCTTCTGACTCCTCTTCGACCTTCGCTTCTGCCGCTTCCTCCACCTCCTTGTCGGCTTTCCGCTTGGCCTTCTTGACCTTCTTGGCCTCCTTGGCTATGTCGGCTTCGCCTGCTGCTTCTTCGGCCGCTGCTGCCGCCAGCTTGGCCTTCTTCAGCGCCTTGCGGTCGGCATGCCCGTCAGCTGTGGGCTTGTCGGCCTTAGACTCCTTGAGCTTCCGCTTCTTGCTCAGCTGTGCGTCCATCGTATATATCTATCCGTGTAGATTTGCGCGGATTGTGATAGATGGCTGCACCTGCTGCTGTGTCGATGGGTACTCTACAGCAGGGAAAAAAATGCTGAGAATTTTCACCGACAAAAAAAAGAGCAGGAAAAAGCGGCAGAAAAAAATTATTATGGGGATACGGAGTAGTCAGCTGCATAATCAGCGATAACGGATTTATGTCCGTCCGATCCTTAGCAACTGGTCACCAAAAGGATCGCTTACTCGAATGGAGTACTCGTGATAGTCACATGCCTCTTTTTTGTATCGCTATTTATTTTTTATCATAGTATTCTGAAGTTGGTTCGTTCATTAAGCTTCTTTGCCGTTGTTTTCCCATTTTAATTAGACTCGTTGTACTGCGCCGACTCCATTTCCCGTCTTCGTGTAAGTTCGTCATCTTAAATCTTCGCGATTTGCTTGAAACGTTTCCTTGCGTCGCTTTTGCACCACACCGTGCTCCGTGCTCCGTGTCTAGCTCTTCCGCTTCGCAAACAATGATTGTCTTAGTAGACATCAAGACATGCAGTCCCAGCCCGAACCCCAAACTACCCTAAATTAAAAACAAGCCGAAATCGAATAAATATTTTAGTCATATATGCCCACCTAATGAAATGCCTCTGGTGCAAGCTGCTCGTGCTTTGCTGTCGAGCCTTTTCCTCGCCAGGTGCTCACGGCATCGATTCCCGCTGCGTACCGCACCTCCTCGGTCCCATAGGCCCGGGGGGTCAGTTTGATCAGCGTGTGCAGCGGCACGTTCATCCACGGACTCTCTTTCTGGTCCTTTTTCATAAAGTAGGCATAGATGCACCGCAGCACGGCTTGGTGGGTGATAATCAGGATGTCCTCAGACCGCTCCAGCTCCATGATGATGGGCTCAAGCCGGATGACAACATCGCGGTATGACTCGCCGCCACGGTACCGGTAGTTGTACTTGTCCTCATCACGCGCGCGGAAGTCATCGGGAAACTCGTCCTTGATCTGCTGGTAGGTGTAGCCGTCGCAGACACCCGAGTCCAACTCATCGAGGGCTTTCCACTGCATCTGGTTGTAGTCCTTGGGCAAGTGGCGGGCCGTCGCGATGGTGCGCTTGAGCGTGGAAGTCCACACTGTGAGTGGACGGTCACCCTGGCAGGATATGAGCGGGAGAAATCGGACGAGTCAGCAATAGAGGGTTGCTTACACCGACTGACTGCCGCACAAGCTCCGGCAGCTTGAGAGCGTATTTCTCGCCACGGGGTGACAGAAGGGCGTCGCCACCGATTTTACCGTCAAGGTTATACAACGACTCGCCATGCTGAGCGCGTTAGAGACAGATACTTCCGAGTAGGGGGCAAAGGAACGCACTCTCGATATCCAAACAGATCGTGGGCGGATGTGCAGGTTCATCAGATAGTACACAATGCGGCTCTGCAGGTAGTCTTTGATGCGGCTGATGATGACACGGCTGCCGACGTCCATAATCTTGAGGTAGGTGAGATCTTCTTCGTCGCCGTCCTCGTTGATCGTCTTGTAAACCTTCTCGTAGTTGCGGATGCGGTTGCGGAAGTCGAGGGCAGCCTGCTCCGGATCTTGGCCCTTGTAGTCGGGGCTGGTCGTCTTGACGTCGCGGATGTTGGCCATGATCAGGTCTTCGTTGTCGCACTTGCTCTCGACAAAGAGCGTTTCGATACCGGCGGCCGTGCAAGTATCAATGACCCATTTGCGGCGCTCCTTAGTAGAATTGGTCGCATCCAAGATGCCGACGACACCGCCGGCACGGAACCACTTGAGCATGTCGGCCACAGCTGCTTCGGCTGCAGCGCGGCGCTTCCGCTCCCCCTCGGAGTTGTTAGTATCGAAAAAGTCAGCCGGCGGTTGCGCCGCATCCTTGCGGCGGTAATTGCCGACATTGAAGGTCTGAGCCGGGATCGAAAGCCACTGCAGGTAGCGCTGGGCTGTAAATGTGTGAGTTTGAGTCCCAATTCGTAGCCCTGTCCCTGCCAGCGCCCTCAAAGCTCGGACTCGTAATGAATGACGCACCTTTCTGGGCAATGAAGCTCTTCCCGCGAGCGGGCAGCCCGACCATTACCACGCATACTTTGACGTCCTCGACCTGGACGCCCAGGCCGTTAGTTCCACGTGCCATAGCTATAGATGCAGGTCAAGCGACAGCAGGAACACAACTTTGGGTCCCGACAGTGAAAGCGGACAATACAGCAGAGGCGCGGGACGACACTAGCAATCCCATCCGGCGAGGACGGAACCGGGGGAAGGGATGACGGGGGAGGGTGAGGTGCGGTGAAGTGCCGTCGGTTCTTTTTGGCCCGACGGCTTGCGGGTGATGCCGGGTAAAAGAAAAACAGAAGCCGGCCAGCTAGCGGGAAGCCGAAGAAGCTGTTAAAAGTGGCGACGGCAGGGAGGCGAGCACTCAGAACGGCGATTTGGAGAAATAAAAATAAAAATAAACAGAGACGCTTGAGCACAGGTTCCTGATCCGGAACAGGGTTGCTAGATGGGAGGATGGGCGGATGGGAGAAGTGACAAGTGACAAAACAGGAAATGGGTGAAGCTCTGGAACGGGCGATAATGACGTCGGGGCGGGGGATCTTCAGCTCAGAGGAGGGCGAGTTTGGGGTATTGGGGAAAGAGAAGCGAAAGGAGACCAGGCAGAGGGAACGAGGAGAAGAAGAAGAAGAAAAGGGAAACGTGGACGAGGAGGAAGAGGAAGCGCGGCGCCGTGATTTGGCCAAGTGAACGTGTGATCGGTTTTGCGGGCGGTGTACCTCAACAGGGCAGCCTGTCACTTATTCACTGGGGCGGCCGGGCTCACTGTGGACGCTGCCGGCTTTTGGCAGGGGCGAGCACACGCCACGCCCTCCTGGACAGGCGTTGCAGCCGAAGACTGGCCGCCCGGGCTAGCGGCAGTTGACGGGGAACAAGACGCGGAAGAACGCAGGGGAACAAAGGGCAACGTCAAGGAGAGGAACGAATGGGCGAGAAGGACGGCAGGCTGCAGTTCCGAAACGGTATGTCGAAGCGCGGCAGAACGCCCCCAGACAAATAGGGACACCCCGCAATTGGCGAACGCCGTTGAAGGACTCCCTTGGAGATCTGCTGATCCTTGTTCTGCTCTCGTTTACTTTATTCCTCCATGTGTCGCTGCAAATCGGACGCGTCTGGCTCTGTTCTTTCACCTTCCTTCACGCCATCACCGTCCTCAATTGCAGCTCTGCATGCCCTGCTCTGCTCTTTCCGCTTCGGGTTCTCGTATCATGCAAGTGCGGCACAGGTGACGTGAAAAGGGACAGGAAAAAGAGGAAATGGAAGCAGCTTTGCCGCAGTCTCGGCATTTTATCCGGTCACAAGAACCTGTCACAGGTCCGGTGTGCATCGTGCCTTCCCAGGGCGCCGGTAACACCAGGCCGTAAGATGGAGCTGCCCCCACCCCATTGTCGGCTGGACAACACGTGATGTGCAATGCAATAGGAGCCCCGTGCAAACAATAGCGGACGACGCGAAAGACGCGGGCAAAGTGGGCTGGACTGACCTTGCTAATGCTCCATGTATCGGCACGCACACGCATGGCAGCCGTAGGCGGACCGGCAGCGACGCCTCTCATCGTGTCGTCTGTTGGTCAGGGGTCACCGGTAGTTGTGGTTCTTCGAGGCGCAAGTGAGGAAGGAACGTATGGTGAGTGGGGTGGTGGAGAAGGCGACTGCGTCAGCGCGATGAGACGGTGTGCAGCTGGAGCAGGGGAAGGCGGAATCGAGTGATGCGAAAGACGAGGAAAGTGACGAGGAGAGGAGAGTGATGACCTCTTACGGAATACTCGCGCTCCGTACGATACTTCCGACGCGTGTGGATTTCCCCGAGGTCACCTGACTTGACCTCGGCCGCCGAAATTACTAGATAAGACGAAGCCCTGATCTGCGCGCATACTGCGCACAGTCTGGTCTTCAATGAGTCAACCACCGAACGAAATATCATCACTAGATCTTCTGAAGGCCTTAGAGCTTACTACGATACGTGCAACTGGTCCGGACGAATATCCCACAAGGATTACCGTACGGGTCTTACACTGGTGATCACGCAGAACGTGCGTGACAGACTAGTGGTGCACGGAGTAGAAGCCACACGCGGCGACCTTATCGGGTTAGAGATAAGTCTTTGCTCCGTGCGGGGTGTTGAACCCCACCACCGGCCAGTTTGGAGAAGTGCTCGCGGTTCTGTGATACATGGTAACGTGATGTTGAGAGTGCCGAGTACGGAAAATGTGGACAGTGCTCTTGGTGTGGCTAGAATGTGGAAAGCGGTTGACACAAGTTTCCATCTTTTACGAAGAAACCTCATTACGAATTGTTTGTGCCAAAGCGCCAGTTGGCCTTCGCAGGAAGAAACATCTTTGAAATGAGATGTATGCTGTTTGGCCCATAACCGGTTGCATCCTGGTAGCTTGGCAGCTTCCTACGAGAAGCACAGCGCATAACCATGACCGAACCAGACCGATTGGTGTTTGCCTGTACTGACACCGACAGCATGAATCAAGTTCCAAGGCATCCGGAGCCAGGACTTTTGTCGCCGGCCCTCCGACTAGCTTTCACGCTCATTTCTTGCATTGTTACAAACCATGTCCCAACAACTCCGATTCGGTAGCTTGTGATAGTCGTTGGAGAGCAACAGCCCCGAGGCTAGGCTGGGGCTTCTCCTTTGCATAGGCCTGAGCAGCTGATTACGCCTACATATTTCCACGACGCATATCCCAACAAATTGTATCTGCGACGGCTTGTTCGTTTGGCAAGCATTACTACTGTCTGACACTGAAGCCACAACCGGATTGTTACGTCGCAGTCAGCAATTGCTCGACGCCGTTTTCTCGCGTAAATGGCCTCTGAAATAGCTTCGCCGGCCTCGCCGGCCTCGACGACAGCAGCTGCCGTGTCCGACCCCCTTGGCTTCATGGAAAAGCTGTCAGATATTGTGCATCTTTATCGTCCACCTGTCGCTGCATCTTCCATCACTACTGGTGCTCCGGCGCTCGTCATTGTCTGCTCCTGGATGGATGCCCAGCCACTCCACATCGCCAAGTATCTGGCGCCATATCGTGACGGTCTTGTCTTTCCTGGCGCCAATCCGCCTACATTGCTATTGATTCGGAGCAACAGAGCCCTGGTCTTTACGCGGGCCCGAGGCGCAGCTGCTGTGAAGCCGGCAGTTTCAGTGGTGCAGGGATTTCTGCCAGAGCTGCAGCAAAGCCAAAGTGAGGATCAACCTCCCCGACTTCTCGTGCACCTCTTTTCCAACGGCGGAGGTATCATGTTGAACCACCTCTACAATGCGCTGGCCGCTGGCGGTGATGTGTACCTACCTCGCCACGTCACCATATTCGACTCCTGTCCGGGCCATTTCCGTTACAACGTCGCCGTGGGTACCATGACCGTTGGGCTGTGGCGCCGGCCGCTGCTCGTGCGGCTCGCCACGCTGTCAGTGGTACATACTCTCGTGTCCGCCTTCTGGCTGCGCACAAAGTTGTGGACATTGGCTATCCGTCTGTCCCGGTGGCCGAGGAGCGGCGGCAGCAATAACGAACCCAACCAGATCGCCGAGACCGTCTTGGATGATGCATGGATTCCGCAAAACAGGAAGAACGGACCCAACAGGAACGAAGTGAGCCGCGTGTATCTGTATTCTATCGAGGACCAGCTCGTGTCGGCCGAGGATGTAGAGGAGCACGCGGCCGAGGCAAGGGCACAAGGCTTCACGGTGACACGAATGGTGCTGTTTCCAGAGAGCGGACATGTGACCCATGCCAGGACGGATCCAGAAAGATACTGGCGAGCGGTGCAGGAGGCATGGTCGGGGAAAACCGATAGACGCGTGACTTGAGAAATTGGCAATACACAGAACAGAAACTGCCACGTTTGCGAAAGGCCTCCAGGTGTTCACTTATTACGCGAACGGTGCCAATGCACATACTCACAACACGACATTAGCTTCTGCCGGTAACCATTATAGCGAGCGACTGGGTTTATATTGGTCCCCAATTGGTTTCTGTCGAAAAGAAGAACATACACAAGCCGGCTATGAAAGAGAGGAGCCAGCCCGAATCAGAATGTCACAGAACTTGCAGTGTGAATGGTGACGACACTTCCACCACTTCTGCCACTTAATAGGTGGCATTCTGCTTCTTGCGCAGATCAAAGACCTTGAGGGCCTCCTCGGCGGCCTTCACGCCGCTGAGGGCCATGGCGCCAAATGTTGGGCCCATGCGGTTGGCCCCGTCGACCTCGGACAGCTCCATGCCGCCGACGATAAGGCCGGGGACGACCTCGCGGGTGTTACGCACGATGGCGTCCTCGGCCATCTGCATGTCGAGGCCACGCATGCCGCCAAGACGGTCCAGGGCCTGCATGCTGACGAGTCGCTTGACGGAGAAAGCGCCCATGGGGCCATCGTGGCCGGTGGTCGAGATGACCACGGGTGCGTTGATCGTGTTGGGGTCCATGCACGACTGGTCGTCGTGGTGCAGCGACACGAGCGTCCAGTTGGTAACGACGCCGGCGATGCGGACTGCATGCTTGTCATCTCCGTCGGTCTTGCGCGTAATCAGATCTTCGACGGCCGTCGCGTTGAACAGCTTCACATTGGGAAATTGCAGCACCTTGGACAGGACCGTGGACGTGAAGATGGCCGCGTGGCGCACGACAACAAAGTCGCCCTCATCCTCGTAGGCCACGCCGACCTCGCGCAGAAAGACGTCAGCCGGCTTGCGCATCACCATGGCCGAGAACAGCTGACCGCCCAGCCAGGCTCCGCCGCCTGGCGCCACACCCGCCTCCAGGATGGCGATGCGCAGATCTGGCCGCAGCTTGGCCAGCGTGTACGCGGCGCTGAGCCCGCACGAACCGGCCCCGATGATGACAATGTCCGACTCAGCATAGCTGTCCAGGTCCTGGAAGTAGCGCCGCGTCATGGCCCGTGACACCTGGCTCTCACGGATCGGCGCAAAGCCAAACCCATCGTCCCAGTGGCCCATGAGTGCCGTCACCTCTGGGCCCAGCGGCTTCTGCATCCAGGTGGCCGCTTCCGTGGCCGACGAGGCGGAAGCATCGTCAAGAGCCTTCACAACAATCGGGGCTTGGCCGACCTCCTCAACAGCAACAGCAGAAGGGGCCATGATAGTCAAACTGTGCACTACGGGGTTAGGATATACAGAACGGACAGACAGAGGGGAGTGGGGGGAGCAAGCATGATCCTTTCGCTGGTATTATCCAGATCAAGTTAACAGCCGTATGATCTCAGCCATGCCGCCTTGCCCTCTGGGGAACCAACCCGGGAAGACAAGACAGCAGGCACCGGCTCACGCATGACGCTTATCATACAGTTACCTGATGACCAGGGGCCATCTTGACACTAGGATACATATCGAGCGAAGGAAGCCATGATTGCTTCAGCCAAGAGCAGAATAGATGTGTCCTACAAAAGGGGTCTCTGCATCGAAGAAGTCAGTATAACCTGGACGGCAGCCTATAGGAAGACATGAATCCGCAGCAAGAGGCATGTAATATTACTAGTTTGGAGTCGAAGACTGTAGAGATCGTAGATTTGTAGTGTGTAGACGAGATTGCTTCAAGAGACGAGATGATTGCTTGTTTAGAAAAAAAAGAAGAGCAGGACCAGAACCAACAGGTAAATCTCGCCGGCAAACGTCCTTAAATAGGTAGCTCGTTATAACCGGCATCGGCTACCTCTCGGGAAGAGGGGGGACGAAGAGGGGCAGGACACGGCAACTCCAAAATCAGACAGCACAGCCCTGGCTTTTTATTTTCAAAGTTAAAGGCTATTGTGGTTTTGATAGCTTCTGCTAATACGATATGTTCATCCACCGTGTTTGAAGTCTAGTAATTGCCTGGCTTTTGTAGCACCAGAGCAGCAAGTCTGTGCCGTCCACCGAGTTGATATTTCTCTTAGGAAGCTTAGGAAGAGCATAGGATTAGGAAGAATCGTAGGCAGCCACCTCGAAAATGGCTCAGACTTTGGTTGAGCCGTTGTGCCGTCATAACGAGCTTGTCGTCATGGAGTGTGCTAGCGTGCAAAATCTCGGGAAATTCCTCTTTGAACGCCGTACTCCGTACGGAGAGATCAATGAAGAGGTCAGAATCGATCACGTGCTGGAAGTAAGATAGCTACACGTGACTCTACGTGGCGGACTGTTTCAAGTCCTTCAGCACTCCGTACTCCGTAGCAGCTGATTTCGCCGACAGGAAAGTCGGGAGGGGACGATTGGCTGACGTTTGCATCCGACCAATCCATCCATTCATACAAAATTTACCCATCGTCTTCTTTCGCCGAATCACTCTCGCTTCCCTCGCCGTCTTCCACCTCCCCAGTTCCCTCTTTCTCCGACGCCCTCGCTCTTCGCCACGATGGCCAACCCAAACGCTCTCTTCCTGCTTGCGGACCACATCAAGCTGTCGCTGCTGGAGCGTCAGCGCACCAAGGCACTCGACCTGCTACAGGACACCACGGACGTCGCGGGCGACGACGGCAATGGATGCGATGCCCAAGACGGTCAGATCTCGCGGTCGCTGGATCAGTTCCGCGACGGCCTGGAGGCGCTGCAGCGGGAGCAGACACGACTCGAGAGCAACGGTGAGGCAGGGTGAGTGATGTTAGAAAGGGGAGAACAAGGGGAAGGAGAAGAGGGAAAGGAAAGATGGAAAGAAGGAAAGAAAGAGGCCCACAGAGGAAACGGCTGACAATGTCTGCAGAAAAGCGCTCACAATTGCCGATGCGCTGCCTTCGCTGCAGAAGCAGCTCGCCACGCTGACAGCCCAATTTCAGGGCGCGCCGCTTTCGTCGTCGTCTCCGGTGTCCTCCTCGCGCCGGCCTGCTGCTGCTGCTCCGGCGGCAAAGAAGGCGGTCCGATTCCAGGACAAGCCGCTGCCACCGCCTCCCGGCGCTTCGGCCAGCGATCTCGACCTCGAGGCCCAGCGGTCAGGCCTCTTCAACCAGCCGTACCACGACGAGCCTGACGACAGCAGCCGGTTCGCGTCCCAGGACAACCCCGAGCTGCTGCAGACGCACGCGCGCATCATCGCGGACCAGGACGCACAGCTCGATGTGCTCGGCGCCAGCATCAGCCGCCAGCGCGAACTTAGCATGCAGATCGGCGACGAGCTCGACAGCCACGTCGCCATGCTCGAGGAGTCTGAGCGCCTCACCGACCGCCACCAGAATCGCATCGACCGCGCCCGCAACCACGTCGGCCGCCTCGCCCGCAACGGCAACGACTGCAAGCAGATGGGCATCATCGTCTTCCTTATCGTCATCCTCATCCTTCTCATCGTCATTCTCAAGTGATGAGACATGCGGGTAGAGCCGTCTTAGCGGCCTGGCTGTTGTGCTCCAACCTCGTAATCACTCACCCCCCTTCCTTTTGCTCTGCTTGGAGCGGTCGCATGGTCTGGCGTTCCGGATATTCTGTCCCCTTCTGTTTGGGTAGCCTGTCACTTTCTCTTTCTTCTCTTCATTGTGTTTCAGGGCACGTTGTATACTATTTGTGCTCCTCAACCGCCTCTGCGCTCCACGGCACCTACTGTTATCTTCTTTTGTCAACTGCGTCTGTTTGTATTGGTTTCTTCTATCGTGTTTAGGGACAAGAAAGCTCAAAGGTGTCTAGGCACATTGCTGCTCCGCCCCTTCTGCCCCAATTGCCCTCGCCCAGAAGTGAAGTTGAAGGCAGCTCGCAATTACCGTCATGGAATCGTGCTATCTATCCCCAGAAGTGAAGAAATAAAGAAAAGGATGAGAAAGAAAGCGAGAAAGAAACCCAAGCATAAAACCCAAATTCAAGCAGAACCGCCGTGCCCTATCTCAGCAATCTGCCCGACATAGAATTCAAGCAGAGGGGAATACAACACTAAAGCAAAGTGCGCACGATCGAGCGAGCTAGACAGCGATTGCGAAATAAAAACAACGAAACGAAGACCATGTTACCTACCCAACAAGATCGTGCAGTGAACTGCCTGTTCTTGACTACACTTGCCAACCTCTCCCGTCCATAAATCGTCCGTTTGTGTGATCGCTCCTCTGTGATGGACCGTTCGGTCAGATTTGCAGGCTGTGCAATCACCGAATAATGTCGCCCTCTTTCTGAATCCCCTCAAGATCTTCCAGAATGTCGCTGCCCCCGAGCATGCCCACGCCTCCCGTTGCAGGCTTGTCGCCTGAGGGCCAGAGCTCGTAGAATTTGATGCTACCGTCACTCGCAGCCACTGCAATACAGCCTTCCTTCAGCGTGCGGCTTTTGCTGTCATGGCGTTTATCGTTGGGGAGTTCCGGTTTGGGAACATAGTAGGGCCCTTTCGCGCACGAGATTCCGTACAGAGCTCGGTGCTCGCTCTCCCATTCGATCGTGTTCACCTGCTTGCAGTCTGGCCACGAATAGACCGCGATTCGAACTGCGTGTCCAGGGTGCACAAACCCAAATGTGGCCGCAATTTCTCGACGGCTGCTGCTCCAGATGAGGCTTGTGACCTGGGAAGACACAAAAATCGTCGCAAGCGCAGCGCCTGATGTTGTGTGGAAAAAGTGAATGCATTTGTCGTTGGAACCACCACCTGTTGCAACAAGGCCTTCCTGCCACGGGCAGAAGGCAATTGCCTTGACGGCAGCTCCATGTTCCCAGCGCCAACTTTCAGCCCCCGGACCGATCCGGCGCACATATTTCTCGCTGAGAACCCGCTCTCGAATCTGACTACCACCAGGGAGGACAGCTTTCATTCGGCTACCTTCGTTTTGGAGGAGAGTCTGTCCCTGTGGGAGTCCGACTGACACATTCCCAGTACTTCCAGGACGATGGGATCTCGGTAGAACATCATCGGCATGGAAAAATTTGCACATGTTGTCGTTGCCCCCAGTCGCAAAAGACTGGCCATCAACAGTCCATGCAAGCCCGCAAATTTGCTGATAATGGACCGAGATCCTGGCCACCAGCGTCATTTCGCCCCTCCAGTTGTCATTCTCGACCTCCCATGTATCAGGCCATTCGACGACATAATACTGCACATTACCAATATCATCACCGACCAATAGATCTTCCGTTTGGACAAGGGAGCCGGTCTTGTGCGGGCTCTTGGATGGGCGCGTCGTGCACGTTGGGCGCCAGCTCAGACAAGAAATTGGCGCGCTCTCTTGTATGACCATCCGTGAGACCCCAGACTCATACATGGACAGCAAGCCAAGCATGTTGTTCGAGCGCCCAAATGCCAAGATACTCTTTCCACCCTGTGCGGAAGAGAAGGCCAGAGACGTGAGCCAGGAACTACCATCACGGGATCCGTTAAGAAGCTTTGCACCGTCTTCCTCCGTCCAACGATAGAGTAAATCTCCCAGACCGACGGCAATAGTATCGCAAGTTGGCGTGAAGGCCAGCACAGAGCAATAGAAGTCATCCCGCAAATCAGGTGCAGAGAGGATTCTAGCGAGTAACGATCAGTAAGCGGTCAGCACACAGCAATGGAAAGGAACAATGTCAGATCGGTACTAACCGTAGAGGTCGCAGTTTTGTTGCACAGTCTTGCCTCGATATTTCTTGTACCACATAGAAAAGTGAATAAGATAACTTCACTCGCGGGATATTGAGCACTTAGTACTTACGTGACATTGGCCCTTGTCTCGCCCAGGTTGTGCCATTCCATGCCGTCTTCTTCGATCCAACAATCTTGTGTTGCCACGTATGTGGTTGCATTTTCCGGCCAATGCTACAGCTGAGAAGTTTGGAGGCAAGATCAATGTCCAAGGCGGCGGCAAGTCGACCCCTGTGTTTATGCTCGTCATCTGGCTGTCGTGCCCCAAATACAAACTGGGAGGTAAAGTACGGGGCGTTTGTACCAGTTTGTACGAAGTTTCCACGTCCGTCGTCAACGGCACCGATGATAGGTGGAATGGTACCCAGAGCCCAGACTGATCCGTCGCTGGGAAGTTCATCAGCGGAGTCGAGTTCGCTGTTATGGTCGACCGAGCCCAGAGTAGTCCTAGCTCTTGTCTGAGTTAATATTCCTGCCTCATGTTGGAGCGCCTGCCGGCCGTCTGCATTGGTAGGCGCAGGGTTGAAGCGGGGCTGTGCTGGTGAGAATACATCTGCAGAGATATTGCTGTGGCGGAGAAGTCTTTCTGCAGGAGTCAGGTCGTCGGGGAAGTTCGTGACATGAAATCTTTCGGAAAGTGGCTGCGGGTTGCTGTTCGTGTCTCGCGGGTGAACAAATCGGTCAGGACGGCGCGTAGACGGGAAAGTATTTTTTATACTTGAGACTTCGGACTCGTGCCTGGGAGGCAGACCAAATTTGGGCGGCGGTGTCGAAAAGAAGACAGAAGACAGGCTGGAACGGAAGTGACCACGCGGTGGATGGGGAATGTTGGCTGCGACCTTCTCGTTTCGGCAACTGTCTGAACGACCGGCGTTCTTTGTTGGTGTGGTCGGTGTTAAGAAAAAAAGGTCTTCGTCACCTTCTTCGTGAAGTAGGTCGGGAATATCCGGACTGTTTCCGTCCAAGGCATATGGGCTGACATCGGGGAGGCTCCGGGGGACTGAAGGCTGTTCAGGAGTGGTGATGTTGGAGCCATACCCAGAGTCCCATGATGACGAAGTCAGCGGACAATACGGCGTGGATCCCAGATATCTTGTCCGGCGGGTGACAGGCGTGTTCTGATTTGTGTTTGCCATAATGCGTTGGTAGTATAGCCATACGAAACCCCAGCAACAAGAAGGGCCACGGAAAGACGCAGAAACCCGGAAAATAGGAGGAGATCGAGTTAGTGCTCGTTTGTGGGCGTTTGTGTGGGCATCAAAGCCAATTCTTTCCCCGTTATAGGCTGCTGCTAACACTGAGGTGGCACTCAGAGTGAAAGGAAAAGACGGAGGGCAATGTGATATTGTATAATTTGAAAAAAACGGCTAATCAATGAAGGCAGAGCGCATGCTTCGAGGTTGGTGCTCTTGATCTTGAATTGAATGTTTTGTTGTCCTTTTCTTCGCGGCCACAGCCATAACATGGGGAAGCTTTGTGGGCTGTGGTAGGTTGATTCCTTCTCGCTTGACACTAAAAAGAAGACAAGAGAGAAGCAACTTGAATATTTGTGAACGTAATGATATATTTGCAAAGTCGGACGGCGCCCCGGACAAACCGCGCCAAGAAGGGGGAGGAAAGGAAGGTTTCTAGGATTCGGTGAGAGTCATTAAATCTATTGACTAAAACTGACTCAGAATCGTAAGAAGTGACAGGCATAATAAAGAGAGAGCGATTGGCAAGTCAAGGAACAATACGACAACTAATTAGTCGAGGAAGGTACGTGCTATGTATCAATGGTCCTTCCCTATTGAGTTTTGTAAGATGGAAGGGCCCTGGCTTCCAAAAACAGAAGGCACCACTACTAAAAAGGCAATGTTACACTGAGCACGATAGGGGAAAGACAACCGAAGCACAATACAAGTATTGGTCAACAACATGGGGAGATCCTATTGGCGATTGTTGTATTCAAGCCTAGATCGTTACAAAAAAATCCCTAACAAGTCTGAGGCGAAGTATGTACGCTGCTTAATCCTAAAGGCTAGACAAATATATAACAGCTTGGGAAATTCGTACAGTATCACGATTTATTGAGGCAGCACGGCGTAGAGTGTAGATGATGTTCGCATGGCGTCACGTGAATTAGCTCCCGTAGACGGAGCTTTTGTGGGTCTAGACAAATTGCGGGGCAAGAACGCCAGTAGCTTAGATTTGCTTCGACGTGCATCCAGCAACAACGGCAGTCATTTAAAGGCTCTCACCCGTCATGGCGAGTGTATGTGCTACTTTCTTGTTCGAACCCATAGGGGATATTTCTGACACGGTATTCAGCACGGAGTTGCACGCGGCCCCCGGACTCGAACGGACGATCAGAAGCGGCAGGACGCAGAACGAATCAAGACCTATCGCGAGCTCGAGGACCAGCTCCGACTCAGTGTAGGTGGCATGTCGTTTAAGTCATGTGGCCGTACGCACGACTTTTTCTGGCGGCTAAGCAGTCTGTAGGACGGCCACGGTACCGACGCATTCCAGCTGACGACGAAACTGCTGCGGCTCAACCCCGAGTACTACACGATATGGAACGTCCGCAGGCGCTGCCTAATTTCTGGCTCTTTGTCCAGATGGCCCTCTGGGTCGCCGTCCTCGGAGGTCTTCTCGAGTTTATCTCCATCCAGAGCAATATTACTCTCTTCCGGCGGATCATTGTCTACGTCCTCGGCCGCGACCCCGCCGAGCCGCCTTTCAACTGGAGAAACATCCGGGGAATCATCTGAGGGGGCAGAGGTGGGAGAAGAAGGAGGGGCGAGCAAGGTGACAAGCCGGGCGGCAGACCATGCCAACGACGCACGGATAATCACAGCAGAGCTCCAGTTTACCATCCCTCTGCTCATGGAGTTCCCCAAGTGCTACTGGATCTGGTCCTATCGCCTGTGGGTCCTGCAGCAGGCCGTGCAGAGGCTGGAAGCGCAGACGGCCCGGCGCATCTGGGAAGACGAGCTGGCTCTCGACTCCAAGATGCTGACCAAGGACCGGCGCAACTTTCATGCCTGGGGATACCGGCGGCAGGTGGTGGAACAGCTCGAGAGCCCGGCGCTCAGTCCAGCTGGTGCGGGTGGACCGCCCACGAGCTTAGTCGAGGCTGAGTTCGCCTACACGACCAAGATGGTGCACATGGACCTGTCCAACTTCTCGGCCTGGCACAGCCGCAGCAAGCTGATCCCACGGCTGTTGGAGGAGCGGCAGGCTGACGACCTCGCGCGTACACACTTTCTGGACTCGGGTATGTGAAGACGACCTTCCCTGTTGTATTGCCACCTTCCCTCCCGCTCCTTTGCGCTGACCTGTGTGACCTGTCAGAACTCGGCATCGTCCGCGAGGCTCTTAATGTCGGCCCCGAGGATCAGTCACTTTGGTTCTACCACCAATTTTTAATGTCCAACCTGATCGACTACATCGGGCGGCCGACAATCACGCCACACTTCTCACACAAGGAGCGCATGACGTACGTTGTGCGCGAACTGGACGACATCAAAGACCTGTTGCTGGACTACGATGACATCAAGTGGATCTACGAGGCGCTGCTCGAGTACACTATTGCCGTGGCGAAGATGGAGGAGCGCCCGCTGGCCGAGAACGAGATAATAGAGGCGCGAGCGTGGCTAGCTAAACTGAGAGAGCTGGATCCGATGCGCGGTGGCCGGTGGGATGACCTGGAGGCGGAGTACATCCTGCGACGGCGGCGGCCATTTGCCGAGGACGGGTTAGACATCTGATGGGGGGGTCTGATGGGGGGTAGAGAAGGCCAAATGCAAGAGAGAAACAGGCTATAGTCCGAAACTACTTGTACTTTGATCACGGATCTCTGCCACACATTGGGTAACTTTTCAACGGAATATCTCGATACAAGTAGCAGAATACACCAACTCAAGACAAAACCAGAAATTGCGGCATCAAAGACCACCGAAACAAGCGTGCCACCCTTCTTCCTGGCAGTGGCTGGCTGGCCAAGCCCAACATCCCAAAACCGAACATTGATAGCCAGAGAACATACATCATGCACCACCCTGAATGATAGCAAAAAGACATGGCTAGCCAGACAGGGTCCTGATCGGGCTTTGCCCTCCAGATATCACACTCATTAAAAGCATCAGCCAAACCTTCCAGGATCAACCAAAGCACATTTGCCCCTATTGTTGTGGGTCCTGGTTTTGTCTTAGTGACAGCAGCAGCAGCAGAACAAAAGTGTTATGGGTATCATGGCGAAGACACCAGCTCTGCGCCTGGGCGGAGCGGCCAGAGCAAAAACAATAACAATAAAACAGACAAACAGAAGCGAAAGCATAGGCACAGACCAGAAACATACAAGGAACAACGCCCATGTAAAATACCGCCCCACCCATCAAAAAGCACACGAGAGGTCATAGAACGAGGGAGGTCTCTTGTCTTTGCGCCTCTGGCCACACGCAGACAAAGCGAGCCAAAATTTAGACCAGCGCCTAAGCACCGTCGCCCGGGGCACCGCCTGCCTGCTGTTGCTGCAGTGCTTGATACCACATGGCCACGTAGGCCGCGTAACCGCCGTAAGGAGCGTAGGGATCCGCGTTCGGGTCGTCGCTGCCAGACATGGCGCCTTGTTGAGGCGGCGCATAGCTCGCAGGAACACCACCGCCACCACCAGCGCCACGACCGGCACCACGACCACTGCCGTTGCCATAGCTCGAGTTGTCATAGTCGCGCTGCTGGTAGCCGCCTCCGCCACCTCCACGACCGCGGCCACCACCACCGCCACCACCGCTGTTCTTCTGACGAACGGCCTCCACCTTCTCCTCGATGGCCAGCTTTGCCATCTCGATGGCCTGGAGACTGCCAATCAGCCCGATCTCGCGCTCGTTCTCGTTGGCACCCGGCGTCTGCGACACGTTGATCTTGCAGCCCGTCTGCGTCTGCATTTCGCGGATTGTTTCGCCACCCTTGCCGATGATCATGCCCACCGCTTCAGACGGCACGAAGATGGAGTCGTTGATGCGGTCGCCGCCACCACCGCCACCAGGGCCACCCCTGAAGCCTGCGCCACCACCGCCTGGAGCACCGCCAAAACCCTCCCGGCCACCACCTCCTGCGCCTCGGAAGGGAGCACTGCTGGGTCCTCCAGCCCCCCCAGGACCACCGGGCCCGCCGCCGTTGGAGTTGCGCGTGTCGCTATCGACGATCTCCATGATCAGCTCCTTGGCCTGGTTCGTCATTGCTCGGGCGCCAATCAGATTCACCGGCCGCAGGCCGTTCACGCTTTTCGCCTCGCCGACAATGTTGATGTGGCAGCCACTGCGCTCCTGCAGGTCACGAATCGTCTCGCCACCCCGGCCAATGATTAGGCCGACAGTCCGGTCCGGAACCATGATCTGGACGCACTCCTCGCCGTCCTTGAGAGGTGTTGTACCGCCGCCACCAGCAGCTCCCATACCGGCACCACCAGCGCCACGTCCACCAACGCTGCTGGCACCGCGGTCACTGCCAGTCCCCCGGGGAGCTGAGCTCATACCGCTGTCCTCGATGATTTGGTAGATAGCGGTCCTGGCAATGACGCGTTGAGCGCCAGGGCCAGTGATCTTGCACTGGCGCGTCTCCTCGTCTGGGCTGGCCGCAGCAAGGAATTGAACGCGGCAGTGGCTGTCGTTCTCCACGCGCTTCAGATTCTCGCCCTGTCGGCCGATGATCAGGCCCACGAGACTGGCTGGGATCTCGATCGTTTCTGTGATGTCGTCGCCACCAGCACCGGCGCCGCCACCAGCGCCTCCGCGGCCAGGCGACCGGTGCCGGCCACCATTGCCGCCGCGGGGAGAGAAGCGGTCGTGATCTCTGCCGCGTGGCGTCGGCGAGAAGGAGCGCTCGTCGCCGTGATCATGGCTGGCATCCCGCCGTTCGTCCCGGTACGGATTGCTGCCATTGCGGTAGCTGTCGCCGGTCCGTCTCGCTGGGGCTGGCGACCGAGAGCGAGAGCTGCGGTACCGTCTAGCATCGGGCTGTGCAGTCGCAGGTGGAGTTGCCGAGTATGTGATGGGGCGATCATACGGAGTGACACCATTCTGAGCAGCGTGTGCCTTGGCCCGGGCAATGGCCTCCTGGATGCTCACATTTCCTGATGTCGTGGGCTGGACGGCAGCACCTAGGTCGAGGCTACCGCTAGATGTCGGCTGTGGATATTGGTATGACGCTGCTGGTGCCGCCTGATAAGGGGCGCTGCTAGAGACACCGGGAGCCTGGCTGTGGGCAGGATAGCTGGGCGCCGGCGGGGGGTAAGATGGTTGCTGCGATTGGGGAGGCGTCGACGAGGCTTGCGGCTTTTGCGCAGCTATTGATTTCAAACAAGAAACACATAAATGGTCAGATACGGGCTCTAAGACGTTCAGGATTGGGAAGAGCTTCAGGAAGAAATCAGGGCAGATGCAGATAACAGTAGATGCATATACACAATACAGACATGAATGTCAAAAGGCTTGCAAGCAGGACTTTGTACTTTTCAAGCCGGCAACGCGTGGAGAGACCATAAGGAGCTTAGAGGACAGTGTGAGTTTGACTTACCGAGAGTCGCCAATATAGACTCGAGATTCGAAAATTCCGACATACTTTGAGGCAAGGTTTTGTCTGGCAGCTGAATCCGACTGTTCACGAATGATCTGGCGGCGGGGACAATTTATGTATGGAGACCCGTCCCTCTCTTTTCTTTTTGCTACCCGTCGCAAGACAATACTGGGCACTTTTCCGCTTCCGTTGACCTTTTGTGGGCAAGAAGAAGGGCGCTGCAGAACAAAGCAGGCAACAAGAGCAGTATTTTCAAGCGTTGTGTTTTGGACACGACGAGACGGAGCAGCTGAAACTAACCACGGCGTCCTAATAGTATGCAATTCCACGGTGCCAAAAGTATTATCTGTTTGCTCTTCAATTTCGTTTTGTCTTTTTCTTCAGATTCGTTTGTCTTCAATATTCGTCCTTCCGGCCTTACAGAACTTGCACAGCAAAATAGAGAACGGCGACCAAGATACGGGCGACACTTTGTCAAGACGTAAATGCAGACACAATGCACGCAAACCCGTTTGTTTTGTTGTCAGGTCAAAGCGATCGATTAGTCCTCAGCAGGCAACAGGCGATTCACCAACAAGGTAGCAGCGAGCGCAGAGACAGTATGACACAGCAGCAGACTACTTTCCGGCGTGATGCTGACGACGAGAAGAGGACCGAGAAGGCAATGACAGAGAGAAGGCGCGTAGAATTGAGACGTGGTAAGATGACGAATACATATATTGTGTCGAGTCGCTTCGGATTCGATTCAGCGACGCTGGCGCAATTACTAGGAGAGTAAGAGCGCGACTGCAACAAATGAGTGTGCTTCGGATACAAACAAAAACACGTCGAGATATTCAGAGGGAGAAGTTTGCCCCTTTAGCGCAGTAAAATTTTCACCTGTAATTACCGGAGGAAGAAGGCTCATTATTAGGGGAAGGCAACTGTTTTTCCGTTTCCGTCCAGGTCGCATCAGAGTCAGATCACATGACATTGCTCACGTGGACTATGTCCCGAGTTTACGGCTTAGCATAGCTCTGTTGGCGAGTGCCGGCTCGTCTGGGGGCCATTAGATACTTGCTATGGCAGCAAGGTATCTTTTATTGCGTGTAATCATTAATCGACAAAGCAGGCTGTCATCTACTGGTTCATGCTGTTCCGAACTATGAGGTTTCTAACAGCAGCATCCGCAGCCTTTTCTAAATATTGCTAAATTCCTCTACAGCAAGCACCGACGACATATTGAGTGAGCCACGCGCGTATATGAGAGAGAAAACAGACGTTGCTCCTGCCCGTTATACGATGTCCTTATCACACCAGTTGACGGGAGTTTCTTTTTGAAAGCTGACAGTGTCCAGTATCACGTGACAAATACTGCCCCTAACCTACGCTAAGCTTTCCCACATGAAGAGCCAAACTTTGAAAACTACAGAAGCATTGTGGGGAGATCAGACATGGCTTCCCTCGATGGCGACGACCGGTTTGCGAGGCTGGTAGTCTGGTCACAGTCACTTGGAGGCAGACTGCACGAGGCGGCCGAGATTTATCGTGACGACGTGACCCAAATTTCGCTGAGAGTGCGGTCGAAAAATGGGGAAGAGAAGCAGCTTGAATCTGGCGAAGAGGCAATTTTTTGCCCGCTGTCGACTACCCTATCGTACCTGAACGCCCTCGAAGGAGGACGGCCGCTAGGTTCCTCTGCCGCAGAAGAAGCAGGGCTATCTCCAGGCCGGCTGACTTTTCCGAACAGTTTCTTGGAGCAGGCTCCGCCGCATGTCATCGGCCGGTTCTTTCTCATGCAACAATACCTGATGGGCCAACAGTCGCACTGGCATGCATATATTGCATCTCTGCCGCAGCCTGAGCATGTTAGCTCGTGGAACCTGCCGGCGCTGTGGCCACGGAACGGTGAGGATGCTGAAAGCGGCCCGGCCCTGCTCGAGGGAACCAATGCAGGTATTGCTGCGGCAGAGATGCAAGCAAATGTGGCACAGGAGTACCGGCAGGCAAGGCGGCTTTTGAAGAGCGTGGCGTATCCAGCGCTGGCCGAATTCACACGGCTGCTGTACCACTGGGCGTTTTGTATCTTCACCAGTCGCAGCTTCCGGCCGTCGCTGGTGCTGAGTGCAGAGGCGCAGACAGAACTGGGGACCGATGGGGAGGCAAGCGGTGGCCGAAGCGTCCCTCGGCTGTCCAGTGGCTGCAAGACGGACGACTTCTCTATTTTGCTGCCTGTGTTGGATCTGGCCAACCACGATCCGACAGCGAGGGCGACGTGGGAGGCGACGTCTGCCCACCTGGCCGACGGAAGCGCGTCTGGTCATGAGGCAGCATCCGTGACTGGTGTGAGCTTCCGCGTCCAGCAGCGATATGCACCTGGACAGCAGGTGTTCAATAACTACGGCATGAAGACCAACAGCGAGCTGCTGCTGGGCTACGGGTTCGTGCTGCCTCCAACGGCGACCCTGCACAACGACTACGTCCATCTGCGGAAGCGAGGAGCATCGGCTGCGGTCGCTGGGACGGAGGCCGGCACAGGTCAGCCGCGGGACTTTCTACTCTCGCTACGACCAATGGATGACTCCAGCTCCGTCGTGGGCGCCTCACGGCAGTGGCCGCGGCGCACGACCGTGGCTGGCGGCCTGCCCTCTGCATTCTCCCGCTTCGAGGACGCACTACTGTGGGACCTGTGCTCGCAGATGTGGACAGAGGCAGACAGGCAGCAGACACTGGGACTGGAGCCAGGTATGGAGGTGTCTATGGATGCGATACCGCTGGAGCAGCGGACCGCTGTTCTTGACCGTGTCTTCGCCGCAGCATCGCCAGAACAGTTGAGTCCGTTCTCCGAACTCGAGGACAGGGCGCGCCAGACGCTCTTTGCAAAGGTGGCCATGGACTATGAGCGACTGGCTGAGGGTGAGCAGTATGTGGCCGAGGAAGAGGATGTCGATGCGAGCGAGCGAGCAAACTGGCAGCTGGCGCAGGCCTATCGACAGCAGTACGGAGCAGTACTGATCAATGCTTTAAAGACACTTGACCCAGAAGTCGAGTTAGTGGAAGCACCCTGAGGGTTGATCGATGCTGTCAGTAAATGACATGACATCAAGGCCTTCCCTCGTGAGGTTAAATGCTGTGAAAATCGGCGCCTGGGCGTATACTACTTCTCTTTATTGGGGCTCTAGCCTTCTTCACAATACCATCACCAATAACGCAACACACCCTCTGCCCCCCTAAAAAAAGGCTTAAGCGGGGCATCGTCACCTGTAACGATCTCCGTACGACGTAGGAGCAAAACTTTCGTGAGCTTTCAGCGTATTAATGCTACTGTTGCAACAGACGCAACCCCACATCCCCCGCATTGTAGCAGGCGGAGAGGACATGAATAACACCGATACGGGGATAGGTGCTGCAAAGTACAGCAATTTTAGAAAGTAGCGTACGGTGTACATAATTCAGAAAGGGCTTAGAACCCCGACTGTGCTTGATATCGACAACAACAACCTTGAAGGAGGCATGAGGCCAAATCAACGGCAGTAATCAGCGACCACGCGTGCTTCCCATTGGGCTCATCGCCACTCACTGAAGTGTCAGGTCTTCAAAAATGTGTTTTTTTTTTTTTGCTATTTTAATATGGCTGCCGGCCCTTCCATCACGGTAGCTCAGAAATACTAGGACACAACCAGGCACATATGCTGCTTCCTCCAGGCTGAAATTATATGAAGTGGGTCAGCAGTGTGTTATTAGTGCTGCAGAGTGGGTATGGGTCTGCTCGTAGAGACGTAGGACCTGAGCGGGTCTCACGCCTTGACAGGCAACTGTGATGTAAGAATGAAGGCAGGAAGGTGTTACAAGGCGTAACTATTAGATATCCGAATATTTCTAATATTACCCGAATCATTCGGTTGGTTCCTCTCCATGACACAGCGCCATGTCTTCTCCGCCATCCTCTCCCGTCCTCATCATTGGAGCTGGCATCGTCGGCCTGACCCTCGCGCAGGCTCTGAAGAAAGCGAGCATTCCGTTTGTTGTCTACGAGCGTGACGCTGGTCCAAACACCCGATCCGATGGTTGGGGCATCACCGTGCACTGGGCACTTCCGGCACTCGAAGCTTGCCTTCTGCCAACCTTGTTTTCTGGTCTTCGCGACATCCAGGTCGACCCGCAGCAGGGCATCCACGACACTGGCCGCTTTGTCTTCCTCGACCTGGCCACGGCTGAGCCAGCCTATGTGATTCCACCCAGCCGACGTCTGCGCCTCGACCGCCGCAAGCTACGCCGACTACTGTTGACGGACATTGACGTACAGTGGGGGAAGGCCCTAGAAGACTTCAGCTCGGCCGACGAGTCGGTGACGGCCCACTTCGAAGACGGCACCATGGCCACTGGCTCCCTGCTCGTGGGCGCTGATGGAAGCAACAGCCGCACGCGACGGCGGCTTTTTCAGAGTTTGGGCAATGCTGCTGCCGCCAATCTCTACCAGCTGCCCGTGCGCTTTATGGGTGTTACCGTGCGGCTGACGACCGACCAGGTGAGACCGCTACGCGCCATCGACCCGTTGCTCTTCCAGGGCTGCCACCCTGACACCGGCGCCTACCTCTGGTACTCCATCTTGTCGACACCCGAGGTAAACGGGTCTGCCGGTAGCGAAACTGGCGAGTTCTATGAGGGCCAGCTCAACCTTTCGTGGATGGCCCGCGGCCCTGACGACGAGGTTCCGCCGACGCAGCCGGCCCGTCTGAACAAGATGCGGGAACTGGCTCAGCCGTTTGAGCCGCGACTTCGTGCCGCCGTCGAGAACATTCCCAAGGATGCCGAGGTACTCGAGGTCCTCCTTCAGGACTGGCCTACGCAGCCGTGGCCCAACCATGGCGGAACCGTCACCCTTGCCAGTGACGCCGCCCATGCCATGACCATGTATCGTGGCGAGGCCTTCAATCACGGCATCACAGACGCCGCCTCTCTGGCCGAGCATTTGGTGACAGCGTGGGCCTCCCAAGACCTGCTCAGACGTCTGCGAGCCACTGTGGATGTCTACGAAAAAGATCTCGTCCAGCGCACCCAGTCGGCCGTTCTACTCAGCAGACAGGCCTGCTTGGATGCGCACGATTTCAAAACTCTGACAGCGGAGAGTCCGCTGGTCAGTAAACGAGCCATTGTGAAGCATTAGGACCTTTTTAAGTTGCGATTTCTCAGCCCTGCAATGGTGTTGGTTAGTTCGAGCCCAACCCGGCACTACATCTGCTAAGCACTTTCCCGCCGTTGATAGCGTTGCGGGTAGACGGATTGACATGCTTTGCGTCAGGTTTTCTTCCTAACCTAGCAGTAGTCTAGTATTTTAGCACGAGCTCTAATACTTACATACAGCCACGCCGAAGCTGATAAGAGACCAGGCCAGTTATCTACATCGTAGAAGTATTTTTACACGCTGGCTCTGTTTGCCGGCTGCTATATAGGATTTATTTTCTTGAGACTCCACGAGGGATGGTTGAAGCATTCGCCTCACACCGAAACAACTGGTGGCCACTTTCCATCTGTTCCATTCTTGTGGGTTTGTACATACTCCATTTTCTGCGTGGTATTTCCAACGTATGTTGTTGGAGACGATGCAGAGGCTAAAGGCGTATTTGCCTTCAGACATTGATATGAGATGCTCCTCGGGCGCCGTAGAATAAGATTTGCGTAGTGCCTGCGTATCGAATTGTTATGACACACTAATTTGCGAAAGAGAACAAATTTCGCACCACCAGCGCTTTGTGGGCGCCTCCGAAATTTATCAGGCTCTGATACGGTGTGGTGTGTATGAGCCGACTACGAGTACTTGTACTTCCTCGAGAGTTTCGTGGCCGCGGCCGTGGACGATTGCGGACGCGGTGCTGAAAGGATGGTGCATCTTGGACCTGCAACTCGCATATCCCAACGGACACAATCTCATGGGAGAAAAGCATGGAGATTTTCGAGAGAAGCTAGACTAGTGCGGCAGTGAAAAGTCTGCACCATAACCCATAGAGGTCACGTGCAACACAATCTGCTAAAATCTACTACCTTACAGCAGCCCAAAACCCCAGTTGACCTCCTTCGGGGCTTCAAAGGAGACTAGGTACAGAGCACTCACACAAATACCTCCAACGTGAGAGAACTGACAGAGACGGGACACGTTTAATGAGACCATAACAATATTTATTGGCACGAAGAGAGTTTTTGTCTGCACCTGGTCTTCTGTATACAGAGAGATGTGCGAGTACTCCGCATCGTATATACATGTATCTTATATCTTGTATACACTTATGCAGCTTACTAGCCGTACGGAGCACACAAAAAATCGGCCCGGATATGCGACCCGGAGATGAAATGTGCCCGTGCTCCGTTTGGAGTACGCGTACGCGTAATACCAACCAAACAGTCTCTTAAGCCGGTTCAAGAAGCAGAAATTTGGACTACCCACGACAAATGGAGTAGTACGGAGTACTCCGTAATCTACGAGTTGTGCTACAGGAGTATGAAATTCCCCACCATTGTGGGACTCAGCGGTTTTGTGGTATGATACATCACTTTGGCCGGGGGTTCAATGCACTTCCGTCTACGGAATACTCTGTACATAGTACTCGTACTCCGTGTGTGGCGACCGAGATCGAGCTTCGAATGCCCCGGAACGGATCTTGTTGATGAAAATAATAGACGATCACTGCTATCTCTGAGATAACTCCTGCTCTAGACGGTAGTTCATCGGCGCTGAAAAGCAATGAGGTTGATAAGACCGACTTGTGGTGAGGTGCTTAGCTCAACCAATTACTTCAACTTCCCGGTTTACGGAGTACATAATAGTAATATGTTTGCGCGATTTTTATTTCAGAGTGCCAAGCTCTGCACACAAACTTTGCACTGGCCAATGCCAACAATCAAATATGGGGTTTGCTCTGAAGTGCCCCGGCAGTCTAGCTACTCCGTATGGAGTGTTGTGTGGTTGTTCCGCTACTATCTAGTCCCTTATACTTTATATACATGAGTACTCTATAGATAGCGAGGTTAAGCCTAACTATATCAGTCTAAGGTGAGCCCGTATAGAGTATTGAATCGTATTACGTCCATCGCTGGAAAAGCACTAATATAGTACGGTGTATCGTACGCTATTGACTGCTACTCCGTATATACTCGTAAGATACGTAGTTGCCGTCGCGTCTGATAGGGACGCCCTGCCATCGTAAGATGTACTCCGGCAATAAATTTTTCCGGCAGTTGTCATACGCATACCATGTCCAAGTGAACAGTTCTCGTTCTCCGTACGTGCTTACGGAGGACACTCCGTAAGAATGGTGCTCGCACATTCTTCGCCCTAGACCTCCTTCTCTATGCCTTAGTGCACCCGCTTGCATACGAAAAAGCCCCGACAAATCGTGTGGAGAAGTACGAGTATTGTACATAGTATAGGGGCAGGGATTATGGGATATATACTCTTCTCATGCACCTGCATCAAGAGTCGGTCCAACCTTCATGCACCTTGTAGATTTCTATGGAGTACGGAGTAAATGATTGTTATTACTCTTTCTCTCCATCAAATTATATCATACTGGTTTGCACGCTTTCATAGGTCTAGCCAGAACTTAATCAACGATAGCACAAAAATCTAGGCTGCGATTTTCTCGTTCGCAAACGCGGCCGCCTTCTCCAGAGCACCAGTAAGCTCTGGCACCATGGACAGGAAGGGCGAGTGGGAAGCCTTCAAGTGGGTGAAAAAAGCATCGGGTCCAAGAGCAGACGCAAGCTGTTCTTGGACTGGCAGTGGGATAGCTTGGTCGTCATCGCAAAAGATGTAGCCACAGTCAATTTCGTGCCAGGGCTCGTAATCAGCAGCGTCCGTGAAAATGGGTGCCGATTGGTGCTTGAGGTTGTCCAAGGCCCATTTCAGGTCCTCGGCATTGAGATCGTGATAGAAAACCTTCTCTGGCGATTCGACACGCGAATAGTCTCCCTATAGATAAAACAGTGGTAAGCATACGTTACGTAAACCCTAAAATTATCTTCAATGGAGGACGGGTGTTGTTTTAGATAATCGAGAATTGCAGCTTACATCAAACTTCATCCAGGGGAGAAATTGGCCGCCCAACAACTCCTTCGGACACTTGCCCTTTCTTGTAACAAAGGCCGAAAGGTAGATGAAGAGGCTGACGCCACCCGTCTTTCCCTCCTTTGCACGTTGTTTCCACCCTAAGCCCTGAATGGCACTGGCACCAGGAACTCCTCCATACGAGTGCACGACGACGATGACCTCCTTGCCTTGCTCAACAAGAGGCGTCAACACGGCGCGTATGGCTGCAGCATCTTCGGGCATATGCTTGGTGGGAGGCTCAGCTCCAACGCTTGGATATTCGACCGCCTCAGTCTCCCACCCATCGACTTTCATCGACTTTCGGAGCTTGTCGTAACAGGCCGCGGAGTGCCAAGCACCTGGGGCAAAAACAACGACTGGTTTGGATGACATGATGAGTTGATTAGGACTCTTGGGAAGCTTCGATAAAATGCGTGAGAAACTGAGAGAAAGGACTATTCAGCAGTGCCTTTTCATGAAGGACTTCAGCAACAATTTATCTGGAGGGGAACCATGGAACCAGAAGAGGCAAGTCATGTGGAAATATACGTACGAAGAATGCAGCTAGCAGGGAGAATATCCTTTTTGAAACGCCCCACGCCCCTTCTGGCAAGATATGGATCTCAAGAGGGCATCATAATTGCCGTTCCGCTCTCCCCTCAGGAGATTTTTGAAACTAAGGCTCAATCCGGGTCATTGCCGGAGTAGTTCGCGGGCAAAAACCGTTGATCCCACACGGAAGGTAACATCCAATGGGTAGTGGATATCTTGAAAGTACGAATGGAAAGGGGTACTGTGCCACACCAAGACCAGTAAGCTTAGTTTCGCTCTTCGCATTCTGTCGGCTGTCCGGTGCCGTTGCCTATGCCTGTTCATTGTTATGAAAAGGGGAGTAAAAGAAGAAAAAATTATGCCAACGTTTCCCTTTAAACCGTCTCCTCGCCTGTTCCATATTATACCCACTAACCAGTGTGAGTGACTCTGGGAATACCCAGAATTGCACTTAACCCGCCGATCGCCCCCATCACAACATGGAATTGATACTGTACCAGCATGGGATATGAGAGGCACTGAAGAAAAAGGAGAGACTTGGCTACAGGACTAGGCTCACTACCCTTTAAAAAGTCACGAACCGGCGCGCTGGGATTTTCTTGCTTCTTTTTGCGGACTAAGCCTGCATGACTCCCGGCAAACTAGTAACGAACGACTTGACTTCAGTTTCCGTCATGGAATCCTTATCCATTCTTCACTATCGCGCCGAGATCGTGAATACTCAAGCGCCGGGACTCAAGAACACCACCACCGCTCTTCTAGTACTGGCAACTGTATTCGTAGCCCTGCGGTTTGTTTCTCGGCATCTCATGGACAGTCTGTACGGTCCAGATGATTGGTTGATGCTAGGCGCACTGGTGAGTTTTGTGTGGTACGGCAATGACAGCAAAGACAGCCAATTCAGAACGTGCAGAGCTAACACAGGTGTGTTTTCCTCATCAGGCAGCCGCTTTTGCTACCGGAGGACTCAACTATGGAAGTAAGTAAAAACAAACCATAACGAAGGTCTGTTCCAGACTTGCTAGCCGCTCCACTACTAATTTTTGTGCAGTGCTGTCTTATGGTCTTGGCGAGCATACCTCAGATCTTTCCTTTCCGCATATGGAGATTGTATTGAAGCAGTTGGTGGCTTTCGAATGCCTTTACGTCACGGGTGTTCTTTGCAACAAGATATCAGTGTTATTCATGTATCTGCGCATTTTCCCGTCGCGTGGGTTTCGAATAACGGCAACCATCATCGGTTCTACTGTCGTCGGATGGTGGATTGCCATCGTGCTGGTCTGCATATTTCAGTGTAATCCAATTTGGGGGGCATGGCGTCCTTGGGATGGGGCTTCTTGCATCGACCTCAGAGCATCTTTTATCGGCAACGCCATTCCCAATATCCTGAGCGATGTCGCCATTCTCTGCATGCCGGTACAACAAGTGCTGAAGTTGCGAATCAACGCCGTGCAAAAAAGTACGATTTTGTTCATGTTTTTGCTTGGCAGTTTGTGAGTTGCTCCTTTTAGTTAGAGGCAGACGCATGTGTTAACGGCAAGTAGCGTACTGTTTGCCAGCATCTATCGGTTTACTCTTGTCATGAGGTTTGACCAAGATGATACTACATGTAAGCGCCACCGCTTTCCAACATTTCAAAGATGTGTTTTGACGTCAAATTTCTAACTCGCATTCTCTTCAGATACACTCGCCCCTGCTTGCACTTGGTGTGTCGTGGAGACAGCCTGCGGAACTATTAGCGGATGCCTTCCAACACTAAGACCATTATTGCTGAAAGTATCGAGAAAGTTTGGCAGCATCCCAAGCGCCAGCGCTGGCACAAAACAATCTGGTGCGAATAGCCGGGGTCCCACTGAGTTGGTGACATTTGGAGGTACGGGCGGCGTGAAGTCCACCGGGACCAGTCGGCAGTTTACTAGATTACAGGATGGAACGCCGACCCCAACGACCCGATCCGAGATCCAGGCAGAAGACATGGCTTCATCCGACGATGAGCATCCACTCAACACAGATGCCATGCATGTACAGGTCCACCATGAGATAAAAATTGTGAGCACGACGGCTAGTATCCCCACAGATCAGTCGTATGCAGATAAGTATAAGAAATACCGTGGGGTCTGACGAACGCACACGGTCATGTTCGGAAAACAAAAGTATTTCAATGTTCTCTGTTATTTTTCGTGCGCTTCAGAAAAGTGGAACACAGCTACACCATGGGGAGTGTCGCAAGGAAGGCTAATCGCAGTCAGCTTTGGCGTTTGTTTATTTCCTTTATATTTTCTAAGGCATATAGTAGGCGCTTGGTTCAGCAGTAGCTTTAAATCAGGGCGCAGTAGTCTTCTGATCAATATGGGGCTTCAATCTGCAGGTTGGAATCGTTTGGGACAAAAATCGGCTATCCACGTCGTATGACGAAAACCCCCGTGAAATATCACATGTCGTTACATATCATTTTGTACGATACATACTGAGATCTCTACATATTCGGCGTGGTTGCAGAGTGTGAAATAGTACGGAACTATACGTAGACGCACAGACGTCTATCAATTAGCGGCCGTTGCCGATCGGAACAGCTCCACGGTGAAGTGACCAGTCATGTGAAAGAATAGGATTGTGTCCTCTCTAGGGCACAGACTGCGGCCTTACATAGTACAATCAATCACGGCGCCGACTCCAAGGTTTGAAAAGCCACGCGAGCACCCCACTTCATACGAGAATACTGGAGGATGCCGAGATCACTCGGCTTGGAACGGAGTAGACTACATCAAGTCCTTCGTACATACTATGTACTAACAGTCTTTTCGCAAAGATGTTCAAGCTAATTGGTCACGTATGCTCCGTGTTAGTCCACATAAACCGTTCAACGTGAAGTAAGGATTTCATTGCAAGCCTCAACCCCCCGATCTTACCTGTGCCGCGATGCATTATGGCATATTCGGCAGCGGAATAACTGGGTTTCAGACAAAACATGTCGATTGAACATTGTGTCAGTGACAACGCTTTAGTCTGCACTCCGAGCAGTTCCAGACATCAGGGACTCCGGTCCGAGCTTTATATGGGTCCAAAGTTCTCCTACCACTTGTCTACGAGCTCTAGACCTGCAGACAAACTCTTCCACGGAATGAATGGGTCGATTGTCATCGAAGTCATCTCAATCAGTCCTTTCGTAGCCGATATCAACACGTTGTGGTCAGGTGGTAGCACAGTGTGAGCTGTCGTCAACAGCGGACTTTGCACTGGTAGCGTCGCATCGTGACATTTGCATACACAATCGCCTTGGTGGGGTTCAAGACATTTTTGAGTCGTTGAAGAAACTGCAAACAGCCAATTTTATAGATTACAGATTTCCGGATTCGAATGGTCCTACAAAAATTCGGAAATGGGCATTGGCCAAGTATCAGTTTGCTTGCCGGTGTGGGAGGGTTTGTCTGCGTACATATCTTGTCTGACAGCTTGCGATCAAGCTACTGGGATGCATTATCTTCTTACCCCACTATTGTCTGACAATTTGCCTATGTGACAAGGTAGACTGTTGGATACTGGCTTCTTTATCTTGTTTCGTAACGTTTTGACATTTGCGCTGTTTGGTCGATCTTTATCTTCCCACTCTTGAGCGCGATAAAATTGCATTCAAGGTAGTATGGCACCCTTATCTGCTTAGATTGCATGCGGTTTGCATGTTGACAAATGCGGTGGCCTTTGCTAGATTTTATCTACGTCTGCACTGAACATCACGCATGACTTCGACTCAAGCTGGAAGCGACCGCCTCTGCAGAATCGCTGCCCCCAACGCGTCGCCATGTCGTCGCCATCGATCAAGATCAGCTCGCTGCAGGAGAAGACGGTCCTAGAAAGCCACTCGGCGGAGAGCGGCGAGACCGAGGTGCCTGAGGACAATAGACGGGCACGCAAGTACTGGAAGCAGATGGCTGAGTCCAATTGGGTCGAGCTGCGCGGCATCCAGCGGGTGACGCCGGAAGAACAGCAGCTGCACGGCCGGCCGAACTATATGCAGATGGTGCTGCTGTGGTTCTCGGCCAATCTGACAGCCAACAACATTGCGCTCGGCTTCCTTGGCCCCATCGCCTACGGGCTCTCATTCACCGACGCGGCGCTCTGCTGCGTATTCGGCACGATGCTTGGCTGTGCCGGAACCGGCATCATGAGCACCTGGGGTCCCACTTCTGGGCTGCGGACCATGGTTCGTTGCACGGTCGTCTATCCGTCTTGTTCTTCTCACAGAGACTGACGAGCGGCTTAGATCTTTGCACGCTACACAATGGGCTGGTGGCCAAGCCGGATCTGCGTGCTGCTCAACATTGTCATCATGCTGGGCTACGGCATGATCGACTCTGTGGTCGGCGGGCAGATCCTGTCAGCAGTGGCGGACAACAACCTCAGTGTCGTGTGCGGCATCATCATCACGGCCGTGATCACCTGGGTTGTCACAGTGCTAGGCCTCCCTATTTTCCACATTTACGAGCGGTGAGTGGCTGCGATATCCAGCACCTGGAAGCACCCGGGAGTATAGTGCTAACAAGCATTCAGATATGCTTGGGCTCCGCAGCTGGCCGTCGTGTTCATCCTCGTCGGCGTGGCCGGGGCCAATTTCGACACGTCCTATAGCTCATCGGGCAACCGCGAGACGATCAATGCCAACCGGCTCTCGTTCTTGGCGCTGTGCATGTCGGCCTCGGTGGCGTGGTCTCCGGTCGGCGGCGACTACTATGTCTACTATCCGGCCAAGACATCGATGGTGCTCACGTTTCTGCTGACGTGGCTGGGTGAGACGCTGTCGACTGCGTTTGTATACCTCGTCGGCTGTGGCCTGGGCTCCGGCACGTACTCGAATCCAACGTGGGCGGCCAACTATGACATCTCGTCGGGATCGCTGCTCGTGGGCGCGTTCGAGCCACTGGGCCGGTTTGGCAAGTTCTGCGGTGTCATCCTGGCGCTCGGCGTGATCGCCAACAATGTTCCCGGAACGTACTCTGCGGCTTTGGGGTTCCAGTGCCTGGGCAGCTGGCCGGCACGCGTGCCACGGTTTGCGTGGAACACATTTGGCGTCATCATCTACACCATTTGCGCGGCTGTGGGGCGCAATCACCTGTACGACATCTTTGAGGACTTTTTGGCCCTCATGGGCTACTGGGTCACCATCTGGATCACCCTCACGCTCGAGGACACGCTCCTCTTTCGCCGCGGCTGGACCAACTTTGAGTGGGACGACTGGAACACACAGAGCAAGCTGCCCGTCGGCCTCGCTGCTTTGGCTTCCTTCTGCATTGGCTGGGTCGGCTCCGTTCTTTGCATGGATCAGGTCTACTTTATCGGGCCGCTGTCGAGAAAGATCGGTGACTACGGTGCAGACGTAAGTCCCATTGTGTTTTCCTGTCTTCAACGCTATGCTGACGTAATCCCCCTAGTTGGGCATATTTGCCGGTGTAGGGTTTGCCGGAATTGCCTACCCCATCCTTCGGGTCCTAGAGTTGCGAGTACTAAAGCGATGAGAGAGCCTTGGACCAGGGTGGCTCGTGTATGTCTTAAGCTGTCATTTCGTTGTCGTTGTATATACCAATTTAGAGAAGATTTACATAGGATACATTCACATCAGATATCAGTCGTACACACACACACACGCATTCCTACAGTCTTGCCAGCTTCGGCGCACGCAGGGCGTCAGCGACGATGACCTCTGCACAGCGTATGCCAATGAGGTAGGCGTTGACCTGGGTATGGTTGCAGGTGAGGACGGGGCAGACGCTCATATCGGCGACGCGGAGGCCGCTGAGGCCGACGACCCTAAAGTCGCTGGTCACGACGGTGCGCGGGTCATCCTTGGGGCCCATGACACAGGAGCCCATGCTGTGGAAGCCCTGGCTGAGGTTCTGGCGGACGAAGGTGGTGATATCGGCCTCGGACTCGGAGGCGGGCAGCAGCAAGGGCGCACGGATGATGCCGGCGAGAGCGGGCGTTTTGGCGACGCGGAGGATCTCGCGCACGGTCTCGATGGCGACGCGCATGTCCAGCTCGTGCTCGGCGTAGTGAGGATCGACGACGGGGAGGTCGCGGGGGTCGCGACTGCGCAACGTGAGCGAGCCCTCGGAGAGGCAGTTCTGGCAGAGGCCCTCGATCGCGAGCACGTTCGCGTCGGGCGGACAGGGTCCATCATAGAAGAGCGGACCCGAGTGCAGCCAAATTTCGGTGCTGGGCCGGCTAGGCTCAGCCAGGAACTGCTGCACGGCAGTGTCGGCACGGCCGAGCTCGGCTGACTGGAGCACGGCCGGCAACCGGGGAAACGACACCGCCGCACTGACGCCGTAGATGGCCAGCGGACCTGTCTTGGAGGCTGCGTACTCGGCCTTGGCGGCTGCCAGCTTGGCCGGTGACCGCAGCACCTCGTTGTGCCCGCCAATGGACGGCTCAATCACGTACTCGCACGCAAAGGCCGAGTGGTCGCGGATGTGCTGGCCGACGGGTGCCAAATCTGCCACTACCGGAATGTCGAGCCTGGCCAAATCGGCTGCCGGACCCACGCCCGACAGCAGCAGCAGCTGGGCCGACTGGAACGTTCCCCCGGACACGATCACGTCGGAGCGCGACGATACCGTCACCGTCTGCTGCTTCTCGGCTGCCGTGGTCGCTCTCGCCAGTACAATCTCCACGCCGACTGCTCTCGTGTCCTCAAACAGCACGCGGGAGCACAGGCTGCTCGTCAGGATCGTCAGGTTCGGCAAGGCCTGGCGGCGCTGCTCGTTCAGGTAGGCCGTCGTGCTGGTCACGCGCACGCCATCCTGGGCCGAGAACTGCACGACCGAGTAGCCCAGCGCGTCGCCGTCGTTGTGGTCCAGGTTCCGCTCGTATCCGGCCTGCTCAAACGCGTCCAGACAGTACGGCACAATCGGCAGCCAGGTGGCGCCGTAGGAAACGCCTACGGGTCTATGCAGAGACTGTCAGCACGACCGCAAAGAGCACGTTTGCCAATCGGACTGCCTTACCCTCCCTTTCCGTGCACGCCCGGTGTCGGCTGCACATACTTCTCCATACCGGCAGGACAGCGGGAGTCAAAGTCTTCCATCTATGCGAGTTAGTCTTCTCGCTGCTGCATCTTCGCACTGCAGAGACCGAGCAGGACTTACGGCCTTGAACACCGTCTTCACATTGTCCCAGGCCCACCACGGGTCACCGGCCATCGCGGCCCAGGCATCCCAGTCAGCCTTGGGACCTTTGACCCAGCCGAGAAAGTTGTTTGCCCTGAACGGGTCAAAAATTGTTTTCTCCCTTCTTTTTTTTGGTACTTACGAGCAACCTCCCAGCCCTCGTCCGCGAGGGTAGATGATCTCTCGGCCTCCCAGTGCTGTCTGCGGTGCCGTCTTGTACAGCCAGTTGCCCTCCTTGCTCATAAACTTCGGTTTAGTAAGTCCAGGCACCAGGTTGTCGGGATCTGCTGAGTCATCAGGCCCGGCCTCGACTACCAGCACGCTGCAGTCTGGTAGCTGCTGGGCCAAGATGGAGGCAATGATGCATCCCGAGGTGCCGCCTGCATCTGGTCAGCATGCTTTCGAGCCCCTCAGTCGCAGCACATCAGGGAACGGACCGCCTGCGACAATGTAGTCAAATGTCTTGCCGTTAACTGCGGAAAAGGCGTCCATCTTTGCTTATCAGTGGCTTGTCCTCCCAACAGTTTGACAGCTCGTCAGCGGCCCTAGGTAGCTTTATCAATCACAGCAACCGTTCTCCACCGAGAGACGGAACCCCACTTTATCTCGCCCGGCCTGGATACTCACGGTGAAGATGGCGAACTTACTAGGCTCAGCCGCTATCACCATAGCGGCAGATAAAGAAGCACTGGCATCTCCCCCGTTGTCCCACTCTTGCCCTAATGCCACGCCCGACGGCCGACGGCCGATTCCGGCAGTCTTATCACCCTTGTGCACCAGAGTCAAATATACCCAGCTCGCCTTCGCGTGGATCGAACGGAACAGCAACACGTCAGACCATCAGACCAGACCATCCGACTTCAGAATGGCGCTAGTAATACCAGACACGGCTGCGGCCACGATTGCCGCCCAGTACGACGAGGTAGCCGCGTCCTATGCCGCCAGAAAGACCATACCCATTGAGTTTCGCAAGCAGCAGCTGAGGCAGTTCTGGAAGCTTGCTGACGTAAGCAGTCCTCCCTACCATGTTGCAGAAGTTATATCGCCCCACCTGCTTACACGGCAAACCTAGGATCATGAGGAGTACCTGCGCGAATGCCTGTACAAGGACCTGGGAAAGCCCAAGGTTGAGGCGCAGGGTACTGAGGTCGGCCTCTTCAAAAATGAGATCTGCTACCTGCTCGACAACATGGACAAGTATCTGGCCCCGGAAACGGTCTATGTGCCGCCAGCGTACCAGGGCCTCAACCCGACTATTGTGCGGCAGCCCAAGGGCGTTGTCCTTGTGATCGGGTACGTGGACGCGGGCGATGACCTGATGGCCTGGCACACAAGCTGACTACCGATACAGCGCATGGAACTACCCCTTCTTCCTGACGGCAGCGCCTTTTCTGGGTGCCATCGTAGCGGGCTGCACCGGCCTCATGAAGCCGCCCGAGCTGGCCCCATACACGGCGCAGGCGATGGCAGAGCTGGTGCCCAAGTACCTGGACACGTCGTGCTACCAGATCGTCAACGGCGCGGCGGCCACGGCCACGGCACTGCTGACGCACCGGTGGAACCACATTTTCTACACGGGAGGCTCGCGTGTGGGTACCATTGTGGCCATGGCGGCCGTCAAGAACCACACGCCGTACACGCTCGAGATGGGCGGTAAGTGTCCGGTGATCGTGACGCCGCGAGCCGACATCGCCCTGTCCGCCCGCCGCGTTGCCTGGGGCAAGTTTGCGTGCGCCGGCCAGACTTGCGTGGCCCCAGACTACGCCCTCGTGCATGAGGATGTGTATGATGCGTTCATCAAGGCCATCTGCGCGTCTGCCCAGAACTTCTTCCAGGGCCGGCCCAAGGAAGACGGCCGCATGGGCCGCATCGTCAACACGGCGCACTGGGACCGCATCATGAAGCAGTTGCGCGCCACCAAGGGCCGCTTCGTGTGCGGTGGTATCGAAAGCGCCGACCGAGACGACCGCTATGTGCCACCCACGATCGTGGCTGACGTCACTGTCGAGGACGCGCTGCTGGCCGACGAGATCTTCGGGCCCATCCTGCCGGTTCTCAAGTACAAGACGCCTGAGGAGGCCTGCCGGACGATCAACAGCATCATGGACGAGCCTCTGGGCCTCTACGTGATGAGCGAAGACCGTGCCGACATGGACTGGTTCGTCGACCACACCAAGTCTGGCGATGCCGTTCACAACGACACCATGACCCAGATCGCCGTGCCGCTGCTCCCCTTTGGTGGCGTCGGTGCTAGCGGACTCGGTTCCTACCATGGAAAGGCCAGCGTCGACACCTTTAGTCACCAGCGAAGCGTCGTGTATGTGCCAAAGGAGGCTGAGGCTGCCATCGAGTGGCGGTATCCGGACGGCGACCAGAAGCTCAAGTATGAGGCGGTCAAGGCGTCTGAAGAGAAGCTCCCGACGGGCCTGTAAGAATATCTGACTGTGTGTTTTGTGTATGTACATTGTGATTGGGCTGTGAGACTAGAGACTTGATTATGAATTGGGATCCCCCCCTACTGGAAAAATACTCATTCCTTAGCCTCCCCCGCCACGTTCTGCTCGTCGTTGAGCTTGGGATCCCTCAGGGCAAAGGCAAATCCGATGAGCGGCACGCAGAGGCAGATGCCGGTGATGCAGAGGAGCCGCTGTGTGTGCTGGTAGGCACCGATGATGGCCGTCCGCTCAGGTGTGCCGAGGGGATACATAGCAGCACTCGTAAATGGGTCGCCGTACGTTGTGGCGGCCAGGGTGGCATTGATCGAGGCAAGCCGCTTCTCCAGCTCTCCGGGCAGCACCTGGGTCCAGATGGCACCCGAGACGGTGTTTCCAAATGCGGAGCCGATGTTATAGGTGGCGAGGTAGAGGCCGGTGATGACGGCCACATGCTCGTGCCTGACGGCAGCCTGGATTGATGCCTGCGCTGGGTAGGGAAACATGCCGCCAGCAATGCCGAGTAGAACTTCGGCTCCGATGACGCCAGAACGACCAGCCGAAGAGGGCGAACCACGATAGTGGATTAGCAGGCCAAAGGCGACCATGAAGAGGGCGGTGCCGACAATGATGAATACCTTGAGGTGGCGGACCTTGAAGACAACGAGGCCGAGGAGGAAGCCGGTGATGACACTGCAAAAAGAGTAGAGCGACGTGACGCGAGTGGCGCCCGTGATGCTAAAGTCAAAGGCCACCACGAGCATAGTGTAGAGAAAGTCACCCTGCAGGTACCAGGCGAAGTCGAGGAGGAAGGCAATGGCCAGAGCACTCCAGACGGCGCGATCCTTGACGAGGGCGAATGGGACGAGAGGTTGGCGGGCCTTGAGCTCCCAGGCGACAAAGACGGGCACACAAAGGATGCCGACGACGAGCGGTGCGATCACGTGAGCGGTCTTCCACTTGGACGACACGCCGCCGGCAATGGTCAGTGGCGTGAGGATGAGGGCGAAGACGGCGATGAGGAGGATGATGCCGATGACGTCGAGCTGCCAGAAGAGATCCACCGAGAGCCTGCTGCGGCCGGTAGGCGTGGAGCCGTCGACGCCGAGACGGCCGGCCTTCTTGGCCCGACGGCCGACGACGAGGAGGCTAGCGATCAGCGGCAGCGCGCAGACGGGATAGATGATGCACCACATGCCGATGCCCCACTGCCAGGTGGTGACGCCGAGCACGGCGGCCGTGATGTCGCCGCTGACCCAGGTGTTGATGATGAAGGGTAGGGCCGGAACGTAGCTGAAGAGCAGACGGGCGCGGGTCGACGTGATGTCGGCGATGACGACCTGAAGCAGGAGGATGATCATGGTGTAGCCGACCTGGTAGAGCACGGCGCCGCCGGCAAACGTCTGCACGTTGTGGGCCACTGCCTCGACGATCGTGCCCAGGACGTAAAAGAAGACAGACAGGCAGATCAGCTCGACGCGGCCAAAGACGTCGGCGATCTTGCCGGCCGTCGGCTGGGCAGCCGCTGCAATGACCGCCCGCAGCACGTTGATCGTCGAGAGCAGCGAGTGGCTCGCGTACGAGGCCGTCGCGTAGGTCTGGTACGTGTAGCGCACCGTGCCGTCCAGCCCGTAGGCGTAGGCGACCAGGAAGACGCCCAGGAAGATGAACACCCGGTCGGTCTGCGTCATCACCGACGACAGTGCTTCGATTCGTGCCACGCCCGCAGACTCTCCCGTCTCCGGCAGCGCCGACACAAACACCTGCCGCTGCCGCTCGGCCGCCTCGTCGGCCTTTTCACCTTCCGTATGGGAAGACATCAGAATGGTGTCGTGGGTAAGCAGAGGTACGAAGGCAAGCAGCGCAGGGGTGAGCAGCTTGACAGAATGGATCTACGAGTTTGGGCAGCCCAGAACAGAGCAGCTGCAGCTCCTTATATGTCCCCGTCCCTCCTCTCCGATCAGGGTACTATATGTGCACGTGTGCAAGACGTATACCGGCCGAAGGTTGATAATAGGACCTGATAAAAAACAGGCTAGCATGGGACTCCCCAGGCCAATAGCTTGGCTACCAAGTGTAAAAATACCGCAACCTGTTGTTCTCCAACTGCTCTTCCGAGTGGTTCTCGCGGTATATGCGGCCATCCCAAATCGTGCTTCTTCGTATAGTATGCGTATCAAATTGGTGTATAGCCCCCGTCGTGTCTTGCACAATGCTCTGATTACAGCCATGCTTGAGGTCCTGCGGTTTACTGCGAGCAAGGGATGACCTCTCTCTTCCGATTATCACGAGGAAATCCAATACGCCAAGACAGGATGTGACGAGCCAAGACCGAGAAAACTCTTCACTCTGTGTTAGTCTTGCCTCCTCTTCTAGGATTCGACGAAGAACCAATACAATATGCATTTCTGCCCCGCCCCCATGGACACCTTCCCCGTCTTCATTCCATGGTACTGCCATTTACATAACCGCCTGCATGTGTCGGCATCAGCCTGACTCCGCATCAGTCATAGCTGGGATTATTGGTGTCTGGGCGGGCTGTTATCTGCGTGATTATGAGCAAGATAAGATCATCTCGCTTTTCAACACGTACGAATACATCAATTCAATGTTACTATAACCTGTAATTATCATAGCCATCTACCGCGGAGGGTGGCACCGCGCCGATATCGTCCCTGTCTTCTGAGGTTGTCGGCAGCCCAGTCGTGCCGCCACAAAAGCCAAGACGGACTTAGACACAGGCCTATAAAGTGCACCCATCTCTGCTCTCCTTTTGCTCGGTTACCACGGCATGCGTGGCTCCTGCATTTGTAGCCACTTACCAGTCGAATCCTATTGTATTTTTTTTTATGACCACGCCGATGCGTCCTCGTTGGCAAAAGTCAGGCCGCGGAACGAGAGTGGTATGATTTTTGTCGACTACGTCTTCTGAACCCCTATGCTCTACTGAGTACTCCGTAAGAAATTTACGCCCTGCATGCAATAAGCGGGTCAGTGCGAAATGTCGCTTGGCAGTGTCACATGCATGTCACGTGCACACAACCTGCTGTCATCGCAATCAACGAGACGAAAGAAGGAAAAATTGAGCTTAAAAGACTTTTGCCTGTCGGAATACCATCATGATAATCACTCATATCATAATCGCCACACGCGCTTATCACGTCATGTGCCGCCCGTCCGAGTCCGTGGAAGCAGACCACCCTAAAAGATAGCAACAGGGGTCAACAATGACAGAAAGGATCAATTTACGACGCCCGCCATGGAACTAATTTGGGTTAAAAGAAAGAACACCGCCTCCTGGGTCCAGAGAATAAAGAAGCGATGAGATCCTGACAGCCGGATCCCATCAGCGCCATCAGCGCCATCAGCCCTTCTGTTGGCAACTTTGCTGCAGAAAGGACCCGTCAGCTCAATCGCACAGGCGCTAATCCGGCTCGCTAAACCGGTTTTGACCTGCTCAGCGCCTGTTCTCGGAGGCTAAGGGCTCCTGTTTCGCCACAGCGCCAGCCCAATACGGCATGTATACCTGGAAATACCTGTATGTCCCGCACCCACTGGCAGCTTCTGGCGTCGCCGTCATGTTCCCAGCTCGTTCTCATCTCGATCTCCTGCCTTGCTTTTCCACCTGGCTTTTCCAGCTGTCTCTCTCTGCCTTGCGGACCGACCGACACGGCCGGCAATCGTGTCAGTCGCCTCGTGTCTTGCGTAGGACTCCATATATTGCATTGTCTCCTCTTTGTCGCTTATTCCTATTGTTCCGTCCCTGGTCCAGTTCCTGCTCTCTCTCTCCTCTCTTTCCCTTCCCCTCCCTATTCACTCCCCTCAGTGCTCTCCTAAACACCCAGCGGGCAGATCTGCAGATTCTCATCTCCGGTATAGTCCCTCTTCGCGCGTCTGCGCATATCACCCCCAGCAGGCCGGTGCCTGTTTACCGTTCAGAGACTCCGTACAGTAACAACACTGCGGGCACGCCTTTACGCCAATTTTGCTTCAACTCACTCTGTCATCTGGAATAGCGCATCGCAGTTGCGCCTACTCACGCATCGGGACCCGCCACTTATTCAGCAAGCAATTACTGCCTATTTCGACACCCCAAAGCCCCTGGCCGAGAGCTACCCAACCCCATTAAGTCGCCCCGCTGCTCCACCAATCGCCTGGCTTCGAACAAGTCAACAAAGCACAACACATCCTTCTCCTGTACAGCGAATTTTCTGACTATCTTGTTCTTGTTTTTCTTTTCCACGACGCACAGCAGCACGTCTCGTGTACGAATCTCAAGCGTGGCCTTGTTGTTTTTTCACCGTCAGCCGGCTCTGACGCAGGCATCTACCGCCCTTGACTGTTTTTACGGTCTTCACTGTCTCTCCCTTCCTTAACCTCCTTTTTCTTGCGTTATACCATCTCTTCAAGCTGTTTTCATTCAGCCTCGCCCATTGCGCGTCTCGCCCCCATCGCAAATTCGACGCCACAAACATCAACATATCTACAAAACGCTATCTCGATAACCCCTTTAATTTCATTATCTTCACCCCAGCTTTCAACATGCATCAAGACGCCATGAGCAGCTGCGGGTCTCGCGCGACAGGCCAGGTCATTACCGGCTGGGCCGAGAATGCCGACGACTTCAGCATGCAGAACATTGCCGACAGCCACCATTGGATGGCAGTCACCATGATTGAGGATGACGACCTCATGTTTGACAATAAGCCACTTTGCACATGGTACGAGGAAGGCCGACGACGATACAGTTCGGGAGACAACGACAACATGGTACTCTCGCCGAGCAGCTCTGTTGAGGAGGAGGAAGAGCTGCACCGCGGCAGACAACGGGTAAGACATCATTGCAGAGCTATATGGCGCAATACCGTAATCGCATTGACCTGCAAACGCGCTGACACCAAAATAGGATCGTCCGCAATACCAGAAGCCGCCAACCAAACATCACAAGACTGCAAGCAGCTCCAAGAGCGACGACAAGAGCAAGCATTGAGAACGAAGCCATGTTTCGCGTCCTAGCATCATTTGCAGCTGCAGATTTCCATCGTCCCAATTTTTCACTCCATACACGGCGTCCTCGGTCCCAGCATCGCATTGGTTGAAGGTGTCGGGAATCCATTACCATGCAGCCGTCAGAGGCAACACTTCCAAATTCATATCCACCTCGGAGTATTGTAGCAGGCAGGCCTGCACACACTCAATCGATTGTGGGAACTTGCTAGGCATCCATTAGCCTGGAAGAACTCCGCATTTTACACATGTACTGGATAAGAACGGGAATGCGTTATCATGTATGCATTATCATGTACATAAGCATTGCTTGGCCACGATGTCCCGCCTTCTCATTCGCTGGCAATCACAGCCTACTTACGGTCAGGCTGGAGTTGGCGCAGCCACGTTGGTGGAATTTGCATGTGCCTACGACGTTCTTGCCTAAGTCTTGTTTTGTCATTTGTCACACTTCTATTGGCTCTGGTCCTCTTTGCATCAGACCGCTGCGCATTTCTTAGTCACTTTCCATTTCGATGATACCACTTTTGGATTTACATGGCACTGGGCTCAATTATAGAGCAAATACATTTTTTGCCACTTCATTTGTTTTGATTGCACGATACCGAACTTTGGCAAAACAGTCACCTATGAAATAAGTCACCGAGAGTCGACCATTGAGAAAGAGCATTGGCGGCGGCTAGTGGTGTGGATGTGCTCATCTACAATGAATGACCTCTACGAGAGTTTGGGACATGACTTTAAAAACTCTTCCTACGTACATCACCTACCCGTCATAGATTGTAGTCGTCACTGTCCTTTGTAAACCCTTGTAGACAGATATACGCTTGCAGCTCAATCCTGCCACAGAGGCGAATGAAATGTCTTTGCCATGTAGCGAGTGGATTGCGTAAGTAAACGGTAATGGTCTGGCCGGCTTTTAAGCCGTTGGGTTGCCCACCAGTCTGCTTTCCTGGGCTCCGGGCCGATGCAATCAAGTTAGGTAGGGGACAAGTCATATTGGGGTAGCAAAGTCGGAGTCTCTTGCTGCTTTAAGATCCTACGTGCTCAATTTTCCCATGATGGACTTTCAAGTGGGGATGTCTCTTGTGATGAGGTGCCTGAGAAGACGGGTCTCAAGGTTGGCGACAGATGTTTCCCCTCCCCCACAACAGATCAAGCGCGGGGTGGACAGACAGCCTCAGCTCAAAAGCTCTCTGAAAGCACTTGAGACTCGGTTAAGCCCCCGAACCACAACCGTTTGCTTCGTACGGGTTATGTGTATCCCACATAGTAGTAAAAGAGAACTGTTTCGTGACCAGTTTTTATGTCCAACGTGAATAAAGGTTCTGCAGCTTGATACACCGTTTCGCAATAAGCAGGGAAAAGATGCGAAAGCTCGGCTCTTCTTCGTGCTTGGAACCTGCTGTGTCGGACAACGACGAACGAACGGACCGTGGCGTTTACTCGAGGTTTTGATTCTGGTAGGCCTCAAGTGTGGACAGCTCAAGATTGGGTGGTCACCAGCCTGTCTTGTACCGTACGTCTAGAGGATGAACAGGTTGTCTTCGATTCTTCTGGCCTAGGAAAGCCAGCACTGGGGATCTGGGACTGATCGGTCACGCCGAGTGCCGTCATCAAGCAGGGGTGTCAGCTTATGCGTTACAAAGCACGTACGTCGTACAACGCATGGAGTTGACGTGAGATATCTTACGTATCACTACCTCTTTGGGCAGTCTGGGCAAGTAATCAATGATGCCCTGCCTCGTTCCAGACCGGGCCTGCCATCACATCACCCGTAGCAGTCCGCTCCGGTTGGCGAACGAGCCAGTCTTGAACAAGTTAGACGGCGCGCCGTTTTTTTTTCCCTTTGTGTTTCAGGCGCATTTAGGCATTTTTAGGCGCATTTTACTTCGTACCTCTTCCCTTTCTACAATAAACCCTTCGAGGACGCCCGATAATGCTCGTACTTCGTACACGTACACCGGGTCGGGCGGGAGCGACGGCATCCGGAAAGCCCAGGCGGAATGTGAGGTTGGATGATCAAGTGATCTGCCAGCCGTACGTCGGCAAATCCTGGCCTGGTGATCGTTGCCGGAACGGCTGGAAGGCACCAGCCAGATGGACAAAGAGGCCGATAAGCGGCGTGTAAGTGAGGGGCGCCTAAGGACACAAGGCGCCATGTCGATCGGAGGGGCTCGCGCTCATTGCCATTCGTCACTCGCCTGGAGTTTCCGCTATCGTTTGCCTACTCTGTAGATTGAGAACGATGATGCGGTGCTTCGGCAAATTCCGCCAAAAGCAGAATCAGCCTTCTGGCCCATTGTTCTTGTTTTTGTTTGCCCCTGAGCTTCGTTGCCGACTCGTCTGCGATCTGCATGTCGTAGGCTGAAGATTCAGAAGCATCATAATCTCGTCCTCCCTGCTGTCCGAGGGAGGCCGCAAATCCGCTGTGATTGAGGAAGAAAAATTGATTAGGTTAACAAGCACTCTTCGTCGTCTGGGTGGTGGCGTGACCCCATAGGACAGGCCTCAAGGACGATCCTTCCCCCCCCGCGATCAATTGCAGACGCTGCATGACCTTACTGGCAATATGCATGATCCATTTTTGGGAACGCAGCCAGAACTAGTCTCAGACGTCTGCTTTCGGCGGTCCACAGAGCAGAGTTCGGCTTGGCCGTTCGCTCAGTGCACGGCTGGCAGTCTTCAATTACCTCACCCTCCCATTTCTTTGCCTTTCCCGGCCTTTTCTTTTTTTATCCTTTTTCATCGAGATTTTCATTTCTTTCTCGTCCGTCTGCCGTAGTTCCCCCTCCGCCGAATGGTGAACAGTGCACTGCATAGCAGCGATGCCGCCAACCCTACCTTAGCGCCTGCATGTGTTCCACTGCCGATACGACACCGGCTTGATCGCTGAGGGCCTTAGCACGATTCTCACTCTTTGCTCTGGCCGTTTTCCGGGCCACCTTGCCTTTTTGGAATCGTCACCCGCCATGCTAAGTGTTTTTTTCTTGGGGATGATCTTCGCTAGGAATGGGTAGATCATGGGGGGGCTGGACACTATACACCGCCTTGAACATGAGTCGATGCCATATGAGTCGATGCCATACGAGCGCGATGCGGAGTACGAAGAGGGCCGGAAGTGCGGCCTGGAGTGGCCTCATTTGAGATGATTACTAGATCCCCTCCCAAACTGTGATATGTTGTAAAACACAAAAAAGGGTAGAGCAGACATGATACGATGATGAAAACGATAAATTAAACGCGGGAATACCGGGAAATCTGGGACGGAGTCAGGTAAAGCGAGAAAATAACGAGCTCAAAATAGCGTGGATTAGCATGAAAAAGCATGGATACTTTCTGACGATCGCAACGACGGACTGCCAGGGCTGACAAGGTGCCGATAGGATCTACTCTCGGGGACACACACGCACACACTCACGCATCCGCAAAATAAATAGGACACCGACGCCCGAGTGCCTGGCATTCGATACATGCGCAACCCTGTTAAATTCTTCCCGTGTATTGACGTTGTTTCTCTGGCCGGCCTTTCACCTCGTCCTTTCCACGACGACCGTGTGCCCTTTCGGCGTGACTGACAACACACCCTCCGGTCCCACCTGGCGGTCATCCCCCCTCCCATATAAGACCATACAGCACCAACCAGCACCTGCTCGCTCAGCAGATAGCAAGACCTGGCTGCCCTCCGTCTTTGCTCCTTTACAACACATGCGGATCACTCATAAATAGGGTTCACCCCAGACAAGCAAAGCGGCCTGCAACAAGACGTCATCAGACACGAACGAGAGAGCCTTACCTTTTTATCGGCTGTTCTAATATATAAGCATTGAAGCTCCCGAACTAGGCCTGCCCTTCGTTCTCGACAATCATCTCTTTCGCCTGATCAACCTCTTGCCTCCACAATACCCAGACGCATTGCTGCAATGATCTGCTCTCTTCGCTCCGATTTTCGCCACCCCTCCTTCTCGTCGCAGGGCTCGTCAGCTTCGTTCAGTGATAATGATGACGCCATCACGCCTATTTACAAAGGCGCCGAGGTCGACACGGACGCAGACGGCTCTGAGCCCGAGTGTCCAACCTCCCATCTCTCACAGACATCCTGCTCTGCTCCTCCTCTCCGGAAAAGCACCGCTGAGACTGCCGATACTGCCGGCACTGCCGATACTGCCGATACTGCCTACCTCTGGCGCCAAATGTTGGCTCTCCAGCGCCGCTTCCACTGCTACAATTCTGCCCGCATCAGTGCCGCACTCGAAAACGAGCTGGTCGAGGCAATCGTCCGTGAGTGCTTGCTTCCAACCTCTTGGCAGAAAAATTTCCATGTTGACAAAATCTTAAGCACCCCGTGCCTGCCTCGATCTCCTGAACGATAGTGTCACAACCCAGCTGCTTCCAGACGAAGCGCGCCGTGAGGTAGCTGCCCTGATGTCCGGCCATGCAGGTGCTCTGTACAAGCTGGATACATACGAAGCCGGCCCGGTACCGGTCGCGGCGACAGAGACAGCCACATGGCTTCCGGCTGCCGTCGGACCCTCAGTCGCACGCTCCTCCAAGGCGCGCTCCATGGCACGGCAACGACGGCGGCGGATGTGGCGCCACCGCCGCTGACAAAACTTATGGCGGGCACAGGTTTACGCAAAGGCTTAATGTTTGACCGGGATGCTCTTGATTTAACGATAACAGACAAGGCTGGGCAGGACTACAAAATGAGAATGCTTGTGATTTTATCGATACCCATTGGAGGAGGAGCTGGGCTGGTTAGGATACGGTGGTATGACGGCACCATTTAATACACGATTATTTCCTAGAAAAAAAAAAAAAAAAAAAAAGAATGTATACCAGCAAATATGGTCTGTAGAGGGGTGGTTGTTCTAAGGAACGCCACCAACACTCCCGCAGCAATAGTTACCGTACTATTTTGCCTGCCTCAATTCTTGATGACTTCACCAATATTTTGCCAGTAGTGATGACGTGAGCTGCAGCAATCAGTGAGATTCGCAATGAAGCCGCCTACGTGCCAGCAGTCCTTATAGGTCAATTGCCCTTCTGACACAAGATATATATCCTGACAGCTGTTGATTCCACACGGTTCTGTTTCTCGTTCTTACATCAACGCGCTGTCGCTCTACCGCCTACGTAGCTCCCGGCATTCGCCAAGCGCTAATAGCGTTAAAGGAAACCAACAGTCCCGTTCCTGACAATTTAAGCGCCCCTGCCGAAATGCTGCATCTCTTCCTCGTATTTACTTGATCGTATCTTACCCCGTACACTCCCACGACGAAATAAAGGCAAGCTCCGCTTAAGTGTACCGTGTCGCTTAGATTGTTAAAAAGACGGATGTCCGGGAGTAAAGAGAGATTGTGGGTAGACGGTCGGTATTTGCGAGCTGCCCGCCGGCATTTGCTTCGAAGCATGATACTAACAATGTAAGATAAGGTATCTTATTCGACGAGTAGTACATCAAGCACGCTTGTGCTTGGTGTACGGAGTACATACGGAGTAGTACCAACCCGATTGACCGCTGCACATTGCCAACAAGGGTAATTCACGCGTCGTTTTGCTGTGCCCTGGAGCTATATGCGGAGGCTTGTATCTCCCACTAGCACCAAGACCAGTATGCAGCCGAGTTACAGGAGGAGGAGAGCGGCTTAACATTTGAAGCCATGTTGTCTCTAAACAGTAACAGCTAACACAATCATCGTACGATTCAATCGAGGCTCCACCACAGTAGACCCCTTTAGGCTGGGCGCTGCCGAAGGGATTTCCTCTCTTAGGTGAGAAAGCTACAGTATAGCTCGCATACATACAAAGCAGTACGACGTACGGCATAAGGTGCCAGCTGCCATTGTGACGAGACCCTTGTCGTTGTCTCCTTTTGCTGCAATCTACAAGTTGACGTCTTCTGCGATATAGATTGTTCATAGAAGAACGTAAAATTTCAGCTAATCACATCTGGTACGGGTGGCATCCCGGACATACTCCGTACGACGTACGGAAAAGCGCGAGCAGCTATCTTCACAAATGGAGACGGAATTTTCCGTGTACCCGCTGAATTTCAGATTTGGCAGATGTCATCACCATCCAGGAAGTCAAGACAGCATACGAAGTATGGGCTCGGGACAGGCAGGCTGGCTAATTAAATTGCTGCTCTCCGCGTACCCGTACACACCGAGGGGTTTGCTTAATGAATCAGATGGACGCCACTGCAACTGGGCAGGATCTAACCCCTAACCAAACCAGTGGGGCCTCGGCAGTTGAGGGCATATCGAGCTATTTCCAGAGGCGGAAAGTACGAGCAATTACTCCGTGCGGAGCCTGTTAACTGTAATAGATGACGACCAAACCCGTGGGTGAGGTTAAGTAGGGGGCAAGGAGGGATACCAAGATATTTTACTTGGGATTGCTCGTATTTTAGGTGTTCTCGTATGTGCGAGATGCCCAGACTGTCCAATGGCCGTTACGCTGTCATTACGGCGAATTAAAGTGGGCTGCGAAAATGGCAATCTGCAGTCAGTCATCGAATCCTAGAGCCCTTTCCTACTCCTTGCTAGATGTGCCCCATCTCAACAGTTTCAGACATTCTACGTATAGAATGGCTGGATTCTCATTTCTGCAAGGGTGTGTCTGGGCCTTAGCCGTGTTATGTGCATATTAATATGTTGCACGTCGTAAAGTAAGATACAAGCAAGATACATTAAGAATAAGAGCTGGTCCGCATGTCAGAACGCGACTAACTTGGCCATGCAGAGCATCTCTTCTCGGAAGCCACCCAAGGCTAAGTACAGAAGCCTCGAACTCATATTTGTACAGACTACGTCGGACACCCTATTATGGGTTATAAGGAATTTACAAGGCCCCAAGTTCTGGCTCCAGAGCTAGGCAGGCCAAATAGCATCGACCAGGGGCAATAGCTCGCTGAGAGGCTAACGGTCGGTTACACCTACCACCGTTCTCCATTGAGACCCTGATCGGCGAGGCACAAGCGTCAGAAGCAAGGAAGAACACAAGGCGCAGCAAGTCCACACTGACTGGGTATGCCTTTCTGATGGCATTCCAAGCCAGATGAGCCTCCTTCGATTTCGCTTGTTTGACTTTGCTGGTTGGTACCAATTAGTAACGTCACCCTGTGTGTACATTCTCTTCGCAGGCTCCTTGGAGTCCACTGTTGTTTCCACTCGTGGCTCTTGCGAAGATGAAGCGCAGGAGCTCTGAGTCACCTGATGCACAACGGAGAAAGCCGAGAGCTACTATGTAAGAAGATCAGCAAAGGCCACTAGCTTTTTGCCAAGTCCCCACTGCCGAGGCAAGTGTTGCCTTGCTGCAACCGACGGCAAGCCTGCTGTGATGGCTGATGTCCACGAGCCTTACAGAACCGAAATGAGTCGATGGGACGGGTATTCCGTACGGCCGTTCACAATTGGCCGCCTGGACAGCGTTAGGAAATGCGCTAAACTGCCGGGAACGTAGTAGAAAGGCTAGAACTCCGTCCTCGTAAGATGCCGTGCTTTAGTTCTCGTACAGCGCTGCAAGTGTGGCGTTAAGTTTCACTTTAACCGTTTCATTCCATTGCACGCGCAAACGCAAAAAACTCCACACTTGCACATGTACTCCGAGGAGAAGCGACAGCTTCGGTGCCGTGTTCGTGGCTTGCAAGAACAAGTACCCGTACCCGTTACTCGTATTCCTGCAAGGAAACAGACCATGCTGGGCCTTGTTTTCTTGTTTTGCATTATGCCACTGCCCGTTCTTCGTTGTTGGGTTTTGAAAATTAGTCAGACAAAATCGAGCTGATAATTTTTTCGCCTTGCGCCTTACAGTCTTGATTATCCGATTGATGAAACGGGAGGGATCTTGAATAGTCCGTAGACGGATCGCTCGGCCAGTAAACGTGCCCAGCAGGAAAAAGTGAGTTGTGACAGATTTGCAAGAAGAATCGTGTCGGTGTACAGGTACTACGGTTTTGTTTTTATATGCCGTTCGGGCAATGATATCCTGCTCGGCTAGGAAATCCGAGCTCTCTTCCACATTTATCGACTTGTATCTTAGGAGAAAAGCTTTCTAGACGCTGGCATTGTAAACGGAGGCCGTCGCTTAGAGACGGAGAGCGCTGGTAATATCGAGGGTGGAATTGCAGAAATGGGGAACACCGTTGTACAAAAAAGACAGAAGAAAAATTCAAGGAACAAAGCCAAGCGAGAGGTAGCAAACGCCGCAATCTCATCACAGCGGATATGTGGTGCATTGGAGGTCGAATGGTAGGCACACCGGGGCAAGTGATTGGCTAGTTGCAAGACAACATCGATGACTTGCTGACCCCCACAGGCGGCCCGGAGAACCAGTGAAAAGCACATGAGGCGAAGAGGTGATGTGTATTGGACCAAATGCCGCCATTTGCAGATAAAGTCGATAAATCGGGCAGAGAACATGTCCCCCAACACGCATTTCAAGATTAAAAAAATGTATTCAAAGATATGCAACCTGTTGGTATCTTGTGTCCGTTTCTGGGCCTATGTGATTCCATGTCCCTGCAAATACCCGACCTAACGCCTTTTGAAATCCGGCTTGATGCCTATCCTATCTATATTTGTTTGCTTGTTTGCATGTCCCTCTGGGAAATCCTCCTGCGTGTGTTCTCCCTGTTGTGCACCTCCAATTGGTCACCGAGTCCGTGATCGGGACATCGTTACTCGTATTTCCCAGCTTTTTCCTTCCTGGCAAATGTTGCTCAGTGACTGGATGGACTGTGAAGCAGATCGTTGGGAGAAGCGTGCCAAGGGGGAAAAGAGAAGGCTCCTGCTTTCGGTGCCATAGTGGTGGCGCGATTGCAACGGCTCTCGATGCGCTGTGCAACAGGCAATTTCCCGGCTTCGTCCGTCCATCGACAGCTACGCTACTATCCCTTCTTGGTGTTGCTGACGTCGCCGAGGCTGTTGATGCTGGCAATGCCCGTCACACTGTGCGGAGTGTGACGCTTGATAAGATGCTGCCATTCAGGCACCTCTTGTGGCCGACATTGTCCTGGAAAAGATGTCAGTCAGTGCAATCGGTGGGAGGGTTCGGAGAGCTGAGATGTTGACAAGTGGACGGCTCGTGATGCAGGATGGAAGCACATACCACATATTTCGTTGGCCCTGTCGCACAATGTTAGTGTTGGCTGCCCTGGTACTTGTGGAGTCTCCACAGACAACTGCTTCTCACCTGTACTCGAAGTGGGTGATGTCGGGCTGACACCGCCTGTGCGTTCTCTTGTAGAGATTGCACCACCGCGCGGCAATGAACTTGAAATGGCCGCAGCTGTATTCTCTCTGACACGAAACATTGTCAGGACGAAGAACGGGAGAAAGTGCAGCAGAGAGCGGCTGGGAGACTAACTTGGGTGAATTCACACATGACGAAACACTGTCAGGCGAGGTTTGTGTTGTGGATATGGAGTAGACAGATGGGAGGGGGGTCAATCGTAAGTTGAGAAAGAGAGCGGCGGAGCAGTGGGCAATGGGAAAGAGAAGAGTGAAGATAAGAAACCAAAATGTGGAAGCGGCAAAACTGAGGGGAGTCCAAGATTCTTATATTGTGAGGGGGAAGACAAGGCGGAAAGCGAGACCATGGATCGGCGCGGCTCGTTTGTGGTAATGAACCGTTACGTTCCAGTGTAAACGGCAAAGACGCACGCTGATACACCGAGGGGACATGGGATCGGGCCATGTTAAAAGAGGAAGAAAGAGTCTGGACATTTGCGTGCAGTGCAAACGATGCAGCACCGGCCCGAGAGCAGGGGAAAGCAAGGACAGGGGGTAAAGAGGCCCATAAATTGTTGTTGTGGCCTTAAAAGAAGAAAGAAAAGAGGATGTAGGTACCTCTCTGGACCCGTAAAGAACACAGGAAAAGGACTAGAAGAAATGGTGTATGTTGTTTGATGGAACTGCCCCAAGACACGAAAGTGGTAGGGAGGGGGGAGGGGTGTGAGGCAAACAGGGGGGGAGTAGAAATGGAGATACTTGCAGGCCTGTGGTCCACAAGGATCACCGTTTGTAGGCAAGATACATTTGTATTCGTGGAGGATCGAGAGGCTAACGGCTAACAGGCGGGGAGTTGCAGAACGGGTCTTCCCCTACCAGGAAGGGAAAGCGCGCAACCAAAAGAGCAGGGGGCGGAAAGAGCAGTCTGGGCAAATGGCAGGATTAATTACGAGTGCTGGTGCTACGATGCACGGATTATTCCGTACTGGTCCTATGTACATATGAGCAAGAGAATATGAGATGGCTGCATACATACAACGAGTCCGAGACCGGTATGTTTCTTAGCTTGCCTGCCGGTCAAAAAAGATACGACGTGCTATGTAGAGCGATGTCCGAGCACACACCCGATACCCGATCAGCACAACCACGCTCGGTGCCTGGGGACTTTGGCCCATACACGTGGTTCCCGTAGGCCAGAACGGGAATGAGGGGGGCGTCGCTGTGGACATGAGGCGAAGCAGCGCAGAGGCGAAGGAAAACGAGAAAAAAAACGGATACACAATCAGTCATAAGATAGAGGCTCGTACATGCTCACATAGCAGTCCAGGTCTGGTCTTGTCTGCGGGCCGTTTCGGGCGCTACCATTTTGCCTGGCCAGACGAAGGAAAATTGCCACTCTGTCAGTCATCGAAGATGGATAATCTGGACTGCCGTCTCTGCCGTCTCGCGACGTGCCCCGTGGCCCCTGCCGATAACATCTGTTTGGCGACCATGGCGGCCCAAAATATCGATGCCTGACGATACCTTGTCGCCCCAGAGGTGCAAGTCACCATTTCTTTTTCTTGTCCCCCTGTCGGCGCCAATGCAGGTCGACGGAAGAGGTGTAGCGCCGAGAAAGAGAGGATCCAGAAGGAAGTTTCCGTTCGGAGTACGAGGACTCAAACTCGTGCAATTAGGGGGGCTACCTATCTTACTATGTAGCTTCGGTTGTTCTTTTTCGTCTTCCTGCGTCTGCGTGGAGGACTGGACACGTTGGCAGGCTGCTCTGGCTGCTTGTGCAGTCGCTGCCGTGTAGACCGCCCGCATACGAAGAAGGGAGGGGCGCACATTGACTACAAGACTGACGTAGTTCGTCCTCACCGGCCGAAGGAAAGATACGAGCATTCGTCTCTTACTCGCACACGCTGCAAAGAGGCAGTCACCGGAGCAAGATAACGGACCTGCCGGACACAGCAGGCTCGCCGACCGCTGCATGGTACCTTCCCTCCCTTGTCACTTTGTCGGTCAGTCGGCTTTTGGTCGTTCGGTCCCTCTACCGGTCTGCCCTTCTGCCCTTCTGCCCTTCTACCCTTCTGCCCTTCTACCCTTCTGCCCTTCTGCCCTTCTGCCCTTCTGCCCTTCTGCCCTTCTGCCCTTCTGCCCTTCTGCCCTTCAACCACACTCTTTCTTCCCCGCAGATCGGTGAAGGAGGCAGCATTCGGGATGGGGTCGAACATCCGCGATCTCAACGGCACAGCCTGGCAGTCCTACAGCCACGAAGGAGGCGGGCCAGACAGACAGACACGCCGCTATGCCCCCTCGTGATGGACAATTTCTCGCTGGGCGACGCTCGTCACTTATCACTTTCGGCTGTCTTTATTTGGACTGGCAGTCTCCACCTGGGGCACAATAGCAGTCAAATTTGGGCTGCTAAGGAGGAAATTGGCGACCCGAGGCCACGGTCGGCGGAACCGATGGGCGCCACGGGCGGTGCCATGTACGAGCAGAGAGAGCGTTAAGCCAGGCCTTGCTGGCCATCCCCCTTGTCCTTGTACTATGTATCTTACCTACCCCGTAGTAGGGAAGAGAGGGCGAGATGAGGGCGAGGGCTACATTGCAAGATATGTCGCATGCGCCCAAGATACATATCCCCATCTCACCTGCCTGGCCCCCAAGTCGATTTCACCCCTGGTGTGCTGCCCAGACACACTATGCCAGACAAGGCAGCTCGAGCCCATTGCTATTTGCAGCTGTATCCTCTTCTCTGACCAGGCAGTCGTTTACGGAGCTCAACATTGGCTGAGCTTGCCAATGCCACACGTGATCGGGGTATTTCTTTCTGCCATCTTACCTGTCACTCGGCACGCAACGGCGACGGATGGTGCGACTTGCTGGCCATGCCCCTGTTTCGCACGGCCGAGATCCGTATCTTACGAGAACAAGGCAGGGTCACAGGGCCCAGAGCCACAGAGCCCAGAGGCAGCCGAGGAGCGGCCAAGAGCGCAGTTCGACGTCGACGTACTCTGTACTCCGGACTCCGGACTTGCTTGGGTCGCGGTGGGCCTGCCATAACAACAACGGGGACGGTGGTTCGATGGCCTTGTCCCGGCCAATCAAGCCCGTCCCAGAAAACATCGCAGGGTGGTCCCGGCCCATATTTTCCCACACAGATGGGTCGCTGGCATAGCACTCGAAGTGGGTGGTAAACAACCGGCAGCTGTCGCAATTAGAGTCGAGCAATAAACAGTCACACACACCGCCCCGGCAATGACCAAGCGTAAGATACGTCGTAGAGACCCGAGCTCTGAAACGGGAAAAATGGCGCGGTGGAGACGTGCCAGCAAGAGTCCACGGCAGCAACAAGATCAGTGATGTCGAACTGCAAGGCCTCAGCGGGCTGTGTTGCGGCGCTGCGGTGCTGCTGCGCTGTTGTGGTGCTGGGAGCCTACTATGTCCGATGCGATACGTGTACTGAGCCTGCTGGAAGAATGGAAAAGGGGGGAAGCGGTGGATGGAGGGCGAAAGCGGCGATCTGCAGAGAAAACCGGATCGTTCTGCGGGCCTGAAGCAGTTATAAAAAGCAAGAAAGACCACGGCAGGTAACTGGAAAAAGAAACAGAAGCGGCATGCGGAAGAACGGCAGCACGTGGATGTAATTCGCCCCCCCTTCCCCTCCCCCTCCCCCCGCCTTCCATGTCCTCAGTCTCACATTCGCCAATGTCGAGAGTCGCTCGTATCTTACGGAGTACTTGTTGCTGTCAACGGTGCGTTAGCGTGGGGGACCGGGGGCGAAAGTGTCCCATGATTCATGGTGGCAGTCGGGCAGGCCGTCTGCTAGCTGCTGCTGCTCTCGCACACCGATGTGAAGGGGAGATTCTCCAGGATAGATGTCCATCCAAGTTCTAGCCGTGTGGGGGAATGTCGAGGGAATCACGACTCATTCTTGCAGCGAGTCCCGCCCAAGCTGTATTTGCTCGTGGGGGGCACGTGTAGTCTGCATGCACGCCAAGCAGAAAGGAAAGATTGGCCGTGTACACAGTTGCGACGGCCATTTCGGCTGGATGAGCGTGGGGTTGGAGCGTGGGAGGAGGAGCGTGGAAGTCGATGATTGGAGTAGTCAGCTGGGCTGTTACATAGTACGGGTGACGGGTGTGCTGATTAAGCATTATACAGCATGTTTGAAACGGCGTATAACCAGGTTGGGAAAGTCGTATCGTACGGACCTGCTTGACATAGAGGCACGGCGATGTTGGAAGGAGGCGATGCTACGGCATCTAGCTTGACCGGGGCCAGCCTTTCCGCTTTGTGATGCATGTCTATGCATGTGCGTGATTTGAGGGTAGGGCAGAGGACAGCGATAAGGATGGCATGATTGCGTGCGGACAGGCCCGGATCATGAGCATTTGACCAGGGGGGACTACTCCGTATGCAAGAAAGGGATACCCTGGCGCGTAGTACATGGAATTCGCTTGAGGGCCAGACTGGCATAGAGATGCTGCCGGCAGTCGGCAGCCGATAGTGTTGTGTCGGTCGAGATGGCTGCTGCGTTGGGCGTGTGGGGCAGGTGCGTTTTGTGCGCTACTGCTCCGAGTGTACGTCGTAGTAATATCGCACGGAATTTTTCATCGCATCTGCGGCTTTGCGACTACGTGCTTTCTGGTAGCCTCAGCTCCGAGCGCCGCGCCCTGCCAGCCGTCCATCTCTGCGTCCTCTGCATCTGGCCATGGAGGTGCACAAGCAGGCGGTGGCGGCCATTGCCAAGGCGGTGCGCAGCCACTATGAGCGGCGGGAGCCATTCCGGATTTTCCACGGGTCGACCAACTCGACACGGCCGGGCGCCGGAGCACGGGGCGGTGGCCGCGGCGTGGTGGACATCAGTGCGCTGAGCCACGTGTTGGCAGTGGACACGGCTGCACGCACGGCGCTGGTCGAGCCCAACGTGCCGATGGACCGACTGGTGGCGGCCACGCTGGCCCGCGGGCTGGTGCCACCGGTAGTGATGGAATTTCCCGGGATCACAGCCGGGGGCGGCTATGCAGGCACGGCTGGCGAGAGCAGCTCGTTCCGCCACGGCTTCTTTGACCAGACCGTGCGACGCGTCGAGATGGTGCTAGGCAGCGGTGATGTCGTCGAGGCCACACCCGACCTTGCCGATCCACGCCGCGACCTCTTCCGGGGAGCCGCCGGCGCTCTCGGCACTCTCGGCACTGCCACGCTGCTCGAGCTGCAGCTCGTTCCCGCACGTCGCTACGTCCGCACTACCTACCGTCGCTGCGCCAGCGTGGCCGAGACCATCGCCGCCGTGCGCGACGCCGCTGACCCGCTGCGCAGCCGCTTCGACTACGTCGACGGCATCCTCTTTGGCCGCCACCATGGCGTCGTCATCACTGGCGAGATGACTGACGATGAGCCGTCCGAGTCCGCCAGCCGCCAGACCTTTAGCCAGCCCCGCGACCCCTGGTTCTACCTCCACGTGCGCGACCACACCGCCGCCTCCCTCTCGCCCGATGAACCCGCCACCGAATACGTCCCCCTCGCCGAGTATCTCTTCCGCTACGACCGTGGCGGCTTCTGGGTCGGTCGCTCGGCCTTCTCCTACTTCCCCTTTCCCTTCAACCGCTGGACCCGCCGGTTTCTCGACGACTTCCTTCACACCCGCATGCTCTACAAGGCCCTGCACGCCTCCGGCCAGTCGTCCACGTACGTCGTTCAGGACCTCGCCCTGCCCTACACCACTGCCGCCGATTTTGTCGACTACACCGCCGACACCTTTGGCATCTGGCCGCTCTGGCTCTGCCCGCTGCAGCCATCGGCCCGACCGACTTTCCACCCGCACTCGAAGCTGGCCGCTGACACCGTCGTGTCCGCTATGCCACCCCAGCAGATGCTCAACGTCGGTCTCTGGGGCCCTGGCCCGTCTGATGCTGCCCGCTGCGTAGAGCTGAACCGCGACCTTGAACACCGCCTCGGCCACGATTTCGGCGGCATGAAGTGGCTCTACGCCCATGCCTACTACGACGAGGACGAGTTCTGGCGCCTCTACGATCGCCCGGCCTACGATGCTCTTCGCCAGAAATACCACGCCACCAGCTTGCCGTCTGTCTACGACAAGGTCAAGGTCGATCCGGCCCGCCACACCAGCGGAGCGTCGTCGTGGTCGTCGTCACTGCTCACAAGCTGGCCGCTGGCCGGCGCCGTAGGCTTGCGGCACGCTATCGCTAGCAAGGCGTATCTGCCACGGACGCCACCGTGGCGCACGTGATGGTAAGCAGTTGGGAGCAACAGAGGAAAGAGCAGAGGACCATTAGACGTAGCCATAGACGGGAATCGATGACAGACGAGAGCGATTTGAATTGGAAACTTGCGTAACATGCCTCATGAGTACAAGGTTGAGGAAATGATCATGTATGGCTGCATAACGGTAGTCACAGCGGACACAAATAGCAGTAACAACGATATATAAGCTTCTTGGCGTGGCCGGGGGTCATGGGGATGTGTCACTTGGGGATCCTTGTTTTGCGCCATGGTGACCGCGTTAGAGAAACGCTACGTTGTGGTACGCGGGTATGCAGGAGAGTTGGCCATGTCCTGGTTTTCTGGCCGGGCGGCGCCTCGCTCGTAGGAGAGAAAGATCAAAGAGGCAGCGAATTTTTCGTAGGAATGATTGCAGATTGCGGTAAATGCTTCGATGTGGAATTCAGAGCTATAAAGGTCATTGATTCGGCTTTAACACTCTGTTGTTGCTAGACGTGATGATGGATGAGATGGTAAAAGACAGTTTTGAATCGCCACTTTGTGTATTAATTGACTTCTACGAGCCTTTGTGGTTCCTTCCTTTTTAAGAAACCTTACATATCATCGTTCACCGAGCAACAAGATAGATTACAGAATCAGAAGTCGCTACCTAAGCTTATGTGTGACCATGTCAATGGATACAGTGTAGCCACTGCCCTTTCAGTCAAAATCCCCTATGTCGAGTCGTTTGAGAACAGCCAATTGTACAGATCGCCTAAACGGCCCAGATCGGACATCTGGATGTCAGACATGAGGAAGTCCCAGTTTTCAATATGATCAGACATCACATCGAAATCCTGACGCGTAAACAGGCTAGCTTCGGCATTAGCGGCGTCGGCAGCTGTGGCGGCCGCGGCAGTACTTGCAGTTTCAAAAAGAGCAGGCGTGGCAGCTATCTCTACGGCAGCTCCTTCAAGCTCTCCATCCGCTGCCGCGGCCCTGGCTTCGGTCTCCGAGCGTGCCTGTCCTTCTGCCCGATGGCGCTCTATCAAAGGCATACACATATCCAGTGACTCCTCGGCGCTGCGCACAAGCTCGTGAGCCAGGGCCAGCTTTATCTCGGGAGCGGCATTCGCCGGGTTCGTCATGCCTCGGCGCATCTGACCAATCTGTGCGAGGACAAGGCAGCAGAATAGGTGCCCTTTGCAGTTGACCTCGCCCGCTTCGACAGCCTTTAAAGACCAGTCGCGGGCGCTGTGCAAAATAGTCATCAAGTCAGGCCGAACGGGAATTAGGGGTGACTGGAGGCCAGATGAGGTGAGCGCCGACATGAGATGCGTGCCATCCTGAGCAATGTCCTCGAGCAGCTTCAGTTTGATCTCAGCGGCCACCAGCAGGCTTGCCTGCGCTGTCAGATTGCGGAGGGGGCCAGGACCGAGCATGGCGATGCGGATGATCTCGTCTGGGTCGGAGAAAAGAGGGGAGGATGGTGGTGGAAAGAGGCCCTTTGGCGTGGCCGCGCTGCTCGGCGGAGAGAAGTCGTGTGCGCTTTGAGTGCAGGTACTAGTGCTCCAGATCTTGACTGCCGTGTCCACGACGACGCGATGAGAGAAGGCATAGGCAGCCAGGTCGTGCACGGCGGCGCCGAAAAAGGGGACGTGCAAACACAATAGGGGCCGTCGCATCAGCAGGTCGATCAGTGCCAGCTGGACGTGAGGAATCGGTTTTTCGTCGGTGCCGTCGGTGCGGCTATTGGCACTGCGCTGGAACGAATCCAGCGTCTGGCAGAGCGCCCGGAATACAGCTCGGAACTCCTTGTCGATCCGCAAAGTCTCACCATATGAGCCGCGTGGCTCCAGGTCGTTGAGAAAGTGAACAATGGCCAGGCGCAGCGGAAAGGTTTTGCGCAGCGCGATGGCCACAGATGTCTGAGTGAAGACGTCTGGCGGGCGGCCTTCTTTGGAGAGGTTTGTCCTGTTCTCCGTCGAGTTCTCAAGATCGATGGTCCCGTCACCATCACCATTGCCACCCAACAGCTCCTCGTCATCAAAATTGCCCGGGGGCTGCGCGTCAAAGTCAGCCAGCGATAGCATGACCGGTCCACCGGCGCATAATCCCGTATTAACAGCCAGCTCCAGGATGGTGTTCCACAGGCGGCGGCGCATCTCGGCAGCCAGGAGAGTGGCCCTCTTGGGCAGCAGCAGCGGATCACGATGCAAGCCCATGTAGACAGCGGTGCGCAGAAGGCTTCCAACGGCCATCCAGACCAGGTCGGTGCCAACACCGACAGCCTCGCGTGCCAGCAGCAGCAAGACGCTGTTTTGCAACGTCTGGATGGTCAGACGTGCCTTGAAGTCGGGCTCGGCTGCCCAGCAAAGCGCCTGGTGTACCCAGCGGATAGCATTGGGGCGCAGTCGGACGTGTTCGGGGTGGCTGGCGGTGCCAATGGCCAGCACAAGGCACAGCTGCACCAGAAAGGCGGTGTCTGGCGCAGATGAAGAACCGGTAGCAGCAGCAGCATCCGCCCAATAGGCCTCATAGTCTTTTTGGAACAGAGGCACATGCAGGACGCGGAACAGGCCCTCAGAGCTGCGCAGGTAGCACTGGACAAGCTGGTCGGCCAGAGGACGCGGCGGTAGGTCGCGGCGTCGTGCTGCCAGCGAGCTCGGAAGGGTGACTGGCCACGGGGATCTGCGCTGCGCCTTGATGATGCGGGCGAGGTGCTTGATCCGATGCATGTCAACAAATACCTTGCTCTGCTTGTTGCCCACGATGGACAGCTCGATCGACTCGAAGATGTCGCGGAACTGCACAGTCAGCCTCTGAAGCTTTCAGTCGCTGGCCTCTTTACCGGCCTCTTGTTTCTTACATACCCCCATGACACTGTTGACACCGTGGCTCTGGCCAAGGAGGCGTGTCTTGTGCATGACGTTGCGGCTCGTGAACTGTGCATATCCTGGAATGCCTTGGCAGCGAGTGTACGAGTGACCCTGGCCTGCAAAGGAGTCGCAGATGACGGGTCTAGTCCAACCGGCCGCCGATCGGACGAGGTTCTGCGACGTCGCCGGTGTGTCCAACGGTGGCGACACCGGCGACAGGGGCGAGTCGGCATCGACATCGGTACCGGTATCGGCTTCGTGACTGAGGCTGGGAGAGCTTTGCTCTGGCTGCGTCAAGCGTGAAGAGGGCGATGTGGCAACAGCAGTTGTGGACACGCCCGCACTTGCAGGGGCACCTTGATGACGTGGTTGCTGGTTGCGCCGAACGGCACGCAGCTGTGCCTCGAGCTTGCGAATTTGTCGTCTCAATGCGCGACGAATGCAGCTGTCAGACAGCGCCGTCTCAGGACCCACGCAAACCTCATCCGTGAATGCGGGCTTGCCCAAGGAGGCATCCATGTCGAAAGGCGGGTGCATCTCCGCGAATTGGCCCGGCAGGGTTGTGGGGGAAGGTTGGAGAGGAGCTGCCACAGCTTCTGGCTCGGTGGGATAGGATGTTGGCAGCACCACTCGTCCATGCTGCGATTCCGACTGCTGCAGCTGTGGCAACGGTGGCAGATCCTCATAAACGCAAACAGCATCTTTGCGCGCCCGAAGACAGTTGTTGCATGGCTGTTCGCGATTGCAGCGAATTTTCCGCCGACGACAGAGCGCGCAAGAGCTTTAAGGGATCGTGTTAGGGCATCTTGAGCCAGCTGGCCAGAGGAAAGGAAACTTACACGGCTGGACGTCTTCGGCGTCGAATCTCGGAATCGGCCATTAGAGCAACAAGAAGACGGATGTGGAACAGAACTGGACACTGCTGCAGAAATTGATGGTCACTTTCGACCTCTTCAACAGCCGATGCTTACTGTCATGCCTTGGTGTTAGCAAAGTCGGGGGTAGCTTACAGTGCTGATACAATTCTCGGGGATAAGGTGGGTCATCTAGCGTAAGCCTCGCCAGAATTAGCGGCCCCGAAGCCGAGTCCGATCGAGAGCCTCGTTCAACTCCGCCATAAGAACAAATAGCACCGCAGAAAGTCGGGCCAGGCGGGGCGCGTAAGATGTGGCTATCTGGGGAGAGGGAGTATATATTCTTCAAGTCTCTGCAATGCCTCCTTCTGGTGTGCCTACTGCTCTCTCTGTATATATCGTCACTGCGTGCTTATTGCAAGCTTGATAGAACAGCAATGGACCCAGAACACACCCCGGTAGAGGATAGTACTGGTAGCAGCAGTCGAGAAGACGGCCAGCCGGTCGGCGATGTCGAAAAAGCAGCAGTCGGATTCGAACCGGCACCAGATGGTGGTCTCTTAGCCTGGTCAGTGGCCGCGGGTGGTTTCTTTGTAGTCTTTTCGACACTGGGCTTCGCCAACTCGTTTGGTGTGTTTGAGGAGTTTTATATGACGCACCAGCTCGCCGAAAAGAGCGCCGACACGATCTCGTGGATCGGCAGCTGCAGCACGTTCTTCCAGTATCTGGCCGGGGCCGTGTCGGGGCCGCTCTTCGATCGATATGGGGCCATGGTGAGTCAATTTTCTCGTCCATCTTCTTGATCTTACTCCTCTGACAGGCTTAGGTTCTCCACTTGTCAGCCTTCTGCTGCGTGTTTGCTGTCATGATGATCAGCCTCTGCAAGCAGTACTACCAGTTTTTCCTAGCCCAGGGCGTGCTGCTAGGCCTCGCGAGCGGCGGGATGCAGTTTCCGGCCATGGCTGCGGCGATGCAGTATTTTGACCGGAAGCGCGGGGCGGCACTGGGAATCATTATCGCGGGCTCGTCGTTGGGCGGCGTGGTGTTTCCGGTGGCGCTGAGTCGCATGCTCAACACGCCGGCCGAGGAGGCGCGGCTGGGTTTTGGCTGGGCCGTGCGCATCATCGGCTTCATCATGCTGGGCTCGCTGGTGGTGTCGTGTCTGACGGTGCGACCCCGACTGCCGCCGCGGAAGACGAGCTTCTTTCTCGTGGGGGCGTGGCGCCAAAACGACTTCCGCCTGCTCGTGGCCTCGTTCTTCTCCTTCCTCGGCATGATGATGCCGCTCTTCTACCTGCCGTCGTTTGCGGTCTCGATCGGGACCCACGCCACACTGGCGTCGTATCTGCTCGCCATCGTCAACGGCGCGTCCACGTTTGGTCGCATCATCCCCGGCATCTTGGCCGACCGGCTCGGCCGCATCAACGTCTTGGTCGTCGGCTGCACCACTACCGGCATCTGCATCTTCTGCATGACCACGATCACATCCAATGCCGGCCTCGTCGTCTTCGCCATCTTCTTCGGATTCACGTCCGGCACCATCATCTCCGGCATTTCGGTCGCCCTCTCCATCTGTGTCGCCGACCCCCGCAACATGGGCACGTACATGGGCATGGGCATGGGCCTGTCATCCATCGCCGCGCTGGTCGGCCCGCCCATCAACGGCCGTCTGGTCCACGCCTACGGCGGCTATCTGCAGACATCCATCTTCAGCGGCGTCACCTGTCTGGTCGGTGCGGCCCTGGCCTTCTTGGCCAAGGCCGGAACGCCCGCCGGACTGTGGGGGAGAACGTGAGGGGAGGTAGGCTTGTTTCTGACAATAGATTTAATAAACATTGCTGGATGTCCGGTAGAAGTTCTGTTGTTTATTTTGCCACTTACCTGACTCACTGTATACCGCTCGGTCGTGGCTGCCATAGCGGTCGAATAATAGACATGTCACCTGATCCGGGCAAAGCCAGGCTTTGAATATTACAAAATGTATTCGCTCTCGCTGAGCTCTATTCGATTCCTGCTAAACTAGATTCCGTTGTCGGATCGCAGCCTACTCGGGAAATGCCAGCAGGATCGACCCGGTCGTGGTCTTGGCCTCGACGGTTGACGCGTTGTCGGCGCTGCCCTTTGTGCCCTCGACGTGGTGGCCGACGAACGGCGGGAAGTGCGGGTTGTCGTCAGGCAGCACGTGAACGTCCCTGCCGAGCAGCCTGGCGCTTCCGCCGACGAGGGTGTCCAGGCGGGCGAATCCGGCCCAGGCGTTGGGATAGCAGAGGTTGATGTTGCCGGAGACGGCGTGATGACGGGAGCGAAGAGAGTCGAGCGGCGGCTGATCGTCGCCGTAGGCCAGCTGCACAGCAGTATGGCCGCTGACAGTGGAGGTTTCGAGTTCGAGTTCGCGGTGCTCCTCGGCGGTGCTGTTGCCGGCGAGCGGGGCCTGCGGACGGAGGCTGACGTCCAGGTCACCCGAGACGGTGTGGATGCGCGCGATGCGAGCAAAGACGGCATCGGACACGGATATGCTGCCGGAACGGCTTTCCACGTACAGCGAGTGGCCGGGCCGGCTGGCCGTCGAGGGCAGCTCGCGCAGCTTGATGTCGCCCGAGACGGTGGAAAGTGACAGGTACGGCGCCACGTCGGAGACGTCGGTCTCGTCGGTCTCCTCCACCTCAATATCGACAGTCCCCGACGAGGAGCTGACGGCCAACGAGTGGCGCAGCGCCCACGGTCCACCAGCCACACTGCCAGCGGTCAGAACGATCTCGGTGTTCTTCGCGGCGAAGTGGAAGCCCGACTCAGACTTGTTTGAGGGCGATGACAGCTGGACGCCAGCGACAACGTCGGAAATCTGCGAGTACAAATGTGCAGACAGGGCCATGGTCATGTCGAGGCCCTCGACCAGCTTGATACCCAGGTAGGTGGACGCGATGCGGAGGCGGTCCAGGTGGGTACCAGTCCGCTCGGGCACCCAGACGGTCACGCGAGCCAGAGCACAGGGGTAGCCCCGTGTCGTGGCCAGATCGTCGAGCTCGTCGACCCAGAAGCCATCGTCGACAAAAAGGGTGAAGGCTTGGTTGTTCGGATCGCCTTCATGGCCGAGCACGACGTCGGAGTAGATGCGCTCATCGTTGTAGACGAGCTCGACGACAACGGCCCCGTCCGGATGGGCGGCATCAGCCTGTCGGAGCACAATGTCACCCTCGACGTGCACCTGACGCCAGTGTTCATGTCTGTGCTCGTGGTCGTCGCGGCGCCGCGATCCCTGATTCAAGGACAGCCGGTGACCGGGACCCAAGACCAGCGGATACGTTGCCGGCGGCGGCCGGAACACACGACCGCTGCTGTTGTAGATGTTGTAGATGTTGTAGATGCGGCACTTTGGATCGGTGAGCTCGAGAGGCCCTTCCAAGGGGGCGCCCTTGCCACGGGCCGGCTGCTTGACAGGGGAAGTGCTGTGGGTGTCAGAGTGGGAGGAAGTGACGCAAGAAAAGACGTAGATTCATAAGAAGGAAATGGAAAGGAGAAGCATGCACAAACGAACCCAAAGGACAGCGGCCACAGCCAGAAGTGCACCGTCGCCAGCAGCAGCAACGACAACAGGATGTGGTGCAGCGGCAGTCGACGGCGGCGACGGCGCACATGTGTGTTCACCGACAGCGGCGGCAGCGTGCCGGCGATGGAGCCGCGCTTCTCCAGCAGAGGCTGACGTTCCATGGTGTAGTATGTCGTCGGGTAGGAGATGCGATAGCGTCAGGCATAGAGGAGATATTACTGTATACAGAATTGCTGTATGCGAAACAAGAAAGCTTGGCAAGGCGCCCATGGGGAAGGAACGCGGGACACTTATGTCTAAAGGGGAAATTGTGCTCCTAGTCCGGACTTGGCGCAGGACCCAGCTACCACCTAAACGGCTGCCTGGGGCACCGTCGTATTGCTGCATTGGGCAGGTATGAGCAGTCCAGAATGTGCGCACTGGCCAACAGCGTCCGTCACTGTGGCAGTGCCCGGTGCTACGAAGACAGCCGAGCGTTGCAGCACGGTGGGAAATGGAAGAACGGAAAGTGGAAAGGAGGAGGAAAAGGGAAGAGGTGCGAGCAAAAAATGGAACGGGAAACGGACAAGAGAAGGAGAGGATGGCAGGAACAAAGGAAAGGAAAGGAGGGGAAGTAAACAGGAGGTGGCTGAAGCACAGAACCAACAAAAAAGGTCCTTGCGATAGATCGATCAGGCCTCGTATCTGCAGACGCAGATGCCAATCAGGATGAATTTGGGGTTATTCTAAAGATCCGGGCCGCGTGGCCTCTGTAGATCGACGGGCCGAGGCCCGTCCAGACTCAACTCAGCCTCCTGGCCGTGGTCTCGGGTCTCCGGCTCACGGTTCACGGCAGTCCGAGCAGGGTCTTGGAGTTCTCGTAGACCATCCAGGTAATGCTGAGGGCGGGGGCCACCTTGAGCAGGTTGGGCGTGAGGCCCTTGTAGAGACCACGCCAGCCCTCGTTGGCGATCGTGCGCGAGGCCACGTCCCAGATGCCAGTGTAGGTGGGCGGGTGAAGAGCGGTGCCCTGGGTCTGCAGCCGTGTGCGCAGCACGTTGAGCGGATAGACGACAGACGCGCCAAAAGCCCCGGATGTGGCCCCGATGATGCCAGTCACCACGTTGCCAGGCGCCACGTCGTCCTCGTGCAGTCCGTCACGCCGTGCCTTGTAGCGTACGACGGCGCCTTTGAGCAGCTCGAACGTGCCCATGTCGATGGCGCTGTAAGGAAACATGCCGATCAGGCCCATGGTCACGCCACGATACGCTGCCCGCCAGCCGCCACGCCGTCCACTGCCGCCGTTTGTCGGCGAGTTCGCGTCCAGCATTCGCCGTGCCGTCTGGATCAGCAGCGCCCGTCCAGTCGGTCCGCCTGCGACCGTCTCGCACTGCAGCCGGAACTTGAGCGTGTCCAGTGGATACACGCAGAACTGCGCAATCATGCCGGCCACACCGCCCGCCACAAACTTGGAGTAGGGGTTGATGTGTGCTGGGTCGCCATGGCCCTCGAGCGAGGCGCAGGCCCGCTTGGCCGCTTCGTACGAGCCAAACTAAGGGGGGGGTCAGCTGTCTGCCGGGCTGTGCTGCTGGGCTGTGCTGCTGCACTCACCTTGATCGCCGTCTCTGGCATGATCTTGACCACGTTTAGTCCGTTTCCTGGGCTGTTAGCGAGTGCATCTCATACCGCCTCCAAGGTCCACTCTGTTCGCAGCATGACCACCACCCACCTGCAAAAAACGTCCGCAGTCCTCCTGCTCGGTACAGGCTCACCACCGCGTCCGTGATCGGCCGCGCTGCGTTGTGCAGCGCCGCTAGCGGGTGACCGTGGCGCACCGCGTTGATTGACGCGTTGCTGCCGGCCCGCGTGCTGACCAGCAGAAACACCTTGAGCCGGTCGAACGGCGCCGTTGCCGTCCGCGAGATCCCGCCCGCGAGCGCGCCTGCCACAAAGTATCCTGGATGGGGCATGTACTGCGTCAGTTTGGACATCTTTGCACGCCCCTGCTGCGTCTTTTGAAGCTTGTCGTCGTCCACCTCGCCGTCTTCGAGATCGTCCAGGCTGTTGATCTCATAGCCCCCCGGGTTGTCCCCGTCATCCTCCATTGACGGCGGTGGCGCAAACGATCGCCGGGGGGAGGGCGGTAGGGCTGGTGATGGCGCTGGTAATGACGCCAGTTGTGATGTGAGTGTGTGTGCTTCGGCCGATTCCCCGCAGTCTAGCTCCGATTCGCGCGTCCGCGACGACACGGCCTTCGGTTCCGCCGCAGATGGATGGGCAAGCTTCAAGAGAGAACCAAACAGGGCGTAGAAGAGAGAACCGGCCGTACCTAAGCCTTCCAGAGTCTCATCGCTGACCAGCGAATCGCCCTCGGCATTGAGCACCACCGTGGCCGCATAATACGAGAAGGCCGTGGCCAGCGTCGAGTCACCGCGCGTCGGGATGAACAGCAGGAAGTTCCTGCACACGTCAGCCGCTGTGCTTGCCATTGGGCAAAGGGACACCCCGACAGGGACACCTACCGCCACTCCTCAAAGCTGATGTACCCGTCGTGGTTCGCGTCCATCTCGTCAAAGAAGCCATTGAGCCGCTTCACCGGCACCGACAGCCCCGTCTTGAGAAAGGCACTGCGCAGTTCTGTCCGATTGACCCGTCCGTCGTGGTCGCGGTCGATCGACCGGAACAGCGTCAGCAGCTCGTGCTCGGCCGTCTCGACAAACACCCGGAATTCTGCCTTGTCAGCGGGAGCCAGCTCAAAGGACTGACGACGCTTTGCGTGTCTGTCGTCCCACCTTCATATTGGATCTTGCCGTCGCCGTCGGCGTCGACAAGCTTGATGATCTGCCGCAGCATATCGTCCGCGTTTTTCATCGCTATCCCGTCAGCAATCGCACCCAAAACAAGCACGGCCACGCCGGAAGAGGCTGCACTCACGGTGGTCAATCCGCCGGAGTCCCTTCTTGAGCCCCTTAAAGTCCAGGTCCTTGCCCTGCGGATCCAGCCGCCGCCACAGCGCGTCGACATCGTGTCGCGCCCGTTCGCTCGCATCCTCCGCGTCGCTCGCTGCTGCTGTCGTCATGGCCCCGCTGGCCGTCACGGCCGTCGTCCGGCTCGGGGGGAAAGCCTCCTCGTCGTCGCGGGCCGTCATGACCAGCCGACCATGGCAACCTCGGGCAGCTCAGGGAGTGGTCGCGTGGGCGCGGGCCGTCGTCAAGGTGGAGGAACAAACTCGGCCTCTTATCTTTTCCTCGCTTCTTTCTTCTTTTTCGTCTCAATTGCCCGTCGTTCAAGGCTAGCGCATCGTTCGTTTGAAAGCAATTGCGTCGTCGCAGAGCCGCGCAGAGACTGCTAGGAGCTCCAGGTTCCGTGGAGGGGTTGCGTGTGGTCGTCTAGGGAGCTTGGCTAACCTAATGATCGGTAGGGCCGTGGAATCAGGATTCCTAGCTGAGGTTAGTTTCGGTGCCGCTCGGCTTACACTTTTGAGTTTTCCAGGTCTTGCAGCAGCCTGTACGCAGGGAAGAAGCGCCATCCAATCAGGTTTCCCCTAATCCGACCTTACCTCGGCCGTACTATTCTCCGGCCTTCAGCTACAGAGTACAGGCCCATCTGGCCGAGCTCAAACTGAGTATCACAGTTCCGTTTGGCATCTTATGTTCGTTTGATTAGTATGATATGTTATTATATAGCATCCTTCATAGGACTGGCCAGTTGACAAGCATGTTCAATTGGGCTAGCTAGCCGACTTATCTCTTGATTGGGCGGCAACGCTGAACTACAAATCATACTACATAGTACAAAGTACAGAGTAGCACAAACAAATAGGACTGTAAATTAAGAAAACCCATACGCATTCCTCAGCCTAAGAAAAGCTATATATTGCACGGGTATTAAGTCAAACTGGCAAAGGGTCCCGAAATTGCAGAATCAGCACGCGTCCAGAACGGCAGCTTATCGCGATATTCGACCCTGATATAGTGATGCACTTCGGGTCGTACTCTGAGGGCAACCGGAGAAATCTCCGACCTTCGTATACAATCCAGAATTTTCTCTTGTGCAGACTGTACCCCAACCTCGAAGTTCGGGGAGAGGTACTAGGAACATATAAGCCTGACCGTATGTCCACCGGTATATTCAGCGGTATATATTCCCAGTCAAATTGCGCTAAACGGCTCCGTTTGTCGTCGAGCAAAAGTGGATACCCCTTTGACCGAAAAACGACCTTCCAGTCAGCTGTGGTAAGGTTCCAGATAGCAATTGAGTCGAAGGACTTCGTTGCAAAAGCCTTCCCGTCATCCGACCAGGCCACCACCTCAGGCAACCAGGCCACTGCCGCAGTGAAGCTATTATACTTGTGCTTGCGTTGGCCCGTATCGGGATCCCAGACCTGGATCGTACCGTCTGCTGCTGAAGACGTGGGCTGTCTGCCGACCGGCCAGAATATCCAATCTACCTCCTCGCCACGACTCCAGAGAGAAGAATTGTTGTTATCGGCACGTTGAACAGTCTGATCCCAGATCTTGTATTATGCCACTTTGTGATGCCGTTGCCAGCAGTCTTCCGTCCGCCGACCAGGCTACTAAGATAGCCCCGTCGATGCCTTTCATCGTGGCCCACTGGTTTTCTGCTGAGTCGTAGATCCGGATTGTGTCGTCACCAAATGCAATTGCAAGCCGTCCCGTACTTCCTGCCCATGCTACTGCATAGACACTACTATTGGGATCGTCTATCTCTGTGTGTTCACCCGTGACATGGTCCCGGAACCTGATGGTGCCATAGACCGAGGCGTATACCAGCCGCCTCCCATCATTTGACCAGGATATTGCCTTGACATTATCGGCCTGCCACAGTGTGTCCTCGCTAGTTCTGGTAACAAGGTCCCATAGTTGAATTGTTCCGTGGGTACTTGCAATTGCGAGCAGTCCTGTATTGCTCGACCAGGCTGTTGTCCAGGTGTTCCATGATCTGAGATAGGCGTCAATCCTTTGCTTCCGTGAGGCCCGCGATGTGTGATCTGAAATGGAATAAACCGACCGCTCTCATATTTATCGAAAGGGGCTTCAATCTCAAACGTAGTCTAGCACCGACCCGTACTGGCGTCCCAAATCTTCACTGTCCGGTCGGCAGATGCTGACGCAAGCCATCTCCCATCAGCTGACCAAGACACTGATTTGACAGTATCATCATGCCCTTTAAGCGTATTTTGGCACTGATCCGTACTGGCGTCCCAAATCTTCAGTCCCGTCGGCAGATGCTGACGCAAGCCACTCGCTCATCGGTTTCCAGACTACTGAAGTGACCGTGTAAATATGACTCTTGAGCTCGAGTTTGCATTTTCCCGTTACAGTATTCCAGATTCTGACAACACTGTCGTTTGACCCCGATGCAAGCCACTGTCCGTTTGCTGACCAGTCAATCGACCCTATCATATGGTGACTCCTGGTTATGAACGTCTGTAAGCAAGCACTCCAAAAACCAGTCATCGTGGGTTTACTTTTATCCAGTCTGGTTCTTCCGTTTGAAAGTACCGCCTGACTGCACTGTGTTCGGGGCTGAATATAAGCGCTGAAGAATATACTTGAAGGGGGTTGGTTTCTATGACATCCTTGTGATGTATCATAAAAAGATATGCATCTTCCACGAACCGGCGAGAGTCGGTTGACGGGTTCTTTACAAACGTTAGAAAAGCTGAGAGTGGAGGAATCACAACGACCTACCCGGTGCAAACCTTCCAGTTTTGCCATTGAAAGTATACCATCCGACACAGCTCCGATGAGGCTCAGAGCTTCAAGCCAGTAGAGATAATATACCCGCAGAAATATGTCGATAGCGTCGATGTCTTTTGGACTCAGGAGAGCACCCTCGCCAGTGATGCAGTCGTGCAGGTGGTTAATCCAGAAGCAACATGAATATCGCGCATGAGATAAAGGATCCGGTAGTGGAACATTGACATCTCCTCTGTCAGTCCCAGGATCTCGTAGCTTGTAGACGTTCCTATGTAGGGTTGAAGACATTATTTTCAGGGACTGTGTGAAAATATAGTGGTGCATGGCATATATCCCAGACAGCAATACACTGCCAGAGTCGAGGAGATACTCCTTTGCTGACTGATGAACTAGAGACACAGTTTGTAGGCCCGATGTCAATGTTAAAAACGAGCCACAAAGTCCAACTATTTTTTAAATTTCAGAGGTAGTGACAGACTTGTCAGAAAGAGCAGCCAGTTCGTCTAAAGTAACCGGGCGGTATACAGTAACAGCAACGGCCAGGATGAGTTTACAGAGCTCAGTATCTGCAGGACAGTCCGGATTGCAGACCTGCCTCATCATCTGCTCGTACAGTTCTTTGAGCCCTGATGGAAAGGTTGTGAGCTTCAAGATCGTATTCCATGGATTTGTCCTGGCAAGGTCTTGACAAGCCAAAGCCACCCAAAGAAAGGTATCTTTGGCATGAGCCCTGAGATAGCTGTGGACGGTACTTCTCACGATTTCATCGTAGTCTTTGAGTGCTGCCAGCTTGCTGACTTTGTACTCAATGTAACTGGTCACAGCTCCAGAAATGGAATCCTGGTTCTCAAGGCAGAGCCATAGCTTTTGTGATGGAAGGGAAAGCTTCTCCTCAATGATTGGCCAGTTCCGGCTAGACACTACCCATTTTATGTTCGCGTATGCTGTCGACTGCTCAGCGATGAAGTCCAGGAGAAATGGGAGACCCGTAGTACATTCATCGAGTCCGTCTATAAAGAAGTAGGTTCTTGGAAAATTGTCGTCTCCCATCATTTGGATGAAAATCGTCTTCAGGGCGACCCAAGCATTCGTATCTTCAAAGAGAACTTTGCCAGCCACATCGTACCTCTTTTGCACCAGCAGGAGATACATCAAGCCTCGTAGAACGGATGTGGCATTATTGATGCGGGAGTCGGCTGCTTGACAGAAGAAATAGGACAGCAATGGGCTGCCACGTTGCCCTTCCAATTCTTTGATGATGCCGCACATCAACATTGTCTTGCCTTTTCCCGGGCCACCATTTATCCAGAGCAGTCTGTTTTCGGGTTTGTTGCGCCACTCGTTGAAGATTTCATTATCAGAAATCCAAATGTACGAGTCTCTAAAGAGGCTATCCTTAGCCTCCTCGATGCGAGATTTGTCGTCACGAGGATCCGTAAGACGCAAGTCAGTCAAACAGCGATTGTGGCTCTCATTACTTGGGCCTTTTCGGTCAGCCTTGAGTCAAGCAGGGACGGATCTCGGCTTACTGTTTGCTTTGTCGAGCTCGACGTGTAGGCGCCTGAAAGCTTTGTCTCTTCCCTCGCCGTACAGTAATGGCATTTGTGTGCCGAAATTGCCGAACAAGGAGTACGCCTTGTCTTCTTCTAGTGTCGTTTTCCGTTTCTCTGCCCACTTCATTCGTTCATCAACACTGAACTTGGACAGAGGGCTACCCCTCAGCGCGTTGACATTTGCTTTCTCGGAAGGCGGACTGCCACGAGGCGATGGTATCAACGCTCGTCTTTAAGCGCTTTGCTTTCGAGCGGGTCACGCGCGACTCCGTAACGTCTGACATATATACATAGCATCTGGCAGCACAGCGGTACCACGAAAACATGCGGATAAGGGATTCCTGCAGTTCAGTGGAATTGGACTTGTCGATACAGCAGGTATCCACCCAGTAGTACTTCAAGCCATCGCGAGTTGCCTGATTCCCACAGAACCGGATCTTGTCATAACCACGTTTCTTCTCGTAGGAGTCGTTCTGAATGTCTGAAAACGTGACCTCTTCGTCGCCCCATGTGTGTGAGAGGATAGCATAGGGGGGTGGAGGGGTATGGTTAGGAAGTCTGCCAGGCTAGTTTTGCCGGCACTGTCACGATGCAGCAGCCGCAATCTTAGTGTAGGCTCAGCCTTGTCTTCAACGCTGAGCTCAAAGTCGTTCGTTCGTCTCTGACAGTCGGGAGGATTTCTGCTTGGCTTTTTAGCCTCCTTGCACATCAAGGTTCCGTCAGATGTGATCAGGTTGAGTTCTACGAAATAGATGGCGGGGCAATCCCATATATGCTCGACACAGGGCAAGGCGTTCATTCAGTCTTCCCGTCGTTGGGCAGACAAGTGGGGCCGGGCGCAATTCTATATCACGTGCCCGTGCTGCGCCTACCTCCTGCCTATTTGTCCAGCTTCCTGGAGCTCCACTCGACTCGGGAGCTCTACAGCAACAGCAACAATGGCGGCCAGCTACTGGGACTCGACACAGCGGCGGTTCTGGGAGTTCAGCAAGGAGCAGCTGGCGGCGCGGCGGCGGCAGCGGCAGGAGGAGGAACGCAGCCTGGTGCAGATGTGTCCGCTGCCGGAGCAGCGATACCTGAACATGTTTTTCTTCCAGCGTGAGTTCTCACCCGCCTGTGACTTCTTCTGTTTCTCCTTTCCCTCCCGCTGACCCCTGCAGAGCTTAACCGGCTGGGAAAGCGGACGAACGTGCGACAGCAGGCCCTAGCGACGGCACAGGTGTACCTCAAGCGGTTCTACCTGCAGGTGGAGCTGCGACGGACGAATCCATACCTGGTCATGGCGACGGCGCTGTACCTCGCCTGCAAGACGGAGGAGTGTCCACAGCACATCCGACAGGTCTCGCAGGAGGCCAAGGGTCTGTGGCCGGACGTGGGTGCGCACTGCCTCGAGATCACGCGCATCGGCGAGTGCGAGTTCTACCTGATCTCCGAGCTGCGCTCGCAGCTCATCGTCCACGCCCCCTATCGCACCCTGCTGTCGCTGCAGGGCGAGCTGGGCCTGCATCCGGACGAGCTGGCCCATGCCTGGAACGTGGTGAACGACCACTACATGACCGACCTGCCGCTGCTGTACCCGCCTCACGTCATTGCCGTCACCGCCCTGTTGTGGGCTCTGGTGCTGCCACCGGGAGGAGGAGCCGGAGGGGGCGGTGGCGGCGCTGGAGGAGGGGGAGGTGTGGGAGGCGGTGCAGGGGCTGGAGGTGCAGGTGCGGGAGGTGTAGCGGGCGGAGGAGGCGCCGGTGGTCCAGGTGCTGCCGGCGCAGGAGCCAACGCGGGCGTTGGTGGAGCTGTTGGCGGCAACGTCGGCGGCATGACGCCCGGTGGCGGCGGTGGCCTCCACGGACCCTCATCTCTTCCGGCGCCGCCCCAACTGCACACGTCCTACTCGTCGCTGTCGACGCTCGGCGGACCCGGTGCCACCAATACGCCCGGTGGCAGCAACACGCCGGGCGGCGGTAGCGGCGGCAGCATGTTGCCGAGCACGCCCGGCATGGGCGTCGGTACCCCGAATATGCCCGGCGGTGTTGCGGCCGCTCTGGTCCAGGCACAGGCTCGCGCAGCCGCCGTGGCGGCATCCCAACAAAACGCTGCTGGTGGTGGCGGTGGCGGCGGCACGCCCAACATGGGCAGCAGTATGGTGGCGCTAGGTGCGCTCGGCAGCATCAACAGCATGGCGGCCACCATGGGCACTATGGCGGGCATGGGCATGGGCAGCATGAACTTGGGTGGCATGAACATGGCCGGCATGAACAGCATGGTCGGTGGTGGTGGCTTGAGCATGAACGCTGCCGGCGGGGCAGCAGCAGCAGCAGCAGCGGCGGCTGCGGCAAATGGCAGCCAGCAGGTCGTCCAACAAGGTGGCCAACAGGTCGGCTCCGCTGCAGCTGGCGACGATAGCAGCCCGCAGGACGGTGGAAGGGGCGCTATGCTGCAGTGGCTCATCAAGTGGCTGGCCGACAGCGGGCTCGACATGGAGGCAATCATCGACTGCACCCAGGAGCTCATCTCGTTCTACGTCTGCAGCGATGAGTACAACGAGAAGCTGACGCGGGAGCAGATCAACCGCTTCATCAAGGTCCGAGGCCTGGATCGGTGAGAGAGCGAACGGAAACAATTATTTTTAATACGATTACTTAATGGACGACGTTACGAACTTACGGCCAAGACAGGCAGGCGCTGATGTGCTCTTGCAGTCAAGTGATTATCTAATTGCGCGACCGGTACATCACAAAGCGCCGGCAGGCGTCACAATGTCAGCTCACCTTCGTATTGGCCCTCAAGCTGATCGCTGCCCTAAGCGCCAGGTGCAATATCGCGCTCTATCAGTATTTTATATGCTTTACTATGCGGAGAAGCGCCTGGCCCTAGGCTGTCGTACAAAGCATGCATTCGTGCCAATCAAGCATACGAGTACGTGCTCAAAATAGTCACTGTTCATGCTTTTATATTCATATTTCTTTCATTCGAGTCTTTTCCCGGTTGCAGCGCCCACAGGCGTCGTCTTCTCAGCTAATTTGCACACGACATCATCACACATGGTAACACAATCCAACAAAACGTCACAAAAACGGATGGCCGCTATTATCCGTCGCTGCCAACTGAACCACGAGGAAGATGCAGAATACACGATGCTCCTTTGCTCCACTATCTCTCAGTCGCGACACGGGAATCTCCGAAGCAGAAAAGCAGAAACCGACTCCTCAGAAACCCTCCCTTTACCAGAGTCCTGCAGCTGCTAAAGAAAACAGAGCTTGTACACGATGACCCAAGAACCAGAAAAATGACACGGAGAAATAGAAGCTAGAGCGGCAAGATATCAATGGAGACACAGTTGACCCAACCATAAATAGACAAGCAAAAAATACCAAAAACCCAAACGTGAACACGCAAGGGCCGCTAGGCCCTTTCTTTGCCTGCCAACCTCCCCGATGTTGCTCCCAGACAAACCCGTCGCAGTTGGCCAAAACCAGAATAGCACATCAGAACACCAACAAACAGCGATTCTTAACCTGTCGCCGTTGTATCTCCATTTGCGGAAAACCAAAAGACCATAACCAGAAAATGAGAGAGAAGATGCCGTCCCAAGACGCTCGTTCTATGAAAGTTTGTTCTTTCATCCCGTATACCCGTGATCAGCCGTATTTTATCATTGTCGAAACAAAAATGTCGCCCGCTCCTTTATGGGAAGACATGAAACGATGCAAAGCCGCAAGAACTCCGTTGTAGATACCGATATAAGCAGGGATTAGAATTTTGTCGAGAAACGTTTGTATCCGTAACCGAATAAATCGAAAAATATTAAGAAACGCAAAGTCGTCGTCTCAAAGACAGTCGCCATCTTTCGAGACTGAGAGCACCGGACATCCAGATCGGGTATTTCTTCGTTTCTTTTTTGTTTACCGTGGAAGAAATGCCAAAGATTGAACAAAAGAGAGGAAAGAAGGGGAATGGGAGAGAAAAAGAAAAGAAACAAGGTATCGATTGTCGTCCATTGCTCGCCGGTCGGACAGAAGCAGAGTGCTGGATATTCGCTCATAAAGCAGTCCAAAGTCCGCGTCAAACGGTGGAGGATCAGTTTTGTACAGAGATGGGAGGAATGGACAGGTTGGTGAGAATGTCCCAAGATGTTGCATGGTAGCTAGTCATGTGTGCGAACCCACACTCTGTTTTGTTGCCGTTGTGTTCGTCAACGAATACCAGTCGTTTCTATTGTTTGTGGTTTTGTTTTTCGTCTGTCCGGTGTTCGCGCCCAGAAGATGCCCAGCTGTCGAGAAGAGACAAGTTGGGTTTCCTAAATTCAGTCATCCCGCACACACACCGATACCGACAAAGGGTCGACAACTAGCCTGCACCACCCATGTGCATGAAAGCAAGCTGGGGCGTGCAGTCTAGTCGACTCTACCATACGGCACCGATCTGCTGCGGGATGCGCATGCCTGGGGACCCAGAAGGCGGAATGGGAGTAGACATGCTAATGTGCGATGCTGGGCGCGACGAAGGGTGAACAATCGGAATAGGATTGCGGGCGCGAGTGGCCGCAGGTTGATACAGCTTCGTTGCTTGTTGCGTCAGAGTGGGGAGAGTAAATGAAGGTGATGATGCGTTCAGAGAGAAGATTGGCGCCACCTGCGATGGCTGAGACGGCGAGTTTTCCGGAGAATTGCTAGCCAGTGACGAGCGCTCAGAAGAACTGTGGATGGAAACCAACTGGAAGGGAGGTGCGTAAGAATATGAGTCACGAGGGCGATGCCAGACAAAACAGCGACGCGCAGGACAAGTCATCATCCGTATGGACGAATCAAGTGATAACTTACGTCGTTTTCAGACAGCAGGCCTGGGCAAAACTCCATGTCATCTTCTAGATCGAAAGAACGGCCGGCTTCGAACTTGACACGGAACGTGTTGAGGTTGAGGCTGTCGGTCATCTCCTTTAGGGAGCGGATCTGGCGGTACTGTTGCTGCTGCTGGTGTTGTTGTTGCTGATGATGATGCTGTTGTTGTTGCTTGTGGCCGTTCTGAGACATGGACAGACGCGGTGCCCGTCGATTGCGGCCGCCGTGATGACTGTGGCCAACGGCCGACGCCATTGTTGGCGTCGGGTGTTGCTGGTGAGCATTGTAGTAGTAAGCAGACATGTTGATGAGATGTTATGTGGAGAGGACAAGCCAATAGTGATGAAAGGTCGATCAGATCAGAGAGATGATGTTGAGCAGCGAGGAGAAGCCGTGGTGGGCAGTTTGGTTGGTGGAGCGATTTAAATTGTCGGGATGACTGGGAGGTGGCGTGGTTTTGTTGTTCAAGGGGTGTCTCTCCTTTAGTTGACGCTAGGGGGCGGTGCTTTGGTTTATGGAGGTGGTTCGAACTCAATTCGAAGTCGTTGGCTGTGCAAGAGTGCGGTGAGGCCGAAAAGCATAGAATGAAAGGCGACGATATGGAGGATGTATTGAGGTATTTTTTGTCGAAAAGCAGTTTGTTGAGAAGGGGTTGGTCTGGTGTGCCGGGAGGCAAGGATGTTTATGGGAAGAGGGATTGAAAAGAAGTCGGGGTGGACGTGGGATGTGGAAGAGGGGAAATGTTGAAGAGAAAAGGGAAATGGGAAAGAGTGGGAGATTGAGAGGGAGAAGTATTGGCTCGAAGATTGGATGGTTGGTGGAGAGCAAGGGACGGAGCACAGAGAGAGAGATGGGAAGGGAAAAGAGGGAAAGGGCGGGAAGAAGGGGAGTGGGTCGGGGAGGGCAAGTACGGGCAGCCTGAGCAAGGCCAGCAGACCAGGTCAGCCGGGGGGGGGGGGGAAGGAGCAAGGAGTGGTGCGCACAGGGCAGTGGGTCCTGGCAAAAACAGCAGAGGCCTCTGTTCTAGTGCTTTCAGGGACAGGCTGGCATGCAAGACGCAGTACATGCATGGACAGGACGCCAGTCGTATGTACGGAGTACGATACGGGCAGACAAAGGCCGGCCTGGTTCCAGGCGGTTGGGGGAGCAGGAGAGAGAAGGGTGCATGACAGACACAGTGCGGCGAGGCGCAGCGCTTGGTCAGGCCAATTACTTGTAGCAGGTAATGGCCAGGCCTCAGAGAGGAGCCAGGGCCAGCCCGAAAACGGAAGGGGCAAGGAGGCAGCGAGACAAAAACAAAGGAGAGGCAGCGCATACTCGTAGTGCTGACGGCAAAGGCGGCCGGCGGCATGCCTCTGGACGCACATCAAGAGACCTAATTCGGCGGAAATAGAAACTGGGGGAAACTGTGAAAAAGACCAGTCTCCACAGGACCAAACCCCTGTTGTTATTGTCCCCACCGTGTCTTCGCCACCCCTTTTCCGGATAGCCATTGGGCAGGGCGGAGAAGGCGCTACGTCGTAGGGGGACTAGGCCGGTCTGTATCTGGAGCCAATTGCAATTTACGGTGGCCATGTGCAGCCCTGATGGCATCGGCTGCAGGACAGTGCCGGACGACAGGGGCACGGTGTCCCGGGTCGGGCGATCGAGAGATGGGCTGCAGAAGAGGGCAGAAGGCGCGCCGGTTCTCGGGCGTGCTTGTCTTTCCGATGGCGAGAGAAGAAAGGCATGGCCGAAGCCACGAGGAAAGAGCCGGGGGCAGCTCGGACGGGGGCGTATTCGGAAATTCGAGCTCGCCGTACGCGCGCTGTTGATGTGGCTTTTTCCTTCACCTGCACAGGTCACCCGACCGGGTCTGGCGGCTGCGGTGCCGAACAGCTCAGCACAACACCACTGCATAGTCCAGCATAACAGTTATACCGGCCCGCAAAATCCCAAACACGTACTATGAGGGGCAGTCTGCTGTTTGGGCGCGGAAATGGGGATACCAGCTGCATCGGGGAGGTTTGAAAGATGAATGGGCGGTGTCCGCAAGGTACCCAAGTACCCGTACTGCGTACGAAAGGATACGAGCATGCGGCAAAAAGACGGAGTCTCGTACACTTTAGCAGAGTCCGTGGCTGGTGGAGCCCCCTGGCCATCTCGCTACGGACCACACGGAGCGCCACAGAGGATAGTGGGAAGGTGACGCACAGCGCAATGAAAAAAAACCGGGCTCTGACGCTACGGCGCAAGATACTCCGTGCACAGTGCTGAAGGGCCAGAGAAATGTCCCCTGTCCGGTCAGCCGAATCGGAAACGGGCGCAGGAGGAGGGGGCGTTCGCGAAACGGGAAAAAGGCAGAGAGCGGGTATGGAAATGCAAGAGGTGGTGGCAGGCTATGTGTGGACAAGGGGAGGGCGAGAGGGGGGCCAAGAAGAGGGGAGGTCGAGAGTGTACTCCGTTTGTGTGTGTTTCTCTCTGGCAGACGGGCGTCGTTCTTCTGCAAGCTTCCTGCATGATGGGAGTGGCACTTGCGCTATTGCCCAGTCGTCAGGCGGCGCTTTGCTAGATGCAGACAAGGGGGCGAGGCTATGTGTCGAGTAGGAGTTGGAGGGTGGGTGGAACCGTGGTAAGGGATGGTGATGATGGTGATGTAGAGAAAAACCAGGCTGGGCACAGCTGCGTGAGCCGGCGGTTTCCCCCCACGTACGGAGGGCCAGTGAGGTTTCAGGAGGCGGAGACAGGCTCAGTCAGGTACTCGTCTCGCTCGTCTCGGCGGTCTGACCTCTGGTCGTCGTCCGCCTCGGCGGTCTGCCTTGGATTGTGTTTTTGGAGGCAGGGCCGACGATCTGGGCCATGGCCATTTCGATAACGCGAAATATCGAAATATCGAGATGCTTGTAATGACATGAGGCAGATTGCCCAGGTAATTTGGCGAAAATTCGGGTGGAGCAAGATGCGGTGGGTTAGATGACCAGGGTGGATGCTTTTTGTTGGAATGCCATATTGGAAGGCAGAAATGCCAACGGTCGACCGGCAAACGCTGCCCAACAATGGGGCTCATTTCGGAGGGTTGTGTTTGGGTGCGGTCATGTGACTGGACGACATAAGATGGGGCACTTCTAGTACGGTAAAGTCCGTATTACGAAGTGAGATACTTACGACATACTCCGTACTCCGTACATGCACGAAATAAGATATCATTTGCGATACGGCCTATTTAATATTTGGTGTAATTGCTAAAGAAGATCATACCTTGTAGACCGACACAATCTCGCGGTCATTTAGACTGATGAACGGCATGCAGGCCTTAAAAGGTATCGCTGCAAGTGTTCTTAATTTGGACCTGGCGCCAAGGTCGTCAATACTACTCCGTATGCAAAGCAAACTGGAGGGTTACACCTTGAGGCGCTCGTACGAAAAGAGCCGGCCGTGCAAGATGGGAGGTGGCGTCAAGCGCTCGGATATACTCTCTTGCAGCTTATTTCAACGGTATGTGAATTCTGACTGCATAACTGGCGATTGCTTGCCAGAGGCGGCCGTGATGGTCGATACCGTGTTTAAGCGCTTATGACGGTTAAAAAACACGCCATGCTACATAGTATTATGCGCCGCCTGCTTTCTGCAGGGGAAGACGGGAGCAGGCGGCATGGTTGTAAGATATATCTTCTTCTTTGCGGGCAGAAGGGAGACCTTGCTGCTACAGTAATGCCATTTATATCCGAGCCATCCTCTGAGCGATTCTGAGCGAGTTGAAATGTCACTGTGGTTTTTCTATGGTATGACACGATGGGGGACTATTTCGCAATCAAAACCTGTACGGCAAAGAGGCAGGATGCCCCGTCCATGTGTCGCCGTACTGTGCAGAGCGGCCATACCTGGAGATAGCCGTCCCAGACGATGCCCAGGAGGTGCTTTCTGTCCGGTTCATTGTCACCGCGCACGATCAAGGTAAGATACGATACGACCAAAGCGTCGGTGCGGCTCGGGGCAGCCTGTTCTGACCTTTCACCCGGCTCTTTCTGCAGGCTTCAGCGGGACTTCGGGCGACGTGCCGCCGTACGAGATGTCCTTTACCTGGTTCTCGGTGTACGCCGATCGGGTCAACGGGCACAAGGACCCGAGACGGCTCAAGGTGCAGAGCAACTACCGGGCCTCAGCAGCCTTTCGCACACACGACATTGTGTGGGACGGCAGCGATGCGGACGACGCCAAGACGCGGTGGCTGGCGTCGCTGCGCGGTGGCGACCGGCTGCAGCTGTATCCGCGGGCCTTTTACCGGGCGTGGGTCAACCTGGTCGCGGGGGCCGAGATGGTGGTGACGTACGTGCCCTGCGACGTGGAGGAGCGGCTGCATGCACAGGCCCGACGGCTGCTGTATGCGGGAGGCAGCCGGCCAGCGAAGCTGGCGTATGTCAGTCTGAGCCTGGACCGGCGCGAGATCCGGCTGCTCGAGGTGCTCCCGGGGGCCTACGACGAGGCCATCCGGTGCCGGCTGGCAACGGCAGAGCTCGCGAGCGACAGCAGCGCGGCAGGACCGCAGTTTGAGGCGCTGTCGTACTGTTGGGGGGAGGCGATAGCCGAGGAGGGCACGGAGGTGGCGATCGTGGAGATGCAGGGACAGAGACGGCCAGAGCAGCAGTTTCTGCGGGTGTCGCGGTCGGTCGAGCTGGCGATCCGGCGGCTGCGCCACGACGACGGCCAGACGAAGCGAGTGCTCTGGATCGACTCGGTGTGCATCAACCAGGCCGACCTGGAAGAACGGGCGCACCAGGTGCAGATCATGCACGACATCTACGGGGCGGCGGCGCAGGTCAACGTATGGCTGGGCGAGGGCGACGGGCGGGCGTGCATGGCGATGCGGATTCTGCGGGACATTTACAAAGAGGTCAAGAAGTGCGGTGGCGACGACTTGTTCCGACGGATGCACCTGATCTTTGACGAGCACGCGCGGGCGCTCGAGACAGCCAGCGGCACGCACACCGAGTCGCTCTATCACGCGATGGCAGCGCTCTTTGGCAACTCCTGGTTCCGGCGCGTCTGGGTCTTCCAGGAGGCGCTGGCCGGTCAGGTCACAGTGGTGCACTGCGGGCGGGAGTCGATCCGGTGGTCGGAGCTGGTGGCCGTGCATGCGCTCTTCAACCGGGGCGACAACTTTCTGTCGCCGCTGCACAGCGCACCGCAGGCTTTGATGCCGCCGTTGTGGGAGGTGTTGGGGAGCGAAAGCGAGAACAGAAAGAAGACGACGAGCGTGAGCGAGGACAAAAAACCCCTCTTCGACATCCTCCTCTCCGGCATCGAGGTCGAGGCCACCGACCCGCGCGACAAGATGTTTGCCCTGCTCGCCTTTGGCCGTGAGACCGGCCAGCGCATGCGCCGCCTGCCGCTGGCTATCCGGCCTGACTACACCAAGCCGGTCGAGCAGGTGTTTGCCGACCTGACGCGCTGGCTTCTGCTCGAGCAGCGCTCGCTCGACGTCCTCTCGGCCGTCCACGCCCAGCCCGGCCGCACCTGGCAGGCCCTGCACTGCTCGTCGCTGGCCGCACCCCCATCGCCGGCTCGACCGACCTGGACCCTCTGCCCCGACGGCAGCAAGCACTGGATCCATGCCACGCTCCTGGCGCAGTTGGACTTTGCCGCCGCCTCCACGGCTGCCTGCCCGCTCGACCTCGCCCTGCTCGACGCGTCTGCGCAGGCTGACCCGCTGCTGCTCCGTCTTCGCGGCTTCCGCGTCAGCATCGTCACCCAGATCACCGCCTTTCCCTTCGACCAGGTCCAGCAGCGATGCGTCGAGGAGAAGGAGAGCAACGACCACTACTGGGCCGATCTCCTCCACGCCTTTGCCGCCATCTTCGATCCCGGCTGCGTCGTCAAGTCCTGGGTCAGCTCCCGCGTCGATGCCCACACCGAAAAGGGCTCCTTCCGCCACGCTGAACCGAACGCTGTCATCGCCGAACACTTGTACGCCCACTGGGGCTACGGCCCCGTGCCGCCCAACAAGGCCGCCAACCTCGACCGCTGGGAGCCGCCCCGCTACCGCCTCGTCGACAGCACTGCCGTTCCGCCCTGCGTCAGCCGCTGCCTCATGGTCCTCTCCGATGGCGCTGTCGGCCTCTGTCCCAGCACTGCTCGCGAGGGCGACATCGTTGCCGTCCTCTACGGTGGAAAGGTGCCCTTCCTCTTGCGTCCTTCGCTGTCCACCGCATCCACACAGCCCACCGTGGAGCTGGTCGGAGAGTGCCTTCTGCGGGGAGTCATGCACGGCGAGTTTGTCGGCTCCCAGATGCGAAACGGCTGTGCGCCAGAGGTTTTCTCCATTGTTTAATCGTTCTCAGAAGTGGCGGTGTGCCGGCCTGCCAAGATCGTGCATCGCTCCTGCCAGATATGCATTGTGTGGTATCAAGCAGTTACACCGCGCCAGTCGCTTCCTACTTTGTGTCCATGCAAGGGACAAAGAGCCACGTGACAGTGGTTCTTGTTTCTGTCCTGCATCTACGTCTTTGATCTTATTGCCCTTATTGCTTACTACTTGCACGTCATACTGCACAGTCTCTGACGTCATCACGTCCATCATGATATTGCTTTACACTATCAGGCTGTCGTCTCTTGAGACAGTCCTCGTGCCTGTGCCCGCTTGACATATCTTACACAAACAACCAGTATTACACACAAATCCACCAACGAAATGTCTTCTGTCGCCATGTCTCTGCGTACCCTCCATCTGCGTCCGGTCCGGCCGCTGCCATCTCTGCGTCCGCTGGCCGTCCAGACACAGGCGCTGTCCCTGTCGGCCGTACGGCAACACAAGGAGTCTGAGTCAGGTGTGTTTCAACCAACAGCCCGTAGAAGAGGCCGCTCCCAGTACCGAGAACTGACTGATGACCCACACCAGAAGACCCGGACTTTACCGTCGAGCAGCTCAAGGAGCAGTCGCTCAAGCAGCACAAGGAGGGCCGCGGCGAATGGATGCCCGGCCTCGCATCCGACAGCGAGGAGGCCCTCAAAGCCGACAAGAGCGACAGCCCGGAACTGCCCGCAAAGACGCCGACCGGTCCGAACAATCCGACTGTCCGGGCTTGACTGAGATTTGGTATCAACAACTTGGACCGGATCCGCGAGATAGAACAGAGAGTCGCCGTAAAACGATCTTCCAAAAATAATTATGGTGCTTGAAAAAGTAGAACCATTGTGCCTCCTGTCGTGCGTTCCTTGATGCAATGCCGAAGCTAGCAATCCCCTCTACAGCCTGCCAAAACTCGCTTCTCGTCCACGACCTCGACCTCGTCCACGACCTCCACGGCCTCCACGACCTCGCCCGCCGCCATGCCCGCCGCCTCGTCGCGCAAAAAACTTGGGGCCGGTAGCTGCAGTCTGCCGTCTATCGTCGTCTGACTCGTCGCTGCCGCTGGAGCGGCTGGCTTGGCGAAACTGCTTTTCCTCGGCTGCACTACTGCCGTTGCTGCCGCTGCTGCTCTCGTCATCGTTCGCATCATCGTTGTTACTATCCGACTCCTCTAGTCGCACCACCGTCGGCCCGTCATTGTGTTTGGCCATGGGAAGCACCACTGCGGTCCCTCCTCCTTTCTTAACCACCTTCTCCACTGCCGGTTGCTGTAGCTGAGGTCCCCGCGCAAACGCCGGTGGCCCAATCCGCACAGAGATGTTGGACATCCCTGGCGGCCTCGTCGTCCGTATCGGCACGCTTTCTGGCGTCTCGGCTTCGGACTCAGATGCTCCTGCCGATGCTTCTGCTACCACTGCTTCCTCCTGGTCCCGTTTTGGCGACTTACGCCTGATCCGGAACTTTTTGCCCAGGAGAGCCATGCGCTCAGCCATCGACATGAACTGCGTCGGCACCTGTGTCTGTGTCGGCACCTGCGTAGGAGGCACAGCTGGGGACACCTGCTTCTTAGGCGGACGTCCTGGCCGTCGCTTCGGCGCCTCTGGCACCACCGCAGTGGGCGTGCTGTTGTGCTGGACACGACGTGGCCTGCCACGCCTGACCTGGCTTTCCTCATCGCCTTCGGACCCAGAGCGTGGGTTGACACTCGTCCGACGCTTGGCTGGCAGCGAGATCGAAGCCGTTGGCCCATCGTTCGACAGGCCGTGGAATGGGAGCCCGGACAACGCGTCTGAGCCAGCAACCGACTTCCGCGGACGACCACGCTTTCGTGGTACCGAAGCCGGAGCCGGAGCCGGCGTAGGAGCAGCAGCAGGAGCAGCAGCAGGAGCAGCAGCAGGAGCAGCAGCAGGAGCAGCAGCAGGAGCAGCAGCAACAGCGACATCAGCAGGAGCACTGGCATCATCACTGACACCAGCACCAACATCAGCTGCTTTGGGAGACGCAGCTAGCGCTACCGGCCGCTTCAGCTGCTTGTCCGCTTCGGCCTGTTCCGCAGACGCAGACGCTGCCATGTCCAGCAACGCATCCATGTCCAGCAGATCGTCGTCCGCATCGCTCTCAATCTCCACCACATACGACTTCTTTGGTCGCGCGTGCCGCAGCTCAGGCACGTTGGCCGGGAAGCCGTACGACGGCCCCTTCTCGACGCTGTCATCACTGCCCTCGTTGTCTCTGGCCACCTGTACTTCCGCCATGCTGTCCGCGTGCGAGCCGTTCATGTGCGTGTCCGGATTGTCCACCGGCACCACCGGTGCTGCAGGTCCCGAGGCTATGGTGACGGGAGTGCTGTGCTGCTCTGCGCTGTTGGCCGCAGCATCGACAACCATGCCGGCCAAAGCAGGGTTGGCCACACCGTTGCTGCCGCCACCATCGGCCACCACCGACACCGCCAACACCGCCGACACCGTCGACACCACAGACGGCTGTGGCATGCTCGGCATCGTTGGCGGGGCCGCGTTTACGGTTAAGAGCGCCGGGTCCAGATGCATTTCCAGATCGCTTAGAGGCCGTGCCTTCTTGCGGTGCAGCTTCCGTACCCGGTAGTCGGGGTCGATGTCCTTCTCCTGCCGCGGGCGTCGTGCCGGCCTCTGCTCAAAGCTGTCGAGAAACTCGGGCGGCTCGTCCATCAGCTCCAGTCCCACCGGCAGCTGATGTGGCGGTGGCTCGCTGTACGGGTCGAACAGGATCTTGTCGGGGCTGTCGTCGTTTTGGTAGTACGCCCTGCCAAACATTGTCATCATCTCCTCGTTGGGGTCTGCATATCCAGTCGGGTCGGGGTAGTTCTGCAGCGACTGCGACTGGCTGTCCAGAGCCGTCTCTGCCACCGGGAACGACGACTGCGGCGCATCGGTCGCGTAGCCGTTGCTCAGCATGCTAACATCTTGTCCGTCGTACTCTTCGTTTTGCGTTGCATATCCGTCCACGCCGTTCATGCCGCTCACCCCATCTGCGATGTCCATGTCGTCCATGCCGACCATGCCGTCCGCAACTATGCCGTGCGCACCCATGTCCCCACCATTCTCCGGCTGTGCCGCCTTGGCCTCATCGGCTGCTCGGCGCAGTCGCTGCATGCGCAGGCTGTCCTTGCTGCGGCCCTCCTCGCCACCGTTGCGCAGCCAGAGCAGGTTGTGCAGTCTGAAGTTGATCAGCGACTCCACGCTGCGGTCGTCCGCAATCGGCCGCGTGTCGTGGCCGAGTAGCGTGCTCTTGGGCACGTACGGCTTCGTCAGGCCGACACGCCGACATGCGCCGCAGTTGCAGATCTTCAGGCAGCGCGGACACTTCCAGTATTCCTGCTGCATCACCGTCTGCGGCATCATGTCAAAGCCCCGGTACAGCACGCCGTAGCAGTAGGCCTCCACGCAGCCGGGCGTCGTGCAAAATGCGAGCCGGTACCGGTGGTCCTTGTGGCAGCACGAGTGGCACCGGTACGTGTCGCCTTTCTTTGGTGCGCGTATCGGCTTCTTCTTCTTCTTCTTGACTCGGCCATCCTCATCCACCTCCGGCTCCGACAGCTCCCGGTCCGTTTTCGTGGGCAGCGGCTGGGTAATGTCGCGAAACGGCCGCCGCCGCAGTTGCTCCTGGCAGATCTGCGCCACGGTCTTGTGTCCCGTGCGCAGCCTGGCCACCTGCAGGGCCGACGGCGACGCAAACGCGTCGATGAAGCCGTCGTTGCTGATTACCATGGTCCGCCAGCGCTCGTAGTTGCCCACCAGCTCCTCCCACGGCCACTGCTCGCACCAGCCCAGGCCCGACACACACGCGCACGACCGGCCCATGGCATAACACTCCATGCAGATGTCGTACGTGTCGTCTTCGCCCTCGCCCAGCTGCCGCGTGCAGTGTGTACATGTCAGGAAGCGGTTGAAGATATTGGCCCGGCAGTACGAGCATGTGATGTTGGAGTCGAACGGGATGTACTCAACGTTCTTCTCTTTGGTACCAAACATCTCGTCCACGAGAATCTCGGCATACAGCTGCAGCAGCTTCTTGAAGTCGCCGGCCACCTGCTGCGTTCGCACGGAGTTGCCCGCTACATCCTGGCTGATGCCAAACGTCGCCAGCTGGTGGTCGGTGCTGGCAACCTTGAGCTCGGCGTAGTACTTGCCGAGCGTGTAGTAGATGATGGCCTTGTTCTTGTACTGCTCGTCGCGGCAGACGAGCCGCGCTTTGGGAAGGGCCTCGTGCAGCGCCATGTCGAGCGTCTCAACCACGGTGCGGTTCCACGCTACCTTGATCGTGCGCGTGCCGCGGTTCCACACCTGATGTGGCGCCAGCGGCGGTACGAGGATCAGATCGCCTGGTCGCTGCTCGACAATGTAGACCGGGAAGGTGGCCTTCTTCCACGCGTTGATCTGTGCAAAGTGCTTCTCGATCTCGACATCGTGGCCCAGCATTGACAGAAAGTACTCGCCGACGACCTCGCGGTCCTTGGTCTCGGTCATGAACCAGATGGAGCTGCCCGGCCGCTCGCCTTTTTCCGCGCCCGATGCCTCCACCATGATGTTCTGGCCCAGACTGGCACACATCTCGCGATGGGCAGGCGTGTATGTGCCCTCGTGGCCGATGTAGCACATGAGGTTCTCGGCGCGCATCTCCGGCGGCAGGCTGCTCATCAAGTCGCCGGCACGGGCTGCCTGGTGCGTGTCGACAAACATGCCGTCGTCGTCCATGACTTCGTTGCTTGTCCGCGGCTCCACGCTCTCGTTGAGGTAGAAGATGCTGAGCGGAAGAGCCTTGCGCAGCCGATCGGTCCACTCGGGCGGGCAGTCCATGTCCTTGAGGTACAGGCGCTGACGGCGCTCGTCGCGGAAATTTCGGGGCGTCCACTGGTCGGTCAGCTGCTTCATGGACCGCAGGTAGTGACCCATCGTCATAGGGATATTGCATTTGTTGTTGATGTCCCACACGTTCTCCTCCTTCTTGTTGTAGTTGTCCTGCAGCCATTGCGGGCTGAACAGGTGCTTCGGTAGCCGGGCATTCCAGTTGTTGATCACCAGTGGCTTCCCACCGTTTATGACATGGACGTAGACCAGCTGCTCAAAGCGCTGCTGGCCGAGGGTGAAAATTTCCGAAGCTGAGATGTGCGTGGCCCATTCGAAGTTGGGCGTGTCGGCAACGAGGTCGTGCAGGTCGAGGTCTGGCGGGATCGGGTCGAACTTCGCCTGGGGATGGAGGGAGCTCGGCATCGTCGCAAGCAGCGGAAGTTTCCGCGAAGACGTCGGGTTTTGCTTCCTCAGGCGTCAGCTGCTTCGATCAATAAAGTGGGCGAGTGTCGTTGCGATAAATAGGCGCTGTGAGCGGTTGTCGCGCTGCAGCAATGTCGCGACGCGGCATAGATTGGCTATTTCGATCGCTCGCAGCAGACGAAAGCGGGACAGCACCGCTCATGCAATCCGCATCGACGTGTATGTTGCAGGAAGATGTTTCAGAAAACCAGATATTTGCTCGAACTATTCACTTTGCCTCCATCAATTCGCGAGTGACGGCAGGAATTACCAAAACGCTCCTTCCCAGTTCGAAAAAACGGGCCAGTAGAAAGGTGGGGGCGTCCTAGTGACGCCGCAACTTCTTATTGGTTGGAGCTTCAAATGGCGATGCAGCACTCTGCAGCTATCTGATTCCGTATATGTATCTTGGCGTTGATATATGTAGTTTTTGTTGCCGAGAAACAAAGGCACGAGTCAGTGTCATTGGAACCGAGTTGTCAGGAATTTAAAGCTGGCATTGGTTTTCTGTTTCCGAGAAGCGAGCAAGGCGAGACGAGAAGCTGTTTGCTCTTACAGGACGTTGTGGGGACAAGCCGAAGTCACGTGCATGTGGCACAAAAGCTTCAGAGATATTTCACATGCGCAATGGCACCAGACTCGGGCAAAGTTACGTCTTCTTCCAGTGATTGACATCTGTGACGGCGAGCTCGGCTGTGCCAGCGAAGCCTAACCAGCTTTACGGACTTGAAACGATGCAATCTCTCTATAGCCGCAGCATGCGGCTAACACGGCCAGCGAGCCTCTACCGGCAGCAGGCTCTCGCCTTCCGTCGACCGTATGCAGGAGTCCGGACGCTGGATCGAATCCATACGACGGCCATGGCCCGGGTGGTAGCTTCTCCGACGGTCTCTGCGAGCACTGGCACAGACGATCGGCCGACGGCACCATCACTGCCGCCATACACACGCCCGACTTCAGGCCTCCTCTCAGTGCTTCCGGCGTCCTGGGTTCCATACGCAGAGCTGACACGCATCGACAAGCCGACGGGAACGTACTACCTCTTCTTTCCCTGCCTCTTCTCGACGCTGATGGCGGCACCCATGGTACAGCCGGCTATGGCGACGCCCGGGGCCGTGGCCGGCACGTCGCTGCTCTTCTTTGCGGGCGCCCTGATCATGCGCAGTGCCGGCTGCAGCATCAATGACCTCTGGGACCGCAACCTAGACCCGATGGTGGCGCGCACGCGACACCGGCCGCTCGCCCGCCAGGCTATCACGCCCTTCCGCGGTCTCGCCTTTACGGGGGCGCAGCTGCTGGCTGGCCTCGGCATCTTGGTGCAGTTTCCGACGTCGTGCCTTTACTACGGCATTCCTAGCCTCGCGCTCGTGGCCACGTACCCGCTGATGAAGCGCGTCACGTACTACCCACAGTTCGTGCTCGGCCTGACCTTCTCGTGGGGCGCTATCATGGGCTTCCCGGCGCTCGGCGTCGACCTGCTCGCAAACAACAGCGCTCTGCTGGCCGCTGGCCTGCTGTACTCGTCCAACGTCGCTTGGACGGTGCTCTACGACATGATCTACGCCCACATGGACATCAAGGACGACGCCAAGGCCGGCATCAAGAGCATCGCCCTCAAGCACGACGCCCAGACCAAGTCCGTGCTGACCGGACTGGCCGTCGTGCAGGTCGGCCTCCTGGCTGCTGCAGGCATAGCTTCGGGCGCTGGTCCGGCCTTTTTCGTCGGCAGCTGTGGCGGCGCACTCGTTTCGCTGGGCGTCATGATCCGTCGCGTCAACCTCAAGAGCGTCAAGGACTGCTGGTGGTGGTTTGTCAATGGCTGCTGGCTGACGGGCGGTGTCATCGGCATCGGTCTCGGCGCTGACTATCTGGTACAGTACGCTGGCCGGTAAAACAGGACGGACAAGACGGAAAAATGGGAAGAGATGCAGGAAAAGACCGTTGTCACTTACTAAGGCGATATATGTAAAACTATCACCCCAATGTACAACAGGAATGTATGGCGAAAAAGAATGATGATCACATAAACAGACGACCAGCAAGCACACCGGGACCATTGTCGAATTTTTACAGTTTTTTCTTTTGATCATAGCTACCATAAGACTCCCAGGCGCTACTCCCCTGCCAGGCGGAGCGCTCTGACTCCGGTCTCCAGCAAGCTTTTTGAAAAATGACCTCGCGTGCTCCTGCTTCGCGCCGCCCATCTGCCAAAGCCATTGTTTGTAGTTGCGACCATATCCCATGTATGAGTTGAAGTTTTTGTAAGTTGCATTGTCCCACCATCTCGCCGCGATCCGTTTAAGATCTTGGCTTCTCCTTCTTCTCCTTCCACAGAGCCAGAAGACCGACACCGGACACCTTGACGACCTTGAAGCGCACACCGGGAATATCACCCTTGGCCTTGCCCTTGCGACCGAAACCAGCCAGGAGGACCTCGTCGTTCTCGTCCACGAAGTTCAGGCAACCGTCATTGGGGACTGCGGTAAGTTGCGGTTAGAGAACAGCCTGACACAGAGAACGAGCAGACAAAGAACGATCAGTACAGAGTTTAGGAGAACTCACCGAAAGCCGTGACCTTCTTGCCGTTCTTGATCAGCTGCACACGGACACACTTCCGAATGGCAGAGTTGGGCTGCTTGGCCTCAACACCGACCTTCTCGAGAACAATTCCCTTGGCGTGGGAAGAGCCACCGAAGGGAGACGACTTGAAAGCAGTGCCCAAAGCACGCTTCTTGTAGTGCAGGTCAGACCACCGCTGCTCGCGGCGGTTGTCCCGCAGCTTGCGGGCGGCGTTAAGACCACGAGGCTTTCCTTTACCCATGATTGCTGCAGAAAGAAAGAGCACAGGTTAGCGAATGTTCTGACGAATTCGGCTGGCAGACCGGGCGAGTTGCCCTCTTGTTCTCGTGAGCATCGGCCGGCCCCGAATTTTCGACGTCGTCAGCCCACGGAATGTGGAAAAGAGTCCGAATCGAGAAAAAAGGGCTTCCGCAGCAAGCAGAGACAAGAGGTGACAACTGTATCTGTGTATCGAGGTCCATCGCATAGAAACGTACCGATTCGTGTGTGGTGATCGCGGAGATGGGGTGAGTTTCTGTTGGTTGATGAGAGGGGATGGAATCTCGAAAGCAATGGTGAACTTTTTTTTGCAATAGGGCGGGCGGAAAAAAGGTGCACCCACATTTCGGTAGGGTTTCCTCGCCCTAGAGCATAGCAGCCTGAGGCGAAGAAAAAGTTTGTGTCCTCGGGACCCACTGTCCGGTAGACTAGTCACGTGTGGGCCCAGTACTCCGTACTCCATAAATCGCCGTAAGCGAGATATGGTTTAACGCGATAACATGGGATATGTATTTACGGGATGCACAACGGGTGAGCAGTCCGAAGTGTGCAGACAAAACAACACCTGTACCAGCTCAATGGCCGACCCGATGTAGCCATGTCTCACTGGACCAAGGGCAAATTCCGACAGCGCGAGCCGCCGCCGGCCGTGTTTGTGCAGGGCTCGCCGACGACGTCCAAAGTGTCGCTGTCGGGCAATGTTGGAGTGGTGGGCGGCCCAGGCAGCGGGAGTGGCAGCGGAGGGGGAGCAGGCGGCAGCAGAGGGGGTGGAGGGGTGCTGTCGCCGGTGATGCCTACGCTGCAGCGGACGGCATCGCGACTGAGACAAGAGGTGGCCGGCAACACGGCGCCACCGCGAACGCCGTCATCGGGCGGCGTTGTGTCCGAGAAGGGAGGCGGTGTTGGCAGCAGTGGTGGAGCAGGCGGTTCGGGGTCTCCTTCCAAGGCAGCAGCAGCAGCGACGTCGGGGGCATCGACAAACAACGCATTCTCGCTGGCGCTGCCGCTGTCGCTGGGACGGCCGTCGTCGTCGTCGCGGGCGACCGATAGGGCGGATTCACTCTGGGCGGAGATGCAGGCCACGCTGGAGGAGGTGGAGCTGTCGGCGTCCGAGGGCACGCGCGTGTTTGGGCCCGACCACGACGGCAAGCTGGCCGAGCTGCGCCAGGCCCAGATCGCGTTGGCCCAGGCGTGGGCGCGCAGCGAGGCCGACGATGCCATCGAGACGACGTTGTCCTCGGCTGCGGCCGCGGCGACGGCAGCAGAGACGGCCAAGACCGGAACCACAGCCGGAGCCGGAACTGCGCCCGGAACAGCCACAGGAGCCGCACCCGGGACAGCCGAGGGCGAGCAGCTCCATGCTACGATGAGCAACCTGGCCAGAACGACGACGGCAGGCACGACTCCTTCGGGCGCGCGAGACGACGTGTCCGGGACGGCTGGAGCAGACGGCAGCACGGCCGGGACGGCTACAGCGAGTGCGGCGGCAGCGGCGCGGATGGAGGCCGAGGAGACGCAGGTAGACATCTTGCTGGCGCGCAAGCGACGCGAGGCCAACGACCGGTACTTCCAGCGGGTCAGCCGCGGTGTGCTGGACGTGGTGGCCAAGCTGGACGACGTGGCTGTGGCCATGCGGGCGGTCGAGCAGGAGAGCAAGGAAATGTTTGGGGACAACGGGGTGGAGGAGGAGGACGAGGGCGAAGGAGAGGCCTAGGCGAGGCCGACAAGAAGCCGAATCGAAGAAGCGGACACCAAGAGAGGCGAAGCGCTCCTATGCATTCTTACGGTTGCGCACTACCGATGCCGCATACCTGTGGTGGTATCTTACATTCAGTTACAATAATACCCATTCTGCTAGCGATGCATAGAGCGTGATCTTACAGAGGCGAAGATGGAGGAATGTGTCAGATGACAATGGAAATGGAAGTGCAGGATGAGTAAGTGACGGAAGGAGGGAAAGGCCAATGGGGAGGCAAGACAGTGTGGAGCTGTGCTTCGATAAAGAGGTGCCTGATTCCATTGCATCATCAGCATCTTCCTTCCGGTCTGCGACTCGGTAATCTGCGCACTACACACCGCCGAATCGAACGAGCTGCACAGAAAGCACAGAAACGAACAGAGTGACAGTTGCGACCCCGTCTCCAAGCATCCAAACCCTACAAGCACACAAGGTCCTGCCGACATGAAGCCGTCTACGCTTTTCGCCACCGTCCTGGCGCTCGCAGCGGGCGTCGTTGCGGTCGACCAGCAGAAGCAGGTGGTGGTGACGTACCCGAGCAACACGCCGGACTGGGTGGTGAGCCAGGCCAAGGACGCGATCGTGGCCGCTGGCGGAGTGATCACGCACGAGTACAACCTGATCAAGTAAGCAAGCTGGTCGCGCGTGTTGACATCTGACCCGACTGACTGACGACTGGCAGGGGCTTTGCGGCAACGGCCGGCGAGAAGGTGCTCGAGACGGTCAAGACGATGGGCAGTGCGTACAACGCGCTGATCGAGGAGGACGAGGTGATTACGATATCGTGAGAGGCGGAAGAAGGAGGGAGGAAGACGGGAAACGGAGGCACGACCAGGCCTGTTCGGGCTTTTTGTCACAGTCTGTCCTGATATCGGCATTTTGGCTGCCTGACTTGGGAGCGAGTTATCTGAATACACCAACCTGTTTTGTCCAGCTGCGGTGATGACTGCCTATTGCGTTCGCTCGCACGGGGGGATTCGTACGAGTCAGAAGCGACAGAGCCAAGTAGCCCAACGACTCCGGGTTTGCCACAGAGAGTTGCCAGCCAGCACCCCTTCATCTCGCATCCTGCCTGTGGAGACAGCACGGCGGCCCGTTGCATCTCCAGGCGACATGAGGCAAGGCACAGGCTCTTGCATACGTCGTACTGGCCGTATTTCCGGTGCTCCGTATATTACGGAGTACTCCGTATCTTACATGTCATCGTCGAACCCAACGCGATGACAGTGGAGATGACTGGCGATCGTCGTAGGCAACGGCCTCTTGTCCCTAGGCGAAAGCGCGGTTTAATCTTTGAATTTCCCATTTACCGCCGAAAGAATTCTGACAGCGGCAGCGAAGTGGGGCATTTCAGCCACAGTTCATGCACGTGGCTGGGAAGACTGATTGGGCACTGACCGTATATCATATGAAGGGATGGGCAACTGAAGATTAAATTGTAGCAGGTGTGAGTACGATCTACAGGGCAGGCACGCTTCCCTGTTGCGGGCCTGTTTTGTGTTTCTTCAACGTTTCTCCTTTGCTGCCTTCGGCTACGCCCATGCGACCCTTCTCTCTTCCTCGCACAAAAGTACGAATACGGGGGGGGTGCTGCCGCCAGGAAAAAGGCAGGGTCCACAATCTATATCACTTTGCTTTGCGCCGTGACCGACTACTGGCGCTTGCGATTTATCTCTTGCATGTACGGAGTACATAGTACGGTCTCCGCTCTTTTCCCCTCTCGACTCGCATCTCCTCCTCCTCCCTCTTTTTTCTCAACGATCCCACAGACTCGGTCCGCTGGGAGGAGTCTCTGTTTGCCTGGACCACTCAACGTATGACTTTGCAGGCCGACAGGCTCACACCGACGTTATCATCCGCCGAGCAACGGTCTCGGAGCAGCAGCCGACTTTCAGGCCTCTTGTGGCCGGGGCCAGACCGCCCTTTTGCATCCCTGATCGCCGTCTTGACGTCCTGCAGTGATCTGCTTTCGCATTTGTTTTTGTTTTTGTATCTCTATTTGTTTTCAACCCTGTTTCCGTTTCTGTCTGTCTCTGTCTAGCTTCTTGCTCTCCCCGGCCTCTCTCTGATCATCTCCCGACACACAAGCGCCAATGCATCAACAACAGCAGCCGATTGGGCGGGCGGGCCAAGCCGCCCTCTTGACGTGGGTCAACACATTTGCTCTCGACCGCAAGGTGGAGCGGCTAGAGGAGCTGGCGGACGGCCAGGTGTTTGCGCAGATGCTGCACGACCTGGACTCGGAGTACGATCCGGCCGAGCTGGAGCAGAACACGGGGTCGTCGGCGTGGTTGACGAACAAGCGCAATATCCAGTCGGTGTTCAAGGCGTTGACGCGGTACATCATTCACAAGGACCGGAGCGGCGCAATCGAGTTTCTGCCGCGGACGGTAGACTTCCGGGCCATCTCGGACAATCTGAACGCCGAGGGACTGGCGCAGCTGGTGGCCGTGTTTGTGGCGACAGCGATGTTGGGCAGCCACAACACGCAGTACATCCCGGTGATGCGCAGCAGCCTGACGACGGCCGAGCAGGCGGCGATCATGACGATCCTACAGCGCAAGGCGGAGGAGCGGCAGCGGCTGGCCGACAGCGGGACCGACGGGGGTTCGCTGGACGAGGCCGAGACGGCGATGCTGGGCACGGGCTCGAGCACGGGCGCGGGCACAGACGCGGCGCTGGTGGCAGAGGAGCGGCTGGCGACACTGGCGGCAGACTACGATCGGCTCAGCAAGCGGCTGGCTGACACGAGCACGCGGCTGGAGCACCTGCAGATGTCATACGAGGCCATCAAGGAGGAGCTGGAGCGCAAGGAGAAGGAGCTGGACATGGAGCGACAGAGCCACGGGGCGACAGAGTCGCAGCTGGTGCGGGAGCTGCAGGAGAAGCTGCGCGAGCAGGACGAGCTGATCAGCAGCCAGGAGGCGCAGGCGGAGGAGGACCGAGCGACCAAGCAGCGGCTGGCACAGGAGAGCGCGCAGCTGAAGCGACAGGCGGCACTGGTGGAGCCGCTGCAGGACCAGGTGCAGGAGCTGCGACACGCCAACGACGAGCTCAGCAAGAAGGCCAACACGGTAGACCGATACAAGCAGAAGCTGGAGACGCAGCGCGGGCTGGAGACAGACCTGCAGAACGCACTCTACGAGCTGGGACAGAACAAGGAGGCGCTGAAGGAGCTGGAGGCGCTGCAGCGACGGGGCGGCCAGCAGCAGGCGACGATCGAGCGGTTCCGTGAGATGGTGTCAGGGCTGGAGCAGCAGATCGAAGACAACCGACTGCAGCGAGCGGCGCTGGAGAGCGACGTATACGGAGCCCACGTGCAGCTGGAGAGTCTGCGCGACCAGAGCCAGCTGAGCGAGGCGCGCATCGCCGAGCTGGAGCAGCAGCTGCTAGTGCACGGCATCGTGCTGGTGGGCAGCGGCAGCGGAGCGGCCAACGAGAGGGAGAATGGAGCCGGAGCCGGAGGAGGAGCTCCAGGCAGCGTTGCGGGCAGTGCAGGTGGCAACATCGAGGCAGCAGGAGGCAGCAGCGTGGCAGCCAAGACGTTCAGCCTGGAGGACGAGCTGCAGCACGAGCATGAGCAACAACAGCAGGAACAGAAACAACAGCAGACGGTCGAGCCGACAGCACAGGCACTAGAGCTGGCACGGCTGCGGGCAGAGAACAGTCTGCTCCGAGGACGGCTCGAGTCGGGCACAGAAGGGGACCACCGGCTGCGGAACGAGCTGGAAGCGACGCGGGCCAAGGAGGAGTCGGCGCGGCAGCAGTACAGCGCGCTGCTGGAGAAGCACACGGTGGCCGAGGCGCAGGTGCAGGCGCTGCTAGGAGGACGAGCCGGCGAGGGGAGTGCCGTGCTGGCAGAGGCGCGACAGCGGCTACAGGCGGCAGAAGGCGAGCACGAGCAGCAGACGGCGGCGGCAGTGGCGCTGGAGCGACAGGTGGCCGACAGCCAGCGCGAGCTGTTGCGGCTGCGCGGCGACCTGGCCGCGGTCGAGAAGGGGTCGGTGGCCGAGGCGCTGGCCGAGCTGCAGGCAACCGATCGGCTGGTGTCGGAGTCGCTGAGCCAGGAGGTGGCGTCGTTGCGGCGCGAGGTGCGCGGGCTGCAGCTGGACAAGGAGCAGCAGCAGCAGCTGCTGGTCGAGGCGCTGCTGTCCAAGGGTGGCATGGCCAAGCGGGAGGCCGAGATGGCGGCCGAATCAGACTCGACTGCCGAAGCAGAGGCAAAAAATGGGACGACGGCCGGCCAGCCGGACAAGGCGCACACAACAGCAGACTCTGCCGCGACAGAGGAGCAGCTGCGCCGGGTCGGCGAAAAGAACGAGAAGCTGCGGGCGGCCGTGAAGCAGCTGAAGAAGGTTGGTGCGCTGCTGTTTCTGTCTTTGTTTTCTGTTTCTTCTTTTCTTCTTTCTTTCTTTTCTTTCTTTCTTTCTTTCTTTTCTTTTTTTCTTTCTTTCTTTTCTTTAGTTTCTTCCTTCTTTTTTCGTTTCCTTCCTTCTTTCCGTGATTAGTCATCACATTACTAATACCCTCCCAGCAGTACGACGCGACCGAGCTGGAGCGACAGGAACTGCAGCGGCGGGTGCGGGCGGCCGAGGCGACACCGGGCAGCGCGGCAGCGGCAGCAGCGATGGCGGCCCAGCGTGCGGCGTCCGACCAGGTGTTGCGCAGCCTACAGCGCGAGAACGCCATGATCGCGACGGCGTGGTACGATCTGACGAGCCGGCTGCAGAGCAACCACGTGGTGTTGCAGCGGCGGCAGGACGTGCCCAAGAGCTGGCTGAACAAGCAGCGGCAGATGGTGAATGCCACGCCGCGGAAGTAGGAGGGATGGCATCAACAGCAGCAGTTCGTCGTGGTCGTCTCGGCCGTCCGTCTGGTCGTCGAACGCAGTCGCTGGCGCGACCGCAATCGCTGGCGCGCATGGGTCGACCGACCGACCGTCGGGGTCCCTCGCTCGGTCCGCCGGCCGTGCTGGCCGTTCGTGGCCGCTCTACCGGTGGTGGCAACAGCAACAGCCACAGCAACAGCACCAATCTCGTCATCTTCAGCTCAACTTCGGCACGCGGTCGTGTCGATCGTGCTGACCGGCGCCGTGCTGCTCGGCTTCGCTTCCGCGTCGGCGTCATCCAGGGCCTCCGTGCTGACATCCGTGCCGATATCCAGGCCGGCATCGTGGCCGGTTTCCGCGCCGTCGTCACTACACGCCAATCTCCCGTCTCGACCGCCGTCGCTACCGCCCTCCTCGTCGCTGCTGCTGCCGCGCTCTTCGCCATCGTCACCCCCTTCGCCTGCGCCCTGCTCTTCGTCTGTCTCGGCCTCTCGGCTGCCCTGTTCTCGCCCCTGCTCTGCGCTGCCGCCTACTACCGATATACCCTTCTTGGTCGACGCGGACCGCTTGTTAGCCATGAACGTGATCCCTTGCTTCGCGGTCACATGACGTCGGTCACATGAATAGTTACGATCACATGATACATTCCAATATAACTTCACATGACTACGCACGTCGCACTGAACGCGTAACAAGAACAGCTTCCCACAAGAACAGCTCGTCTACTATACAACGGCTGTCTGGCCATGCTCTATGGCACCTGCAAGCGTTGTGCCGGCCTGCACTCCGGAACGACCCTTGCCGGCGACACGGCATGAGGGAGAAAAACAAAACATTTACGCAAAGCCAAAGTAGTCGTTGCCCGCCGTGATAGCCTTGATCAGCTGACTCCGCATGATCTCGTAGCTGTCGTATTCGGGTAGATCGAGTTCTGTACCGTGCCATTAGCTTATGCAATATACACAAAAAGCCGGAGACAAAGGGCAACTCACGATTGAAACACGTATGCGAGCTCGGCAGACGGTCCTTGTTGCCGTAGTCGCGGTGGATGTTGAAGCGGTTGACGCCATTCATGCCCTCGAGCTCCTTGAAGCCGTTGAGCGGGACCTTGCTCGTGCCGGTGACAAACTGCAGCAGCTTTGCGCGCTCCTCCTTGTCAAAGGAGCGGACGGCACGCCAGAACCACTGGATCTGCGGCGAGGCGGCATTGTAGTTGTGGTACTCGGTATGGCTGCGCCAGTCGTCAATGTCAATGTCGGGCAGGCCGGAGATGAGCAGCTCCAGCTCCTGCTCGGTGAAGATGGAGATCAGCTCGGCCGGGATGATGTCGTGGAAGCCCCGGAGAAAGTCCTCCATCTGGTCCTTGACCGAGACCAACAGCTTGTGCTCGACGACCAGACGGACGTAGTCGTGCTTGTTGTCCTCGGTCACGGCCACGTCGCGGCCTCCGTCGATCAGGTCCTTGACCGTGGTCACGCCAAACTCGTCGTCGACGACCGAAAAGGTCTCTGTGATCACGTCCGTGATGTCGTTCTCCAGCATCCAGACGAGCGACTTGTAGTACTCCGGGTCAAATGACTCCATGTCCTTGACCGAGACCGGCTTGCCTAGAATCCGCTTGTACACAGCCCGGCTGAAGTAGCACTCCAGCAGCCGGCCCTCGTACAGGGCCTTGCCGATGATGCGGCCGATGAACTTGAAGAACATTAGGTGCTCGTCGTTGATCCCGCTCAGCTTGTTCGGGTGGAAGGTCGTGCGGTCCGACGAGACTGGGATGAAGAGGGCGTAGTTGGCGTCGAACATCTGGCGTGCCAGCACCTGGAACCACTCGCGCGTCACGCCGCCGGCATCCACTCCCTCCTCGCCGTAGAAGCGGATGTTGAGCTTGCCGTACTTCATCTCGTCGCCCGTCTTGAAGTAGAGCGACCGGAACGAGTCGTGGAACACCTGGTCTCGCCGCACCGACAGCTGCAGCGCCGGGAACGACGGCCGCGAGTGTGTCTGGCCGCCTGCTTTGGCGTGCACGCTGCGGTTGAAGTAGTTGCGCTTGTTGTCGAACTCGAGCACCTTGGGATTGCGCACCAGCAGCGAGAACGTGCCCGACATCAGCTTCGGGTTGTTGCGCACCAGCTCGTTGAGCACGCGCCGGTGCTCTTCCGTAAACTCAAAGAAGAGGTCGCGCACCGGCTCGTTCTCGTCGCCTGCTCGGGCTCCTGGGCTCGACAGCTCCGACACCACCGTCATGCCCTCGTCGCCCGGCGTCGTCCCGTCGCTGCTGCTGCTGCCCGCATTCTGTCCCACGCCCGCGTTCTTGCACACCACCATCAACGACTCGATCAGTGGCAGCAAGATCGTCGCCACGTTCAGCATGCTGTCCCGCTGCCGGATCGCCGCCAGACATGCGCTTAGTCGTCCCCACATCGCCGAGAAGGTCGTGTTGCGGTACAGCTCGCCCATGTAGTCGTCCGAGCCATTGCTGTCGTTGCTGTCAGGGCCCACTGCTGCCCCGTTGCCCGCCTCGTCGCCCCCCAGCGCCGCCGCCTCCTGCTTCTTCGCCTGCACCCCAAACAGGTGGTCCAGCGCGGTCAACACCCGCAGCAGCTTGTTCTGTTCCGCTGCTCCCGGTGAGAACTTGGCCAGCGCGATCCCCTGGATCTCCGTCCCCGTCTCGGCCGCCTCGATGTGCGGCAGCAGTGTCTCCAGGTCTGCCAGGATCTTCTCGCTCAGAGCCTTGGCCTGTCGTGTCAGCTCCTGCCCAAACAGCTGCTTCGTCCCGCTGATGCACGACAGGTTCTTGATCGTCGAGATCGTGTTCTGAAACGTCTTGGAGCTGCACTCCCGCGCCACAAACACGTTGACCACCAGCGCCATATAGCTGTCTGGAATCAACGGCGGCTCCAGCTCTCGCGCCTTGTTCTGGTCTGCTTCCGGCCCGCCTGCTGCAATCGTCACCAGCGTCGCTGCAGCTGCCGATCGCGAAGCTGTTCCTTCGCCCGTCTCTTCTTCTGCTTTTGTGCCCTCTTCCTCCTCCTTCTTCTCCCGCTCTATCCGTGCCTTTTCCGCCTTTTCTGCCGCCTTCTCCTCCGCCTTCTTCTGTGCCTCCACCTCCCGTCGCCGACGCTCCAGCGCCTGCAGCGGCATTGTCACCTTGTTCAGCAGGTCCGCCAGCAGCTGCATCACCGACGAGCTCTCCATCACCAGCTCCTTCTCCAGCAACAGCAGCAGCAGGTTGATGCCGAATCGCGATGCCCGCGACTGTACCGCCTTGGCCTTGCGACTGCTCGGAGGCTTCCGCAGCGACGCCCCGGCAATGTCGTGCTCTGTCAGGAAGAGCGACGGGATGTGAAGGCTCTTGCTGCACAGCTCCACCAGCAAGTCTAGGCACTGCTGCATGATTAGCAGCGGCGAGCTCTCCAGCCGCGTCTGCAGCATCGCCGATTGCTGCCGCTTGCGCGTGCTGCCGGGTGCCGTGCCCGGAGTCGTCGTCACTGCCGCGCCCGAGCCCGACGCCCCGATCATCTTGGCCGCTGCTTCCTTGTCGCGCGCGTGGATCCTAGCCTTGGCCGACAGCTGGCTGAAGCACCGCTCGACCGCGTCCATGTCCGAACTGCCGTCCTGCAGCACCTGCAGCAGCGTGCTGATAATCTCTAGCCGCGTCTGTCGGTTCTGGCAGAGGTCCATGAAGAGGCTGAAGAGGCTGTTGCGTGCGGATCCTTGCTGCGTCACAAAGAGCAGCCGTAGCAACGTCGCCACTCCTGTCTTGTCCATCATCTGCACCACCTGTCGTCGCTCCACCTTGACAACCGCCGCGCTCGCGTCGCCCGCAGCTGTGCCGCCAGTTCCGGCCGTCCCGGAAGCTCCGCCTGCTGCTGCTACTGCTGCCGCTGCTGCTGCTACTGCCGCTGCCGCTCCAGAGCCGCCCTCGCCGCTCATCCGTCCCGCCTCATCGTCTCGCAGCCGCTGTGCTCTCTGTGGTGGCAGCCGGTTCCGCTCGATCAGCGAACGCGCCAGGTGTTGCAGATTCGGCGGCAGCAGGTCGTGCAGCTCGTCGCCCTGCTCCATCAGGATCTGCTCCCGCAGCTCCAGCGGGAACGTCATCAAGATGCTGGCTGTGTCCATCTCCTGTGCCGTGTTGTCGCCGCCTTCGTCCTGTCCGCTTGTCTGCCGTCGGTTGTCTTCGCGCTGTCGGCGTCGCTGCTCCTGCCGCTCCTGCTGCACAATCTCCATCCGCACATCCTCCGGCAGCGCGTCCAGGAACTCGTTGAAGTTCTCGATCTGCTCGCCCGTCGACTCTGCCCGCTGCCGTGCCTCCGACCGCCGTGCTGTCAGCGTACTGGCAATCACCTCCTCGCGGAACTCTTCTGGGAGCGCCGCCAGGTACTCTGCGTCGATACCGAGACCTGTCACGTCGATCTCCTCGCCACGAATCGTCGTCATGATCCGCTGCTGCGGCACCTCTTCTTCCGGCTCCTCCCGTGTCGCCGGTTCTTCCACATGGCTCTGGTCGCCGTCAGCCTGCACTCCCTCCATCGGTTCCGACGTGTCTCGTCCGGCCGCTTCGTCTGCGCCATCGGCTTCGCCCGTCACTGCTGCTTCGCCCGTCTGACCGGCAGCAGCGGCCTCCGCATCGCGCTCAGCCTGCTCCCGTTCGCGCTCTTCGGCCTCTTCTTTCTCGCGTGCCTTCCTCTCCTTCTCTTCTTCCTCCTCGCGCTGCCGTCGCTCCTCCTCCTTGCGCTTCCTCCTCTCCTCCTCCTCAAGCTTCTTCTTCGCCTTTTCCTGGCGCTCCACCTCCAGGCGCGCCCTCTCCTTGCGAGCCTCTTCCATGGCCGCCGGCGCGAGAATGAACAGGATCCGGTGGAACATCAACGATTCTGCCTTCTCGTTGAAGGTAGGCCCGAACACCATCTTGGCCTCGTGTACCCAGCGGTCGCCCGTAGATGCCACACGGAACGAAATTGCCTGGTGCGGCTCAACAGGCGATTCGCGTCTGCCTTCAACCGACCGCAGCTCCGTGCCCAGACGGGAGTCCGGATGGTTGGGCGACGTCAACTCGCGGAACTCGTTGCGCAGACCCTGGTGCGTGATCTGGAAGTGGAATGGCTGTCCACGTCCGGCAAGGTTGGGCAGAGATGCCATCAGGTCGTTGAGGAATGCGATCGGGTTCTCCGGCGCGCTGAATGCACCGCCCGTTGGCATGCCGATACGGAATGTAGCTGAAGAGTGGCCGTTCCGGCTGCTGTCCCGCGGAGAGCCGCCTGCGCGCCGGAGCAGTGGGTTGATAGCCTCTTCCGCGCCGCTTCCAGCGCCAGTACGGTCGGAACGGAAGATGTTGCCAAAGTCGGCCGCACCGTCGCGCGAAGATCCAAAGACAAAGGGAGGGAACGGGCTGCGCATGCCGCCGTGACGGTGGCGTGCAATCACATGGTTGTGATGGTTGTGGTGATGGTGGTTCGGCTCAATCACCAGCGTGTCCCAGGTCAAGCCAGCAGGTACATCTTGTTGCATGCCGTCCTCGTCTGGATAGCCTTGCTCGTAGATGTACTCTTCCTCCTCCATCCCATCGTCCTCGTCCTCGTCGTCCTCTTCGAGCTCGTCTTCGATATACGGATCGTCGTACCGGACGCCATCCTCGTCCTCCATAAACGTCGGGTTCATAGACCGTGCCAATTCCTCAAGCTGCTCGTTGGGATCGCCATCCGGCAGGTGGATCTGGGCCTGGTGCAAATCACCGGCACCCGCGTCATAGTCGTCGTGATCGTCGTCCTCGTCGTCCTCATCCTCATCCTCATCGTCGTCTTCGCTCGTCTCGCTTTCCCAGCCCGACGCTCCATCGTCGTCCTCGAGCTCCTCAATCGCCTCAATGTGATCCTCGAGGCCCTCCATGTCTTCCGAGCCGACTTCGTCACTGTCCTCGTCATCATCCTCGTCTTCGTCGTCCTCATCGTCGTCCTCGTCATCATGACCCTCGTGGTCATCTCCGTCTTCCATGACAAGTTCGACAACACCGTGTTCGTTGTTGAGGTGTTCGACTGTAGCCATCTCGTCTTCGTCTTCGTCGCTCACGTTCTCGTCATCCTCGTCCGTCATTTCGTCCTCGTAGTCCATTTCTCCTTCGTACATGTCTTGATCTACGACTGGGTTAGCAAAAGCGAATCGAGAGGATGCGCAAAAGGGACCAATGAAGACGCTGTAAGCTCACCACCATCTTCCGAGTCCGAGAACTCGTCAGGCTCTCCTCCTTCAAGCATGCCAAGAGAAGAGTTGCGGTACAGATCTGGCGTTTCTTCGCGGTCGTCCTCCATATCGGACAAGGATGAGGTCGATATCGCATCGTATTCGACGGGACCAGGCGATGACGAATGAGTCAGGATGTTGAGGCGGCTCAGCTCGATAGCAGTGCCGGTGAGCACGTTCAGAACGCGCAGTATTTGCTTGACAGTACGCTTCACGCCCGGGAACGCCAGGTCGACGTCGGCAATCGACGCAGTCAGGGCGGCCAGGAAGCCCTTCTCGTACATGAGACGACGCAGCTGCATCTGAGAGTGCGCGATGGCCGTCTCCGAGAACGGGCTGTGGTTGACCAGCGTACGGTCCTTGTCACCGCCAATCATGCCGGCCATCAGCTCGGCGAGCGCAGTCATCTTGCCGTAGCGAACGTCGATTGGCTCAGTCGAGACGGCGGCTTCCTTGTAGGCCTTGAGAACGGTGTCGAGGACGAAGCGCCGCACGAACAGAAGATCAGTCTCGTCGTCAAACTCGTAGCGGCTGTGTGACCGGTCAATGGGCCGCTCGCTTGTCTTCTCCACCAGGGAAACAAGCAGACGCCGTGCCTGATCAGCCATTGCCTGCTTCTTCTTAGCTACAATCGTGTCTTCTGGTACCACCGTCGCGTTCGGGACAGAGTAAGCGCCGCAGAGGACATCGTGCAGCAGGTAGTTCAGCACGCTCGATCTAGGCTTCACAGGCGTGTGCGTCTGGAGGGCCACGCCGCGCTTGTAGTTGATGAACTCCATCTTGGTCCGTGTGTAGCTGTGAAGCAGCTCCGTCAGGCAGAACACGAGGAAACCTCGGAACACGAAAATCGGATGCTCAGAAGACTGGAATGCCCGGGATGCCTTCTTGTCGCCGCTGCTCTTGCCCTTGCTGCTGTCGCTGGCTTTGGCCCCAGACGATGCTGCTGCGCCTTCCTCGGTGCCGGGAGCAGCCGAGGAGGAAGATGCAGACGCTAGTGGAATATCTGTACCCAACGGAGTCTTTTCAGAATCCTTCGCCGCCTGGTTGGGCTCAACATCGTCGACCTTCTGGTAGATCATCAACTGTTCTAGAAGGAAGGTGATAACACCGTCTGGATTCTCAACAATGGGTCGCTTGTGCTCCGTAGTCGGCTCAGCTTTGGGAGCATCTGGCATGTCCTTATCAGTGTTGCTGCCATGTGTTGCGCCGTTGCTGCCGGATGCACCGTTCGTTTCTGTCGATGGTCGGACATCGTTAATGTTGAGATCTTCTGTCAATTGGACAGCTGGCCCGAGTGAATCGTCGTGGCTACTAGTGGCTGCCATGTCCAAGGTGCTGCTGTCGAGCTTGCTCTGTTTTCGGGTAACAGTGAAGGCATAGTTGAGCGGGTTGTCTCCAGGCGGCCAACGGTGGATCTGCACCATCTCCTCGACAACGGAACTGAACACTTTCGGATTCCGCAGGGCAACATGTCCTAGGTATTGCAGGAATGCCTTCAGGTCATGCGTCCGAAGATTTCGGTGTGGTGACGTTTCGAAGAAAAGCCGGATCTCGGCGCGCATCACTTGGCGGAGCACGTCGTCGTCCTCGACAATATGCCGGAGAATCGTCACAATATTGGTGCCAATACGAGTCTCCTTGAAGCCGCTCGCCCCCATGCCAGACAGCTGCTTTGCCATGAGGAACAGTCTCTGTAGATTCTTCTTGTCGCCAACAGTCTTTGCCACCTCGCGCCGTCTCGTCATGATGACGAGGAGTCGGCTGACCGAGACGGCCAGTACCTCGTCTTTGCCAACCCGCGGAAGGATATCCAGGGCAGATTCGAGAAGAGTGCTGTAGTTTGCGTCGCTCAGAATTGGCGTCTTGACCTCGACTTCTGGATCGCCCATCTTCTCCGAGTCCAGGCTAGGCACCGTCCATTTGTACGTTGGCAGCTGTTCATCCTCGGTAGCGAGAAGCTCAAAGAGGAGATAGAAGTGCGGCAGCCAAGGCGGAAGCTCTTCGGACGAACTGCCAGAGGGGATTTTCAGGAAGCCAAGAAGCTCGTCCATGTTGTGGCGCAGAGAGTCAACGGTAGAGCGGAAGAAAGAGTCAACGTCGCGAATGAGAAGACAGAGAAGGTGTGCGTACGCCGCAATGCTCTGCGCGTGAGTCTTTTTGTTCTCCTCGTCGATTGCGAACGACATGAGTGCTTCTGTCAGGGTCTCGCCCACGTCCTGTGCGCCATTGGCTACTCCAGCTGGCTTCAACACGCTCGTCGAGATCAGCTCCGAGATTTCGTACACAGCATCCGGATGCACCTGGATGACCGCAAGGCAGCGGTCTATCAGATCTTCTCTCAACTTTGTCCGCTGTTCCTCCAGATCCTCTCGCACGACAACATTAGAAGTCGGCGTATCGCCCTTTGCGTCAGTGACAGGCGACGGCACAACGACTGTTGCATTCGTGTCGGGGCCCGTACTAGAAGCGGCCTCAGTCCTGGCGCCTGACGTGAGCGAAGAGGATCCGTTGTTACCGGCCTCGTCGGACACGTTGTGCTGCTGCCGAAGGGGAGACGGTGGTAGAATCGGCGGTGGGAGCGAGGGCAATGCCGTCAGAGTCGCAGTCAACGGATGGTCGGGGTCGGATGCGTCTCCCACAGCACGAAGCCCCACGTCTCCGACGACAGACTCGAAGAGGTCTTCCAGTCCAAGGCTGCTGTCAAGTGCCATTGGGTCCATAGGAAAGGGGAGTCTTGGGGCGCGTCCAGCAGTCACAGCCGGAGTGGAGGAGGCCGGAGTAGCCGAAGCAGGAGTACCAGACGCCGAAGCAGACAACGTGACCGAAGCCGCAGCCGATCCAGCTGCTGGCTGGGGGGCACTTCTCTGTGCCAGTTCTGCGCGCCGACGCTTAACAAGCGCTTCGGTATCTTCAATGGGCACTGGATGACGTGGTCCGGCAAGTCCCGCTTGGTGTGCGTTGCAATACTCCAGCGAGGCCTCGGGAACATTATTGCTACGGTAGCACGCTTCGTCAAGCAGGTCCTGGGGAATCTTCGGCAGTTCCGGCAGCCTAGTCACCGTCCAGTTGAAGGTGACCAGGTCGCCACCGAACACGGCCGTAGGAGACACACGGGGCTTGTTCGCGCGTGTGAAGCTGCTTTCCTCCATCTGCCCGGCTGCAATAGTCCTCAGAATCTCGACAATCTTCGAAAGCAGGGTTGTTGAGATCTTCTCAGCGACAGACGACTGCCAAAGATCCATCACGGCCGGTAATATAGCCATGCGAACCTCAATTACCAGCTGGTGGGTGGCTTGTTGCGAATAGTGGCGGTCTCCTGTCCGTCCGAAAATGCTGACCAGACCTACCGATTCGATGCTTTGTCCGGAGACGAGAACGCTGTACAGGTCCAGAATCCTCTTCATGCCAATGCCGGCGAGAAACAGCTTGGGTGAGTCGTTCGGCTCCTTTGCTGGGTCCTCCAAGAGCTTGTGTGCCGATTCGGGCTGGTCCCGGTCGATTTCTTGGGCAAAGTTACGAAGGATGGTGTTGAGAATCTCGAAACCGCCGAGCGACTTGACTGCCAGAAGCACTGGCACGACAATGTGGGTCATACTGCTGTTTCCGTGTTCGCTGTGCCGCGAGTGATCAACCAGGATTTCGTACAAGGCTCCCAATAAGACCTTGCAGTGCTTGTGGCCCGTTGGTCCACTCACATCCAGCGCCTTTAATGGATCCAAGATGGTCCCCGCGATCGCCTCTGCAACCCGCAGGTGGTGGTACCGCTGGAACTGTTCTCTCTCCCTGCGAGGCAGAAGAGCCTTGCCCATAGACTGAAGAATCTGGACGATCACGGGCGTGAAAGAAGACAGCAGCGTCCGAAGCAGCTGGTAGTTTTGATAGGCATCAGATGCATGCTCTTCCTCCGTCAGCTTGTCGAGTTCTGCGACTCCAGAGCCGTCTTGGCTGTTCAGAGCATCTAGTGAGGTAGATGGCTTTCGGGACCAGCGGTCGGGAACTGCTGCAGAGATGGCTTCCTCTTCGTTCATAACGAAGACAAGGAAGGGGCCCAGCCGTTTGATCAGGTCCTCGTAATAATCAAAGACGTTGACATTATAGAAGGAAGTTGTTCCCTGTCTTGCCAACGGGAAGCAGACCTGCAACGTGCTGAGCAGGGATTGGGTCTTGGCAAGCGCCTTCACCATGGCTGTTCCTTCGGCCACTTGGTCAGCCGTAGGCGTCTCACCGGCAGGGTTGATAAGAGATGCAAAGTAGGATGCATGGTTGGGCTTTTCACTTTCGCTGCTGCTGCCGATGTCAACAGCTTTGCCTTTCCCAATGTTTCCGGTATCACCACCGCCGACATTGCTGTTCAGCAGTGGCGAAAGGTCGTCAAAAGAGTGCAATGTCCGGTAGAGCAAAGACGGAAGGCCGAGAACAGCACTTTGATCGAACAGCTGTGTGGTGGAATGCTGCAGGCTTCGCGCAAACATGGGTGGGTTTTGATTGATAGGCAAGCCAGGAGATGCCACAAGGTCCAGGACCAATTCAATTCCGCCCTTTTGGATGAACAACGCTTGCAATCTCCCATTGTTCTGGTAAGCGTTGAGAAACAACATCGTTGCGTTGACGTATGGGCCGGCATCATGGTAAGCTGGAGTCGTCGGGGTCGATGTTTCACTTTCTGATGTAGGGTTGCCAGCTGCCGATGCGTCTGTCATCTCGGTGTCTTCTGAAGCTGCGGCAGCATTGACGACATCAACCGACCGTTGCGGCGGCGTCGGGGAAAGCTTCACTCCCCAGGCGTCCGTCCGCGCCTTCGTGTCAGCCAGATAACGAACTCGGCTCACCATGACCAGAACGGCATTAGCGATAGCTGTTCGCAGCGACGGGTGATGGCGTGCAAGCTCGTCAAAGTTGCTTCCGATGTTGGCTGGCAATCCTGGCTCATTCTCCATGCAGCGGATGTGAGCAGGGTTCTCAAAGATTTCAAAGTAGCTTTCAAAGGCCCCTGAATCCACCACCATTCTGCGCCCCGAGTTGTTAAGCGATATCGAGTTAAGGATGGAGGGAATGGCGCCAATGGCTTCAGTGGACGGCAAAATGCCTCCAGCCAGCTTGTGGTCACGGGGGCGCTCCAGCTCCTCGCCGGACAGTGGGCCCTCGCGACTGACGATGCCAAGAGAGGCGTCCTCTGTATCGACTGGGACATCTAGATCAGGATCATCCCCGGTTCCGTCGTCATCATCATCCGCGTTTCCGCCATCATCAGCTGCCCGGCTTGGATTACCTCCAGCAGCAGCATTTTCGGCGTTCCCTGCGGCATCAGTAGTCGCTGTAGCATCTGCAGCAGAAGCGCTCGTTTCAGCGCTGCCATTGGCATCATCACCTGGGACTCCTGTGGTGTCGTTGCCAGCGTCCTGAGCTTCGGGCTTGACTGTGGGCAACGGCCGGCCAGTGATGGCCTGAAGAAAGCTCTGAATCAGGCCCGACTCGGACAGGGCAACGAAGCTGGTCGGGTCATGGTTGATGAAGTGGCTGAGAGCGGTTGCAGCATTCGTCCACACAACAGAGCCGTACACTGTCATATTTTCCAGGATCGTGCGCAGGCTGTGCAGGAGCTGCGTATTGTCAACCAGATTCCGGAGTAGACGATCTGTACCAGGTCCAAACTGGAATGAGCTTGCCATCAGGTGATAGATGAATTTCAGCAGCCATTTCAGCGTCTGTTGGAGGTAGAAGGGGACGTCATAGTCAATGACGCTGCAACGCATGTTGGTCGGCGTGATGTCGCCGTTCTCAACGATTCGTTTGGCCGAGGCCGCTGTGTCCACCAAGAGTTTTGAGATAACGTCTAGGCCATGTGCGTTTGCAAACGGCTGGAAAGATGTCGGGAAGCTCAAAACCACGGTGTCGAGGAAGGTGACAACAACGAGGTAGTTGCGTTCGGCGATTTTCGAGCGTATATTCAAGGCATCGATCAAAATCTCCATGAGTCCTGTAGTCATCATTTCGGGCATGCGGTTGCCAGCAGTGAGGTGCAGCGTCAGCGAGAATAGCTGCTTGCGCCAGTCGTCGTTTTCGATCACTTCTTCCGGCGTCTCCGGCCTGTCTTCCTTTATGTCGGCCACCGCCTTGCGTAAGACGTAGAGCAAGACGCCATGATTGACGCTCGCGTTCACCGCGGACATGACATCAGCATTCTTAGATGAGAAGCCAGCCAGGCTCTCCAGCAGCTGGAGGGCTATGGTTTGCAGCCAGACAGGCAATGGAGATTTGCCCGCGCCAGGGCGGATGAGCTCGGCCAGTTGGTAAGTAAGTTGATATCTTCTCGGTTCTTCCGAATCCTGTTTCAAAACCTTTTCAAGGAAGGCAATCTCGGGATGGATAAACGCCAAATTGGTGATTGCAAGCAGACGAACAGCAAGAGCCAGCTGACGCTGCTCCACAGAGTCAAGCAGAGCCCTGGCCGTCCGAATGCGGCTCAGCACCTCGTAGCGGGACAGTGCAGGCATCTCGGTCGGACAGCGGGCCATAAGCTCATACACAGAGCAGGACTGTACAGCATGGTATGGAATCTCAAAGGTACGCTGACCGGAAGCCGCGCCGTCATCTCCTCCGGGCCAGCGAGTCGGCACTGGTGAGAAGGGAGACGAAGCCTCGTCCGGCACTGACCAAGAGTTTGCTACCCCGGATGTGGCGCTCGTGCGCTCCGCCCGCGGAGTCCGGTCTTGGCTGCCCATGGTAGAGCTGCGGCGCAGTGGTGTAGGGGTGGAGGGTGCAGACGCATACGAGTCAACCAATCCGCGTTGACCTCGTGGCGAGTCATTCTCTGTGATTTCTTGCTGGCGCGGATGGTGTTCTGGGTAGTAAGTGACCTTGACGTCACCCCAAACCTTCCACGACTGGGGAGAAGTGTTCCCGTTCTGGTCGTCTGGGTCTGTCGAGCCTTCAGTTGCAATGGCAACAAAGTCATTCGTGAACATGGTCGTGACGTTCTGCGAAGTCGCGGCTGAGACCGTCGCCGTCGCCGTCGCCGTTGTGGCAGTTGCAGTCGCCAAAACTGACGGTCCGCCTTCGGCCTTTTCCTTGCCCTTGGCGCTTGCGGATGCTGGCGTGGAGGCAAAGGGATGGGCGGGCGCAGCCGGTATGGAAGAGCCGGCGATAGGGGTCTTGATGAACGGCTGAGCCAGCTGTTGGACTCGATCGAGGTCAATGTCGTAGTGGTTCTGGAGAAGCGCAGTGTGGAAGACGCGGGACGTCGTGCTGGCGCGTTTGTAAGAGGCGTGGTACCGCAGTGCAAGCTCGTGGCCAACGTGCAGGGCGGCCTTGAGTATGTGCAGGGATGCGGAGTTGAGGAGGCTGCTGAGATGGGCGCTGCTGGCATAGATGCTCCTGTTTCCGCAGTGCTGGAGGAGGCCACGCGTAAACTTGAGGATAGCCAACACCAGCTGGCTGTCGCCATCTTGTCCGAAGCCAAGCCGGGCAAGCTCAGCGGCGTCCCACTTTCGGGTGTCGCGGAAGTCGACCTGGTGGGAGGTAGTCTGGAGGAGGATTTCGCATCCAAAGTCGCGCATCTGGGGCCCGGCCTGGAGGCCGTATGTTTGAACGAAGCACTCGAGTATGTTGTCGAACCTGTTGAGGAGCGGAATCCAGTGGTACAAATCGCCCCGCGGGAACGGCCATCTTGACGGAAACTTGTCGAGCTCACTGGGCAGCAGCGGAAGCGGGGTCTTTGCGACTGACTGGACATAATCAGCTAGCCAAGGAGACTGTGAAAGAGGGCATTGTCAGCAAATGGCCAGCAGCAACGAACAGGTGGGGGTGGAGATGAAGCAGGAGCAAGGCTTTGACGGTGGGAGGGGTGATCTCATAGGCGATGCCGCCAGGCAGGGAAATGCGAGGCAGGCGTGGGTATTCCGTGGGCCCCGATGCGAGCAAAACTCACCATAGACTCCTTGTGCTTTGACTGCAGGCTCTTTGATATCTTGACCATCGTGCCGATGTCTTGTTGGCAGAGCAGGAGCTCCACCGAAAACCAAAGCGAGAGTGGATGGAAGGCTGAAAGGAGCTCAGCTCAGGTCCCCCCTCGGCTGCCAGGGTTGTCCGTATAGCCAAACATCCAGCGCCGGGAGTCGTCTTGTACACTGGGGCAAAATATTCGTGGGATCGCAGGAGCGGCAGTATTGGGCCAAAGCAGAGTTTGCAGGAGCAGCCTAGGAAAGGACGTGTGCAGACGTCCTTGTGGCTGCCAAATGGTCCACTGTAACGGAATGCTGAGAGACCAGATTCGATGCCAGCCGACACGGTGTGCAGGATGTGTCGATGGTATCTATTTTGGTAAACGCAGCGAACTGTCAGAGTTACCTTGGTGCAGGAAGAAAGCAGGATAAGGTCAAAGTAAGGTTGTGGAAGATAGAGGAAGTGGAGATGGAAATTTCAGGATTTCGTTGCTTGCAAAGCTTCCGTTGCCTGTTTGGCAGGCAGTGCGGGCAGACTGGCGCCTTAGGCGGTGAATAAGTGGTGAGTATTTTTTGTGGAGTAACTGCGCTGGGCAGAAAAGAGTCGTCACCAAAGAAGTTATAATTAGCGGTAGAATGTCAAGGAATAGTGGCCCAAGCGCCCTGCAACTTGCCGCTGGACGCGGCTAAAGCGCCGTAGCAGGTGACTGACGGTAGGCGAGACGGATTCCGGCGCCTACATGCGAGACGGATCGCAATAGCAGAATCTGTGCAAAACATTTATTTTTGGTGGGCTTTGGAAGCAAATGGAGTCTGGCAGAATTACAGCCTTGCTTCGTTTTTCAGCCGCAGTTCTTCTCCCGGTGGCGCCTCGTCAGCAGGGGCTTCAGGCAGCTATGCAGCAGGTACTGGTGGGTATCTTCAAAACCGCGTATATTCGGAGGTTACAAGAAGAGCCCTTTTTCCACAGCCTGAAGAATAGGTCCTCTCAGGGCAGCGTATCTACATGCTATTTCATCTTACGAGAGCAGAGAAACAAGGCAAACGACAGTGGGCGCAGCGGGGAAATATAGCACGACCTCTGCCATGGCTCCACACTAAGCACGCCAATGGGAGGGCTTCAAACGAATCAATCCAATTCACAGCATGACGATGTTTCGGCTCAGCGCCCATGTAAGTGATGTGCTGATATACCTATATATTCGGTGACGTAAGCTACACGACATCTGTCGAGTTTCTTTGTTCCAAATCAGCCGTACAGTGTACTTTCAGGGATTCTTCTCTTCGGTGGCATTTACTACGTACGACTACCTTAATTCAGACTTCTGATCCCTCCTTTGATCGGTCCCTCTGATCGGCTTTTCTGATTTTTGAGCCTCAGATTCAAATTGCCGCTCTTCGTCGTATCATCGTCACGCTTGCAAGGATATAATCAAAGGACGCCCATCTACTCCGTAAAAAGCTAAGGTTGCTCTCTTGTAACGATGCCACGTGATTTGTTTCGATCGAGTGTGGGGCAGTGGCTTACGGGACGAAAAAAAATATGGTAAAAAAAAAGTGATTCGTCCGTTGCCACTTAAACTTCACGTGCCTGTATGAAAGAGTAGACCAGAAGAGAAGCTTCACATTTTTTCTTCTCATCTCCTCGAGGCACTTTGTTCGCCGCCTTCACTATCGTCAATAATCTGCTTGCCTTGCCATTGGCCGTCGTCTTTGTAGGAAACTGCCACACGCATTCGACTCCGCCGTGCCTCTCTACCGCCCCATCTTTTGTTCTTAGTTTTCATCATTTCCCGTCGAATAGCCGATCATTCATCATGCTCGACGCAACAAATGAGATCAAGCTCCTCACGGGCTCCAGCCACCCAACGCTGGGTCGGTTGATTGCTGAACGGTAGGTGCTCGATCCGGAAGCCTGGATTGCAATGCTTTAATGCAACTCTACAAGTCATGCTATGCTCCAGCTTGCTCGGAAGCTAATGAGTTTCGATCCACAGTCTCGACATTGAGATCGCCAAGACGATGAGTGCGTTGGCCTTCAGGCTCTCACTCCCCGACATGATAATAGACAAGTGGATGACTAACGGCGTTTTGCTCTGCAGGCATCAATGATTCAAATCAAGAAACTGTAAGCCCGATACGCACGCTTATCTTAATGTCCTTTTATGTTCTATGTGCCTGACCGATCCCTAGAGCGTGACCATTGGCGAGTCCGTGAGAGATGAGGATGGTAAGAAAGCAGACGAAGAATGGACATTGCCAAACTCTTACCGCCTACGTATTCACTACGTCATCTGCCCCTGCTAATGCCTGCCTTCAGTGTTCATCCTGCAGTCCACAGCTCCGGGTGACATCAACAACGGGCTGATGGAGCTCCTGGTCATGATCCATGCTGTAGGTAGCCCGTACGTCCAGGGAGAAACATCCTGCAACGCAATACTTACCATGATGCTCAGTGCCGGACCGCATCTGCCCGGCGGATCACCGCTGTTGTGCCCAACTACCCCTACGCTCGTCAGGACAAGAAGGACCGCAGTCGTGCACCCATCTCGGCGAAGCTGGTTGCCGACATGTTGGTCCAGGCTGGCTGCAACCATGTGATCACGATGGACCTCCATGCCTCGCAGATTCAGGGTTTCTTTAACATCCCGTAAGTCAATGGATGCAGAATTAGCGGAGACGAGCCCACAATCTCTTTTCGGGCGCTGACTGTGTAGGGTCGACAATCTGCTTGCGGAGCCGAGCGTTCTGCGGTTCATTCGCGAACACCTTCCCCTGCAGGACACTGCGATTGTGAGCCCTGACGCGGGCGGCACCAAGCGCGTGACGGCAATTGCAGACCGTCTTGACCGGCCATTCGCCCTGATCCACAAGGAACGGCCACAGCCGGGAGTCGTGGGCCGCATGATTCTGGTGGGCGACGTTCGGGATAAAGTGGCCATCATTATTGACGATGTGAGTTGAGACATCGACCTCTTTAGAGACTGTCGCTAACAGTTGAAGATGGCCGATACCTGTATGTCCGAGTTCGGCGATTAACCGGTATATCCTCTCTACTTGCATAGAACAGCGCTGACAGCAGGTTGTCTTACTAGGCGGTACGCTCGCAAAGGTAAGAAGCCTTCCTGACTTCGCTAGTTTCAATGTGCGTGTATTCTAACAGTAATCCAGGCAGCGCAAACAGTCATGGACCACGGTGCACGAGAGGTGGTTGCCATTGTGGTAAGTTTCTTGCCCCTCGTTGATCACCTATCTGAACGAGAAACTGACAGTACGGACAGACCCACGGTATTCTCAGTGTAGGTTGATGCGCTCACTGGACAGAGGACAGACAACACGATGCGAGTACTGACTATTATACAGGGCAAGGCTGTGCAGACCATCAACGAGAGCTGTCTGTCGCAGCTGATCGTGACGAACACGGTCCCTCTGGGCGACAAGCTCGAGCGATGCCCCAAGATCCGCATCATCGACGTCAGTGCCACAATTGCAGAGTCGATCCGGCGGACACACCACGGCGAGAGCGTCAGTTCTCTGTTCAGGAACGTCCCTCTTTGAGAGGACAGTCCGGCTGCTATTTGTTTCGCAGGGCTGGTACGGGACGGGTGCAGGCCCTTTGTCGAGCTGGGCCGAGGTGGTTATTCTCTCGGGAATAGATACTTTTTGCGTTGGGACCGAAGAAGGAAATTAGCTTTTGATCTTTAGAATTCGTGCTTTCGCATTTGCTTATTTGGTTCAATACTGCGCGTCGCTACACCAGCAATAGAGACAGAGAATACCATCCATGTAGAAATACGTGGATCTTTTGGATTATCAAAGGCGTTCTTGTTGTAATCACATAATATGAAATCAATCAATTCAAAGTAAGCTTCCCTTCAACATTCGTCATTCTAAGCAGGTCTTCGTGGTCGAAGTTTGCATGGTCGCGTCTTCTTGAGGAAGGGTCCATGATGCTTAACCAGCTTTACTGTTGTCAATCAGCCGGGTTACAGGAGCTTTTTGTCGGTTATCCTATCGTCGGAGCCCCCGTGCCAATGTTCCTAGTGGCTTGGTATTGTCACAGATGCCCATTTCGCGTGGAGTGCCAAGGCTGGAAAGCGAAGCCTGTTTCTTGGCAAAGACAGGTAGACTAAAGTTATCGTGAGCTTCTTAGGAAAACGTGTCGGCGGTGGCACAGTTATGGGGTTGCTCTAGTCACATCAAATTATATAGGCCCACTCAACGTGCCTCTTTTCTTATCATTGGAATGTAGCAACTTTATTCATGCTGAGACCGTGATAGTCGGCTTTGGGTCGATTCTTCCCTGTAAGAATTATGGGTGTCGGCCGGCCCGAAAAGCTGCTGCTTTATCATAGAGCCATCTGTGAGATCTCTTGGCTGAAGTGTAGCTTCCTAGCTGTCGGGTGGACTATGATAGATTATCAGACTATCGGGGTTGAAAGATAGTTAACGGGGACGACATATAAGTCCATTCGACAGCCTCTGAAGTTGTTGCGATCAGCAATGAGAGCACGGTTTATGGAACCGAGTACGACGCTATTTCTTCAATTCATCCGCCTGTTTCAAGATGGCGCCACTCAGCAGGCCATTGTTGCTTGTTTGCGTTGTGGCAGCTCTCAACTGCGCCTGTGTTGGTTATGATTCGAGCATGATGTCCTCGCTAAACATTCTGGTACATTTATCTACTCTGTTGGCGCTCAGATAGTTCATGCTAACTTTGTGTGAAAGACCTCATTCCAACGACACTTTGGTATTGATGCAAACATCAAGGGTCTCTTGACTGCCTCAGCCAATATTGGAGGAATCCTCGGCGGCCTCTTCTCTGGTCACGTCGTCGACAAATGGGGCCGGAAAATGGGCATTTTGATTTCGGCACTGATAGTACTGGTCTCTTGCATCCTCCATTCGACGTCAACCACTCTGGGACAGTTCTTTGTAGCCCGGATCCTTGTCGGGTTTGCAAAAGCGATGGACATTGCCTCTGTGCCTACCTACCTGGTAGAGCTAGCACCTCCAGCTCATCGCGGCTTTGTAGCAGGCCTTTACTGGGCATGCTGGCTTCTGGGAGCCATCATCTCCTCGGGCGTTGGATACGGTGCCAGAAGCGTGGCAGGACAATGGAGTTGGCGAATCATCTGCATCTGTATGGCTGGCCCCGCGCTGTCCTGCATTGCTCTCCTCCCGTTCGTTCCAGAGTCTCCGCGCTGGCTGATGTCTCGTGGCCAAGACGAACAAGCGCTCAAAGTGCTGGCTAGATTCCACGGTGGTGGAGATGAAGAGCATCCATTGGTCGTTTCCCAATTCCGAGAAATCAAGGAGGCAATCTCCTATGAACAGGACAACAAGTTCGAGACGTTTATAGCCTGGTGGAAGGCCTTCACGGCACAAAAGTCGAACCTTTATCGGGGGTACATTATCATGACTCTCGGTATCTTCGAACAGACCATCGGCTCCAGCATCATCACGTACTATCTGAGCAGTGTTCTCAGTCTCGCTGGGATCACCTCTCAGAAGGAGCAATTTGCTATCAGCATTGGCCAAAATTGCGTGGCTTTCGCCTCGGCACTTGTTGGTATTTGTATCATTGACAAGGTTGGGCGAGTGCCAATGCTGGTTGGTGGCACCGCATTTTGCGCCGCTGTCCTTGCGTGTATGGCCGGGCTCACGGCAGATCAGACTGACAATGAGAACGGAAGGAATGGCATCATTGCAATGGTCTTCCTCTTCCAAGTCGGCTACTCGTCAACGTGGACGCCCTTGTCTTTCTCGTATTGTGCCGAAGTGCTCAATTTCACCATTCGTGCCAGGGGCATGGCGTAAGTGAATCTTGTCGATGTCCTTTCCGAAAATCACAAGCAATGCAATGGCTAATGGGATATATTGCACAGTTTCTACAACATTTTCACTTCTTCCACTGGGTTCTTCAATCAATACGTGATTCCTATCGGACTGGCCAACATCAAGTGGAGGTATGCACAATTTCGAAAACTACAAGAAAAATATGCTAATAGACCTTGTGTAGATTTTATCTTGTCGGCATTTGCTGGAACACTCTCGTTACCGTGGTCATTTTCTTCACGTATCTCGAGACCAAGGGTTTGACTCTCGAGCAGATCGATAAGCGCTTTCAGGGGGTCCCTAGAGATCAACTCGACAGCATTGTTGAAGTTTACAACGGAGAAAAGCCGATCTTGGAGACGGAAATCGTTTCGAAATCCGAAAAGGACAAAGACACAAAAATTACTGTTTAAAGACGGCCGTCAAAGTTCGTCATCTAGACAAAAAGTCGCCGTCCAAAGTCGTGGGTAGTATCACGAGACAATTGATTTTTGCACATTATGTCACATATGTTAGAGAAACACTCGTCTAAAGCCAATGCACAAAGACAAGCCCTAGCCTGGTCATTGGTCCCCCTTCCCACCTCTTCTTTACTATGAGCTGCAAACGGCACCGTGCTTCAATTGTATATGTCTGGTTGTCAATGACCAGCAATACATGTCCGTCAGACGTATATGCCAATGATGTCTTATCGGCAATACTGTCGTATTACTCAGACTGCCCTTCAGTGACAGATTATAAAGGGTTATGCTTGAATATAAGTGTTAGTAACTAGTCTCGCATCTACCTAATCTTGCAAGACAAAGACTCTTCAGCCATCGGTCCGTCCTCCCACGGCCGATTCTCTGCTCATCTGCCGACAGTAGAAGATGTGTTGTTATTTTAATTTCATAATTTTTTTCATTCGTCTTTTTATTGGAGACACAGTGACAAGAAAATAACAAAGACACCATGAGATTTCCCATATTTTTGCCCCCTCCCCTCCCCACGTGGAAGAATTCGAAAAATTGTAGTAGAAGCAAGTATCGGAAAAAAAACGCCCGTAGCACTTTTTTTCGCCCCTCTACTTGTGGGAGCTTGCGCGCCGCTTGCGCAGATCGGCCTTCTGGGCCTTTGCCTCGTGCACACGCTTGGCCAGGATCTGGGCGTACTCGTTCTGGGAAGAAGGATTAGTGACTGCAGGGCAAGAGGATGGGCGGGCGCAGAGCGGGCAGGGAAACTCACCGCCTCGTCCTTGACCTTCTCCTGCTGGCGGCGCTTGAGGGCGATCAGGTGGCGCTTGTGCTGCAGACGCTGGGGAGTGATGAGGCGCTGGATCTTGGGGGCCTTGGTGTAGGCCTTCTTGCCCTCGCCCTTGGGCTGGACCTCGCGGCGAATGACGTATTTCCGGACATCGTCCTCCTTGGTGAGGCCGAAGAACTTCTGGATCTTGCGGGCACGCTTGGGGCCCAGGCGCTTGGGGTGGACGACGTCGGTCAGGCCGGGGATGTCGGCCTCGCCCTGCTTGACGATGGCCAGGGCCAGGACGGACAGGTCGGAGCCGACAATGCAGCCGCGGACGGACTTGCGCTTGCGCTCGCCAGACCGGCGGATGCGGTAGCACGAGTGGCCGTCAGACAGCAGCAGGCGCACACGCGAGGGCTGGAGGACGCCCTGCTTCATGGGGAATCCCTGCTTGTCGTTGCCACCGGTGATGCGGACAACGTAGCCCTTCCACTCGTCGCCGAGAACGTCTGCCGAAAGCTCAGCTCCCATCTGTACCATCAGACGTCAGTTTTACAGATCTCGGTATTTTCGGCCTGCCGTGGCCGGCCTCGTTGTGCAGAAGTTGACTAACCCGACGATCCATAAAGATCTGCAAGGAAGACGGTTAGCTATTTGCGAAAAGCTCGGTATTTGTCTCCTCAGTGCGAGGAGGCAATGGAATTGGAGTTTGCAGCAGAGATGTATTTTGTGCAGCCCTGCAGCCCATCCAATTCCAATGCCAGCCAACAGACAAGAGAGAAAACCAGTGGGGTGGGTTCAAGACATACGCTCAGCTTGCGCTCATCCTCAACCTCGATCAGCTTCTGGGCACCGGTGGCCGGGTTGCTAATGTTCAACTGCGAGCCAAGTCAGTACGGCTATCCCCAAGACAGCATCGCATGGTCCCCGTTCGAATCCGTGTCTTCAAGCTCCAATGGCGTGGGTGGCGATCGTCTGTATATTTCTCGTGGCAGGGCCATTGTAGACAATATCGTTCTGATCGTCGCAGGCGATTCTATCCAGTGCCATCGCAAATTTGGAAGCCGTCATACCAGGTTGTCGTGCCGTCCAGTCGTCGAAGAAGGAGCGAGACACAAAACTCGGATTCGAAGGGGACTTGCACCGAAGGTCTGCTGTGAGAATGAACGCACCTTCATGATGAATAGATTCCCCTGTCAGAAAATAAAAAGGAGAGGAGGGTGCTCGCGAGGGAAACAGAGGTCGAGTTTCTGTTGTCGTGTGTTGGGGCTCGCGATATGTCGGAGGGGATAGTGGTTTATTTTTTTATTTCATTTGGGTGAAGCGAAAAAAGTTCCCAGCAGATTCCTCCTAGTCTGGCAGTTGTGGTGGGCTTACATAAGGGTAGGGCTTGCGAAAAACCTGACTGGTCCGTGCATTTGTTAGTCTCTGCTCTGATTCGCTGGTGGGGTAGCTGCTGTCTGGTTGGCCACTACAATGAGGGCTGCTCCACCTGACCTGGAAAGGCGAAGTGGGGTGTTCGAGAGTGTATAGTTCCGCATTTGGCAGGTGCTGACAGCTGCCGTCTTGGAGCGCAAAGCCTGACGGCATTATCACAGCGACATTGGATGGCGGTTGACGGATCAGTTTTTGAATTCGGAAGCGCCAACTTTCAATATGGAGGAAGACCGAGCCGGGACAGACATTGGGCTGGCGGCCGAGATCGAGGAGCAGCAGCGGGGGGAGCAACTGGAGCTGGAAGAAGCGAGCGAACAAGCAGATGAAGCGCCCAGCAATGGCGAGCCAAAGCGAGAGGAATCGGCGGCAGCACCAGATACAGCGACAGAAACGACGACGGAACCAACAGGAATGTTAGACACAGAAGCAGCAGCAAACACACCAGCAATAGCACAAAACAATTCAAGTCAGGCGCCAACAGCCAGTGCCGAGAAGCCGGCATTACGACAGCCCAAGAAACGCTTTGTAGGACGGCGAGCGGCAGCGGAGGCGGCAGCGGCAGCGACACCACGGAGCAGCGACGCAGTGAGCGTGGAAGACGCGGGGGCGGTGGGTGAGTGATTCGGACGGTGGTGGCAGGTGTCGTGGAAAGCAAGTCATGGAAACGCTGACAGGCGCAGCACCACGGCCACGGGCCCGACGGCCGGCCCGGCTGCTCAACCAGGTGCCGGCGGAGCTGTTGGACGACCCAGCACTGCAGGCGGCAGTGGCGCTGCTGCCGGTCAACTACTCGTTCGAGGTGCCCAAGACGATTCACCGGATCCGCACGTTGGGGGCGCGACGGGTCGGGCTGCAGATGCCGGAGGGGCTGCTGCTGTTTGCGACGACGGTAGCGGACATCCTGGAGCAGTTCTGCCCGGGCACGGAGACGCTGATCATGGGCGACGTGACGTACGGGGCATGCTGCGTGGATGACTTTACGGCGCGGGCGCTGGGCTGCGACCTGCTGGTGCACTACGCCCACAGTTGTCTGGTGCCGGTCGACGTGACGCAGATCCGGACGCTGTACGTGTTTGTCGACATCCGCATCGATGCCAGCCACCTGGTGGCCGCGCTGGAGCGCAGCCTCGTCGCCGCCACCACCACGCTGGCCCTCGTCGGCACCATCCAGTTCAACGCCACGATCCACGGCTTGCGGCCGGTGCTCGAGCGGGCCGGCTTCGGCGTGCTGGTGCCGCAGATCGCGCCGCTCTCCAAGGGCGAGATTCTCGGCTGCACGTCCCCGCAGCTCGCAGACGCGGCCCCCGACAGACAGCTCGCCATCCTCTACCTCGGCGACGGCCGCTTCCACCTCGAGAGCATCATGATCCACAACCCCGGCGTGCCGGCTTATCGCTACGACCCCTACGCGCGCAAGCTCACGCGCGAGGCCTATGGCCACGCTGAGATGCAGGACCTCCGCCGTGCGGCCATCCGCACTGCCCGTGGCGCCCGCTCCTGGGGCCTCATCCTCGGCACGCTCGGCCGTCAGGGCAATCCTCACACGGTGGCCGCCATCGAGGCGCGCCTTCGCCAGCGCGGCCTCCCCGTCGTCACCCTGCTGCTCAGCGAGATCATGCCGCACAAGCTCGCCCGCATGAGCGCCGACGTCGAGTGCTGGGTCCAGGTGGCGTGCCCGCGCCTCAGCATCGACTGGGGCTACGCCTTTGCCCGCCCGCTGCTCACGCCCTACGAGGCCCTCGTCGCCCTCGGCCTGCGCGACGATGACTGGGCCCGTGCTCCCGACGGTGCCGTCGGCGGCGTCTACCCCATGGACTTTTACGGCCGCGACGGCCTCGGTCGGACTCGAGCAGGGGAGATTGTTTAGATTGTATGGAAATGTCACGTGATACAATTTGGTAGGCGGTATTGCACACATACTTCCCGTTAAGCCCTTGTCCATGCCTCATGCTTTCCTATCGTACAGTCGTCCGTCCTCCTAGCTGTTGTGCATGCTTGTCGTCATCGGTTCCGGCCGCTGCGAGAACTGGAGCTTGTAGTGCACAATCTCCACCACGTCCAGACGGTCGCCCGTCTTCGTGCTGTCTGTTCCCTCAGGCCTGCTGCGCTGCACCACCGCTATGGGTCGCGGCAGCTTCTTGACCTCGCCCGTCAGCCGCTGGAAGCGCCCAACGCGGAGGTGGACACGTTGCATCCAGGCCGTGTCGGCAGGGTCGCCGCCCGGATTGTAGTCGGGGAAGTCGAGGTGGCCGATGGGCGTGACAGTTGCTGTTGTCGAGTCGTCGTCGTCTTCGTCTCCGACTCGGCCCTCGTTCAGTCCAAACAGGTTGATGGTACCCTGCAGCTCGAGCAGGGCCAGGCCAGCAGGCGTCTGCAGAATCGTCGGCAGCGGGTTGGCCACCACAGCCTCTGCCGGCGGTGGACGTCGATGGATGGTAGCAGAGGAAGCCATGAAGAGGTTGTGCAAGTAAGAAGTGGAGATCAGTTGGATTAATCCATATAAACTCAAGGCCCACTTAAATGGTACTTTTTTACTCTGTACTCCATACTACTCGGGAATTCCCTTCTCTTTTCCATCACTTCTCCTACACAGCAGTCGTGTTTATGCTGAAGCGATACGTCGCCTGCAGCTCAAACGGCGCATCGCCCGGTCCAAACACCTGGCGGTCCTGGCGGCCCCATGCGGGCTGATTGATCCCGTCGATCCAGTCCTCGACCTCGAGCACGACGCAGCCGTACTGCGGAATAGTGCGCGGAAACGGCGCGTCGTCGCCAAAAAGGCCCTGTGTGCGCTTGAGCGCCAAGGACCCGTTCTGGCCGCTGCATGAGTACATCTGGAAGGCCTGCTGGTCCGAGAAGACGTCGAGCTGGATGCCAGACCAGGGCGACTGCAGCCGGGCCACGAGGCTGTCACGCCAGTCGTACGTGCCAGCTTCTCGGCTGACGAGGTAGCAGGTGTCGTAGCCGGTGCAGTTGAAGCCGCAGTTGCCGCGCAGGGCCGGGCTGCTGAAATTGGCGCCGAGCTGCTTGGGCGTCGTCCAGAAATCGTTGACCGAGCCCGGCTGGTTCGCCACCAGGTCGCCTGTCGGGATCAGGATGCTGTCGGTGGCCACACGCAGACCGCTGTGCGGCAGGTACAGCGAGTGGTTGAGCACCGTGTTGGTCTCGTTGTTGGCGAACCCGTCCAGGTTCCAGTACACGTGGCTGCTCAGCATGATCGGTGTCCGCGCCGTCGTCGCCGCCGCGCTCATCTGCAGCTGCCACGTGTGGTCGCCCAGCGCGTACGTCACCAGGCCTTCCACTTCACCCGGGAAGCCCTGGCTGCCGGCCGGGTCGACGAGCGAGAACGAGATGCTGCTGGCCGTGTGCGCCACCACCGAAAAGTTGCGCCAGTCCCAGCCGTGCGGCCCGCCGTGCAGCGTGTCCACCCCGTCAGGGTATAGCGGCGGCTCTGGGTTCTCGTTCGGTAGCACGTGGTACGTCGTCCCGTCCACCTCGAACGAGCTGTTGCGGATCCGGTTCGCATACCGTCCCGGAACCCCCCCAAAGTGCGGGTGCTGTCGGTCGATGCCGTAGTACGACGCGTTGTCAAACCCGCCCACTAGATCGCGCTCGATGCCCCATTGGTCGCGCACCAGCAGGTTCGACACCGACGCTCCATATGGGATGAATGATGCCCGGATCCCCGTCCCGTAGATCCAGTACTTGCCGTCCGCGTCCGGACCCGTCGAACTGCTGTTTGTCGCTGTCACTGTCGCCGCCAGAGGGCCTAGCAGCGCCAAGAGGACCGGCAGATGCATCATCGACGTAATGCTAGATCTGATCGCAAAGTGAGAGTGAAGAAAAGGGAAACTTGAGTTGCCCGTCAGATCATGTGCCAAAACAATCGTGGCGATGAAGATCCAACGTCGCTTATATCACCATCAGCCGTGACCCGTCATCGCCCCGACCGCCGGTCTGCAGATCGCTGCCCCCCTGCTTGTCCACACTGTTGCTCGTAGGACAACATCAGCCGGAAGAGGGGTTGGCCCAACGAATGTGAAGATGTCTCAATCCTGGGGAACTGTCGAGGCGGGGAAATTGACACGAAGGGAAGGTGCGGAGAAGTCGTGCCAGAAATTACAATTTAGCCTGCTGCTGGCTAATATACCCTGTCTCGCGAGAGCCTTCAGCGGGATCTGCTACATCAGATTAACTGCACCTCTTCCTCGCACTTTATTTCTCCACCTGTCTTCTCTCGCCTTCTCCTCTGTAGCGTCACTCTCCGTAATGCCGGTCTAGTTTGCGGCCTCTCCGAAACCTCGGCCTCGTCTGATGTGCCCTCTCTTCCAGGAAAATAATGTAGAAATCTCAACCATACGACCGACTGCCGAATCCTTCCAGCTGTAATACTCCTCTTCCTTCGCCCCCTCACCAGAACCGCCCCGAAGCCGGCACCAGAGCCATGTTCATCTGATTGGCCGGTGGCGTCCACATCGTGTCGCCCTGTCCGTTGTCAATGAGCACGCCCACACCGTCCATCTTTTCGACAAGATCCAGTGCCGGCTCAAACATGGCTCTGGACATGCTCTCCTGCATCGCCGAGCTGGTCCACGCTGCCGCCCCACCCACCCCCAGTGTCTCGTTTTCCCGGAATGCTTCCTCCGCCCGTACCGAGAGCACGCTGGCTTCGTACCATGATCCAAACACGCCATGTACCGGGTCATCTGCTGCTGCCGTTGCCCGCAGAATTCCCATCCGGCTGTCGCTGTTGTCTGGCTTTGTCTCGAGCTTCATGTGCCGGTTCCACGACACGTCCAAGAAGCTTTCTCCATCCCTGCTGACATGGCGTCCCACGTGGCGAACGCGCGCGTTCAAAATCTTGGTGCAGAACCGAGGCCCCGTTGTAGCTGACATCTCCCGGTAATCGTAACCGACCTGGAACCGAGGCCCTGTCCCGGGCCCAATGGGTCCTGGCGGAACTACCATCGACCGCAGAAGCCCCTGCGCAAAGTCGCCGTACATTTTCTCTAGCTTTTCTGTCGGGCTGTACATAACCGCGATTCGGACATCCCAGTGCCGCCGGATGCAGTGCACCCATATTGGCGGGCGCGCATCTTCGAGGCGGCGCATGTTGTAAGTGAATGCACCCGGCCGAGTGCCATCGATCTCGACAACAAAAGGGTTATGTGCTCTCGGCACCCCATCGCTCGTGAAGGAAAATCGCTGGCACTTAAACTCGTAAATCACGCGCTTCTCTTTGAAAGTCCACAGCGGATTCGATGTTCCGGTCCCAACGACATTTTCGATATCGTTTGCAAAGATCGATAGTGCCTTGGTAAACATGACGCTCCCGGGGGACACGCATACCGTATCCAGTCGGGTCACAATGTCCGTAGGGGCCCATCCAGACGCTCGCTCGCCAGGGCCATTTGTGGCAAGTCCACTCGGGTTGGCATCCATCATGTAGATGCGGCCCAGCGCCGCGTGCATCTGTACGCGGCCTCTGCAATAAGGGAGGTCTGCTGTCAATAACTTGATTTGGCGACAGAGCTTTCTCGAAAGAGTGGAGGAAAAGCCGCTGCTGGATTTGCCGACAGAAAGGGCCTGTACGGGAAGGTCGATGAGCGGTTGGTCTCCCTGTCTTGACCCATCTTCAACTGATTTGGCCACCGACGGCGTTGTTTCGTCTGTGCCTATATCTATGAGTGTGTTTTCTCTGTTGTCGTCGTCCAGCGTGGTGATGAGTTTACTGGACTTGGAAGCATCAGTTTTAGGCCCAGGAACTGGGTTGTTGACGAATTCCCATAGCAGTCGCATCTGATAGCCGTATTTCCCGTTCTCTGGCGGTGGCGCCAGAGATGCAGGCTTCAATGCCGGACGGCCATTGGTTGCCTCGGCCATCTTTTCCAAGTCTTTGCTCTCCAATGAGAGAAGGTCGAGCTGTTTTTCCCACCCGTTCGCTTCAGAGTCCTTGGGTGGTGTCTGAGACTTGTCAGGCTCATTGGTGGATGGCAATTCGCTTGGGGCCGTCACGCCCAGAGCTTTCGGTGCATACTCCTCATCTTTGAGCCAGCTCGGCGACTTGTGTGCCTGGTCATGGAAGAGCGGCTTCACCCTTGGGCCAAAGAAGGAGACCTCGGTTCGTTTGAAGGGATCGAATATACAGATTCGAAGACAGACAGCCTTGGAGAAGATGGCTTCAAACATGGTATTCATCTTGTTGCCGGGAAAATGCCCGGGATCCAGTATAGTCGATGTAAGCATGGCTTCGTTGACATGGGCCATGTACCTCACATCAACGTGATGTATTCCTTCTGTTTCGGCATGCAACAGGTGCTTGGGGGGCGGCATGGTATGTGCCTAGAGAACCATTAGCTTTTTGTTGTTTGATCGCAAACTGACAGTGGTATATACAGGGCACACGGACATATCGGCGGAACATGTTATCAAGCATCGTGCTCGCTTGGCTCAGACTCTGCTTAGATGGACCTCCGAGGTACGCCAGCCGGTCAGTAGAATCGCACTGGATGAATACGCCCGATGACTCTGAGATGGTTGCCATGTCTTGTGCGCTGAGAAACGTATGAATCGTGATTGCGTCTGGTGTTTCTTCCTTCACGCGCTTCCACACTTGAGTGTAGTTATAGTTGTCGAATCGTACGGGACACTGGTAGTCTATGATAGCTTTTTTCTCCGTGTTGGATTGGGCAGGCAACTCTCCGGGACTCGGCACCTTCAACCATTTGCTGTCAAGAGGTATCTGAACGTAGATGATGGAGGTAAGTAAGGATAGCGCGTGGACCACGAGGGTCTGGAGGAGAGAAGCAATTACCTTGGCCCCATCCTGGGTTTGTAAATCTCTTTCGATCTCTGTATGGATTGTGCGAAAATGAGCTTGCACGTCAGCTACTTTGCTGGCTGGACAGGTTGCCTTGAACCACCCAGCTTCTGGCTCGAATTCGAATTGGCCTTGAGGGGTCTGTTTTCGCAATTCCGCGAGAACACGCTCGACTCCAGCATCCTCGTACTTCCACACGCTGGTCAAGTAGATATCAACGGAGTCGTCCATGATACCGATGGTAGGGATACAGCTGCCGAGAAGCGTTGAGCATACAGATTGTGTATGGTTTCAAGACGAAATGTTGGAAACGCGAGATGATGCTGCCAGCGGATGTCTGGAGATAATTGAAGTAAAGATGATAAAGTAGGAGACTATATAACAGAAGAGTGTGCTTAAGCGAAATAGAATTGCACGACATTATGAATAGACACAGGACAAAGTGGCATTGTATTCAAACTCCATATACGTAGTGACTAGGTCAGACATGGACGGGTAGTTAAAAATTCCTGACGAGGTGATAAAGAGATAGTGCGATCAAATAGACTGCCGGCAAGCACGGTATTGACGCAGATAAGCCATCAATAAGGCCGGGACTGTTTGTCGAAGAGTAAAAGGCCACACAAGCTCCTAGGATGAATTTGCTTTGCCATTGTTCTTCCGGATGGGAACGACGTAATTAAGGCGAAAGGAAAACACCACGCTCTAAAGTAGAGAGAACCTGCAATTGTGCCTTCTATTATCACAGAAGCTCAACCGTAATCAGTCACGGACAAAGTCTGTACAGACGAGAACCAAAAGAGCAATCTTATTATATCTTCCATAACACCTGCATCGCCTCTGCAGAGGCGAGCTTTGCACAGATGTAGACAGACGTGTGTAAGACACCTGGTTTAGTAGCCATCACCGCCATCCCATTCCCAGCCCAGGACCCAGAATGTTTGATAGTTTCCATTCCGATACATTCTTTGTGCGAGTTCCACGACCCGAATGCGACTACTCAAAACATCCAGAAACCCAAAAATAAAACAAAAGTGTGTGAAGTGAAGAACAAGGGGAAAGCAAAACATTGAAAATACAATAATCTGTCGTGCCAAACACGCCGCTTTTCATCCATCGGCTTGTGAGGCCGGGCAAGCCAACCCGGTTCGGGTGGCCTGGATGCTGTGTAAACGGAAGAACGCCAAACGCCATCTATCATGTTGTCCAAATCATTCATAGAAAAGAAAGCATGGCTGGAAATGGTGAGTTGTGAATGTCCGGCGAGGACGGGTGGCCGGAAGAAAGTGCCAAAGTTGTACTTATTCCGCCCAGGCAACATTGTTCTTGACATTGAGTGCCCACCTCAGCTTGTCAAGCACCTGCCGGGCTTCTTCTAGCATTTGTTCTTGCTCGGCTTCGCGCTTGGCGGCATTGGCCTTGATGTCACGCAGCGCATCTTCCTGCTCCTTTTTGTAAGCCTCGTACTTGCGAGTGATGTCCTCCTTTTGCTGCCACAATAGACGGATGTTACCGTCCTGCTGGTCGCACAGATCACGGAGTGTTGTGATCTTGTCGTCGTCTTGCCGCCGTGCCTCGGCCAGCTCCTTGACTTCCTTGGCCATGCTGCCCAGGGCCTGCTTTACAGCATCGCCCTGGTCACGCCAGTGGCTGCTGATGGCGTTGTAGCGGCCTTCCATCAGTGCAGCGTGGGCGGTGGCCTCCTCAACCTGCTGTTTTGACTCCTTCTTGACCTTGTCCATCTCTTCTCTCCAAATGCGCTCCCGGTCCTTAGCATCGGTAGCACGCTGTTTCTCCAGCTCGACGACGCCCTGTAGACTCTCGACCTGACGTTCCTTGCGAGCCAGCAGTGTTTTGGTGACGCTGGCCTCCAGCAGGCGGCTCTCATACTCGGAGACCATTCTCTCCATCTTGTCCTCTAGCAGCTTGGCGGCCTGCCGGGATTCGTCTGCCTTTAAGCTCTCGAGCTTCAGGTCCCGTTTGAGCGTTTCATTGTCCGACACCAGGCGATTGATCACACGGCCAGTCTTGCCCAGGCCGGCCTTACCAACCGTGGAGTCCCAACCATTGGCGCCAGCCCCCTCGCCCTGTCGATCGTCCGTCATGGCAACACCTTCCTGGCTGAGGCTCGAGTTTGAAATTACCCGCGTCAAGGATCGTTCGGGGACGGCTAGCGAGCTAATGTCTCCTCGGTGTTCAATATCCACTTCGGACCTCGCAGGCATTGCTTCCGGGCTTCCTGGTCGTATGACAGGGTCGTCGGAATCAGAGAGTGTACTTTGGTTTAGGCGACTGCTGGGGGTTATGTTGCGGTCGTTCTGTAGCGAGTGGGATGCAGAGGATGCGGCGCTGGTTGCGCTGTTTTCAGAGCCAGAAAAGGTTGAATTGGAGTTGCGTGTGATGGATGCCGAGGCGTCGGAGGGCAGGTCGTCGTCAGATGAAGCGCGGGGTCCGTCGTCGGAAGTCGTTACGGTTCGAATGGTGGATAGTTTCCGGGAGACGTTGGCTGGGGCCGGAGTTGTAGGGAGCCGCTTTTCTTCACTAGTTAGGCCACTGCTTATGCCCATAGTCCTAGTATTGACAGAGGCCGGCGGGGCATTGACCAGAGACGGCTTCGCTAGGTCATTTGGTGTGGAAGGTGCCGGGGTTTGGGTGGTGCCTATGCAAGTGTTAGAGACGGGTCGCCGGCCGACATGCGATGTGCTGAGAAAGACAAGCCACGTTTCCACGGACGGAATGAAGAGTGTGGCGGAGAAGAGACATGGAGGTTTCAGAAACAGAGACCGGAAACAAATGACATGGCAGGAGCAGCAGAAACAACAGACGGAATGGAACAGAAACAATGTGCCAGCAACGGTTCTGCTGCGTCTCGGATCACACACCTGGTACGGCAAGCTTCTGTGGGGAGTTGCTGGGGGATTGCGCAGAGCTGATGGAGGTAGAGCGCGAGGATTTCTTGAACCGGTTGCGCATGGTAAATAGTGGCGGTCCTGACTGGCCGCGTCTCGCGGTGGTTGATAATTTCTATTTCTGTCTGGCTGGCGTTCTTTGGCGCGGTCTCTAAGCTGTTTAAATTGGTGTCTTTTGTCTTTTCGCCTGTGGCGGCTTCTTGGCGCTGCGCGTTTAGTGCCTTTGGTGTTGGACAGTGGTGCTGGCGGTACCGATGGCGAGGCGAGTGGCCGTGCTCGCAGGCGAGGGTTCGGGCGATGAAGGACGGCAGTGTACGGAGTACGGGTGATAGACAGAGGCGTGATGCAGTAGGAGAGAGAAGAGGCCGTGAGGCTCGTTTGGCCGAAACAACACAGGCTTGCTCTGTTTGTTTTGCTGTAGCGGAAAGAGCGATCCGCAGGGGTATTTCTGTCGTATGTCCATGTTTGGTAGCAGTGTGGCTTGAAGTTGTGTCGAGCGATCCACTTAACGCGCCGTTCCAAACGGAAGGAATCGCCAGTGCCCCGGCAACCGTCACGGAGAGTGATTAGTCAGTCTCCTAAAACGTGCAAAAGTAGCTTAGTTAGATAATTAAAAGATTCGTGTTGGAGGGTCGGGTCGCGAGATGGAGTGACAGATTTGTGCTGGTTGCAAGGGGTGGGTGCTACCGTTTTGTGTACGTACGGAGTAGTGCTCTGTACTATTGATACATACACATGTAATAGGCATTAGCACTGAAGTTTATCACGTACGGCCATAGATACTGGAAAGCACGGGATCCCGTCCGCTCTCCCCTAGTTAAACCAGTAATCGGCGGATTAGTAGTTGGGTCGGTGACGACCAGCGAATACCCGCTGCTGTACGTTTTTTGCTTCTGCTTTAGATGTTTTTTTTTTTTTTGTGGCTCAGTGGGCAGGATTGTGTTTGAGCACATTCTTTTTTGCGGAAGCCTATTCAGAAGTGTGTCATTGCAGAATAGTGTGGAGATGCGTATGGCAGTGCGGAATAGATCGTAAGATGCGTTGTCAGGCTTTTTGATTATTTGTAATAGTGTCCGGTTTATATTAATGATATACACGCAATTAATCACATTTAAACTGCAAGAGGACATGGTGGTGGTGTCTGATGAAAACGACAAAGACTCACATCTTTGCCAACACGTTTCCAGGTTTGTGACAGCATATTACCAGGAAGCAACGAACCTCTACGTCGGCCATGTCTACGAGAAAGAACGGCGAGATCCAGTCGCTGGATAACTATGGCGGGCCATGCGATCTGCAGACAGACAGCGGACTCAGGCTGCATGGTTTCGTGTCGACGCACGGCGTGGCCAACTTCCTCAACGTGCCGTACGCCGTCTTTCCGGCACGGTTTCGCACGGCGCAGCTGCTGGACCTGACGGTGCTTACGGGCGACCGGGACGCCTCTCACTACGGCCCACGCTGTCCGCAGCCAGACGACGCGGTGCACATGCTGATGCAGCACCTGTTTGAGAAGCTGCCGATGCCGCAGTACACGGAGGAGTTTTCGTGTCTGGACGTCAACATCTACGTGCCACCGCAGGCGCTGGCCGGCGGACAAGACGGCGGTCTGCCGGTCTTTGCGTGGATCCACGGCGGGTCCTTTAACACGGGCGACAACACGACCGAGTTTGGTTTGTCCCTATCTGCATCTGGGAGTCGGAGCATCTGTCTTCAGCGCTGACTGGCCAGATGGAAACCACCTGGTGGCGCGGTCTATGCGGCTTGGTCAGCCGATCGTGGTAGTGACCATCAACTACCGGCTCAATGTGCTGGGCTTCCTGACGTCGGCCGAGCTGGACGCCGAAGCACGGGCAGCCGGCGAGACGCCGGTGCGCAACCAGGGCCTCAACGACCAGCGGCTGGCGCTGCAGTGGATCCGGCGACACATTGGAAGCTTCGGTGGCGACGGCCGGCGGGTGACGGTAGCGGGCGAGTCGGCAGGTGCGAGCAGCATCCACTGTCTGCTGAAGAGCCGGCCTCAGTTCGGTGATGACGATGATAGAGCGCTGTTTTCGGGTGCGCTGATCTGCTCGGCACCCTTGCCGGTTCTGCGACCGCGCAGCGACGGCCAGGCGCTCTTTGACCGGCTCGTGGCGGCGGCAGGTGTTCGGACAGACGCACCGGCCCCGACAAAGCTGGCAGTACTGCGGAGCCGCGAGGCGCAGGAGCTGATCGCGCTGGTGGCGTCGTCGCTGAGCGTGTCGTTTCCGTATGCCGACGAAGCCTGGTTTGACGAGGATGCCAGCAGCAGCAACAACGACAACAACAGCACACCCGATACATCCTACTGGGCCCAGCTTCCGACTTGGTGTCGTCGCGTGGCCGTAGGCCATACGGCTGACGAGGCTGCCCTGTTCTTCTCACAGCACGCGGCGGCGGCGGCGGTGACGGAGACGCAGGCCCGCCAGTACATCCAGAAGTCTGTCTGTGCGGGCTCGGCCGCCATGGCGGCAGTGATCTGGGACGCGGAACCGCTGCAGGATGCGGGCGGCTCGACTGCGCGGCCGCTGCGACGGCTTGTGCGGCTGGCCACCAACGCCATGATGGTGGTGCCAGCGCGGGCGTTTGTGCAGGCAGTGGCGACCTCTGCTCCCGACACGGACGTGTACATGTACTCGATCGATCTGCCGGATCCGTTTCCCGGCCGCGGCCTCGAAGGCGCTTCGCCCGGTCCGCTGCACGGCTTCGCGTGGCACTCGTTTGGCAACGCGCTCGTCTTCTACCAGCCGGCCTGCCAGGCAGACGCGCAGCTGGCGGCTACGGCCGACCGCGTCAGCGAGGCCGTCGTCGGGCTCGTGCACGGGATCCGGGCGCCGGGCGGGTGGTTGCCGCTGACGCCTGCCAACGCGCGCAAGATGAGCTGGAAGGGCAGTGACAGCGGTATGGTGGCGGCTGGCCCGGTTGGCGACGGCGTGGCGGCGGCGCTGCAGGCGGCAGGACCAAACGCGGCGTGGGACTCGGCATATGCAGCCTTTTGCGTGGATCCTGTCCGGATCATGGGGCTGATGAGCTGAGCTGGCAGTAGAAGTGGATATGGAGGGGAGATGGGAGCTGGAGGGGAAGCTGGATGGTGGCTGGTAGTGACTACCGGTGGTGACTGGTGGTGACTGGCAGGCGAGCTGAGGCTGACAAGTGCCATGTACCGTGTAGTTGTCTCCCTCGTAAAATGATGCTGGCGATAGTTCGCATCGTGCAATGTTCAGGGCGCTGCAACGGCCAACTGCAGCCGCTATGCTCGCCCCCATCTTGGGCTCTCGTTAGGCCCGTCAGGCGTCCTTTGCCTATCGACCCGACTGGTGCCCTACGTCGGTCGTATGCAAGATAGCTGCAGCCAAGTCACCCTGTTCCACCGATGATCCCATATCTGATAGCGCAGTCGTTGATATTGGCACTTGCCCAGAAACAGCCGGCAGCCAATCACAGAGCTCGTACCCCTGCACCCTAGCGCACGGGCCAGTCCTTCATTAGGGGCGGTGTGGCGGGGTTGCGTAGCTGTACTTTGACAGCTGCGTGCCTGTCCCATAGCGCCACGTACCGCTACTTGTGGTGCAACAGCACTGGTCCAGCGCGCTTTCCCCTTTCTCGACCTTGTATCTCTAGGCTGCCCCTCTGTCGCTTGACCATCTCACCGCACAAATTCCACTTTGGCCGTTCTGGCGTCCATTCGGGGCTGACCAGCCGTTCCTCTTCTCTCCCCTACTCTGCTCCGAGCTTTTGTCTTTTCCGTGCTTTTTGCCCTCTCTGTTTTACACGCGCTGCGCGCAAGCTGCCAGACTCGTGCTTTTGACCGCACCACGACCACATCCCAACCACTCTCCCGTCTTGATTGACCTGCCAAAATGAAGGGCGAGGTGAGCGATTCTGGCCAGGGCTCTCAATGCAGTCCATTGGTGCAGTACTGACCAGTTTAGATTCTCCATCTTCACCTGGGCCAGGCTGGAACGCAGCTTGGCAACAGTGCCTGGGAGCTGTGAGCTTGACTTTCTTTCGCGTCTTGGTTCTTTTCTTCTTCATTCCATTCCTCGTATTGACTTCCAAGCTACCTCCTTGAACATGGTCTCGGCGCGGATGGCCTCAAGGACCCTAACGCGTCGGCCGACGTTGGCGACGGCGGCTCGTACGAGACCTTCTTCACCGAGACCAGTGGCGGGCGGTCCAACGGCCAGGCAAAGTACGTGCCGCGGTCCCTCTTTGTCGACCTGGACCCGTCGCCGATTGACGAGATCCGCACGGGCCAGTACCGCCATCTCTTCCACCCCGAGCTGCTGATCAGTGGCAAGGAGGACGCGGCCAACAACTATGCCCGCGGCCACTACACCATTGGCAAGGAGCTGGTCGAGAACGTGATCGACCGGATCCGTCGAGTTGCGGGTGAGCTGCCGGTTGCAGGACTCCAGGCCGCTGTGCCGACGTGCAGACGCTGACGTGCTGCCCTCAGACAACTGCAACTCGCTCCAGGGCTTCCTCATCTTCCACTCGTTTGGTGGCGGCACTGGATCCGGGTTCGGGGCGCTGCTGCTGGAGCGGCTCTCGACCGAGTACGGCAAAAAGTGCAAGCTCGAGTTTGCCGTCTATCCGGCGCCGCGCGTGGCGACGGCGGTGGTGGAGCCGTACAACGCCGTGCTCTCGACGCACAGCACGCTCGAGAATGCCGACTGCACGTTCCTGGTCGACAACGAGGCCGTCTACGACATCTGCCGCCGCAACCTCGACATCCCGCGGCCCGACTACGAGCACCTCAACCGGCTGATCGCCCAGGTGGTCAGCTCCATCACGTCGTCGTTGCGCTTTGACGGCGAGCTCAACGTCGACCTCAACGAGTTCCAGACGAACCTGGTGCCGTACCCGCGCATCCACTACCCGCTGATCAGCTACGCCCCGGTCGTGTCGGCCTCCAAGAGCGCCCACGAGAGCTTCAAGGTGCAGGACTTGACGCTGCAGTGTGAGTCGTCTGTGTGTGCGCTGGGCTTGCTTATGTGCTGACCTCCCAGGCTTCGAACCGAACAACCAGATGGTCGTGTGTGACCCCCGCAACGGCAAGTACATGGCCGTGGCGCTGCTGTATCGTGGTGACGTGGTGACGCGCGACTGCAACACGGCCGTGGCGGCGCTCAAGGCCAAGTCGTCCTTCAACCTGGTCGAGTGGTGTCCGACCGGGTTCAAGATCGGCATCAACTGCCAGAAACCGATGGCGGTGCCGACAGCGTCGCCGGCCGACGGCGGGCTGGCCAGCGTGGATCGGTCGGTGTCGATGCTGTCGAACACGACGGCCATTGCCGAGGCCTGGTCGCGTCTGGACTACAAGTTCGACCTGATGTACAGCAAGCGCGCATTTGTGCACTGGTACGTGGGTGAGGGCATGGAGGAGGGCGAGTTCAGCGAGGCGCGCGAGGATCTGGCCGCGCTGGAGAAGGACTATGAGGAGGTCGCTGGCGACTCGCTTGAGGAAGAGGAGGGTGAGGCAGAGTACTAGAGAGAGGTGGAGTACTGGGGGGGGAAGAGTGGAAGGAGTGGAAGGAGTGGAAGGATTGGAAGGAGTGGAAGGAGTGGAAGGAGAGTGGAAGGAGAGTGGAAGGAGAGTGGAAGGAGAGTGGAAAGAGAGTGGAAGGAGAGTGAAAGGAGAAAGTGAAAGGAGGAGAGAGGCGAGAAGTAAGAGAGTGACGAAGTGGAGTGGAGGATAAAGACAGAAGAGTCTCACGCAGCTGATACGTCTTCTGTTTCCTCCAGCTGTCTGGTTATAGCCTCCATAAAGGCTTTTGTATTAAAGACTAGCTACTCCCGGTAGATAGGGATTGTAACTGGAGACGACATGAACTTGGTGGAGTGAAACTCAGGGCAAGTGCGCTTTTATCGTCACTGACACTGTTAACGTACAGCGTCTATTCCACTATCGGCCTTTTGGTAGTGGGCAAATAGGAGTAGGGCTACCGCTGGAGTGCTTCCTTCCACTAACTATACTCCACTAATAACACCTTCTAACGACACTATCCATTCCAGCTCGATAAGCACCATTCAACTACCACCACCACCACCACCACCACATCCTACCGTTTCGTCTTTCCGCGCCAGCTGGACGCCCGCTTGGCCCGCCGCTCGTCGTTGTTGGACGTCTTGCCGCCGTTTTTGCCGGCGCCTCCGTTCTTGCCGGCGCCGCGGCTCTTCTTGCCGCCGATGCCGCCACCCTGGCCAGCACGAGCGCGCGTGCCCTCAAACACGAGCGGCTTGCCATCGGCAGGGGCGAGGACGTCTGCATTGGGTCCAGTGGCGGTGACGGTGCGGGCGGCAGCGCGGCCGAGCAGCTTGGCGGCGCGACCAGCGGCAGACTGCTGTTCGGCCGTAGGCTTGGGAGCGTAGCGAGTGCGCTTGCGGTCGTCGCGACGGGTGTTGATCTTGGCAGCAGCGGCCTGCTGCTGACGCTCGACGGCGCGCAGCGTCTTCTGGGGCGCCTTGCAGCGGCTGACACGCAGCTCACGCGGCAGCAGCGGCGGGAACTTGCGGCCGGCCAGCAGCAGCGCAGCCTCGACGCTGGTCCCATCGACAAACTGCACGTAGGCGAAGCCTTTGCCGACTCGCGTCGCCGGATCACGCACCACGCGCACGCTCTCCACCGCACCCGCGTGCTTGCCAAACGTCCGCCAGAGTCCCTCCTCCACGTCCATGGGCACCTTGAAACGCTTCCGCTTCGTCGGCTCGGCCGGCTGCCCGTCCTCGTCCGTCTTCGCCTCGTCCGGCGTCACCATCACCTCCTCGTCGTCCATGAAGCCAAGGTTGCCCACAAACACGCAGCGTCGGTGGTCCACCGCTGCCGGATGCGCCACGCTATCTGCCCGCAAGTGACGTCCCAGCACTACCGTCCCGTTCAGCTGTCGCACCGCCTGTCGCGCTGCTGCTGCCGTCGAGTACACCGCGTACGCATTCGTTGCTTGCGCCGTAGCTCCCATCACCGCCTTTGTGATGAATGCCGCCCGCTTCGGCATCGCCGCCGTCGCAAACGGCACTGACCGGAACCGCAGGCTCTCCACCGTCGCCAGCACCGGTGTTGGCCCTGCTGGCTTGGTCGTTGCCGCAGCTGCTGCTTCTGACGACTCCTCTGTTGCTGCTGGCTTCACCTCTGCTGCTGCCACTGCTGCCGCTGCTTCTGCCGCCTCAGTCACGGCTGCGTTCATCGCCTCTAGCGGCGATGCTAGATGTGCCAACAACGTCTTCTTGGCTGTGCGCGACGTCACTGCTTCAATGTTCACGTTTGACAGGAACACCGTCCGCGCAGCCTTTTCCTTCTCTGTCTCCGGCACGCCCCCAGCACCAGCACCCGTGCTTCCGGTCTTTTCTCCAAGCGCCTCGTGTACCAACGGCTCGTCGGCCTCGTCGTCCTCGGCCTCTTCCTCCTGCTCGTCGTCCATGTTGACGTCCTCGGCATCCTCGTCCGTCCGGCGAGGACGCTCCTCGGCCGGTGCTGTCTCTCGGGCAAGCTTGTCCATGTATCTGCCCTCTAGGTCCTCTCCTTCGTCACGGGCTTTTCGTTTCCGCTTTCCGAGGCCCTTCTTCGGTTCTGGCTCCGCCGTCTCTACTTCCTCGGCCAACTCGTCCTCTGCCTTGTCGGGAGCCTCCTCAAACTCGTCCTCGTCCTCGTCCTGGTCATCATCATCCTCGTCTTCATCCTCATCTTCTTTCGCTGCCAGTTCCTCTTCGTCTAGTTCCTTCACTGGCTTTGTCTTCGGCGCAGGCCGCGCTTTCGGAGTGATCAGACCAACATACTTCGGCCTATTCTGGGATGCAACCGGCTTTGCCTGTGGCCAGAGTTAGAACGGGCTTTCCAAACTACTGCCAGTCAGAAGTACTCACACTCGTCGAAAACAGTGCATCCAGAGAGGGGTCTACCGCCTTCGCCGACGTGGACAGGACGGATTTCTTGTGTCTAAACACCCAATTAGCTGTCAGCAAGACACACAAAAAACACCCGTAAAAGTAACAGGGACGTACGATGGCGCCATGTCGAATGTTTGCAATTGAGCAGTTGACGTCGAACTGGACTTCTCCCCTAGGCGAAGCAGACAAAAAAAAAAGAGGATAAGCCTGGATTGCGATAACAGAAAATTTCTTATCGAGCGCCAGCCCCAGTGCTCGTATAGCCGGCAGGGGTTGCTTTCTGCCTCCCCACACCGCCCAGATCAGGGATAGTCATTCGCTAGCGCACTCGTCCCCCCAAAGCAGCTGCTTTCGGTGGCCCTCGCGCGCTTTGGGGGGAGCGAAAGAAGCGATCGCGCAAGTGGCATTTCTCTCCGATTTCTCTGCGTCGCCCACGAACTCCCACGCAACTTCCGCCCACCACCGGCTCGCTCTGCGCCCTCTACACGACCTGGGCGGCCCGCATCTGTCTCCAGAGCCGTTTGGCTTCTGAAATATATGTTTTTATCATACCCAGCTTCGGCGGAAGCTCTTCTTCTTCGACATTTCTGCCACTGAAATCGGCTCGTCGTTTTTTCCTTTATTTCTCCCGACTCCATTCGCCTGACCTCCAACCGACAGCCACCCGGAAGCCGAGCGTGGGCTGAGGCAGCCACGGCCCTCCGTCTGATTGTTCTATCCTCCCAACCGCTCCACCCGACGATGGCTGCCAGCGAAACAGCAGCGGTAGCGGTCTCCAGCCCGACCAAGCCGCCCCCACCGGCTGACCCCAGCGTCAGCAACATGTCCAGCCCCCTGACCGAGGTGGAGGACAAGGACGGCGACCCGGACGACATGGACGTCGACGGACTCATGCACAACCCGTCGCTGGTGAGCCACAGCCAGCTGGGCGAAGAAGACGAAGCCGCCTCACAAGCCGCTCAATCACGCCCCGTGTCCGACATGGACGAAGACTCAGCCCTGTCCGAAGCCGACCCGGACATGAACGACTCCGAGGCCGAGACCGAGCGGCTTTACGACACGCCCATCAAGACTAAGAACATCAAGGGCGACCGGGCCCCCGACAGCAGCCCGGAGCTGAGCCCCAGCCGGCGCCTAACATCACACAAGCGGGACCGAAACTTCCAGGCAAGTCCCAGCAAGCTTAAGCAGCAGCTGCGTGCCGACGGCGCCGACGATCGCACCAACGGCCACAGCCACGGCCTAGGTCGCGGCCGGGGCAACGAGGACGAAGACGAAGACGAGGACGAGGATGAGCTGTCGGACATGGACGTCGAAGACGAAGAGAACGAGGCCGACGGCGAAGACGAGGCGTCAGCTGAGAGTGGCCGTCATCGCAAGGCGGCCGTCGACAAGACCGAAGACGCGGCTGACAAGGGGGGAACGGCCGTGTCGATGTCGGTCCGGAACCAGCGGTCCAGCTCGGACACGCGAAAGCGGAAGCGGTCGCCCACCACCGATCCGTCCGAGTCGGACCAGCCACTACGGAAACGAATTGGCTCAAGCGGCAACAGCAGCGGCAGCCACGAGGCCGGTGCCGAAGACGGGGACGAAGACACCACCCGGTCCAAGACGCCAAACGGCAACGGCGCCGACCAGGCCGAGACTGTCAACGGCGACAAGCAGCCCGATCGGGCAAAAGAGGACACGCCTGACGGCGTCAGCAGCGACACGCTCCGCACACGACGATCGAAGCGCGCGAGCGCTAAGAAACACAAGGGCGCAGACGAGGGTGAGGGCGATGGCGACGGCGACGGCGACGAGGTCGTCGAGGAGCCGGAAGACGACGTACCAGAGGACAGAGAGACCGGGCCGGCAGAAGAAGACGGCACGGGACCGGCAGAAGATGACCGGCCGGCCGAAGTAGACGAAGAGGCCGAGGCGGCCCACAGAAACGAAGAAGAACGTATGGGCAGACCAGTCCCCGAGGACGAGGACGACGATGCTGACCGTGATGCCGTAGTGGAACGGAAGAAGGCGGCCTTTGACCAGCTGCACGTGATCGAGAAGCGGTTTGCCTCGTTCCGAGACAAGTAAGTGCGCGGACTCGGCCCGATCGTCGGACCGTGTGCTAACAGAGTCCAGACTCTACCAGGAGCGGCTCGACCAGCTCAACGAAGAGGAGGCGATGCTGCGCGGCGACAACCCGACACACCCCGAGTATCTGGCGATGATGCAATGCGTCGACGAGCGGCGCGACGAGAAGGTGCGGGTGTCGGGGCTGGAGTACCAATTCAGCATGAAGACGCTGCGGGCATGGGCCGTTGGCCGGCGCAGCCAGATCCACGGCCAGTACTTCCAGAACGTGCGCGAGTCGCGTGAGCTCGTGCTCGAGGAGCTGGGCCGCCAGTGGTACCAGATCCAGCACCAGCGCCGCCGCCACGCCAACACCATCCCGGACTATGGCCTGCGCTTCCCAGCCTCGCCAGCCCAGCGGACAAAGGATGCCATCGCGTATAACAAGGAGGTGTCCATCCTGTCGGGCATTGCTAAGTACGAGGGCTTCCCGGCGGCGCCACAGATCCGGGGAGCCTCGAGCGGGCAGGTCGATGATGATATGGGAGCGATTGCAGTGGGTTTTTTTTTTCTATTTTTTTTCTATTTCTTTATCCCTTTCTCTCCTCTATTCTCTTCTCCCTCGTCCCACTAACAAAGACAGCGAGGACGACAGGTCGGCCACATGCCAGCACCCACGGCATCGCCGTATTTCGATGCCGGCAGCCGGGCCAACGGCAGCCTGACGCTCAGCGGTCTGGCCGCAACCGGGCAGCAGATGCTGGCCGACGCCGCCTGGGCAGCACCACAGTCCCAGCCACTGTCCCAGCAGCAGCAGCAGCAGCAGGTCCAGATGCAGATGCAAATGCAGATGCAGATGCAGATGCAGCACCTCCAGCACCATCACACTTATCACCATCACCAACAACAACAACAACAACAACAACAACAACAACAACAACAACAACAACCGCAGCAGCACCAACACCAAGGCGCTGACGGCCAGCGCAGCCAAAACGGCCACGCGCATCACCACCATGTGGCTGCTGTCCACGGCCCTGCTCGCCACCACCACCACATGCACGCCGGCGAGCCGTCCGCGGTGGGCGTGCCGCCAAAGCGCGAAGCAGCCGTGCTCACATCCTAGCTGGAGCGGCACGGGTTCGTCGGACGGCGGCGGCAGCAGCAGGATCCGCCAGGATGACGAAGGGCTCAGGAAGGGTCCCGGCTGCTGCCCACACTCTGCATTGGAGGGTGCTCATTTGGTCGGGGTCTGCGTTCTGTCTGCTACTTTTGCTGTTCTCTCTTTATCTTGCTTTTACCTGCGTCTACGTTTGCTTGGTTTCCCGGGAGTCGACGGCGTGGCATTGTTGGTCTCTTTGTTTTTCTACTCGGTGTCGTCTTCTTGCCTCGTGCATTTAGCTCATCCTAACATCTTCTGACCAACGAGGTCTCTATACATCGCTTTCCCCTCTTCTCGGTGTTTTCGCTTGTCCTTGTCGTCGTGCCGACAGGATAGCGGTAGCAGGGGTCTATATCCAAGAAGCACGCTTTTTGAACTGTTTTTATTCCTCATATGATTTGCAACCAAAACAAACATGGGAGGGGGGTATGATACACGGAGCTCTCTGTCTGGTTCTGGGTCCGTCTCTTGTTTTTTCCTTCTTCCGCCATTTTTCCGTCTTCTCCCCCCTTACTATGATGTATGTACATTCCTCAGCTCGCCAATACCAGCAGAGCCGGGGCTGTCTCAGCTAGGCGTTCTGGTTCTAGTTGTCCTTATCCGCCTGTGTCGTCGGGGTTCATTTTTTGCCGGCTATCGGTGCCGGCGCTTGTAATGCGGCCGACTGCTGCTGCAGCTGCTGCACGCGCTGTTGGATCGACGGCTGTGGCTCGCTGGGCACCTGGACGTCGTCAAATTCGTCCTGGCCGACGACATGGATGGTGTAGGCATCTGTGGTGGTCAGTCAAGATCAGACGGGTCTGCGGACCGGCTCGCAACCACACAGTCACCCGGCAGCAATGTACTCACACACGCCCAGCGTGAACCCCACAATGCCCAGACCCAGGACCGTATTCTTGACCAGGTATGGCCGGCGGGCACGGATCAGAGCCGGCGACTGCCGCAGGCGACGGTCGTAGTAGGTAGAGTGTTCGACGCTGCAACGGAGCGTCGGCACAGACACAAACGGGTCAGCACATCAGCCAGCTCTCAGCCACGGTAGGAAACAGCCGGAACCTACCCAGACATCGTGCGCGGATTGCAGAGGCTTTCCGGTTGGGAGACGAGAAATGACCTGCACAATTTGGTTTTTGCGCAATCGCCGAATCGGACGATGTCATGAAAGTGATGACTAAGCATAGTATAGGTGCGAGTAGCTGTACGTACCTTGCATCTGCAAAATCCGCAGGTGGTACCCTTAGATACATAAGTATGCTAGCCGCTTCCGGCTACTGATTTGTCCCATCTGTCGTGTCGGCCCCAGTTTCTCTTTCGCGCAGGGCGAAATCCTCAACCCGTGTTCTGTGAAGCAAGCTTCTGTGGTGATCTTCCGCAGGTGTCGCCCATCCCCAACGCTGGCCTCTTTTCCCACCTCCTGTTCTGGTCGTATGGCGCCGCGATTGTGACAACTGACAGTCAAATACCCAGCAAGCAGGCAACCTTCCTTTCTCCCTCCGTCATTATTCCTACAACAGCTTCCTGCCCGCAATCAACAGTCTGCAGATGCTGTAAGGCGTTTTTTCTTCCTTACCTATTCGCGCTCTTTTGTTTTCGCAACCCTATCTGCCGGACCTCCGCCCCGTTTCGGCTCGTCGACATCGCCTTGGGCTACTGCTTTAGCAACGCGCTCTCGCGTCGTCTGTCCGGCCGACTTTCTCATCGCAACCAACCGAACAATCCGACAGGCTTGATCAGCTGGCGACTTTCCCGCGACCTCGTTATCAGACTTGCTGGCTCCTCTAATTGATATATATCCTGCCACATCTGCCGTCTGCTCCGTAGTCGTACCCGCTGTCGCGGCGACACACTCCAACAAACGTCTTGGTCCTGCTCTGTTAGCCTCCAGCCAACCAGCTCGCCATGGCCACGGCCTCGGCTACCAAACCGACTGGTGCAGCCATGCTAGGGATCTCGTCTGGCGGGACGGCCGCAGGTCGCTCGTCTCTGTCGGCGTCGTCGTCGTCCTCGGCCGTGCCATCGTCAGACTCTGTGCAGGAGCAGATCCGTCAGCTCAATGACGCCCGCAAGCTCGTGCTCGCAAACGTCAGCTACTACCCGACTATCGTCCAGGGCATCCTGCCCATTCTCAGTCCGGCCTCTCTGCCGCAGCTGCGGCGATGGGGCGCCGAGTTCCTGGCAGAGGCATTTGCAGCCCCAGCACTGCCGTCGCGCGACAAGGAGACGCTGAGCCTGTTGGTGCTCGAGAGCCTCAAGGGCATGGTGGAGAACGCCAACGAGGATGCGCTCGTGCTGCAGAGCATCGTGCAGGCGGCCGCCAGCATCTACCCGCTGGTGATGCGGTGGATGTAAGTTCCCCCCCCCCCCAAAAGTACGAGTGCAGGCCTCGTCGATTAACTCGCCAGCATCAACAACTCGTATGACACGCCGACATGGGAGCGCATGACAGCGATCAAGTCACGCATCCTGCGGCTGTGGGAATCGCCGGTGCCGTCAGTGCAGATATGCTGCATCAAGTTTGCGCAGCGCGTGGTCTTGGCTCAGACTCACGGCGTCAACCAGGAGCACAAGCGTGATGGCCTCGACATTTCGCTTGGCCTCATCTCGCAGGGACACCCGCTGCTCGACCCGCGACACCTCGAGGCGGAAGCGACGGGGCTTCTGGACCGCATGCTCGGTGTCTTGCAGGACAACAGCAGCGATGCGCTCATCGTCGATGCTACGCTCAACACGCTCTCGATTCTCATCCGCACACGACCAACGACGTCCAGCCGGGCCATCAATGCGATCCTCAGTTTTAACCCGCTGAAGCTGGCCAGCGGACACATGACACCAAGGACACGGGTCGTGGTCAGGTCGATGGAGAAGACGACGCGGATGCTTCTCATCCACCTGACAAAGCGGTATGTTTGCACGTCGGCAAGGCTGCCCGTATAGCATAACACGACCTAACTTTTGCTGTCACAGGGACCCACACAACCCTTTTAACGCACGGATACACCAACACATTGAGCGGCTCATGCGGTCGCGGGCGGAGATGCTAGACGACGGCGGGCGCAAGCGGGCGCTCGCAGACCAGCAGGCGGCAGCATATGGCGACACCAAGCGGCAGAGGCTGGCGACAGGAGCGGCAGCACCGCAGATGGTGGAGATCAAGCCGCTGGCGCCGGGGCAGAACAGCTTGGCAGACATCTTTGCGCTGACGTCCAATGCACAGCAGCGGGCGTTTAGTGCATCACAAGTGCCACTAGATTTGGCAGCCAAAATCAGCGTGTCGACGCTGGCGCGAGTGGACCAGCAGCTGCTAGACCGTGCCATCCAGGTAAGATAGGAAGAGATGCGAGACGCATGCAGACGTGTACGGCAATGCTGACAGCAACAGGGCATTCGCGACCGGTTGGTGACGCTGGAGGCTGCCTCGACGCATCTGTCGCTGCTCAACCCCGACACGACGCCCCTCGATGTGGCAGACGACGACGACGATGACTACGAGCCGGACTTTTCGACGGCAGAAGACGCGGAGCAGATCCTCAACAAGTTCGACATGGACGACGGGACCGGGCGGGAGGTCGGCAAGGCAGACGTCGGAGCGGCCACGGCAGCAGCAGTAGTAGCATCGTTGGCGCTGGGGGCATTCCATCTGCCGGTGGCGCCGCCGCTGTCAGCAGAACAGGCAGTGAAGGTGGGCGAGGCGACGGTGGCACGAGTATTTGACACGATGCAGTCGTCATCGGACGTGACAGCAGCAGCAGGAGGAGGATCGTCGTCAGGGGCTGTAGCGTTGCGCAAGGCAGGCAAGACAGCTGGGCTGGGCCGCGTGGCGGCGAGCTCTTTCGACAGAGAGTCATGGACGACGATTCTGACGCGACTGGCGACGCGGTCATTGAGCGGACTCGAGGGAGAGGCCGAAGAGGAGGACGGAGGGGGTGACGAAAAGGCGGTGACTGCGGCGATCAAGAGAGAAGGTTCGGACCGTCAAGCAGGGACGCTGCTGAACGACAGCATCCGAGAATCGCTGTTCCGATATGTGCTGGAGGACTTTCGGAAGCGGATCGACGTGGCAGTGGCCTGGCTTTGTGAAGAATGGTACAACGACCAGCTGGAGCGCAAGTACGGCAAAACAGAAGGCAGCAGCAGCAGCAGCAGCAGCGACATGGGCGGACGACACTACGATAAGTGGGCGCTGCGCCTGCTGGACGGCTTTCTGCCGTATCTACACGGACAGGACAATAAGGTGCTGACGCGGTTTCTGAGCGAGATCCCGACATTGAGCCGCGGGCTGCTGCAGCGCGTCAAGAGCCTGTGTCGCGACCCGTCGATGGTGCCGGTGGCGCTGACTAGCCTGCTCTATCAGCTGATGATGCGGCCACCGGCACGGGCGCTGACGCTGGACACGATGGAGGAGATATGGATTGAATGTGAGTGAGAGAGTGTGTTGCAGGAGACCGAGTGAACGAGTGAACGAGGTGATGCTGACTAAGCACAGACGAGGATGCACGACCCATGGCGACCAAGTATCTGGACAAGTGGCGGCCAGGGTTTGTGCAAGGACAACGAGCGGCAGAGGAGAGCAGCAGTGCGGAAAAGGCTGAGGGAGTGGCAGTGGTGGCATCGTGAGGGGGCTGTCGTTGCGGGAGAGCAAATTACGTAGGACGAAGACCGGGTTATTTTATTCGGTATCACGTGTATTGTATTGTTATGGAACGGGATTGCAAGGGACAAACCAGCAGGCAAGAAAGCCAGCAGGAGGAAAATAGCCAGTGGGCTAGCAAATGGGTATGTTGTGCGAGTGTCTAATTCTGTGACCGGGCGAAGATGGTGTCTTTGTAGAAGCGAGCCTCGGCGATGCTCTCGAGGATGTCTTCACGAGCGCGATGAGTGCCAGTTTTGGGGGGTGGTCTGAAGGTGTGGGATCCTGGAGCGTCACCATCGTCCTGGCCGGTCTGCGTTCCGGGCAGCCAGCGAGCCGCGGCCTCCTTGATGGTGCTGACATCGAGAATGCGATAGTGGAGGTGTTCGATGACGGCGGCATAGGGCTGGCGGCGGAGGAACGCGCGGTCAGCGTGGACGCTGTTGCCGGCGAGCAGGGCGACACGGGGAGTGGGCACGCGGGCGCGCACGTAGGCGAGCAGGCCAGCAGCAGCGGCCTCGGGCGAGATGGTCGAGGCGAGCACAGCTTCGGTCAACCCGCTGGCACCGTGGTGATCGGTGCACCAGGCGTCCATGCGGGCGAGCGCGGCGGCGGCATCAGGCACGTGAACGACAGCGCCCCAGCCAGGGTCGTCGGGCACGACGGGACGCAGGTGACCATCGGTGACGAGACAGTAGATCTCGAGGATCTGGTCCGAGTCGGGATCGAGACCGGTCATCTGTGGGGTTAGCTGGGTAAAAGGAGAGAAGGTTCAAAAACAGTCTCGGCCAGACTCGACCTACCTCACAGTCAATCCAAACAAGAGGGGCCCAGGGATCGGCCATGATGTCGGCACAGCGCGGTGCTGGTCTGCTGCTGTCGTTGTTGAAGCATCACGACCGACTATTCAGACTTTTCCAAAGAGACAGTGCGCATTTCCTTCCTATTTCGTGTTCTACCGTAGTAAAGCGTCGTCCTTTCCTAAACAGGTGCCGTTTTACAGAATGTGGGGCAGGCCCACAGCGACTGCCGATCTGGGCCATTGGACGATTACTCCGTACAGCGGTGTTATCTCTGGAGACTGGCTCACTCACCTGACGGAGTACGATCCGACGGTCTTCAGAGCAATACCTCCAACAACTGCTCTGCCTCCAGGAACACCCTCACCATGTCTAATAGCGATGCGGAGCCTGACGGTGTAGGGCAGCAGCATTCAGCCAGTCCGCCGCGCATCCTGATCATCGGAGCTGGCTCGCGCGGGCAGACGTACGCCGAGGCAACGGCCAAGTCGACGAACGGGGTGGTGGTAGCAGTGGCAGAGCCGGACGCATACAAGCGCGGACAGCTGGGCCGACGACACATCTGGGGGGACGGGCAGCCGGGTGAGGGGCAGTCGTTTGTGGGATGGCAGTCGTTTGTGGCCTACGAGAGGAGAAGGCGAGAGGGCCAAAACAAAGACAAACGAGCCGAAGGCGAGGACCAAAAGGACCAAAAGGACCAAGGAGTCGATGCCGTCTTTGTCTGTGTGCTAGACGAGCAGCACCGCGCGGTAGTTGAGGCGCTGGCAGCACTGGGCGGGCTGCACGTGATGTGTGAGAAGCCGCTGGCGACGACGTTGGCCGACTGCGTGGCCATGTACCGAGCACTGCAGCAGCAGGGGCCAGCAGGGGGCGGTGATGTGCAGGCACTGTTTGCGATCGGACACGTGCTGCGTTACAGCCCACACAACCGGCTGCTGCGGCGGCTGGTGCGCGAAGAGAAGGCGATCGGATCAGTGTTGAGCGTGGTGCACACGGAGCCGATCGGCTGGTGGCACTTTACGCACAGCTATGTGCGCGGCAACTGGCGGCGCGAGGACACGACGGCGCCAAGCCTGCTGACCAAGAGCTGCCACGACCTGGACGTGCTGTTGTGGCTGCTGAGCGCGCCGCTGGTCGGCAGCCATGACACAAAAGCCCACCGGCCGGCCACTGTCTCGTCGTCGGGCGCGCTGCAGATGTTCCGGCGCAGCCGCAAGCCCGCCGCAGCCGGCACGGCCACCAACTGTCTCGCGTGTGCGGCCGAGCCTGACTGCCTGTACTCGGCACGGCGCATCTACGTCGACGGCCAGCTGCGCGGACTCGCGACCGGCAACCACGGCTGGCCCGTCAGCATCGTGGTGCCCGACATCGAGGACATTGCGACACGGCGAGGCGAGGCAGCCGCACGGAACACGCTTCTTGGCCGTCTAGCCGATGATTACGATCGCGGCCGCACGCCCGACAGCGTCGTGGCTGCACGCAACTGGTTCGGCCGCTGCGTGTTCGAGGCCGACAACGACGTGTGCGACGAGCAGGTCGTTGTGGTCACGTGGGACGACGAGCCCGACGACGATGCCAGAAACACCAAAACCGCCAAGACCGCCACCTTCCACATGGTCGCCCATACGGCCAAAATCTGCGAGCGCTACACCCATCTCTACGGCGAGCACGGCGAGATCTACGCCGACCAGACCGCCATCACCGTCCAGGACTTCCGCACCGGTACCACCACCGTGCACCGACCGCAGGCCGAGACCGAGACCGAAGGCCACGGCGGCGGCGACACCGGACTCACCCGTGCTTTTGTGCTCGCTGTCGACCGCGTCAAGAACGGCGGCTGGCCGATCGACCGCGCCCAGCGCGAAATCATCGGCTGCACGCTCGACGAGGTCCTACGCAGCCACGCACTCGTCTTCTGTGCCGAAGCCGCTCGCCGCAGCCGTACCGTCATCGACTGGGATGACTGGTGGAAGCGAGAGGTTGGTGTCGTCGTCGTCTAGTACAGAGAAGACGTCGATGCGGGGAAGCTGGAGACCCACTTATTTTGGTAATACACCTAGCTGGCCGAGGGCCCCGTTGTTCACTAATCAGCATGTCGACCACCATTGAGCATATGTAATCAGAAGGCTGCGACTGCCATGCCTCGGTGCTTTTCGTGGCCGTATAAGAGCTGTGGCCGGGCAGGTGCTGCCAGTCGTAGTTGCTAAGAACGTCTTCTGCGTCTTCTGCTGCCGTTCTGTCCGTTGAGTCCATCTCCATCATCGAGCAACAGGTCGTTTAGTTTGGTCCATCCGTACTCTGCTCAACACCTGCCAATATCTGGCCATCATCCCAATGGCCGCCCTCGAGGGCAGCCTGCCGGCTGCCTATGACCGGGACGTCGACCTGGACGACCCCGACGCCGATCCGCAGAGCGAGAGCATCAACATGGACGACGTCGAAAAGGCGGCATCGCGCCATGATTCTAGCACAGACGCTGCCGTCCAGCCGGCCTTTGACTGGGCAGCCGACCCGGCCAACCCGTATAACTGGCCCGGCCGCCGCAAATGGGCCCAGGTTGCCGCCATCGCCTCGGTCGGTTTCCTGACGTCAGTCGGCACCTCCATCATCAGCCCGGCCACCTTTGCCATCCGCGATGCTTTTGGCCTCCACAGCACTACTGTCGCCCTGCTGCCCTTTTCCTTTTACGTGCTCGCCCTGGCTCTCGGACCCGTCGTCGGTGGCCCGCTGTCCGAGACCGTCGGCCGTCTGCCCCTGCTTGCCGCTGGCACGCCACTCGGCCTGCTCTTCACTGTCGGCTCTGCTCTCTGTCCGACCAGCTCACTCGCCGGCCTCTGCATCCTTCGCTTCCTCGCCGGCTTCGTCCTTGGCCCCAGTCTCGCCATCGCCTCCGGCATCCTCACCGAGACTTTCCGGCCCGTCGAACGCGGCCTGCCGTCAGCCCTCTTCATCGTCACGCCTTTCCTAGGTCCAGGCATGGGGTAAGCATTTTGTTTCCTCGCTTCGCTCGTCTTGTCGCTTCTTCTCCTCGCTGACCAACAGCCCCGTCTTAGGTGCTTTCGCCATGCGAAAAGGCTGGTGATGGACCCAATGGACCCTCGTCTTCTTCGCCACCTTCTCCATCATCATCATCGCCCTCTTCGCCCGCGAATCCTCTGGCCTCGTCTTCCTCTCCATCGTCATCGGCTGTCTCCTCGGCCTCGTCACCATCATCGCCTGCGATCTCTTCCTCTATCGCCGCCGCTTCGTCCCCCGCTTTCCCCCCCATCAAGTCCCCCCCGAGCACCGCCTCTATGCCGCCATGCTCGGCAGTCTCGGCATGCCCGTCGGCCTCTTCTGGTTCGCCTGGACAGCCGACCGCCACGTCCACTGGGCCGCGCCCGTCGTCGCTATCGTTCCCTTTGCCTGGGGCAACATCTGCATCTTCATCAGCCTCATGCAGTACCTCGGCGACACCTACAGCGGCTCCATCGTCGCCAGTGCCGGCAGCGCAAACTCGCTCGCCCGCTATACTCTCGCTGCCGCCTTCCCCCTCTTCACCCTGCAGTTGTATCGTCGTCTCGGCATTGGCTGGGCCAGCAGCCTACTCGGCTTCATCTCTGTCGCCCTTCTGCCCGTGCCCTGGCTGTTCTTTCGCTATGGGCCGGCCATTCGCAAACACAGCCGCTATCAATCGTGAGAGAAAGGGAAATAAGAGAGGGAAGAGAGAAAAAGAAAGATAGAAAGAGAGACAAAAGACTAATGTCTACCTGTTCTCCGGTTGTGTACAATTATAGATCTTCAATGGCCCAATAGATCCACAAAGATGTCACTTTTGTCGTGTCTGTTCTTCGGTCTCTGTTCCTCGGTCTTTCCCTACTTGGGATCCCTGTCCTGCTCGCTCCTGTCAGCCCCTGTCATGGAGGCTCCCGCCCGCTAAGCCATAATTGACCTGGTCGGCTTCCCACCACTGTGGCACGCCTTGCCCCATCCAGCGGCAGATTAGTCGACTGCTTCGGCCTGCTTGCGCGTCCGCACGCAACGCCTTTCGCGTCCCCTCTTCTGACAAGTGCTTTTCTCGGCCGACCTCGTGCAGCCGTTGTCCCGGTCTCATCTCGCCATTCGTCATGTCCGATAGTCTGTAATAATCGTATTAATAAATAGCCCCCAGGCCCTCCAGAACCCCGACCAGAAGACAGATGCCCGCATACTCCTCCTGTCAGCTCATCCTCTCATGGCTTCGGGGTCCGCTTCCTCCTGAACACTGTGGAGCATACCAGAGATGGCCCGAGAAAAGGCGACAACAATTTGACGGCTGTGGGCGAAAGGGAGTGTATTTGGCCAAACCCGCGTGGGACTCAACACGAGCTGCCACAACCTGTTAAAAGCTCCCCCCTTGCTCGTCTGCCGTTCCCTTGCCATGTGCCGTTGAGAAAAGGGACTGTGTCTTTGCTCGACCGAGAACCCTCATCCTTCTCCTGCTCTTGATCTTGCTCCTTTGCGCTCGCGTCTTTTTCTTCCATACTCCGACCCTCAGTCTCTCATTTCACCCTCACTCCTTTCCCCAAAGTTCATGCCATGCAGCGACTCCTTTCCCTGACCTACGGCCGCTGGCGGCTATGGCCTCTCGCCGTCTTCCTCTGCGTCTGGATCACCGCCATGTTCTGTCTGATGCTGCCATATGATAGCGTTCTTCGCCAGTCCATACGCTTTAATGCAATGCGTGCTTTCAACAGTCTTGCAAGCCCCCCGTGGTCGCCTGAGATGTGGATGCCCTCCGATGCTGCTGCAACTACCAACACCGACAACCCTCCAGTAGTAGCCATGTCCGACAATGTCCGTCTCGCCCAGCATCACTCGCAGTATCATGTCCGGCCGTACGACAACATCGGCCTCATCATCAAGAGCGGCTACGGCACTCGTCACCGCGTGCCTGCCCAGATCAACGCCCTAGGTCTGCAACCCCACGCCGAGGATGCGGGCAACGTTGTCGTCATCGGCGACTTCACCGGGCAGATCCGCTACAACATCACAGACAACCAGAACATAACCCTGAACAAGTTCACAAACAGCACAGCCACTGCCACAGTCGCTGTCCACAACGTCATTGCCGCCGTGCTTGAGAGCCGCGCCGTCGGTCCGCGCATCCGGTGTCCGCGTGCCATCAAATATCGCGGCCTGTCAGCAGCGATCCACCGCGGCAACGACGCCGAGGCCGTGAGCATCAGCCGAGACTATGGCTGGGAGCTGGACGCCATGAAGGTAGGCCGAACCGAGTCCAATCATGGCCCACCTCCCCTTCCCCGCTAACAATGCAGTTCATCCCCGGCCTTGAGCTCGCCTTTGATGTCATGCCCAATAAGGACTGGTATGTGATGATCGACGACGACACCTTTCTCGTGCCGCCGTCGCTGCACGGCTTTCTGGCCCGTCTCGACCCAGCCACGCCGCTGTACATTGGCAATGCCGTCGGTGACTTCCGTCTGCGCTTTGCCCATGGCGGCTCGGCTGTCGTGCTGTCGCGTGCCGCCGTCGCCCTGCTATTGGATGACCGTGCTGCCGTCCACCAATCGTATGTCGAGTCGCTGACGGCCACGTTGGGCGACCGCCTGCTGGCCAGCACCCTGATGCATGTCGGCATCTACCTGGATGAGCGCTTCTCCCACCTCTTCAACGGTGCCCGTCCTCATGACACTCGCATCAGTGCCGATCGCTTCTGTCTGCCACTGATCTCGCTCCACGGCCTGACGGATGATGCTCGCATGGTTGACACCGGCCGCCACTTTGACCAGGTCAACGCTGGTGGCAACAGTAACAACAGCAGCAACAACAACATCCCGAGCCCCCCTTTTGCCTGGGGCGACCTCTGGCCACTGTATGGCCGGCCCACCGTCGCCGCCCTGCGTCGCCAGCCGATGCGTAGCGAACACGACTTTGTCGGCCGCCCGGGTGATGACTCGTCCGCTGCCAACCTCGTGTCCACCACTGTTGCTGACGTGCCGTCGGCCGAGATGTGTCGCGCCATCTGCGAGAGAGGCCTCGACGACAAAGAACCGAAAGGCCCACAGTCATCAACCCAGCAGATCCAGGGACAATCCCCCCCTCACAACAGCCCCGTCAACGTCGACGGCACCTGTCTCGCCTGGACCTGGGACGGCCAGGCGTTGACCTGCACGACCAGCCCCTGGTTCGTCATCGGCGTGGACTCCCGGGACGAAGACGGACACACGCCCGTTCCGTCCACCACCTTCTCGGGCGTGCCGGCTGCCCGCCTGCAGACCCTCATTGACCGCTGCAGCCGGCGCAGCGGCGTGGCCTGGGCCGCAACTGACTCAGGCTATTATGCGCTCGTTCGGTCGGACGCAAACGATCGATCAGCATGAAAGCAATAAAAGAACAAATGAATACGAAAAAGATGAAGGTTGTTGCCTAGACCATGACCCTGTTGTATCTTAATATTAATTGTTCCCCGTGACTAATGGAAGAAAGAACCCCGACATATTACTCCGTACTCGCAAGAGGCACACGATCGTGCCTGCCGGATTGGGTAATTGCTAATACGCGAGGCAGGTGCCGTGCACTCCTCTTGCACAGCTATGCATGCCCCGTCTCCGCCCGCAAGCTCCACACACATGGATGACGTAGGCATCCTCTTGCTTCTATGCATTCTTTGTCGCCTAGACTATTAGGAGACGTTCCATATCCCACTAAAACACTAAAACCTCACTGTCCTGCGCCGACTCTCCTCCGATTCTGCCGGCCCCTGGCCTTCCAATTTGTTGGGTCGTCCTCCTTAAATCCCTCTGGAGCCTCCTGCAACGTACGTCCCGTCCTATATCCCTCTCTCCTACTGCCATCCTACTCTCATTTCTTTTTCTCGTCGTGCCCCTAATACCTTTCCGTCCAATTCACCACCTACTGCCGATCAGCCTGACAAAGAACCAATTTCCCAGCTCCATGCAACCACAAGCTCCATCGACCCTTCCCCAGCCAGCGATCTAGCGGCCCACCCCAGCCCCTGCCAGCCAAGCCATATCGACGCCGGCGCGTGACCCATAATTAAAAAAAGCTGCCTAGAGGGCCTCTCTGTCCTCCCCCAAAAGCACATATGCATTCGTCCCCCCAACAGAAGGCAAAGAAGTCCTTACCTCTCCATCTACCCAAATTCCCCTTTCGCCATCGCTCCAACTCTTCCATGGATTCCACCACCTCCGCACAAGGCTCTGCCGGTTCGTCAAGCGCGAATAGCAGCAGCTGGACCGCATTCCTCAAGGTAACTTACTTCCCGCATTCGGTCCTTCAGGCTTCCTTGGAGCTTTCTTCAGGCCTCAAAACCCTCTATATGTTGCCTGCGTATACTTCAATGGCCGAGCTGCCCCATCGTGCTGACTCTGACCTGCCTGCAGTCGATTGCATCGTTCAATGGCGACCTCTCCAGCCTGACGGCCCCGCCCTTTATCCTTTCAGCCAAAAGCTTGACTGAATTCAGCTCCTACTGGGCCGAACACCCGGCCATCTTTGCTGCCCCGGCCAGCGAGCCCGATCCCGAAAAGCGCGCCGTCCTGGTGCTCAAGTGGTTCCTGACTACGCTTAAGCAGCAGTATGCCAGCCGCAGCGAGCAGTACGGCAACGAGAAGAAGCCGCTCAACCCCTTTCTGGGCGAGCTCTTCCTCGGCCGCTGGGAAGACGAAGAGTCCGGCACCACCGAGCTTATCAGCGAGCAGGTCAGCCACCACCCGCCAGCCACTGCCTACAGCATCACCAATCTTCCCACCGGTGTCCATTTGGAGGGCTACAACGCCCAGAAGGCCTCCTTCAGCCGCTCCATCAACATCAAGCAGATCGGCCACGCCGTCCTGACCGTTCCCGTACCAACATCAGCCACACAAACACCCGCGTCAGCAGCCGTCAACGGCAATGGCACCACCGATACTTACGTCATCACGCTGCCGGCCATCCACGTCGAGGGCCTATTTGTCGGCGCCCCCTTCCTCGAGCTGGAGGGCTCAACCTACATCACATCGTCCACCGGCTACACAGCGCGCATCGACTACTCCGGCCGCGGCTGGATCAGCGGCAAGAAGAACAGCGTCACTGCCGTGCTGTACCGCACTGGCAACGAGCGCGACGTGCTGTACCATGTCTCCGGCCAGTGGACCAAGGCTTTTGACATCTTCAAGGGCCCTGCCAAGAGCCAAGACCTTTTCATCAGCTACACCCCCGAGTCCAAGCCGACCACCCCGCTGATTGTCGAGCCCATCGAAGCCCAGCACCCGCTCGAGAGCCGTCGTGCCTGGGCCCGTGTTGCCGCCGGCATCGCCAAAGGCGACCTCGACGCTGTCGGCCTCGAGAAGGGCAAGATCGAGACCGCCCAGCGCGAGGAGCGTACGCGCGAAAATGCCGAGGGCCGCGACTGGACCCGCCGCTACTTTACCGACGCAGCTGCCGGCCGTAGCACTGCCAGCGATCCTGCCCTTGCTGCCCTTGGCAGCGCCGCCGGCCTGTCCGCCAATGGCGACTGCGACAAGACTGGCGGCCTCTGGCGCTTCGACAGCGCAAAGGCTGCTGCTGTCCGCCAAAAGGGGCCCCTGTCCGAGGCCGAGGCTGCCGAGCTGGCCAAGCGTCTTCTAGGCCAGTAGGCTGCTACGTGGGTGGACCTTTGGCGCCTAGTCCGGCGAAAAAGAAAAAAAAAAGAAAAAACCCCGCCGAAACAACAACAAAAAAAAGGGATGTCGCTTCTCGCCTGATTATGTACCAGTTCTCCTATCGTTTATGCGCTTTTTTATCCCTTTCGGCCTCGTTCTATGACGATGGCTCGCGTCTGCGTCTGCGTCTTGCATCTGTGTCTTGTCTTGTATAGAGAATTGGGAGCCAGGGTAGGATATCTAAACGGGGCTCATTTAATTGTGGGTAGGAGAGGTAGGACAGGAATTATACTCCGTACCGTAGTCGTCTACTATAATTCAGTCATAATATTATTTTCACGCCGGCTTGCTGTCTACTAGGTATACCGAGAAAGATTTACAATGAGCGGTGGTTTTTTTGCTTATTCTTTTCCTTGACTAACAACTAAACAGAGCTCATGTGCTTCTTTTTTAATGCCGTTAACATGCTAGAACTGCGCTGACACTGGACCCTCTTTGAATCGTTCCCGCTATGGTTTCATATCCCTAGAACCATAAACATGCGTAGGCTTTTCTACCCTTTTCCGCCCAACCCTCTGTCGTTGATGATGCAATTATGGATTGGCACAATATGAGCTGGCAGATAGTAAAGAATGGGGGAGGCCGGAACGGGGATGGGAAAGAGATCCATCTAAATGAAAAGAAACAGAAGAATATAAAAAAAAAAACTCACCCGAAAATGCTTTCTCACATGCGCAAGTCGATGAATTACGACACTCGCAAAGACAGCTCTAGGCTTAGGATCCCAAAAAAAACGGCTCTTCTCCCTAGACCACATGTAGACCCTTTTTTAAGCCGAACCATCTATGTCACGCTCCAGTCACGCTCCAGCTCGTAGAACAACAAGTACACTTCTCTCTGCATCCCAAGCACCTCGCGCGTGCTCGCCTCTCGCACTCTCTCATCGCTGATACGCCACCACTGGTCATGGCTAGACCGCTTCTTACGCCGCACAGAACTAGCATCACCAGCCTTGCTGACTGCCTTCTTTCCACTCTCAGCCGCCGTGTTGTTTGCTGTGCTGCTGTGTCCATTGCTCCCCAGCTGTAGTGCGGAGATCTGGCTTATGCTATTCGTCCGGCTGCCTTTACGGCTGCCACTGCGAGTTGAAGATGTGAGTCGCGACAGCGTGGACCGCGTGATCGATCGCAGGCTAGACGTTTCGGCCACGGCGTCTGCAGCAGAGTTGTTGTCCCTTTCTCCCTGCAACATGTCGCGAGGCGCCGATGTGGGTGCAATCGGTGGTACAAACGAAGCAGACTGCCCCCGAATACTGGATGTCCAAGAATCTCGTTTTCTTGACAGTCTTGACCCGTGTTGACCAGACGGATCAAGAGGCAGTACCGGGCTGCCAGCTTCAAAAACCGTCGGCGGTAGATTCGCCACAGAGGACACGGGGCTGCTGTTTGTCGTGCTTTCTTTGATCAGCGTCACCTCGGAAGACCCGAGTCTCGGCGTCGTTGCGGCCGGGCTCGGTGACGGCGAATATACCGTCGACACGGCGAACGTGTTAGAGTTCGAGTAGGGCGCAGCGATGGTCTGCCGCCGGAACGATTCGTAGTGGCCGCTGTGATGACTGCCCTTGTGCGTGACGAGCCCAAGAAGCTTGTACATCCGTCTATGAAGCAAGCCGCCAAGTGGCAGCCGCTCGGGGAAAGCCACCTTTGCCGAATTCTTCTGCGACGTGACATCGTAGATAGACCGCGACAAATGAATGGCTAGCACCTTTGGGAAACTGACCACACGGAAGTGTCGTGCAATGCGCCGCTTTGGCGCGTACCGCACATCGGGGAGAGTAACATCTGCAGGCGGCTTTTCAGGATCTGTATCGATGGCCGCCTGCAGCTCATCTATGGCACGTCTGGTCTGCTTCCGGAATGGCTCGGATACTGATTTGGCCAGCTCAATCTCGAACATCTGCTTAGCATGCAGCAGCCGGCACTTCTCGCACTTGAAATCGTCAATGTACTCCGTCTTCAGCATTGTATCAAAACAAGCGCTCAAGGATGTCGACGAGACTTGTGGAACGTTGAGCGTCAGCGTGCAAAACGCCTGCTCTGATGGTCTTGGCCTAAAGCCGCAGGTGAGACACTCGATCTGAGACTCAATCTTGCCCTCCATCGGAAACCCGTCTTCGTCTTCGTCCTCCTCGCGTGCCAGTCCGTTGACAGCTTCGGAACTGCTTGGGGCCGACCGCTCTAACTTCTGTCCTTGTGACCCATGTTGCCAGTGTTGTTCTGTCCTGTCACTAGATGCAGCATCGATACTGGCCAGCTTCTCTCCAACGACACCCGTATCCAGCTGTGCCGTCGCTGCCGCAACTGCAGCATCTGTCGCCCGCGTTGAACCTGCAGCTGCGGCCTCCATTACGGCCTTTTGTCGTGCATATCGCCTCGCTCGCTGGCCTGCATGATATTCGTCACACAGACGTTCGGCCACGATTTGTAAAAATTCTTGAGCGTCCTGCTGCTGCCGGCTGATTCGCTGACGAAAAGCCACCTCAAGCACACGGACAAATGGCATGGCCGAGATCGTCTTCTTGACAATAGGCCGCTCGTTGAGCTGGTCGATCATGTCCTTTAAGCCCTTTGTGACCAGACCAGCCTGTAGGCCCTCGATCTTCCAGACCGGTATGGATCGGCGAGGCACGCTCGTACCATCAGCCGAGGGAATGGCGACGTCTTCGGGGACTGCTTCGGTGTACACCCCTAAATTGTCTATCTTGCGTCGGTGGGTTTCGCGAATGAGGTATATTCGCAGATCCCCTAGACCAGCCAGGGCCTGCAAAACCGAATTGATGAAACAGTCATTGGCGGCATTGTAGAGACCGACAACACCATTTTTGCGACTCGTAAGCGACGAGAGTGGATTGCTGGAGCCGGAGGGATTGCTGTCGATGAGATATGTGGGCGCAAAGACGTAGACAAGGGCAATGGTGGCCAAAGAGGCCCCGGCCGCGTAAGTCGCGACAGTGAAGCCTTTTTCTGGCATCTAGCACGGGGTATGGCCACTCAGCCAGGCTGCGCTTCGTGGTTGGCACAGAGGGTTAACCTCGGCGAACTGGGGGTGGTGCTGAAGGCCTTGGAGAAGGATTGAACCGCTTTTCTGGGGTTTGTCAGAAGCGGTGGTGCGGAAGACTCGGGGCCCGGAATAAACCAGCAGCTAACTTAAAATTTGCGGGGGTGGATGAGAGGCCGTTTCTGTATGGTCGTGGGGTCCCCTTTTTCTCCGAACCAGGCAGCAGTCTGCCGGCTGTGAGCGAAATTAGCATAAGACCACTCCCTATAAGCCCTAGCCTTGAGTTCGGTTTCTCCTACCGTCTTCTCGCTCGCCTCACAGGTGGACATGGAACAGCTAAGGATAATAATTAATGCTATTGAAATTGGTACTGGCAATTGAGGCCTGACAGAAAGAAGAGAGCCAACACGTTTGATGGCGAGAAGAGAAAGAGGAAAGACGAAAGCTGTCATACCATGGGCCGAGGCCTAATGGCCGAAATTGCAAACGCCAGACACGGCAGGAGCGAAAGCATGCCCGACAGCGGACATCTTTAGACCCCAAGGCAAGTGCAAACAGATAGCCGAACCGGGCAGAACCCGTGTCACTCAAGCATTCAGGTCGTTAATATTCTGCAACTTGCCATATCCCCGCTCAGAAGCGGAGCTTTCCAAACGATTCGTCCCTTTAATAGCTCAACGTACTCAAAGAAGCAGCTTTGTTTGACCGATCATTGCTAGCTACATCTGTGTCACATTTACTACGCACATATCTTGTTCTCGCAATTCTTTGGCATCGAAGAGACAAAACGAGGTAAGACTGCGGAGCTAGTGAAAACTATAGTGGAGGCAAAATAACGACTTGTCGCCTCGGTTAAGAAGTGTAGCAGAATCGTATAAACGACTCAATAATGTGTTTTGATTTTACTTATTTTGATTCATATGTTTTGGTTCTTAAAACTCTATTCGAGCCTTTTGGTACTGGAACCAGTTTTCATGCTCTGACATCGGAACATGTGTTGGGCGGCGGCTTTAGGAATGAGGAACACCACAAAAGGCAGTACCGCCTTTTCTCTAAAGTACAGCAAATATTATGCTATTTAGTTCTTCGCAGCACCTGCCTTGATGAGAAGAATGTCGCCGTCCTCGACGACATACAATCGTCCCTTGGTCAGCATCTTACCCTTGGCCTTCACCTCAGCCTCATCGCCTAGCTCCTTGAGATCCCGGAAGTTGTAAACGATTGCCTGAATGAAAGTTTTCTCGAAATCTGTGTGGATGACTCCAGCGGCCTGAGGTGCCTTGGTGCCCTTCCGAATTGTCCATTGGCGAACCTCATCGGCACCAGAAGTGAAGAAGCTGCCGAGTCTGAGTACCTCACGCATCTTAACGATAATATCTGGCAGCTTAGACTTCACACCCAGCCGTTGGCACTCCTCAAGAGCCTCTTTTTCGGTTTCCAGGTGTGTGAGGCGTTCCTCAAAAGAGACGGATAGTGGAATAACCGGATCGCCTTGTGCGTTCTTCTTCAACCACTCAGCAGTTTTGGCCAGGTGCTTGTTCTTGCCACGAACAAAGTCTTTCTCAGACATGTTAATGAGGAACACAACGGACTTGGCTGTCAGCAAAGTTAAAGGGTTAATCACTTCGACCTGTATGTTTATTAGTATTTCGTAATCTCGAACTTTTTGAGACGACTTGTCTGGAATAAAAGCGTTGAAAAAGCAATGGTGAGCAGCAGTAAAATCAGATATGTTCTTATCTCATAGTGCTCTCCACGAAAATCATGGATAGCACTCGACGAGCTGGGTTTAAGAGATCAGGCACTATGGCCTTTTATCATCACGTAGATGCTGGTAAAGGGTGCAAAAAGAAAAAAAGAAGAAAATGTTGAAAAGGACACGGATATATTGTAAAAGCTTACCTCCTTTGGAGTCCATTTGCCTTTCCGGACGTCGTTTCCGGCCTTCAGCCAGGCAAGAATTTTCTCGATAGTTGCCTCTTCCTCACGAGCTTTCTTCTGTTCCAAGCTCTGGCCGCCTTGCCGAGTCTTTTTCTTTTGATTCTCGAGCGCCTTCTCGACAAATTCTATATCCTTGAGTTGTAACTCCTCTCGGATAATCTCAAGATCACGGACTGGGTTGACGTCGCCCTCCACGTGAATAATTTCAGCGTCATCGAAACACCGGACAACCTGGAAAATAGCATCGACAGCACGAATATGTGACAAAAATGCATTACCGAGACCAGCACCGGTAGATGCACCACGTGTCAGACCAGCAATATCATATACCGTGAGATTGGCAGGCACTCGAGATTTGGGCTGGTACTTCTCGCATAGCCAGTCAAATCTAGCATCCGGTACGATAACCCGAGCCTCTTCCGGGTCGATTGTGGCGTATGGGAAATTCTGGTAAATCGATCAGTTTAAATCCAACGGAAACCGCTGGATGAGTGCCACTAACAGCAGGGTTTCCAAGATTGGACTTGGTGATAGCCTGAAAAAGAGTAGATTTTCCGACATTGGCAAGCCCGACCTATTGGAAATTATTAGCATGCAATTACAAGAATGCAGACAAACCGGACTTCTCTTACAATACCACTCTTCAAGCTGTTTCCTGGCCGACCAAGCAGGATCTCCTCAACAGCGACTTCTTTCGGAGGCATTTTTCTTCTAGTCTTGTGACTAATACGACGAACGAATACAGAGCTGTGATGAGCTAAGCAGTTCGACGCCCTTGTATAAGAAGAGCTGGTCGGTCTATCGAGCAGAACAAAGCGTGTAAGCGAACAGAGCAAGGAAAATGCTCTTCCTGGAAAGTGAGGAGCAGACGTCTTGACGTTCTGCGGCCGCCTCCAGCCTCCACACACCCCAGTAGCAGGGACTAGACTTGTATAAGCCTCCTGCGGATAATATACCCGTTTGCTCAGCGATGGCGTTTGAGCTCTGGACGATATGCTTCCCGAGCAATTTTCTTCGCACAATGCTATTGTTCTCGTTATGCTCTGCGAAAATTTGATCCGATCTTTCATTTAAGAGGGGCCCGTGCATGGCGGGGCGTTTTGGTGCATAAATGTTAATCCGGCCCATATGGTATTGTTAGCTGAGTACCTTATACTTAGCCTGGAGCTCCCTCTATCTGTAAGAGCTCCAATAACAATTACTTTTCATACGTTCACTTCGATAGTATCGGCTACGTTTGCGGCTGTACGTTGCGGATGCGAGACTCGTTATCCGCATTTAGCTTGACAGTGATAGCCTTGCATTCCATTTATTTCCCCACAACGCTGGCAATTTACTCTCTTCTTCTATCGCTTGTCGGCTTCACGGAGTACATACTGCCTCTCCTTTCATTTGCTGTTATCTCGCTGTGTGGCTTCTCGAGGACTCGCCACGTATCTCACTCGGCATTCCTTCGGCCTGCCTCGCCACCAATTTATCCCTACTCCATATTTAGCTCGTCCAGCTTCTCTCACTTCCCTCGTCTTCCGGCAGCCTCCTCCACCAGATTTCAACAATGGCACCAAAGGTGCACAAGAAGTCCAATCGGGCCAGACACCGATCGACACTGTCGCTTCAGAAAACAGAGGTCATTATCAATGTTTATGATCTTCTAGCAGTAAGCTTCAGCATCGTCTCATTTTGATTTGATTTCAACAGTCGCATACTGACAATTTGTTTCGCAGCCCGGTCGCCTCTCTTCCTTCCTATGGTTCGTCGGCACATCTCTCTTACATTCGGGTGTTGTCGTCAATGGAAGAGAATATGCTTATGGTGGACATGACCGTCATGGAGTCACTGGTGTCTACTGGACTAAGCCTCGGTCGGAACCTCCGGGTGGCACATTCCGCTGCGAGATTCTGCACGGCTTTACTTTAGCTACTCCCGATGAGATTGAAGCCATCATCCGCACCACCTCGGCAGAGTTTCTCGGCCCTTCTTACAACCTTCTCACGAGGAACTGCAACCATTTCACTGCCTATTTATGCCGCAAATTGACCGGCCGTCCCGGTCCTCCTTGGCTGAATCGTGCTGCGAGTATTGGCGTTGCCTTACCTTGCGTTGTTCCGCGGGAATGGATCGAGCCACCGGAGTACGACACTGCTGATGGCGAGTTGCTATTAAGCGACGACGAAGACGATATACACGATGAACGAACGGGCATTTTGCGGGTGTCTTCGCCACAAGTACACCTGATTAGAGCAGATTCTAACGAAGGTACAAGCGCCAGCGACAGATTGCAGCAAAATTGGGATGATGAGGATGAGCGGAGAAGTACTGGAAGCGGCGAAATGGGGAAAGGCAAAGGTAGAGCCGGGCCTATGCGAGATTGTGAAGGACGAGCACTACCGCCGTCCGAGCGTCTGCGAGCATGACCGGAATGGCATTCCTGGCTGCATCTTGTCGGTGTGCTGTTATGTTGCTCTATGGTTCTTGTTTGGCGTTTGGGTCGACGGTCGATACCATCTGAAGTCTCTTATCCATAGTTTTTCCTTTTCCTTTTCCTTTTCCTTTTCCTTCCCTTTTTTGGTTTCTGCTCACGACGAAGGCTTTATTTCTCGCTATTGTTATCAGATTGTGTTTTTTGCGTACTGCTGCTAGGCAGCGGCGACCTAAGGGATGAGGTTGCAACAATGGTCAACCATTGTTTTATGCTTATGATAAGTATGTGCTCCGTTTAGTGACTAGTCAAGGTATAGCTTCAGTCGTGCCTTCCGGAACTAGCTACGAAGGACGGGAGGAGCAAGACAAGATACAGGTGGTTTTATCCGTTCCATTAATACTAATTCGTCCTCCATACGACGTATGTCATTCCTCATCAATGTCACATTGCCCATTAATCATCATCACCGAGCATGGGCCCCGCCTTATCGACAAGAGTACCATTAAATATGCCAAACGAAGTATAGAACCAGCTATTACAGGGTTTCTCCAGGGTAAACTCCTCCTATTGCGGACCACCATACCGCACTCCACGCCGACCCATCTCTTTCCGGCCCACTGCATCTTCCGGCATCACCCATCCACGTGCTCTCTTTGCAGTCCGCTTCTCAGCAAGCTGAGGGGGGGGCATCCAGGAATCGCGAGGGGCAGCTTTGCGGCGAGTACCTTCTGCAGGTGCCCCGATATGAGTGTGGTGTGAACACAACAAACTGCCCTCGTCTGAATCGGATCGTGCAGTGGCAGCAGCTGCTGCTGCCATTTCATCACTCGCCAGCATACACAGTCCCCACAGAGCCATGCAGGCCGTCAGCGGCGTGGAACCAATTTCCGGGCTCTCGACAGTCGTGGCCAGCGGCACACTAGCAACTTCAACTTGGCCAAACAGAGGCGTCATTTCCGTTCCGTTGCGGACAACCACCAGCTCAATTTCGGTCAGGATAAATCCATACCGACAGCTGTGCTCGCGCATTAGGTGGTGCAAGTGTGCTAGCCCACGCAAATACTCCACCTTCTTCACATTTCCCTCGACACGCATGCCCGTATTGAAGCGATCGTAGCTCTTAACGAGTCCAACAACACGAGCGGTGGGTTTGCCGCCAAACAGTGCAGTGGCCGAAGAGGCATCGCCAGCTGTTCTTCCAACGAAGACGTCGCCTGCCATGGCTAATTGAATGGGTCGCGGCGACGACAGTGTGAGGGAAAAGTTTACGCGCGGCAGGTAGTGGCCTGCGCAAATCGACTGCAGCTCTATCTCGGTCTCTGGGTGCTGGCAAGTGGCTGTCTGCTGGGGTGGCAGAAAGGACACAGGCACAGGACATGAAAGCACGGCCGTGGCTCCTGGAAGGGACAGAAGCCCTGTGGCGGAAAAGGCTGACCACGACCGCACCTGGCGAATGTCCCACCAAAAATGCTTTGTGCTGGGGTCGCGCAGAGGAAAGGAGATGGTGCGGACAAGAGCCGGAGCTGGATTTGGAGCAGTGAGGTAGTTGAGGAGGCTGGAGCTGGGACCCGCCACCGGCGCAGCAGCGGCAACAGCTGGAGGAAGCATTGGCTCAGGTGTGGCTTCAACCGATATGGATTCCACGGAAAACGGCGAAAGAGCGCGAGATCCATACCTATGGTGCTGGTATAAATAAGCATCTTCGGTGGAGTCGGTCGGCACAGCAGTCATGTCTGATATGGTTGCGCTTGGCACAGTACCGGGATACGGAGCAAAGCCATACTCAAACTTGGCTTGGTCATCGTTGCGGCTGCCATCGTCCAGATTGCAATACGAAGCGCGCCGTCCAGGATCGATAGTCAGAGAACCGTCGTGTTTCAGCACAAAGTCGACAGACGAGCACAATAATGTGGGTGGGGGTGGCGTGGACTCAAAAGACGACAATGGCCTGGAGACAGCACGCTCCGGCGAAGTGTTGTGCTCGGAGAACGAGCGAGAAGGAAACATGCCAGGATCTGGGCTTGTGAAGCTGCAGACATGCCTCGCTACCACAGGATAGGTGGGACGGCGACGGTGGACAGCAGCAGTGGATCGGCCACGAGGAACTGCCTGGGGAGCTGGGGATGTCTTTGCACGCTTCGGCGGGGAGTACGCATTGGCATATGCATCATCTGAACCTAAAGCTTGATCCCGAGACCGAATTTTTGGAAGCAGCAACGGGCCATGCGTGCGGATGGGAGAGCGAGCTGGTGTGCTATTGCGAGTGCTGGGGGCTGTGTTGAAGCTGCCGGCAACACTCAGAAACGACTCCGAAGGAGTGGAGGAGGCAAACGAATAGGCCGAGTATGCCGAGCATTGTGAAGCGGAGCGAGAGTGCCCACGATAGTCGCCATGACGGCCACCGATGAGACCGTGGTTGGGATGGTGCTGATAGGGAACATCCAGCAAATTTGGATCATAAGAGTATGAGGTTGTGGGTGGCGTGGCCGGCTCGCCGGAAGGAAATGTGAAATCAAAAGCAAGATCCGCTGCCAAAGTGGACATGATGGGCGATTTTATAACTGTCTCCGGGACAGTATGATATTAAAGATTATGTGGCGATGGGTGGGGGAGGCCTGCTCCAGAAAGGCGATAAGTGACAGCGAGACGGAGTGGAGAAGGTTAACAACCTTGGACCACTTCAAAGCAAACAACAAAAGAGGGCGGGAGGATGAGAGAAAATGATGCAAGAGACGAGGCCGGACGATGTGAGATATTGGCGAGAACACAAAAGGCAGACCACAGGAGGGGACGAGGCCGGGTACTTATCCTCGTAAGGGTGGGAGACGAGACAAACGACAGGCCAGGAAGAAGCCGAGTACCCATCGCATCTTCGCTGCCCACTCTCATGGCCCCATGGCTGTAGCATGGCCGCGGCCGCGTCTGGCTGCGTGAATCCGAAACGCGAGAGAAGACTGAGCAGATATGGAAGAGGTATGGAGTACACGCTCGGCAATGGCAGAAGCCGCTGCTGCAGGAGTAGCGCTAGAGGCTTGCACCGAGAAGTGGTAGCCCGATGAGGTCGCTTGAACGGCCGACCACCAATACGCTCTCCATTTCTTGATGCCGGAAAGAGAATGTAACGAAATGCAACGGGTACGTAAGTACTTCCACGGGTGCCACTTCCACGGGTGCCAGCTCTAGTGGAGAGACAAGGGTCATGGCGCTGACCAACCAGAATGAGAGTTTCGCTTGCTGCTGCCCAAGAGCTAACGCACCTGGTTGTCCATCCCGGTCCGAGCTTTCAGAAGAGGTTGGTCTGCTAGGGTCTGAAGCTAATTCTGGAACTGGCCGAATGGCTGCAGGACCACTCGCTCACGGCGGCCGTTTAGAGAAGGTGTGTGCCATATTATGGAACCATATGCAAGCCAGCTGCACTAAAACACTCGAAGCTGTTGTGTTCTATGAGTCACGAACGAGCACATGGCCGGACGAAACAGAATGCAACAAGTCCCAGATGCCGTCGCCAAACGCGGGGAGACGACGGGATTACACGCGACGTGATGGCGAGTGTTTGGCGACATTTTGGTGGCAGTTTGGTGAAGCGGAAAAGACTGTAACTGCGAAACTCACGTGACGGTCGCACTTTGCACATTGCACACCTATTTTCGGTCGCTTTCCAGCGCCTACTGAAGTGAGACAGTAGTACGGGGCTTGAGTATTACGATACCGTAGTGACAAAGGCGTCACGTACTGGGGCAGAGATGCGATCCCAGATCCGCCCCCAAACTGAATGTACGAGTAGAGGCAAGGGCTGAAAGGCAGCCCGACCGGAGAAAGGCCATGTCCCTGTCAATTTCGAGAAGCGCGCGGGAGCGAGATTAGGTATCACGACAGCCAGGTCTGGTGAGACAGTACTTCCATGCATTTTGCCCCGGAATATCTATTCTGAGGTATGGGTACGTGCGTAGCTGAGGAGCCGGCGGCTGCCAGGCGGTACAACGTACGAATAGCCGAATGCTTTAAATCTGCGTAGGCGCTGGGAGCGCTGTAAGTGGGTCGTTTGATGCTGGATTTTAGGCGATGCCCCATATCTGCTCGCCTGAGCGTCTGGGGAGATCGATGAGGAGTGGCCCTATGGGCCGCCACAGGCGGCCAGACATCATACAACATACTCCAGTTTCTCTCACAGACCAGGAGACCTACGACGTATGACCTGCACAGCCTCAATGGGCGTCAGACAGGGCAGAATGGCGCTGACCTTGTTGACCGAGCATTTTGAATATCCCCATGTCGAAAGAAGACTGCTATGGCAAGATCTATGATTGGCTCTTGCCTGCAACCGCGTGTATTAACAATACACGCCGTAATCCGCGCGAAAACAGATCATGCATCTTACTGGCTGACTGGTTTCCTTCTCCACTAATCCAGTTTATCCGTTTCGTTTCAAGCACTGCGGCTACGAGTACATAGTAAGATAAGAGGCGAAGTACGGAGTACGTAGTTTCTATAGTATGATACGAATTCAAGCGACCTGCTATCGGCTCCGCATTCATGTTGTGCCGACCGGAATATTCGGATCGACGCGTCCGGTCTTCATACGCGTCTCTCCGCGCCAACCCCGCGACTGCCCCGCGTACTATCGCGCCAATACTGCGTCTTGTCCGGCTTCACACCGCGTCGTGCTTCCGCTATGCAGCCGAATCTTGCACTATCACACTATGACTCATACAGGCCTTCGATATCGCAAAAGTATGGTATCTATCCAATCGTTGTCACAGACGGCCTAACTGTCGCTCATCAAGAAACTGGGAACACGATAAAAGTACAGGTTTCATGTCTAACTACCGAGGATGCCCCCGAGAACACCTCATCCATTCCTTCCTCTTAGCCTGACGCCCTCTTTGACCGCAAACATACCGCTGCTGTGACTCATACATGATATCTCTCAAATGCTGTATTCTCTTGCGTCATGTGACCACGTAGCTGAAAGTCCTATATTGAACCGACCGCTTCCATCGCCACTGTTCGTCGCACCCGTCGTAACGCCCTCTCTAGAGTATCCAGCCGGTCTCGCTCTTGCACTAACATTTTGTGTGCCAGCTCGCGTATTGCGCGCCGTCCCACCCGTTCGTGTATGTCTTGCCAGCCAGCCAGCTCCTGGGCCACTGTTTGCTGTGTATAGCGGAGTTCCTTGGACAGGTTCTCGCACTCCGTGCGACTCTGTTGCGCACGAACCTCTCGTTCCTCATTAAGTCGCTGCCGTGCATCGTCCAGCAACCCGAGCGGCCATCTTGTCGACCGGTTCACCGACTGGTAATTCCGCTCCATCTGCTTTCGCGTTGTGTTAATTAGGTTGATCAGCCGTGGTGGCCGTTCAAGTGCCACGAGTATAGCATCCACTGTTGACTGGATAGCCAGAAACGCTGCCTGAAACATCCCATGAGCGTTGGTCTGTGGCACCGCCAATGCTTGCACGTAAATTGCCGTGGCCTCTTTGTAGCCTGGTGGAAGAAATTCCAGCATGATCACCTCCCTGGCCATCAAAGCCGCTGCATCGTGAAGATCTGTCTGATGTTAGCAACGCTGGCCCTTTTTTTCATTGCAAGGGACACATACCTGTAGTTGCGATTTTCAGGGTGTTTGTTCGCCGCATCACGCTTTTGGTTGAGTAGTTAACACTGCGCACCAGTTCACGTGCGTGGTCCACAAACTGCTCCACCTCGCGGACATCTTTCAGCGGTTCCAGTTCATCCCGTACTTTCTCTGACCGCGTCTCTGCCTTGAGCTTGCTCCTCTGCGCCATCATGTCCGGCTGAATGTCCGGTACAAGGACAAACTCCCACATCATCTCATGTGTCGAAAAGGTCGGATGCAACAGCATCATCCGGAGAAACCAATCCATCCGTACCTGAAGGTCTTTGAGAGTCGCTCTGCTTGGCTTTGACGGGATCTGGAACGGGGACCGGAGGCCGGCGACAGATGGAATCCACGATGCTGGATTTTCAATTGCCAGGAGCTTGGTCAAGTGTTCAAAGTCTGTCAAGGACCGCCGGCAAGTCGTGACAGCATAGCTGACAGGGCTCACGGCCGCACCCGATTTGAGCACAAACCGCACGCTTGCGTCCTCAACAAAGTAGGACCGAACCGCCGCCGTTGTCCGCCCATCCAATTCTGATGGTAAAGACAGTAGAGTCAGGTCGTCAATCTTGTTCCGAACATCGTCGTCTTTAGCAAGCTCCACAGCAGTAAGGCCACGAAGCTCCTTAGCTCCCAAGTCCACGCGTGGGTCGGAAAACAGCGTTCGCACCATGTCAAAGCGTCCGTACTTGCTAGCTACCATTAACGGCGTGAAACGGCGGTCATTGACAGCGTTCACATCCACGTCGCACCGCTGTAGGATTCGCACCGCCAGTTGTGGATCGTTGACGATATGTAGTAGTGTATTTCCTTTCCCATCCACATGGTCGTCCACATGCAGCCGACCACCATCTGTCTGTATCGACGCTGCCATATATAACCCTTCATCTACCATGGCGTGGTAAGAGGCATGGTCATACGACCGGCAGAGTGCAAAGAGGGGTGTCTGGCCATTCTTATCCTTCTGCCGCCACGGCATCATCTTGCCGAACTTCGATATTAAAAATGGTGCATGGAAGAGGTAGTGTGCCACACTGCGACCCCAGATATCCTGCAATTTGAAGTACGCAGTGAGGCGGGCCTGGTCTACTTCGGCCGAGTTGACCAGAAACTGGATCACAACCAAGATCAGGTCTTTGTTACCGAGTTGCACTGCCGCACTCAAAACCGTTGTTTCCTCGTGGTTGACATCGCCTAACACGAAGCTGGGGTGGAAATACTCCTCCAAGGTGAGCAAGTATTCGAGCGCCTCGAGTCGCTCGTTTTGCACTGCCATCATGAGTAACGACTCTCCAAAGGAGTTGTGTGTCTGTGCGAGGCGCTCCACTGATGTATCGCCTTCAACTCCGCTTCCCATCGTGCTTGCAACACTAGTCGCCCGGGATCGATACGAAATCTCGGAGCTACTGGACAAGCTGCGAGTGTCCATGGCTGCCATTTTGACTCGCTTCACAGGAAAATGTGGGAAGCCGTCCACCTCGAAATCGTTGTCGGCGTTGGACTGAAAGGGAAACACATGGCTGAGGCCTGTTCCAGTTGAGAAAGACTCAGCCTCAGACAGGATGATAGAGGACCGGCGTGATGATGCCGATGAACCAGAAGGGAGTCCGCTAGAAAAACTGATCCCGCTCACAGACGGCGGCCATCCGCTACTAGACGGTCGTCGCGAGCCGCCATTTCCGAAGTTCGGTCTTTCTCTGTTTTTGTCATATACGGCGTCTTCATCAATAGCTTTTGAACCAGGTTCCATTATCGCTTTCAGCTCCGTGAGATTTCCCTTAACAGTCGCTTCCCACAATGCCTTGTTCCTTCGGCTCACGCGTCGTAAACCACTGGAGTCGCGTACCAGATAGAGCAGAACGGCTTCAAAGGTACTCAGTGCGTACCCCATCTCACCACTGTCAACATCGTCGATGAAAATGAAATGCCGCATGTAGAGGAACCGTGCGAGGAGATGTCGCAGCTGTGCTCGGATCACCACGTACAGAAGCAATGAGACGAGCGTGTCCGCATTGACCGTCAAGAGAGGCTTTTCCGCTTGGCCAGGGGCAGACATTGACGCTGCACCAGGCTGGCCGCCGCTGTCCCGATCGTCAGGCAGGTTCGTCAAATGGGTGACCAGTTTGACCGTAGACAGTAACAACGCCAACATGTCCTGTGGGCACATAGCTGCGCCCATTTTACGAAATTCCTCCACAGCCCGGCCAAGAGCAATGGTGACCTCGTGTTTCTTTCGTGAACCACCTTCGATATCCATACCCAGCTGCGTTATGTCCACACAGTCCATCTGACGGATTTTGGCCTCGAGTTCTAAGTCTTCTTGTCGCTTGAGAGAACTCAAACGTGGGAAAATGAGATGGTGAACATTCTCGACGACGTAGCGCTCAATCAAGCGCTCTACCAATGGACCAGTCAAGTCTGTTGTTGCACCGAGCAGTGACAGCTGCTGCTTGTCGACGCCTTGGAAAATGTCTATCGCTGTTGTTATCGCTGACTCCAACGATGCCCGCATGGCAAGCTCATCATCTTCTGAGAACAAAACCTCTGAGTCTTGGTCATCGCTGCTGTTGACACTTTTGGAGCTGTTGGCATCACTTGCCGAATTGCTCGTTCTGCTACCTTCAGCACCTGCTGGCCCACTCTTGCTATTGTCCGCAGCGCCGTTGCTATCATAGCTAGTCTTCGCCGGTGTTGTTGGATTTTCCGTCGGTGGTGGTGGCAGACGATGTTCGAAAGCTGCAGTAAATTCTCTAAAAATTTTATCGAGACCCGGCTGCATTTGACGTGCAATTATGGGGAAGTGGTTCAATAGATCATGGAAGCTCTTGATATCTTTTTTGCGCGGTATCGAACCAGAGTCATCAGCATGTTGTTTTGCTCGTGACTGCTCTGGAGACTTGGGTGAGAAAGAGCCGGATGCGCCGGCTGTATCGCGCGTGCCGGTCGAAGAGATACCGTTGATGCCATTACTCGCATTTTCCAACCGTGGCAGAGGAAGAATAGCAGGTGTGATTTTGACCTCTTCCCAGGATCCGATGAGTGGGCGAGACAAGTAGTAGATCAGCCAAGGTTTGGGCTCGAGCGCGTCGGAGTACCATATGGCGTCACCCAGCAAAATGGCATGGTTGAGGGTTTTGAATCCTGAAAGCATTAGTGACAAAGTCTAGCCACAGCAAAACTATGGATGCCTACCCTTGTTGCTGTATACCATGTTGTCTTTGATGACAACACTGCGACCGTTGAACGTCCCATAGGGCTTGGCCTTTCCGCGTATCTCCCGGAGATTGACCACGCCATCCTTTCCACCAGCTGCGTTGGCTGCCGCAGCAGCCACACGAGCATTGGGCATCCGGATGACATGGCTGGCAAGAAATTCTTCAGGGTTCGGAAGCTCCGTAAAGCCGAAGCCAGTTTCGACATCGCGGCAGGTTAGGAGCACTTCGGTCGTAGGAACAAGCAGAATATGGTTGCTGATGGGTGTGCACTGGGAGGGCAAGGCGCTCCTGAAGAAGGCGGCCAAGAACGGGTTCAAGGGCGACGGCATTCCGTCGGCGTTCTACTTTGCCTCTTCCCGCGACGGGTCCTCACGACCGCAGCCTGTGGCATGAGGGCGCGGGAGGCACGCTTGTCAGAAGAGGCACTTCGGCTGATGCGCTTTTCGAAGATGTCCCCGAGCAGATGGTCGGGAAGTTGAGAGAAAGACGAAGGGGTGTAAGATAGGAAAAGTCGAGAACGGAACGCGATTGTCGCGCAGGAGAGCTTCGCACAGGTAGTTAGTGGCGGAGACGATTTGTCGCCGGAAGATATCGTCTGTCTGGTCGCTGAGATGCTGGAAGACACTTTGTGGCGATTCGGATTGTCTGGTTGTCCAGCAGAAGACGCTTTTTCACGTGTGCCCTTTTAAAATACGGTGTTTGCTCGTCTCCTATCGACAAGGTCGAGTCAGTTGCTCTTTCCCTCCTTTAGCAGAAAGGAGGATAGGACGAGTTGCGAAATAGTAGGCCAATCATAGTCCTAGCTGTCTTGAAGGTCTTGGATACAGGGGCGCTATCGATTTGAGTTACCTATAGGCTATAGGGCTCTGCTGGGCCCACTATTTTTCTAAACTGCCACAATTCATAGGTCTTCCGTAATGATGATAGTAGGCAACAGCTCTGCAATGGAAAGATGCGGATAACAGCCGATACCGGGTCGTAGGGACGGGGATTAGGCACAATTTACCTAGAAAGATACAACCACATAAAACGTGTCAATGTAGATATCAGCACGAAGCACAACCCCGCTCTGTATAGGGATGCATTGGGAAATGTCAAGATCATGACTGCATAGTAGTGATAAGGCATTGGGTGATTTCATCTCTCTCATATGCCCCTAATCCTTCTTCAACGGCAGAACGACCTCCTCAATACCGTCCTTTGTCACAACCAGCATCTGCAGGTAGTCGCCTACCTCAATATGACGCTCCACTGCGCCATCAAAGGCATCCTTAACCAGCTCCTCCACATCATTTCGTGGCAGTGGCACGCGCGGCCGCTCCATCAGATCATGGCCAATGCCACTCCCTGGCACATATTGGTTCTTGAAATTAACCTGGTTGTCCAAGAAAGGCGTAATCAAGCTCGCCGCTGCACCACCAGCCCGGGATTGCTCTCGTTCATAGCTACCGACAGGGTCGTAGCTGTAAATTGCACCGATACCATCTTCGTCAAGACCACCCAGAATCGCATGTGTGTAGTACGGAAAAAACCGCTTCTGGTAAAGGATAGTCGACAGACGCTTGGCGCATGCATTGACGCTGATGGGCTTGCCGTGACGGTAACGGTACATCTTGCATATAGTGTCGAGACGCTCCTTCAACGCTTCGCCGTCAGCGGCGAACCCGACCACAGACAGAACGATTCTGGCATCGTGCTGATCGGCAGTAGAGCCGCCAATTTTGAAGACCTTCGGCGAGAAGCGACTGTTGATTGAGTAGCCGGCAGTATGGCGAGTGTCGCCGGCTACAATGGCGAAGTCGGCACCAGCGATAGCCAGGGTAGTGCCTCCGTTGTCGGTGTACCTGTATTGAGACTTCGTGAGTATATAATGAGGACTAGAGGCGGGGGTGATTAAACGAGGAGAGATGCACATACGGGTCAAAACGATGTTGCCGCGCACCTTCCGGGGCCTGCACTTTGGGTGTGTCCGAGAAAGAATAGCTCGGGCCATTCATGACGGGGTTTTCACTGTATGCAATAGCCATGATGAGAAGCTCAGGCCGAGACGGTTATTTAGGAGTGTGGGTAACAGCGAAATTGTGATCGCGATGGCTGAAAGTTGAAGCTCAGGACGGAGGATTGTTAGCCAACGCGTCCGCCTGGCAGCCTTGCAGGGATAGCTTTGATGAGTAAGCAATAGATCACGTGTATATTCAGGGGCTATATCGCTTGTAATTGGTCAGACTTTGGTTCCAATTAAACCGACTACAAAGAGAAGGAGCTTGCAGTGGCCATCTACGACTGTAGTTTGTTGCGTTTTCTCGCGTTGCTTCGACTAAAACCACCGAACTATACGTTTCTAAAGCATGCAGACGAGAGTTTCGAAACCCACAATCTAGGCCTCCTCTACAGCTCGTCGGCCGTGTGTTCAGGACTCGCTGAACTGATTTTTATTGCTGGTATCTCCATTCCCTCGAGCCGTAACACGCGTTCAAGATGGTGTCTCTTCGCCAGCGTGCGCTGGACAAAATTGCAGCTCTTTCGGCTACGAACTCTGAAAAGCCTTTTGAAAAATCCGACCTGGATCGACTCTGCAAAGCTTGTCCCAACCATATCAGGGCTCGCGATGGCACGAATGGTTACGCCTCACGGCAGCCAGCCTCTCTTGCTGGCCGTGTCCCCATGGTAGGTGGAGGTTGAGATTCGAGAACGCAGCTATTGTCACCGGACAGATTTGTGATCGCTAGTATTTCGCGATTGCAGACGAAACTGATACATTATTAGACCATCCGCGAATTCGAGGTTCTCATGGCGCTTTGCAAAGCCGCCCCCCTAATCCAAGTCGGCCAAGGCGCCCAAAGGCTCACCCGGCAATTGATTCCCTACATGATGGACTCCCATATCCAGAACTTCTCCCCGTCTCCATTCTTTCGACATGTTGAACCATCTCCGGCCGAATCCCTTGCTTTCCATGTGACGGCCGCACTCCTAGCGCTTGGCATCAATCATATCGACATTCACGAAACTGTGTCTGATAGTATCTGGGCCTTTTTGAATGCCTGCTCCCGTACGACCGATAATATTCTCCCATCTACGTCTTCGATGCATGCCAACGGCAATGGGGCTGCTCTAAACGAATCAGACGACGGCAATGTAGAAGATGCCATTCGTACGGCGACCATAGCAGTGGCGCTTCTAGGCTTCCTCAACGCTGCTGCCGCGCAGGCCGAGTTCTGGCGCTCTGGCGGTCGCCTGGCTCTTGTTTCACGACTTCGGAAAATGCTTTCAGAACCGTTTCTAGTCGCCGTTGAGACTGCCTTTTCGACTATCCGCAACTCTCACTCGTCTGACCGTCTTACGAAAGAATGGAAACGAAACCTGCGACACTATTCCGAGATGGGTCGCCCGCTCGGTGCAATGCTACTTCAGCAGAGTTTCATGCAATTACTCGTGGCAGCGACATCACTTTTGGTGGCTGAAGTACCAGCCTTGCATCGGAGCCACGTGCTGGACCTTTTGACTTCAGGCGATGGCCTGCTCCGACCTATGACTGCCGGCAGTGGCGATATCGATTTTCAGTCAGTCGAAGTTTACACCAATGCCGTCGTCGACCAGATGAACTACCTTGACGCTAGCTCCGACTTCATCCGCTTGGGTTCGACAGCTCAGCAGAAGCTGTCCCTGTCTGTGAAAGCGTCGGCCCTGGTCAGCTATCTGATTTGCTCCCGGCTGAAAGGGGATGCTGCCGACGCCGATACTCTCATGGGCTGGCTCGAAGACACGTTGGCAGATCCAGGACAAATGGCCGACGAAAGTCTGGCTGCAGTCGTGCTGAAATCCATGGCTCTGGTCTGCAAGATCTCCCCGGTATATGCGGCCAACGTTGGAAAGCTACTTCCCCGGTACATCGTTCAAAGTGGCGCTCAGGGGGTGTCTATTGACATCGCTTCGTCAAGCCTGGCATCTGTGTTGCATATGATGTCCGCTGACGCCATAATAACCACGTTATACACTCTCGGCAATGTGCTCAGTCCCAATACCGAACGCTCCCTAGCCAATGGTGTTGTCGATACTACCGGCGATGTCGGCCAGGTCATGGCCAGCAACGGCCAGGATGGCACGGCACAGATCTACCAGGGTCGACAATCGACCGGGAGCTCGATCTCTTTGCGAACCCACGACGATGAAGAGGCCTCTATCATTTACGCCAACGTGGTACAAGCCATTTGCGGTATTGCTGGCGCTTGCAAAGACACAAAGATCAGTGCCCTTGCACAGTCTATGCTGCTGCAGAAAGTGGGCAAGATCAACAATGCTGTCGACGCAGAGATCATCCCAGCTGCTGCGGTTCTGGCTTTGAGTAGCGGCCAGCCCGAGTTTCGCTCTCTGCTCAAAACGTATACGCGCATCACACACCTTGCTACAGTTGAGAACAAAACAATTGTTCTAGATGCGGTGAGTTAGAACAAACGCAGACATTTCTGACTTCTGAATAGCACAATGGGAACTAACTTGCTAAGATAATGATTGCCCGGAACTACCTGTCCTCTCATCTTTGTCGAGACTCTCCTCTGTACGAGATCTACTGGGAGCATATGATGGACGACATTATATCCAAAGGTGATGTGCACCAGACACACCATGCCAAGGAGTCGGATATTGAGCTGGCCGCACGGGAAATTTCGCAGCTACTACAGCCAGTTGCTGTGTTGATGTCAGTCAACAACCTGGCTCTCGACAGCTTGCGCGATGATGATGCTCACGCCCTGATCCGTGATGCCTGGTTCAATATTGTCATTCACGGCTTCACAGCAGCAACCGATCGTGGCAAGAAATACATCAACGAACTGCGGCTAATCGCTGTGCATTCGCCGCCTCTGGTGGCCGAGCAGCGTGGCGAACAGGTTGAGAGCGATATCGAGCTCAACACGGTACTACGCCGTGGCATGAGTTCGGAACGAGAAAACATGCAGAAGAAGCATTTGTCTGAACTGGTGCCTGGCAAGGCGTCAGAGGTTCGGAGCCTTAGCTACCGCAAGGTCATGTTCTTGCAAGCTGCATATCTTGTCGAGAGTTTACGCGCCGACGCCGGCGACTGTACCAAGGCCATTTCATATTTCCTGGAACCTAGTGCTCGCCGTGGTGATGTTAGTAGCATCATGGAAGGAATCACGACAATTGTTGTCGACAAATGTGTGACGAAGACATTGTCAGGTGCCGATGTCAGTTTCTCGGCCCAGTTTGCTGCCACACAGCTGGTCTCGCTCTTTTGCAGCTGCTGCCACCGCATTGAGCGTGTCCAACAAGCAGCATACATGTGCGCAGACCGGATCATTCGCGACGTGCCGTCGGCTCTGTGCCACAAGTCGTCGCTCTTTGCCTTGTTGGAATTGCTGTCGCTGATGTGTTTAAGCTGCCTTGAGGCAGAGACCAACATGTACGAGCCGCGCAGCACGTTCCGGTCGGAGCGTAGCAACATCACTATTGAGCTGTCAGACGATTATGCGCTGCGGCGGCTCACGTTGAACACGCTATACAAAAAAGCAAAGACTTGGATGACAGGCGTCATCAGTCTGGCACCGGCCGATGTCAAGGGCTTGTTGCAGACCTATCTGTCTGAGTGGGATGACAATGGTACTTATGGCCACATATCTTTTGGCCGGTCGTTTGCGATGGAACTTGGGTTTTCTATACCGGCAAGCAACCAACGACTGTCATCGCTGGATCGCATCGGCGAGTGCAATATCAACATGGCATCCGACTTTGTGGCCCAATACACCGCACGCCAAGAGTATCGCTATGCAGAGCCGCTGTCGGACCGCGGCCTAGAGTGGCTGAGCTTTATGGGGATGGATCGCCGCTCGTCTCTTCTACCCAACCCTGACGCCGAAAGTGCCGACGCAGTCAGTGCTCTGGCACATATCGAGAGTCGCCTGTTGCAGAAGAAGCCGACACCAATGGCGGATGTGAGCGATATCCTCAGGCGGGCAGCGTCGGTACTTTGCCGCAGCCAGGACGACCAGTGCTCCATTGCGCAGTTTTTGGTCAGCATCCCATTTTCAATGTTCACGAAGCAGTCAATCAAACTGGGCGTTTCGCTGTGGCTGGGCGTGATCAACGAAAACCCGCGCATGGAGCCGCGCATTCTCTACACTGTGTTGCAGCAGTGGGAGCTGACTGTACAGAAGCGGCAGGGGCTGTTCAGCACTGCCGTTGTCGACAAAGACCCGTTCCTTGTCAAGATGGAGTTTTCCCCGAGTGACAGCACGTCGATGGCCAAATACCAACAACGTGCGCATAACATGTTGGCGCCACACACGCGGCTGTTGCAATTTCTGCGGAGCCATTTCAATGCCACCCGACTGGGCAGCGTGGATATCCAAAAAGCTTATCTGCGCATGCTGGATGTGACTTTGGATGCAGCCAAGATACTGACAAACACGCACCCTATGGCTCGCGAACTGTGGTTCCAGGCTGTGCTGTTCGGACTGCATGTGTTGCGCACCAGTTCAACAATTAGCCCCGTTGCACAATGGCGCCTCAAAGACAAGCTACTCTCAGCTGCACTGAGCTGGTTTGCCAGCCCGCCCAAGTGGTCATTTGGCAGCAACAATCTGCAGCTGAAGACGGAAATTCGACTACTGGCCGACGTGGCAGTGGCGGTCAAGGCCGCTAGCTACATTGGCCTGCATCAAGTCAGCAATAGCCTCAAGTCGCTTGTGGCAAAGGAGCAGCTTCTGCTTTTGCTTTTAGAGAATGAACAGGCGCGGCTTTTCGTCTGGGTCTATCCATTGGGCGAGCCACCCAAATCACCGTGGAACATTGCTCAGACGGGCAAGGGGATGGTAGATGTAAGGGTTGAGTGATGCTTCAAGGTGCTGCAAGAACCGCGTACTAATCATAATATATATAGGCACTGGAACCTTTGGTTCGCACAGCGTGGCAAGAGAACCCCTCTTTGGCCGTACAGCTAGCTGCCCGATTCTCGAACGTTCGGATTCAGAAAGCTGTTCGTTGGCTGCTTTTGAACTTCCCGTCCAGGGCCATAGACGAACCTGCAGCATCGTCAATCATTCTTGATAAAGCCCTTCCCAGTGATGTGAGCTTCCAGCTAAAGGTAACCAATTCCCAGTTCGATCTCATCATTGGCAAATGTTCAAAGTGCTAACTAATTTAGTACATGCTATATTGGGCACCGGTCAACCCCATGACAGCTGTGGCATACTTCCTGCCAGTCTTTGAGAACCACCCGTTCCTCATCCAATATGCCATGCGGGCCTTGGAAAGCCATCCGGTGGATATTACGTTTTTCTACGTTCCGCAGATTGTACAGACGCTCCGTTACGATGCGCTAGGCTACGCTGAACGCTACATCCTCGAGACGGCACAATTTTCGCAGCTCTTTGCCCATCAAATCATCTGGAACATGAAGGCCAATGCCTACAAAGATGACGAAGCTCTAATCGTGGGTCTCTCTCCATCTGCCTAATACTGGTATACAGGCTAACAAACCAGCCCGACGCTATCAAACCGACCCTGGACCATGTCATGACACAGATGACCACATCTTTCTCGACCGTCGACCGCCAGTTTTACGAGCGCGAGTTCACATTTTTCGATGAAGTCACGGGCATCTCTGGCAAATTGAAGCCATTCATCAAGAAGTCAAAGCCAGAAAAGAAGCAGAAGATTGAGGAAGAACTGCGCAAGATCAAGGTCGAAGTAGGCGTGTACCTTCCAAGTAACCCAGATGGTGTAGTTATCGGCATCGATCGCAAATCAGGAAAGCCACTACAGAGCCACGCCAAAGCACCCTACATGGCAACGTTCAGGATCCAGAGATCCAAAACGGGAAGTGTCGAGGAATTGCTGGAAGATGTCAACGAAAATGCGGCTATAATGGCTGCAGGCAACAGCAACGGCGCACTCGTGAAAGCATCCGCCAAGATTAATGGAAACGGAGCCATAGAAGCAGTCAACGGCAGCGCCGGCGCAAATGATGAGCTTGCTGGCGACCATAACACTATTGAGGTGTGGCAGTCGGCCATCTTCAAAGTGGGTGATGACTGCCGGCAGGATGTTCTCGCGCTGCAGATGATCTCTGCTTTCCGGGGCATTTTCCAGAGCGTCGGACTGGACGTGTATGTGTTCCCGTACCGGGTGACGGCAACGGCGCCTGGTTGTGGTGTGATCGATGTGTTGCCCAACTCGGTGTCTCGAGACATGCTGGGCCGTGAGGCGGTGAACGGGCTGTATGAGTACTTCATCTCAAAGTACGGCAACGAGAATTCGTTGAGCTTCCAGGCGGCGCGCAGCAATTTTGTGAAGAGCATGGCAGCCTACTCGGTCATTTCATTCCTGCTACAGTTCAAAGATCGACACAACGGCAACATCATGATTGACGACGCAGGCCACATACTGCATATCGATTTCGGCTTCTGTTTTGATATCGCGCCTGGTGGCATCAAATTTGAGCGGGCGCCTTTCAAGCTCACGGCAGAAATGGTGGCAGTCATGGGTGGCAGCACTGATCACCAATCGTTCCGGTGGTTCGAAGAGCTGTGCATCAAGTCATTCCTGGCGGCGCGGCCTTTCACAGAGAAATTATCGCAGATCGTAATGCTCATGATGGACAGTGGGCTTCCATGCTTCAAGCCAGAAACGGTACAGCACTTCCGAGAGCGATTTGTGCTTGAGAAGACAGAGCGGGAAGCAGCCGACTTTATGCGCGACCTCATCAAGAAGAGCTACGCGAGCTACTCGACCGGTCTGTACGATCAGTTCCAGTGGATGACGAATGGTATTCCGTACGCATCGAGTTAGTGGAAGATGGCGGGCGGAAGACTGAGAGGGAAAAAAGCACGAGCAAGAAGAGCAGAAGGGAGCAGAGTTATAGAGTAGATTAGATACAGTTTGATTTCGGCCTAACTAATAATATATTTCCATCAGACTTCACTACCAGCAAACGGCTGCTGGGAAATAGCGGTTGTGGTAGAAGTGAAAGGTAGGCTAATCGGTCCAAGAGAGCGAAAAACACGAGTGGCTATGTGAAACGCTAGTAATACTTTTGAGGTAGCCAACAAGGGTGTTACGCCTGCCACATTCGATGCTCACTTCAAATGATCAGCCTTGAGCATGAGCTGCCTATTTCCGGCTTGGCTTGGAAGGAGCGTCCGCGCATATGTGGAGCATTTCTTGGTGCACATCGTGAAAATGACCAACCCGTTGTAGCAATTAACCGCCACTAACATTTGTCTCCTCTCCTTCGCATATTCTGTCGCGTACTTGACCTGCCTCCGCTTTTGTTTCTATTCACAAGTACGACGTACAACCCATATTTTGAGAGCGGCATGAGCCTGTTCGGCGGTTAAGGTCAACACGACGCTATAGAAACACCAAATAGATTAAACCAAGCGAGCAATAATACACGACTAACCAGTAATATGACACATGCATGCACAGCTGTGCACAGCTGGAGTACAGCATGTATGCCCGGCGGCAGTTCCGGGTTAAGTGGCTGTACATAAACCCATGCAGCGTTACAATCTCCCAGCAAGCAAAGCGGCTGATTGGGCTGCTGCGACTGGCAGCCGGCCCATTTGCAAAGCCACCTGATAGCCAGACACGTCGCAGTGCATACTTTGCGACAAATAACATATGAGAACGCATCGATCATACCAACTAGGCAGAAATTCAGGATGGGGCACAATAATATCCGCCACGGCTCCGATATTGAGCCCAGGATATGTAGTTCTGTGGTCCCTTGATATGGCCCAAGAAGAGTTGTCTTCTTGTTGAGTAAAATGCCAGGCTTCTCCATTCGATGATGCAAACTTCAAAGCTCACTAGAGAAGACTAAGAGGTAGTCATGGGGCTCTATAGGAAGCTATTTAAAAAGATAAAGCACGGTGCCTCATCGACAACATCCGGCAGCTGTGCCCCAGAGACGCCTCGTCCACGACCGCACACGTCAGATACAGAGGATCCTGAGCAGGCCTCGGACACACTATTGCCGCCCAGTCTCTGGAGAGATGCAGCCAGCCAGTTAACCCCCAAAGAGCAAGCAAAATTAGAGGCTCTATTGAAATCAAAATGTGTCGCCAAAGACGGCCAGGGGCTAAACCCAACCTTGGCAGATATCGACCGTGTGATCTCAAAGACAAAAGAAATAAAAGATGAAAACAGGATGACAGCCTGGCGTCCGGTGAGACTGGGTTTTCTTTTTTTTTGCATTTATATGAAGCATCATGAGGTGTGCATGAACTCATACGCCTTTCTTTCAGCTTCTGGACAAGATCACCAAAGCGGCGATTGTTGTGAAAAAAATAGGAGACACTGCCGCCGAGCTAGATAAGTCTGGTTACGCAGCTGTCGGATGGTCTGTTGTGTCTGTCGGCTTGCAAGTGGCCACCAATGCGGAAACGGCGCGCCAGTTTGTCCTTTCGAGTTCCGAATTTACAACGTCTCTCCTAACACGATACGCAACATATGAGACCGAGCTCCGTGGACCACACGCCGGATACGAGTTTGACAATCGCATAAGAAATGTTTACAAGGCCATATTGTTGTATTTAGTAGCACTAGATGCTTTCTTGAATCGATGTGCAGCTGGTAAGATATCTATCTCTACGTTCTATATTTTGCACTAATAACGAATCTACTGCCAGGACGAATCGGACATGCATTCGGGAAAATCGAAGACCGCACCATCTCCCAGAAAAAAACGGCGATTGACGAAGCCGACAAAGAAGTAAAGGACTGGATTCCCATCGTCCAGCTCAAAAGCCAGAATCACGGATTCTCGCAGCTGCAACAGAAATCGGACAGCAATCCGTCTCCCGCACCGCTACCAACAAAGGACTGCTCCATGTCGCTCGCATTTGAAAAGATGGACGAACGATTTGGAGGAATGGACACAGCCAGAGATGGCACATGTGATTGGCTGTTCCGACACTCTGTGTACAAGGACTGGGCTGCAAGCAGCAGTGGCTTGCTCTGGATTAAGGGTAAACCGGGATCTGGCAAGTCCACGTTGCTCCGTTTCGCCCTCAGCAAGTTCATTTCTGACTCTCTATCCCAACACAATCATACCGACATCGACGACCATCCCCCTCCTATTTTGCTGTACTTTTTCTTCCACGGACGTGGTATCGAATTACAAAAGACGCTGATCGGCCTCTTTCGCACTATGCTGTACCAGCTGCTCAAAGAGGCTCCCGATTCCTTGCAAGAACTTGTCGAGACATATCAAGACCGTTGCCAGAGCAGAGGCAAGCCGGGGAAAGAGTGGCACTGGCAGCTAAAAGAGCTCCAAGATTCTTTGCTACACGCACTACTCTGTGTTCTAAAAGTCCGGCCAGTACAACTATTTGTTGACGCCCTCGACGAAGGTGGCAGGCAAAATGCTTGCGATGCCGTGGAGTGGTTCAAGCTACTACTGAAGCGCATGTCTGCCGCCGATACTTCAAATTCTAGCTTTCCGTGCCATGTCTGCTTCACTTGTCGTCATTACCCCATCCTCAGCCTAGATGGTGGATTTCAGATATGCGTTGAGCACGAAAATGGCCAAGATATCTCGACGTATGTGCACGATCGGCTATCAAGCTCCCGTATATCACCCGAGCTCATTATACAAAGAGCCAATGGCGTCTTTCTGTGGTGTCGTCTTGTTCTGGATAAAATCATACCGGGTGAGATGGACGGGGATGGCGACATCGAAAAGCAGATCGAAAGCACACCGCCACATCTCGATGATCTATACCTCAATCTTATAGACACCGTGGACAAGGAAAAAAGAGCAATCTCGCTACGGCTGATGCAGTGGGTATGCTTCAGCGCTAGGCCACTGACCTTGGATGAAATGCGTTGGGCCCTAGTCGTGAGCGCGCAATGTCCACATCCTTCCCTGGAGCAGTGCGAGTCTGACACAGACTATGCGCCTAACAACGAAACTTTGAAGAGAAAGCTGAAGCGTTTAGGATGTGGTCTCGTGGAGACAGTGCTGTCTGTCGAAGATGAAAAGGTTGTGGAGATCGTACAATTCATTCACCAGTCAATCAAGGATTTTTTTTCAAAGGTCGGCTTGCGAGCTATGACGGGCGATAAAACGACATCGAACACAGGCATCGTCGACACCTCGGGTTCTGAAAAGGCCATAATCAACGTGGTCTCAGCAGCCCACTATCATATATCTAGGTCCTGCCTGCGGTATTTAGGGATGGAAGAGTTCGACGAATCGAACATGCTCTTCTTTGGTGAGCGTGACCAACTAGTCCGAGCTTTCCCCCTGGTACAATACGCCGCAACACTGTGGGAATTTCATGCCAGGGAGACGGAAGAAAGCGAACAGGCCGACATTCTGGAATATTTCTCCTGGCCCTCGGACACTATGCTTGAGGACTGGATGCGAATACGTTTGCTTTTGAACGCACACCCGAGAGACCGCCTGCCACACAACTCTAGCTTGATGCACGTGGCAATATATAGTCGCTTGCCAGGACTATTGCGAGCACTTGTACAGAAAGCGCTCGCCGTTGGTTTTGATATCGACCTTGGGGACTCTGGAGGGGACTCGCCGCTGCTTGTGGCTGCCCAAACCGGACAGGAAAATGCGATACGGCTTCTGCTAAATACGGGTGAGGTCGACGTCAACAGGCAAGGCCGAGACGACTACACACCACTGTCGTGGGCAGCGAGCGAGGGTTATGTATCCATTGCTAAGCTTCTTCTCGGGATGGAGGCGACAAATATCCACTTAGAGGACAGCATTGGATGTACACCGCTAGCACTAGCAGCCATAAATGGTAGCAAGGTCATCGCACAAGCTCTGCTCGATGCTGGAGCTGTTGTCGACTCGAAGGATCATGACGGCGACACCCCACTCAAGGCGGCCGCAGAACATGGAAATGTGGAAGTTGTAAAGCTACTTCTGGACACTGGAGATGTGGACACAAAAATCGAGGATCGAAACGGCTGGACGCCGTTGGTGTGGTCTGCTAGGAACGGCCACGACCCCGTTGTGCGGCTGCTTCTCAGAATGGGTAATCCTGATGTCGACCACAAGGACATATATGGTCGCACCGCACTGTCATGGACGGCAGAATATGGACACTCGACAGTGGTATGGACACTCGTCAACGTGGGCAAGGCCGACATCAACACGAAGGACGACGAGGGAGCAACACCGCTTTCATGGGCTGCTAGAGAGGGACAGGGTACGGTTGTGAGTGTGCTTTTGCTGCACAAGGAGATTGATGTCGACTGCAAAGACTGCGAGGGCCGCACAGCGCTCTTCTGGGCAGCCAAGGCCGGCAGCGAGGCAGTTGTGCGGAGGCTCCTCGAGACAGGCAAAGCGGACGCCAATGTGACGGACAAAGAGGGCGACACCCCACTGTCGGTGGCAGCCAAGAAGGAGCACCATGGCGTTGCGCAGCTGTTGCGGCCGTTAACTGCGACTCGCCCTCCCCTCAATGAACGAAGCAACAGCATTTCGCCAAACGAGGAGGACAATGCGACCGAAGTTGGAGAGAGTCCTTCGGTAGATGGCGGCAGCCTGACGACGGCTGGAGACAGCTATATATCTGTCAAGGACCGCTTCTCGGCAGTCGATGTGAGCTTTGCGGCAGTCAAGAACACCAGATTTGTGGCGGCAAAAGACAAGGATGACAATGTGGTTTCGTCAGTTGAAGCACCATTAGCGGCCATCTCGATTCAGGCGGCATAAAAGCGTAAATTGTGATCTGATAGTGAGCACAGCAGATTGGGAAGTTGATTGGGATTTAGCAGAGCATTTGTATCTCATTTTGGAGTCGGGAGCATATTTATTGGATTAATCTGTAGCATATTCATAGAGTTTCAAGCCTGTTCAATCGATCTTTGTTCGCGGTAATGATAGTCGGGCTTTCACAATCACGAGGCTGTGCTGCTGACTCTTTGTAAGGAACAAGGCTGAGAACTACCAAACAGCCTTCTACGCGAGTGCCCCCCGGCCCGACTCGACTGCCTGCAGCTATACAGGACTGGTTCGTTCACCAGAGGGAAGGTTGCAGCCTGTTGGCTCCTGCCATCAATTACAGTTACATTTCATTTGGAGATAGTTCGACATCTGAGTGCCTTCGCAGGCTTGTCAACCAACAATACGTCCCCCCACACACGTTGCATCTCCTTCAGATTTCGTTCAGGACCATGGGTGGCGCAGCATTTTCCAGCGGGCCCGATCCGCTGAATACACCGCGAATGTCTCCGGCGGTCTACGAGGCGGTGCGCGAGCGCTGCCATCGAGTGCTGCGCGAGGTGTTTGTGGCGGTGGCGACGCCGATCGAGGGGCCGGGCAAGACGGACTATGGCGACGTGGATGTTTTGGTGGCGGTAGGGCGCGAGCCGGACAGCGAGGGTGACGAGGGCCGGCTGCGGGAGGCCGTCCGACGGCTGGGCGCAGAGCGTGCCATTCATGTGCCGAGCAAGGCGACGGTGGCCTTGCCGTGGCCGGAGAGAGAAGAGGACGAAGCCGCTATTCGCCACGTGCAGGTCGACCTCGCGGTGCTGCCGTCGCTGGCGGCGCTGCAGTGGGCGCTCTTCAAGCACGCACACGGCGACTTCTGGAACGTGTTGGGCACGGTGCTGCGGCCGCTGGGACTGACGATCGACGAGACGGCGCTGTGGTTGCGCGTGCCCGAGATCGAGCAGGCGAATCGGCGGCGGGCGCGGGTGTTTCTCAGCAGCGATCCGGCCGAGGTCTTGCACTTTCTCGGGCTGCCCGTGTTGGGAGGAGGTGGTGAGGAGAAAGGAAGCGAAGGAGGCGAAAGCAGCAGCGAAACGGAAGAAACCCAAAGAACCCAAAGGACCAAAAGCACCAGAGGTTCCGATCCAGACGGTCCTCTCTCGCTGTGGGAGCGTCCCTTTGCCGATGCCGACTCGATGTTTGCATACGCCGTCCGGTCGCGCTTCTTCGTGCTGCCACCCGATGACAACACCATCGGCACCGACGACACGCACACGTCTCTTCCCGGTCGCAGCAAGGCCAACGACCGTCGTCGACTGCGATACCGTCCCGTCTTCCGCCAGTGGGCCACCGACTTTGTCCCGGCATACCGTCGCCGCTTGGCCGTCGAGGCCGTCGAGACGTCGTCCCCCACGCCCACTCGCGCCTCCGTCCGCGATGCCGCGTTTGCGCGCTTCGCCGATGCCGGCTGCCGCTACCACCACACACGGACAGCCTGGCTGGCTGAGCGCCGTGCCGTCGACGTCTGGGCTGCTGCCAAGGCTGCCGTGCCGGCCTCACTGCCCGGGCGTTACCGGTCGGCGGCGTGTGCGGCCATACGGCGACGGCTGGACGAAGGCCCGGATCCGGACACAGTGCCAGACATGACCACAAACGACGCCCTCGAGGGAATGACCGGCCTCGCGGCCTGGACCGTCGATCAGGCCGTCGCGTTCGTCACCACCCACTGGCAGACACTGGCCGCGGAGGTTGCGCCGGAGGAGCACACACACTATCTGAGCGCCAGCAAAGCAGAGGACTAAGCGGAGAAACACAATCGTGACAAACTCAGATAATTGAAACTCAAATAAAACAAGACGCGTCTTGCTGCTTCTAATAATGATTATCATAGGCTCATATGCTCCTTCCTCGGAACCGGCGACGCTCCTTCCTAGAAGTCTGCAACTACTACCCGCACAATGGCCAATTTGGCTGTATACGCTCCTTCCTCTCTGATTCCCCATCCCCATCCCCATCCCCATCCCCATCCAAATTTCTCTTCCCAATCCCTCCAAAATGCTCCCAATTTCGCCTCCTTTCCATCTCTCCATCTTCTTTCCGTCCACAGCTACCACCTCTATCCCCCATCACCACCACCCCGCGTGCTCATCATCTGGCATGCTCTCCACCTCGACGGCCTCGTCGTCGTCCAGGTCGCGGCCCTCCTCACGCGCCCGCTCGCGCGCCTCTCGGGCTTGTCTCCATTCCTCTAGCCTCGCTCGGGCTTCTTCAGGCGCCGTCCAAGGCGCCACGAGCCCGTGCTTCTGCAGCCGTCGCCGATGACGACGCTTCTCGTCAAACGAAAAGTACGTCGGATCGACCAGCCGGATGTCCGTGCCCGTGATCGTGTCCCACACATCGGCTGCCCAGTCGCCCAGCTCTTCGCCTGTCCACGATGCCAACGTTCGTCCCCGTCCACCCGCCAGCCACTGGTCCAGCTTCACCGGCAACGCCGCTCCAAACGACGGGTCGTCGGGCGACCACTCGCACATCTTCGCACTGCCTGCACACACCTCAGGCCGGCAGTACAGCGCACACACCGTACCCTCCATCGCCAGCCACACCGCCACCATTGCAACCAGCATCCCCACAAGCGTCAACTGCCCCTGTCGAAATAGCCGCGGCAACGAGATCCGCACGTACGTTGCCCCGTCTGTCGTTTTCAGCACCGTTGCTTGCGGGGCCACTTCTTTCTTCACCTCCTCCACTTCCGGGCGCAAAACCTCTTTCTTCACCTCCACCCTCGAGTCCGGCGCTTCAATCTTCACCTCCACACCCGAGCCCACAACCTCTTTCTTCTCGCTCGCGTCTGACTGCACCACCGCTTTTTCCAGCTTCGAGCCCACACTCTGCCGTCTGTGCTGTATCGTTGGCACAATTGCTTCTTTATCCGCCTCTTTCGCCTCTTCCGCCTCTTTCTCCATCTTCTTCACCATCTCGGCCTCCTCCTCTTCCTTCTCCTTCTCCTTCTCCTCGTTTTCAACCTTTTCCACCATCTCCTCCTCCTCCTCTTCCTCTTCTACCTCCTCCTTTGCCGTCCCATTCTCCCTCCCCCCCACCTCCGTTATCATCTTCTCCTGCAACACCCGGTCCGACAGCCCCTCGATACCGCTCCGCGCCCGCTGGAGGTCCAACAGACTGGCCGTCACCGAGCTCGTCATCCACCGCAGCCGCTCCGGCGTCACCGTGTTGCGGTCCCCCTCCTCAGCCTCCGGACCTCGCTGCGATGCGTGCCGTCTCAGCAGCTCGTCAAAGTTGTCCAGCGTCGGGTCGTCCGCCTGCTGCGCCTGCTTGATCTCCAGCAGATCGTCGTGCGCGCTGGGCGGCTTGGCCGAGTTGATCACCGGCCGTCGTTCTGCCCGGGGCAGCGACCGTGACCGTTGTCGCAGCTCGCTCGCACTGACGCTGCTGGTCACCACACTTCCGTTCTTGCTGCTGACAGTGCTGCTGGCCCTCTTGCGAAAGAGAGAGGCCATGTAGCCAACTGGCTGCTGCTTTTCTGCCTCCTCGACCGTCTCTTGCACCCTCTCTGTCCTCGTCGTCATCGGGGTCTCCACATAAGCGCCAGTGACCCGTGGCGTCGGCTGCATTAGCGGATCGATGATCTTGCGCGCCCGCGGTGTCGCGTCATCAGCTAGCACCTTGTCTCCGTTGCTCTTAGCGCCACCGTTGACAATCGCCGCGATGGCCGCCGTTGCTTGCTCATCCAATGGCGACGGCGCCCGGATCGACCCTTTCTCCGAGTGGTTTTCTCCTGGCGCAAACAGTCTCATCTCCGCTTCGATCCGGTCGAGCGCGTCGCCCTCCGAGATTGCCACACTAGACCGCTTTGCTACAGTGTCGCCCGACGACATTCGCCGCATTCCCGCAAAGCCCACCGACGGCCGCAGCGTGTCCGTCTCAAGTCCTCCATCACCGCGCAGGCTGCTGACGCTCTTAATCTCCCGCAACCTTCTGGTGTTCTTAAGCGCCGGTTGCAGTTCCTTAGAGTGCTCTTTGCCCGGCCCCGAGCCCGTTGGGCTTGTCAGCGTCGTCACGCGCGCCAGCGAGCGCAGCAGCTCCTGCGACTCGTTTCGCGAGTGCACCGACTGCACCGACTGCGAAGATAACGGCGACAGCTTCCGAAGCCCGTCGACCTCCACCCTTTTTCCATCCTCGCCACCGGCCTGGCTGCGGTCCTGTGATTTTGCTCGGAGGACTGAGCCAGTCGTCTTGGCAACGCGCTTGCCCTCGACATCCAGAAAGTTGCCGGCACCTTCTGGCCTTCCGTACCCTTCGGCAACGACTCCAGTTTCGGCGGCAACCTCTTCGACGGTCCGAAGCTGCTCCTGGCTGGCCCTCTGTCCCATGCTCTCCCGTGACGGCGCCCGGTATCCTGCGTTGCGCTCCCGGATCTCGTCCAACCGCGCCGTGGCGAGAGCTCTCTTAGACAGGGTCTCGATCTCGCGCGCCCGGATCTCGTCGATCTTTTTGTTGGTGCGTTCCGAAACGGCGCTGCTGTTGTGGGAGTGCTCGTCTGACTCTTCAGACGAGTCCTCGGACATGGTCGACAGCGGCCCCTTGAAGGAATCAGCGTCGAGATTAGGCGACACTTCGGGCGACACCTCAGGCGGTGCCACAGAAAAGGGCACCTCGCGGCTGGTGTACTGCTGGTGCTGGTGGTGGTCAGCCGTCTGGGCTGCTCCAACAGGGAACTTCCGGTCGACCTCCACTTCCAGTTGTCGGATCTTATCCAGCTTCAGGTTGGGCGACATTACCGACGGCGACGTTTGTGGCCGCTCTGCTTCTGGGTGTGCTGCTCCTTCGTTGAGCTGGGAGCCGCTGGTGGCGGGCTGTTCTGCCGTTCTGACCCGGACAGGAGGGCTATCTGACACCATCAAATCGCGGGCCGTGAAGTCCATGTCCACGTCGGCGTCCCAGGCATGATTCTTGGTTGGTGAGGGGCTTGCCGGAATGACTGTCGGCTCCGACGGCGGCAGCACGCGCGGCAGCGGTTGCTCGGGCGGCAGACTGGCGGCGATGGATGCCGGCTGGCTATGCAGTGCTTCGGACGAGCCTCTTCCTGACCCAGAGAGCATGCGTTTGAGAAAGCTGCCCTGGCGGCTGCGAACACCCCACTGCCTCCCGCTCGAGCTGGGGGGGGTTGGTGCTGCCGATGCTGGTGGCACTCCTCCGTTCGGCGACGGCGATGGCGACGGCGGAGTCGGACTGGCGATGCTGCTGCGGCGACTCCGGTCTCGGCTGCTTGTCGAAGACTTGGGAGTCGGGATAGGCCTGGGAATGGCGGCAGGCTTGGGAATGACGCGGGCCTTTGGCGAGAACAGACCGTTGCGCTCGCTCTTGGCAACCTCCATGCGCACCTGGTCCTCTTCGTAACGGATACGCATCATGTCGGCAGACTGGGGACCGGGAGGCACAGGGCTGGTGCGAGAACCGTTCTTATCGTCACGTTTTTGCAGTGCCTGCGGCTGATGCTCGCCGAGTCTCCGAGCCGTTCTTCTGCCACCGAAGCTGAGCGGTGACTGGGCGAGGATGCGCTCCATGCGGCTCTCGCTGGCGCTGATGGAGCCGGCTCCGGCGCTTGCAATGGCAACAGCGGCAGCGGTCACAGCTAGAGGCGTGCTAGGCTTGCTCTTATGTTTGGTGGCACTGGAGTTGTTGGCAGCGTTGTTGCCGGAGCGCCAGGGACGAGGTGCCGGGCTGGGCGAGCCCTGTGCAGCGGCACTGATGGCGTCTTCGTCCTCGGCCATCCTATAGGCATCGGTGACGCTCATAGGGCGACGTGGAGTAGGCAGCACAGACGCGTTGCGGGTCGGGTTCTGCGGGGGTGGCTGGGGTTGCTGGCCAGGGGTCGGCGACAGTGAAGGCCGTGGGATGCGAGTGCGGCCGGTCGAGCTGGAGGCTGCAAGAGGAGCAGCAACATGGCCACGTGCTGTCAGGCCTTGGCCCGGGGTGGTGTTATTTGACAGCTGGTCTTCGACGCTAGTGTGATGTTCGGCGGAGTGGGTGGTGGAGAAGCGGCGGGAGAAGCCGTTTGGCAGAGCAGGCGCGGCAAAGGTGAAGTCGGAGATGTCAGCCATGACGCCGGGCGAAGCAGTCATCTGACGGGTGGTACGAGTTGGCGGAGGCTGTTGCTCAGAGGCGGCGGTGCGGAGCGAGTGATAGCTGTTCTTCTTGGCCGGCAGGCGGCTCGTGAAGGCGGGCGACACGACGCGCCGGACAGGATCTTGGCGAGAATCCATGCCGAGGTGCCGAGATGCTGAGGTTGAGCCGTGATGCTGTGAAATCGGCGATTTCGGGATTTAGGCTCTGGATTCTCAGATTGCAGCGGTTGGCTGACCTCTTTGTGTTCTCCTCGTCTTATTCTTGTCTGTGTGGTGGTGTTTTGATGTTTGGCAGGCAGGCAGCGGTCTGCTGTTGCGCAGTCAACGCGGTGTTCAGAGCGAGCGCAGACACATGGCTGTTCGGTCGAGCCGAAGGGAAGATGGCTGGCTAAATGGCCAGCTGGCGTGGGTAAGTCGGGCAGAGACAAAAGGAGGTCAGGCGCGGCGCGGCGCGTGGGCGAAGATGATAGGCGAGATGGCGAGCAGGCGAGAGAAAAGCAGGGATGGAAAAGAAAATGGAAAGCAGGGCAAAAAAGACGAAAATGAAGGGAAACGGGGGAGAATCGAGCAAAGGAGCGTTGCAGCGGACGATCGACGGATTGTTGACGTGCCCGTTAATTAAATTTTCGTGCAGCTCAGAGCGGCAGGAGCTGACGGGAAAAGGGCGCTGGAGGAGGTCGCGACGTGCGAGGGTCAATTACACGCTGGCGCTCGGGCCACGAGTCGGGTCCACAGGAGCAATAGCGCCAGGCCCACAGCCAAGTTGGCGAGCGGGCCGCTGCTGCCAAATCAGTGGTTATAGGCTATTGACAGCCTACTGACCGGCGGTGAAGCCTGTTGAGTGCGCTGGTGGTGGTGGTGGTGGTGGTGTGCAAGTAGCACAAACGAGGCGACGTCCAGGATGTTGATCGGGAGGGCAGCCGCGCGTTAATCGTCGATGGGAACCGCGCGTTTCGGTCAAAGACCTATCTAGCTGTTTGGATTGTGACGTGGAGTTGGCGTGCTGTCATACTAGAGCTGGAGCTCTGAGCTACCAACGGGCAAAGACTGGCACGTGACATAGCCCATGGTACATTGTACAGAGTGTACAATGTATTTGTAATTCGTGCTCGCCTTGCCAAGCCGCACGTCTCTGGGCACGCAATGGCCACTCTCCCGACAGCGGTGCGACCACTGGGCACATTGTGAGTCGTGCGTTGTCTCTCGGTCAATCATCGTGCTAATCATCGCAGCGAGCAGTTCTTCTCGTCGCGTCACAGTCTAGGCCTGCACAAGGGTGTCATCACGGTGTGTCGGTATGCGGTGCCGACGAGTGTCGACGGCCAGCCACGGACGAAGGAGCAGGTGCGGGCGCGCGTGGAGGCGGCCGTGGCGGTCGTGATTGGTCAGCTGGGAGCGCTGCGGACGGGGATCGCGGGCGAGGAGACACGGCAGCCGCAGTTTGTAGCGGTGGCCTCGGTGGACGTGCGAGAGCATGTGGAGTGGCGAGGGGGAGGAGAAGCCGAGGAGAAAGAGCTCGAACGCCAGCTAGAGGACGAGTGTGGACGGTCGTGGCCCGACTTGGAAACACATCCGCCATGGCGGCTGCTGGGCTTCAACCGTGATCCTGACGACCGGCCGCAACACATCGACCTCGCCTTTGCCGCACATCATGCCTTGGCCGACGGAAAGAGCGGCCAGGTGTTTCACCGGTTTCTGGTGGAAGCGCTGAACGAGGGCGAGACGATGGGCGAGATCGACAGCGAAACGAATACACCAACCAAAACCGACAGCACGGCCGTCCTCCGATTCGACAACGTTCCCTTGCTGGCGCCACCACAGGAGCAGCTCGTCCGCTTTACCGTCTCGTGGGGCTTCTTTGCGCGCACGCTGTGGAACGAGCTGGGACTGGCCTGGTTGAAGCGGGCGGTGGCAGCAGTCCTAGGAAGAGGAGAGACGTCGTCTGCGCCTGTTCTCTACACGGGCGACCAGCCGATCCGTCTGGTGCTGGGCCGCACGCGCGTGTGCCTCCTCTCGGTGGCGCCGCCTGACCTGGCCGCCCTTCTGGCCGCCTGCCGCGTGCACGGCACCACGCTGACGCCACTGTTGCACGGGCTGCTGCTGGTGGCGGCAACAGCGGCTCGCCGGAAGATGCCCTTGGCTGGCGCGACAACGACCTTTTCGGGCACGACGCCTATTAGCTTGCGGGGTCACGTGACCCAACCCAAGCCGCAGCTAGACATGAAGCGGACCATGGGCAACTATGTGTCAGCGTACCGACACGTGTTCAGTCGAGGGGCAGTGCAGGTTCTGGAAGACGCTCCGGTCGTCGGAAGCCACCCCGACGCGGCCCTCTGGGAGGCCGTGGCCGAAGTGGACGTCGGACTGCGGGCCTGCACGGCCGACGTGACGCGCGACAGCGTGCTCGGGCTGTTGGCGTGGGTGCGTGACTGGCACGGCTGGTTCCGTGGAAAGGCCGGACAGCTGCGCGACGACACGTGGGAGGTGTCCAACGTGGGGACGATGGACAACAACAACGACAACAACAGCGGCGGCTGGCACCTCACGCGATCCCTCTTCGTCTTCACGGCTCCGGCGACGGGCCCGCTGCTGGAGCTCACGGCGGCCAGCGTGCATGGCGGACCGCTGACGCTGGCGTTGGTGCGACAGCAGGGCAGCCCGGCAGAGGAGCAGTTCTGCGAGGAGGTCTGGGCCGACGTGAAGACGAGCCTGTGGCGGTTTCGCCACAGCGGACGCTTTATGGGGGAGTAGCAGGAGGAGAAGCCGGTTTAGACAACACACGGGTGCGGCACATGCGTAGATCTACGGGTGAGCTACACTTGATGTTTATACGATTGCGATGTCAACACGTGGAGATCCTTCAAGTCCCGTGAGAAGTCACATGATACATACCGTGACCAATCTTCATTTTTTGTGGAAATCGCGAATGGACCCGAAAAAGCTTCAACGTCCGGCCGACAAGCTCTCGTGCGATCATCCCCCCTCCAACAGTCACAATGGCCGCCCTGCACGCAGCAAGCTCCCCGGCCTGTCTCCGCTGTCTGGCACGACGGATGCTGTCACGGCCGGCTGTCCTTGGCATGGCCTCTGGCAGCAACAACAGCAGCAGTCTGCTGACGCTGACCTCGACGACGACGACAACGGTGCAGACGCGCGGAAAGAAGACGGGACGACGTGGTGACAATGGTGTGGTCGTGCGGCTTCTGCAGGACGTGGAACAGTTTGGACAAAAGGGTGCGTGTTTGTGTGTGTTTGCGTCCTATTTTCTTCATCTGTCTCGCCATCATTCTCCCTCCTTCTGACATTGACAGAAACGATCCTCCGGATCGACCGTGGCCGCATGCGTAACCTCTGGTATCCCCGCGGCATAGCCGACTATGTCACGACGGCCGGCCAAGCCGTCTCGGAGCGCGACCCCTTCTTTGGCGTTGCCGGCAGCAAGCCCGACGAGGACGTCGCTTCTTCTGCTCCGGCCGCCACAGCCCACGCTGCTCTCCTGCCGACCGTCGATGCTGCCCGTGCTGCCGCTCTGCTCGATCGCCTGCCACCGCTCGTCTTTGCACGCCGACCCATCACGGCTGCCTCGACCGCCATCTTCGGGTCCGTCTCGGCCGACGACGTCGCCACTGCCCTGCGCGCTGCCCTGCACGCTGTCGATGACGGCAGCAGCGACGAGACCGGCCGCCTTCGCGTCGAGGGCCGTGATGTCCGCTTTGTCGTCGACGGCGAGGCTTTCGGTGATGCCGCCTCCTCTTCGGAGGCCGAGGCTACCGCCGATCGCGTCAAGGCGCTCGGCCGCTGGGAGGTCGAGATCGCCGTGCGCGGCGGCGGCGTCGCCACTGCTCCGGTGCGCAAGATCATCGAGGTGGTGGCCCAGTAGACGGCGATACAGTAGGCGATAACTAGCCGTTGCAGAGGCTTCAAAACAAGATTTACAAAATGGCCATCGCCTTCCAAAATTCGCACCTGCTCAAATTGAAACCTGCACCTGCACCTTCCTGCAAACCAAATCTCCCAATCTACATCGCCGTATCCTAATCACGTGAATCCGTCGCTCAATGCTCATCTTCTTGTGCTCTACTTTCCCTTTGCGCCATAGCTGTAGTCCATCGCCCTTAAGGCGTCCCAGACGACGCTGCGTTTCGATGGCGTGTCTGAGACCGCGCTTTGCTCCCGCCGAAGTTTGTGAAGAAGAGGTGGTTGGCCTGACTGAGTTGGCTGAGTTGAGTTGGTCAGTTCTGTCCACACTGTGATTCCTTAGCTCAATCTCAGCTGCCTCGTTTCATCTCTCTCTCAACTGCCTCTTCCTCTCACTTTCTCTCTCTCCCATCACGTGGGCCCCATCAGCGAGTCCACAATGCTGCGTACCTCAGATAGCTGGCCGTTTCGAGCCGTTTCGGCTTCTGAAGTTGCCGTTCCTGGAGCACTTCCAATTGCATTTCCACCACCTCCTCCTGTCAACACTCGCAATGCTGACGGCCCTGGTCCTCCACCTCCCCGTCGTGAGCTCGTGCTCGACCGTCGGCTCTCCAGACTGCGCGACAGTGTCTTGCTGACGCCTTCGATGCCGGCCGACCGAATGATGCTGCCACTGATGCCCGAAATGCCTGCAATATCGCCACTGCCACTGCCACTGCCTCGTCCGTGACCTTGCACTCGGCCCCGTGCACCGCTTCCACCGCTTCCGGTCAGACCAACCGCCTCTGCCATCGCTGCCGTCGCTTCCACGTTGTTGCCCGCCACCGTGCTCTTGCCCAGGCCCGGAGTCGCCGGCGCTCCCGGTTTGTCCTCCTGCGCATCGATCAGGTACCAGCGCAGTCCGTCTGAGAGATCAAACGGGTTGTCGTTTTCCGTATCCGTGTCTTCTTCCGTCGCTCCTTCGGCTCCGCTTCGGCTCCCGTTTCCACTCCGCCCCCCCGACAGATCCACCACCCTCTCCTGCACACGTTGGATCCGTGCCACCAGCCACTCCCGGTTCTGCAGCCGGTGCGCCTCCTGCTCTCGTAGAAAGTAGTGCGGAAAACCCACGTTGAAGGCTGCCCACGCTCCGCTGCTCTGGTTGCGTGTCGGCAGGAACAGCGCCAGGTCACCCTCCTTGAACTGCCTGAACGCAATCTTGTCGTGTGCCTCCTTCTGCAGCCCATGCGCCTTGTCTCGGTAACTGCGCACGTCTCGCTGCAGCTTGCGCCCAATGTGTTCCACCTCCTTGACCCGTCGGTACACGGCTTCTGCAAAGGCCTCCGTGTCCACGCTGCTTGTCGTCGCCAGGAACTCGTCGAACCGCCGCGCCTCCGAGTCCGCGTCGTCGTCCGTCCAGTCCGTCTGCGCCCCTGTGCTCTTACTGGGCCCAGAACCGTCCACCAGCATCCCTGATCGTTCGGCCCGTGGCACCCGCTGGATCACCGTCTTCCCCTCTTCCCGGCTGACCATAAACCCCAGCCGCTCCAGCAGCTGTATCAGTCGCTCCGTCTGCGTGCCCAGCCGCTGCGACACTTCTCTGGCTCGTCGAGTCCGTCCTTCCAGCTGGCTGCTCAGCCGAGTCTGTGTCGTCTGTGCCGTCTGCAGCTCTTCCTGTGTCGTTCGGAGCTCCTCGTCCACATTGCCGGCTTGGCACTGTCGTGCTTTCATCTCCGCCGTCAGCTCATCTGCCAGCGTCGATGCTCGCGCTTCCGCCTTCTTCTGTGCTTCTGTCGCTGTCTGCAGCTGTGAGAGCATCTCGTCTAGACGGTGGTGCATTGCCTCTGCCAGCTTCGTCGAGTCCGCCTCCGAGTTCGTCCCATCCATCCGCTCGTGGAGCTTTCGCAGCAGCTGCACCTGTACTGCTTGCTGCTCTTTTGCTGCTTTCACCTCCTCCTTCACCACCCGCAGCTCTCCCTCCAACACTTCGCTGCTCTCCCGCTGCGTCCTGACCTCCTCTTGCTGCTCTGCTGCCTCGCCCTCCAGCCGCGCCACGTCACCCTGCAACGCCCGCGTCTGCTCCTCAAATGCTGCCCTCTCGTGCTCCATCTCGTCCTCTGCGTCCTCGATTCGCCCCTGCAGCCGCCGGATCTCCTCCTCCAACGACCGCCGCTCCTGCGCAAAGCCCCGCTCGAGACCCTCCAGGTTCTTCAGCAGGTCCTTCTTCGTCGAGTTGGCCTCCTCCGTCTTGCTCTCGGCTGCTGTGCGCTCTCGCTCCAAACAGTCAATTTGCTCCTTTTTGGCTGCCAGCTCGCCTTCCAGCGATCCCCTTTGCTCTCTCTCGACCGCCAGATCGCCCTCGAGCGCGTCGGTCTGCTGCTTTTCCGCCGCTAGTTCGCCCGACAACGAGCTCGTTCGCTCTCTCTCCGCCGCTAGCTCGCCCTCGAGCTGCTGCATCCGCTGCTGTGCCGCTCGCAGCTCTGTCGCCGCCGCCGCCGCTGCTGCTGCTGCTGCTGTCGACGCCATGCTACTGCCACCACCCTCTGCCGACGTCCGCCGGTTGTGCTCGCCGCCCCGCGACTCCGCCCGCTGCTCGCCCGACTGCTGGAACAGCGCCCCGCTGCCCATGCTCGCCCGCGACGCCTGGCTTTGTCGGTGCAACAGGTCCTCCAGTCGCCGCACCCGGCTCTCAGCCGTCCGCAGCTTGCCCTCCACCCGCGCCTTGTCGTCTTGCAGGCTGCGCAGCACGTCGTCGTCGCCCCGGATCATCAGCCCGCTGCGCCCCAACGCTGCCTCGTGCACGCTGCCGTTTCGAAACGCCTTGATCCGCTTCGACTGCTGCTTCGTCGGCGCTCGCAGCTCCCCCATCAGCTTGCCAATATCTTCGATCAGCTCTGTCTCCGCCTGCTGCCGTTGCAGCACCGAAAAGTACTCCTCCAGCTCCCGCCGCGTCACCGCTGGCCACTCTGCCTCCTCGCCCAGCAGGTTTACCTCCAGGCCCACCACCTGGTTGTCGCCTGCTGCTGTTGCTGCCGTCCCCATCCGCGTCGATGTTGGCCCATATTCCAGGCTCCCCACCGACTTCTGCCACTTCCGCCGCCGCTTCACCTCCTCGTCGCGGAACACTGACATTTCGTTGGCCAGCGTCGATGAGTCCGTCCTGACCTTGTCCAGCCACTCGCGTCGCTTGATCGCCTCGCTGACAAACGACGCGTATACAAACGGAATCTGCTGCACCAGCCGCAGGTAGTCAAAGTGCGCCATGTCCTCCTCTCCGCCCAGCGCTCCCATCTGGCTCTTGACCGTGCTGCTGACCAGTGTCAGCTCCGTGATTGTCCGCATGAAATCCACCGACTCTGCTGCCAGCCGGTTGCGCGACTCCATCGCGTATCGGAACATCTCGTCCATCTCGGCCGCCCGGTTCCGCAGACTTGGCAGAAGCCGCTCCGTGTGTGTTGCTGCAATCTTTGACGCCTGCAGAATGTCTCGTGCCGAGTCGTCTGTGTACTCCAGCGTTGTCTGGTAGTCCGTCTCGATCTTCGACGCCACCGCCCGGATATCTTGCAGCAGCTGCGCCGCCTCGCCCTCGTGCGACATCGCTGACCCGTCCACCGTCTGCTCAAAGCCTCGCAGCACGTCCTCGCAACCCTGAAGAAGACGCGGAGCCGTTCGCTCTAGCTCAGCAACCTTGGCCATGAACCGTCGGAGTGCCGCCGGCGCCAGCTTGCCGGCCTTGCGTGCAGTCTCCACGTCCACCAGGTCCTCAAGCGTCGCCCGGACCTGCGCCTGTTGCCGCGAGTTCTTGCCCTTTGGCGCCACTGTTCTGTCCTGACCTGTCATGAACTGCAGCATCGCCGCCGATATGGGAATATTCCGCGCTATATCCAGATACTGCTCCCATTTGTCCACCAGATGGGCGTAGTCTGCTTGCGCGCTGCCGATCCACTTCTTGACGTCCGTATACTTGGTCTCCACGCCTTTGACTACCGCCTCCAGGTTGGCTACCGCCGCGTCCAAGCAGCGCATCATCGCGTCCATCTCCGAGTATCGCTCGTGGGCCGTTTCGGCCTTGACTGCACAGTCGTCAACCACTGCTGACGCCCACTTCTGCCGCGTGTGAAACAGCTCCTGCCATGCTGCAAGCGATCGTTGGTCGCGGAGGTCGTTGGGCGGAATCGGCGCCGTGTATTTCTTCGGTAAAGGCAGCTCGAGGTTGGCCACGGCTGCGCCAGCAGCATCGGGTTGAGCCATACGCGCATCGTATACGTAGAGTTCTTTCTGCAACACAGACAAATTAGCAGTCGTTAAAAAGGAAAGGACAAAGCAGTACTCTAGAGGAGCCCGTGCATGCCTACCTCTGTCTGGAATGCGGCAAGTCGGAGAGGTTTTCCCTGAGGAGTAAGCGTGATGATGCAGTCGGATGGTATGGCCGTCTCGCGTGTGACAAAAGCCCTGAATTCATCAAGTCTGCCGCACGGTTAGACAGAGCAGCCATGATGCGCAGCAGTGCAAAGACAAGGACAGGCCAAACATACGAGGTGAGCTGTGCAAAGTCCAGCTGAAGGCGTTGGCCCGTATGGGCTATCAACACCTGGTCGGCCATCGCTAGACATGACCTTTTGACCCTCGGATGGCGGGAGTCGTTTTGGTCGAGAGTTCGCGAGAGAGGAAGCAGCAGGTAGCTAGCGACACCAAAGTTCCACGGTGATTGAGCGAGGAATCGATCAATGAGCTCTCAGACTCCGGGTGGTGGATCGTCTTATCGGGCAGATTGCAAGGGCCAAACACAGGCAGAACAATCAAAAAAAATACGGCAGCAAACGAAAAGAAGAAAATGAGAGGATAGGGCCTTCCACCCGGATGCTATTGGTTGTCGCTGCCCAGCTTCACCCTGATGTCGAATTTGAGATGATCACTGCCAGAAGATGCAGCTGATGGACAAGAGAGGCTACGGCGATCCGCCTAGTTGCTAGCGTGACGGCTGCCTCGTGACCCGGCCTAGCTATGATTGGCAGTAGGGTCGTAGGGTCTCGCGGAAGCAGCGAAGCAGTGCGCCGTGACGACGCCACACATGTGAAACCCCAGCCACACCTCGTCGATCGCTGCTTCTTCGCGTCTTGTGATGCCAGCACGCGACAGCAAGTCCCGGCCGGCAGAAGATACATGGCGATGGATGAGCCGCGCGACACGCCCATGGGCGATGCGGACGCCGTCGTGCCAGACGCGACCACAGCACTGGTCCTCTCCGAAGACGAGCAGCGCGTGCTAGCGCTCTACGACCGTCTACGGGAGCTGCAGCTGCAGATTGCGCTGCTCGGGGCACAGAAAGGTGAGGCTGAAGGAGGGATGAGGCAAAGAGAGGCACGGCCGAAGGACCGGTTCGTGCTAACCCGCTCTGCTGCAGATGCACCCCATGACCATAATGACGACGACGACGACGACGACAATAACAACCTCGAGGCTGCCCGCGACCGGCTGCTTGATGCCCGTGCCGCCTATGTCCTCCGCAATGAAGTCATCGACAGCGTCTTGTCCGTCAACCCCGTGCTCAAGGCCGTGCACGGCGCCACGCGCGCGTCGCCCATCGAGCGCGACCTGCTGCCGGCCGTCGAGCAGCGCGATGACGCGTCGCAGGCCGTCGCACAACAGGCCGGCGCACGACGAGCCGTCCTAGAAAGGCATGTTGCCGTGGCTGCCGAGAGCTGCCGGGTCCGACGACAGAACCAGGCGCTCGCTGAGCAGCTGCATAGGCAGCTCGCCGAGGCCGTCGAGGACGATAGCGCGGGGGGCGACAAGAACAACGACACACATGACGACGAACTCACCCAGCTGCAGCAAGAACTAAAGGCCAGCCGTCAGCGCTGGAAGCTCATCAAGGGCACGGCCAGCGCGGTCGTGGTCGGCAGCGGCGTCGACTGGGCGCGGGACCCAGAGCTACAGAACCTCGTCTTGGACCCAGAGTGAGAGGGGGACCATCAGAGAATAATGGCGGTAAAAAGGGTAAAAAGGAAAAAGGTAATGGAAAACGGGCCATCCTCGTGCATACGACTCATCCGTCCAGTGGATCACCCCAGCCTTCTGCTCGCACGGCAAAACCATAAAAACATGGGCGGTCGCATCGCCCATCCTCATACCATCTACAGCTGGCTACATACTACACACAGGTACTCGCACATATGCGAAAGAGAGCCGCAAGGCTGCTCTGCGCCCGCCGTGTGTGGGAGGGAGAAAGGCGCGTCTAGTGGCGGACGCGTGGTATTTGTTTGACATACACGTGACTAGTGATTTGGAACAGCAGGGGCCGAAAAATGCGAATCAAAAGCCCCTCCATAACACGACTAGGCTGAAACGGAACAGAGAAAATAGTGACAGGAAAAAAAGACGAGCAAGAGTCAAAAGCCAAAAAAAGACAGCTCAATTTTTTCAGCGAATCGCAGCGCTCTCTGCCGACCAGCTCCGCTTGTGTCGACCCATATTATTAGTATACTTTGTACGAGACAGAGGTCAGAGGATGCTTCGTACGGAGTAGCACAGGCAGGGGCAAATGCCAGCTGCCGAGACCAGAGCTTGTGACCGGCCGGAGACTTGCAGTGCGTACGTCCATGTATCAGGATGCTTCCTGCACACGGTGCAGTCGCAGCGCCACACACACCATTCGCCAATGCCTGCCTGCTCGTATGTAAGATACTCGTAATGGTACCCCCCTCCAACAGCCGCTGGACGGGCGCAAGACGGCGTGCATATTTTACGAGAAGGAGTCGTAACGGCAATCCTTGTGTGGTCGGACTAGTCGGTAGCCTATAATGGCGACTTGCACAAATATGAGTGCGCCACTGATCGTTTGGCCGTGTAAGATGCTACATTCTGTATGGAAGATACAAGTATCGCGGCATGGGCAAGATAGGCTCGCCTATACCCTGCATCATTCGCTTACTGTACTCCGTACACAGTAGCTTGCTGCAATGCTGCCTGCAGCAATACTCGCCAGTGACTATGATTTCACCTACTCGCAGCGGCGCGTACTCGTGGCGACAAACCTCCAGCCCCGATACTCTAATCATCGGATGGCACGGAGGTGCATAGGGCGATCGAGCTGGAGCTGGTGTTGGGTGTGAGAGCTCGTTTGCCCGTTATCAAGCGCTGTAGCCCTCCGGCCGTCAGAAACGCTGCGAGTGCGAAGATTGCGATACATCCAGCAAAGTACTGGTACGGGTGTAAGCGGGCGGGCAATACTTACTAGGCATGCATGAATAAAGTACCAAGCAACAGCTAGTGGTTGCAGGTTCTACTGCAATCAACCACGCAGCCAATCAAATATTGCACTGCGCCCAGACGGCTCCATTGTTTGCGGCATTCCTAGGTGTCCTAGGTGAGAGCGTGAGCGCACATCAATCTGGAAGGCGTGAGGACCACGTATGGCCTTCTGGCACGGAAAGAGCGCCATACGTAAGAAGATAGTGGCCAGAACGCCCGCAGCCAGTTGGCTGCGCTGGATACCTACAGCTTCCTGTTCCTACAGGGGCCACCAAAACCCCCTCCAGAACCGACCGCCACGCGCCGTCACACTGCGCTCTGTGCGATGCGAGCACGAATATGAGCTGCATGTCAGCTTGTCGTGCGCGCACAGGCCTGGGCGCTGCGTGGGATGGAGGCAGAAAGAGCGCGAAAGAACGCGACGGGAAGAGAGCGCGCGCAGATTCTGATACCTGTAGGCAGGGTGGATGAGAAATTGCAGCGCAAATGGGCGGCGCCAGAGGTACACAGTACCCGTTTTTGCGTGCACTCAGTACAATGGCCCAAGTACTGTACTTTGCTGTCTGAGCAACGGGCAGAACACGGAAAAATGACACCCTTTGTCCCCAGATCAGTCCGTCGCTGCTGCCCACGCACCCCCCCTCCTCTCCTTCCCTCTGCCAGCCATTTTTTTAATGGCACTCTAGTTTTTGGGGGTTTTTGGGCGACCGCCCACCCACCCAGTACCCAAGGAAGGTGCCCCCCTTACTCGCTCCTGCCCACACTTACGACGTACGCACGTACTCGCACACACACAACAGAACACGGCCACGCCCCTCTTCCCTCTCCCTCCCTTGCACGCGCGACCTGTTCCCCCCCTCCTACTCTCAATCAGCCGCCCATAGTAATAAGGCCCGCCCTCTCTCTCACACATACTCTCCTCTCCTCCTCTCTCTTCTTTCTGCACGCAAAATCTCCCATACAATAAAAGCCTCCCCAGCCAAAAAATCGAGAGTACTCTCATCGTCCCATACAAATCCGCGCCTCATACTTTCACTTACAAGCCTCCAATCCACCCAAAATCTGTGAGTACCTCCCCTCCTACTGCCTGCTGCTGCAATTTGCAAGTCACCACGCCACTGCACCCCGTCTTCCCTCTGCTCTCTGTCCTTCTCTCCTGTTCTTCTGCCTGGAGGCCAGTGCCTTTTTTTGTCTTCCTCTTGGACCGCAAGAAAGCCTGTTATCGCACCTCGTCCTTTGCGCTCCTGGTCTTGCGCCCCATTTCCCAATTTCCCTGGCAATCCAAACTTCGCGCACAACAGCGCGCCCGCTTTATGGCAAATCGGCATAACGTCCACACAACGGCTCAACGCCCCCAAAGCTACAAAATTGGCACTTTCGTGTTTGCAGCTTTTTTGGCGCGTCACCATCACGACCTCAACAACAGCACAACATACTGCGCCCTAGTCATGAAGATTGCTACTATTGTCGCCCTGTCTCAATTGGCACATGCGACGGGCTGAAAGTTTCAATGATCAATCACATCAACAACAGCCCCGATTTGCAGTCAAATCTAGCATCCAACACAGCCTTTCGGGATGGATGCAGCGGTTTGACCGCATTGCTTAAAAGCTTTCACGTATAGACGTCAGCACGGTACCTAACACCGCTGCAATTCCCGCGATAGTTCGCATTTCCTTGCATCGCATTTTAAACAAATCTCACGGTCTCAATCGTGTCGTGCGACATTGTCAACAGCACCGCTAACTATCCAACCAGATCACAATGGTCAAGGCAGCAACTAAGGTCAAGACCGGCAAGGTCGAGAAGCGCCGCAGCAAGAAGGGTATGTCTATTGATCAATCTCCATGCATCGCCAGGCTGGGCCGCTGACGTCGCAGATCCCAACGCCCCGAAGCGCGGTCTGTCTGCATACATGTTCTTCGCCAACGAGCAGCGTGAGAACGTCCGTGACGAGAACCCTGGCATCTCGTTCGGTCAGGTCGGCAAGATCCTGGGTGAGCGCTGGAAGGCTCTGAACGAGAAGCAGCGCACCCCATACGAGGCCAAGGCTGCTGCTGATAAGAAGCGGTACGAGGACGCCAAGGCAGCCTATAACGTGAGTACCCCAATAAATTTGCAGACTCAATTCTGCACTGGACAGACTCGCTAACATCCCACAGGCGTGAGCAATAATTGTATCGTTGTCGAGGGCTCTGTTTTTTTCGCTTTTGTAATGTTCTCTGGGATGGACAGGGTGGTGGCGCGAGGACAAATGACAAGGGAATGAGTTTACGTCCTTTCTCTCCGGTCATTGTCGACTTTGTTTTGTTTTACGGAATGCATGAGGTTTTTTCGGGTCACGATGCTTGGGCTATGCAGCAGCCTCGTCCTCTCCGTCACTCCTCCGCGCCACGGCGTGGACAGGGATTGTGAGGGAGACATGTATAACTAGTGGAATAGTTTCGGTGTGAACTGATTTTTGCTTGACATTTGTCTTTCCAGTGTCCGGTTTACAATGTCTCCGCTAGCTTGAGGGAGGGAGAAGGATGCAGCCTGAAGCGATTTGCGCCAAAAAAGGAAGCTGCAAAGCTGTCAAGGCTTGACTTGCAAAAGCTAAACATGCTTGCAAATCTGCATCCTCACCTAATATATCCAGCCTCACTCTTTAACGTCCCTATTATGTTCAATGCCGGTTAAGCTCATTCGACAACCTCACAGGGAGCCACGGGCTCTGCTTTGCCAGGCCTTATCTGTGTGGCTTTACGGAGTACAGTTTTGTTTGCGTTAGCTGCATATCGTCAGCGGCAATAGTTCGCCTACGAGCCAGCATTGTCCATCGCCTGATGCATGGAGAGCTCTATCTTGTCCATTATGTCCCCAGTTTTTTCCTCGTCAGTCCCCGTGCTAACTGGTTGGGGTCCCATCTAGTTTCGGGCTTCGTGGCAGCCTCTGGAGCCAATAGTCTCATCTGCGGCCTTTTCTTACTTTCTCTTTCGGCTTTTTTTGCTCGTGCGGCGAAGCCCTCCCGTGTCTTGCAGCGTCTTGCCATGCTATGCTTCTTTGTGTTCCCTTGTCCTGTCTTTTCGGGCGTCAGCAGATGGGGCCTATCCACGCCCGTTCCCCTCGACTTTTTGCTTTCTTTCCCCTCGGCCAAGAAAGTCGCATCGATACCTTGTTCGGCATCGGGAGGATCATCTCACGAGAAACAGGCATTGCCATATCGCGATAAGAGCTAAACGACCGGCGAACGAAACAGCCAGCGATTGGACCAATAGAAGCAGGCTTTCTTTGCCACATTAACGCACTATCTGCCGACACCCTCGCCCGTGACAGAAACGGCCCGGGTTGGGCCCCGACTACTCGTATACGAGACGAGCCTTTGTCCACCGGGACACCCGCATACATTCGGAGCCTATAGCACGCTGGGACACGCTGGCTTTGTACATTGTTGTGCGTTTAGAAAAAGGGCGACAAATCCGAGACTGTCCCACTGACGGCGGCCATTCGCCTTTTGGAGAGGGGCCGTGGTACTCAATTCCCTGCAACTTGCGAATTGGGCACCAGTAGCCCCATTTCGACAAACCCAAAGCAAGGACCGGCCTTCTCTCTTTTATCCAGTGCACTTTTCGGCACAGCATCTTGCTTCCCCCCATATGCCGCCTAAGCTGTGGCCAACCCGTCGACACGACCGTCTTCTGCCAGATTCTAGAGATTTCTGGCCCATCAAACAGCAGTCCACCGGAGCGATCACGGCACTCTTGCGTGTGGGGTCCCCGGAGTCTTTGTCGTCTCAACTCCCTTGGACCTCGGTGCTGGTCGTACACTTGTTCTTTTCCCTCCCATCCCCCATTCTGCTCACACTTTTCTCTACATTTTACATCTTGACTTCTACTGGCCTGTCCTCTACCATCGTCCAAAGGTCATTCTCGTACACCGCGCAGGGCACTTAACAAGGCTGCCATATTACTCGCTATCCTTCTGCTTGCAAAATTGGCGGTGTTGTGAACCAAGTCGGCTTTGCCCCTTCTGCTATCCTCCTACTACATCTCTCACGGCGAGGACAACGTGAATGAGTGCCCCAGCGAGGGGAGACTGTGGAACAAGCAGCTATTAGTCGCCAACCAGGTCGCCAACTAGGTCTTACAGAGGATTTCTGCAACTCCGGACCGCATAACTGTTCAACCCCGGAAGGCGATATATTGCCTTCCCATCAACACCTCCGGCACTCTAGTTATCATGAGTTCCTAACAGCAACCAACATTGTCTTCGCTACTACCTTCCCACTCTGCCCAACCCGCCGCATCGATCACGCACCCGTTTTACTTTCACACTGCTAAAACCAACCGAAAACGCAACTAGCAGCAACCATGATGGCCATGATACATGAAAACAGTTTCATGCCAGAGAGCAATTATGATGCGCCAATCGACCTTAGCCGCGGCCCCAAAATTTCCGCCAGCTGCTTGAACGAAGCCGTAGGGGCCGACATCACCGCAGGGCTACTGGACAACTTGCGCGGCTTCCTTGACCAGTCGCTACAGCCTCACATGATAATATTGGCCGATGGGCTCCGACAATGTGGATGTCTGCTTCGCGAACTGGTTGGCTGTTGCAACACGAATTATGCCCGCCTGCCCGTAACGCTAGACTACATCGAAATAGTCCTGCCGAGTTTGCGCTGCACGTTTGTGAAAATAAAGGCCTACTATGATGATCCAACTCTTACCATGGACATGCGGTGGCGCACCATGTACCATAGGATGACCGAAGAGGCGGATGGCCTTCCGCTGCCTCAGAGGGCTGGCCTGTACAATCAGTACTTGCTGTGCCTGCAGCAGATGCAGACTCGGTAGGTTCTACGGCTTGCAGCTCTCCTCGTCGGCCTGGCTAACCAACTCGGCTCTCTGTCGGCATAGTTCGCAATACTTTGACATGAACACCCTCGAGGCTCTCCGGGACCGAATTCTCAAGCTGCGAGAGAAGCAAGGAATCGGTACGCAATCCGCAAGATACTTCCGCCCATGAAAGGGGTCCGTCGACAGCTAACAAAAGCAGCACCGCCACCGCCGCCGCAACCGACCCAAGCAGGTGCCCTTATTCTGGCATCAATGCAGACAGTCCCTTTGTCTGTTGTCGACCGAGTGCGTCGAACACATAACTATTGGCTAATGCGCACTCTGTTGCTAACTTGCTTTGGTAGAACATTCACTGGGCTGAGGAGATTTTCACAAGGCCGCTACCTTGCCGCACCCCCCTCAAGCACCTGAACATGTTTGTCATCTCCGGTCCCCGTTGCTACATTGTTTAAATACTGAGATGTCTGGCTGTTCTAGGTCTCTGTGCTACGGTCCATGGTCGAATTTCCGCATGCCGCCCAAAGCCAAAATTCTCTGTCGAAGGTACGATAATTTGCAATATGATGCACTGGTGTAGATAATGTCTTTACTGATATACGCTACGCAGGTGGTTTGACCAAGCCCGCTTGTCACTTATTGTTTTCGAGTACCCTGGCGACGAAGCGCCCTTCATAGCCATCCGCAGCCTGCACCTTGGAACCAACACTCCGCTCATGTCCGTTCGTGGCATTCACGAGCTGTGCATCTCACGAGACGGCAGTTGTCTTGTGCTCAAGCGCTGGAGCCAGAGCGAAGGCTGCAGCAAGCTATGGGCAGTCTTGTACTTTATCACGTGGGAGGGTGAGTGTTGTCCCCTATATCTCGTCATTCGAGACGTGTCGTGTGCTGTAGCAGGAGCTGACATCTGTATAGAAATGGTGCTCTTTCATTGCACATTTGTTGCACTCAAGTCCCAGTGCTACCGTACGCGGCAGATCAAGCCAGAAGAGTTCAAATTGAGCCGCGAGAAGAGAGACTTTCAAGCGTAATCATCCCCTTTCCGCTTTCACCCTAATAACAGCTAACCAGGCCACAGTCGCATTATCGACGATGGGTTTAAGCACTCTCTGATCGTCTATCGTGACACCGAGTCGCATAGCATCCGTCTCCACGCTGCTGTCTGGGAGGGCGAGATGCGCCAGTGTCCCGTATGGACAGCCTTTGGTAGGTTTTCTGTTGGCTTGAAATGGGCTGCACTGCTCATGTACTGGAACTGACTTTTGGTTCAATGCAGTCACCAATCAGGCCAGGTCGTCCTCATGGCTCCGCCGCAAGGGCAGACACCGAGTCTGGCTCCGGGACGTGCAGCTGTATGTGTTCTGCAACATCTACCGCGAGGACCACATGCGCCAGAACAAGTCGGGCGCGTTCGAGATCGACTTCGCCAGCGAGGAGGCTGCACGGCGCTTTGAGGAGGTGTTTTACCCGCCGCCGCCGCCGACTCCACAGGCTTCGCTTGGCTCGTCAGCGGTGCCGCTGGCCGTGACAGCCGGCTCGGATTTGCATAGCGGCAGCAGCTCGGGAAAGTCATGTCGGCCGATGTCGGTCTCGAGTTTGTCGGAGGGCTCAGCGGATGGATCGGCCGAGGGTTCGGACAACCAGTCAGCTCCGGAGTCTATGGCAGGGTCTTTCATGGGGTCCGAGCAGGGATCTGTGCAAGAGTCTGTGCCGGAGTTTATTCCCGAATCCAGCCCCGACTCCACGCCAGGCTCGACAGAAGACTCTGCAGATGTGACGGACTTGACAGATTCCCTCGGCTCGGTAGCCCTGGCCGATTCGACAGATGCGTCCGAAGTGACCGAGATGAAGCCGCCCACAGACCACGAATGATATTCCGGTTGACGGCATCGACTTTTCTCTTCTCTTCCATTGATTCTTCTTCTTTTTTCTTCTTCTTTTTCAAGTCTCATTCCGGTGGCCCACATAAGCGTTGCTTCTTCTTTTCCTTCACCGTGGACTCCATATTTTCTCATTTTGGTGCATGTGATGTGTTTATACCCTGATGCGACTGATGGTAATGATAGTAATGTATTCAAGACTGGAAACGGTAAAGCTCCGGGGATATTTGCGTGCGTCAAGGGATAGATGGCAGTCTCCTTCACGAACCTTACGACTTAATGACACGGCCACAGGTTTTGCACCGCTCTCTAGCACCTTGCTAATTGACTATACAAGACTGTACGAACCCACGCTTGGACATTAAACAGATGTCTTATATTTCTGTATCAAATGTTACGCTCGCCTGCTACTGTCAAACGTTTTCGAGGCCAGGCCACAACCACCACGTCTACGTCTTGACGTCGGGCTCGTCGCGGCCGACAAACTCCTTGAACTTGAGCAGCGTGGTGGCCAGGTGGATCTCGGGCTTGAGCACATCCTGGGCATCCTTGTCGTAGGTGGCAGGGTCGTTGCTGTGCTGCTCAATGTAGAGGCGGATGGTGGCGCCGCTGGATCCAGTGCCGGACAGGCGGACGACGATGCGGGTGCCGTTGCCGAAGCGGACGAAGAGGCCCTGGTGGTCGGAGACAGAGCCGTCAAGGTCGGTGTAGGAGAAGTCGCCGGCCTCGGTGACCTGGCGACCATCGACGGAGCTGCCGACAAAGGCCGGATCGGCGATGAGGTCGCGGAGGACACCAACGACCTTGGCGGCGCCGTCCGAGTCGACGTTCTCGTAGTCGTAGCGGGTGAAGAAGGTGCGGCCGTACTCAGCCCAGAAGTCGGTCTGGATCTGGCGGATGGTCGGCGTGACAGCCGGGTTGGCAGTGCCGAGACCGGCGATGATGTTGAGCCAGGCGACAATGGCCCAGAGGCCGTCCTTTTCGCGGATGTGGTTGCTACCGGTGCCGAAGCTCTCCTCGCCGCAGATCGAGAGTTTGTCGGCGTCAAAGAGGGCGCAGAAGAACTTCCAGCCGGTCGGAACCTCGTACGACTGCAGGCCTTGCTTCTTGGCCACGAGATCAACAGCGCCCGAAGTGGGCATGCTGCGGGCGAGGCCGTAGACGCCGTTGCGGCGGAAGTAGGGGATCAGCTGTGCGTGGTGAGCGATGATGGCGAGGCTGTCGCCGGGCGAGACAAAGGCGCCGGCACCGTAGATCATGTTGCGGTCGCCATCACCGTCGGAGGCAGCGCCAAAGGGAACCTGGTCCTTCTCGACCGCGTCGACGAGCGAGTGGGCATACGTCAGGTTGGGATCCGGGTGGCCGCCACCAAAGTCAGGGCTGGGCTCACAGTTCTGGACGCTGGCAGGACCGAGTCCGAGCGCCTCGAAAAAGATGGCCTTGCCGTACGGCCCGGTGACGCCGTGAAGCCCGTCAAAGAGGACGCGGAAGTCGGAATGAGCGCGGAAAAAGCTGCGGATGAGGTCGAAGTCGAAGATGTCCTCGAGCATGGCGACGTAGTCGGCCGTGCTGTCGACGATCTCCACCTCGAGCGCGCCGTAGCTTCGCACGCCCACCGTCGTCGTGTCGACGTCGACGTCCAGCGGCAGTAGCTTGTACTCAGTCAGCGCCTTGGCCGTGGCGAACATGCGGTTCGTCACCGACTCGGGCGCCGGCCCACCGTTGGCCAGGTTGTACTTGATGCCAAAATCTGCCTTGGGCCCGCCCGGGTTGTGGCTGGCCGTCAGCAGGATGCCGCCCGTCGCCTTGCGCTTGCGGATCAGATGGCTGGCTGCCGGCGTCGAGAGGATGCCATGCTGTCCGATCAGCAGTTTCTTAACGCCGTATGCCGGGGCGATCCGTGCGATCAGCTGCACCACTTCCGGGTTGTAGTAGCGGCCATCACCACCGATCACGAGCGAGGCACCTGGAATGGCGGTCAGCTACTGTTGTCCTCCTTGTTTGCCTTTCAGCCCTCAGCTCTCGGCTCTTTCCCTGTGAACTGACCCTCGGCGCCCTCGGGGATGGACAGGATGATGCTGGCGATGAACGACTCGCTGTAGTGCTTCTGCTGGAAGACAGTGACCTTCTTACGAAGACCGGACCTGCAGACTGTCAGCACAGCTCCCGAACTGGCGGTCTCGACCAGAAGATCTTTCGACCGAGAAGAAATCGTGGACAAGAGAGAAAAACACTCACGTTCCCGGCTTCTGGTCGCTGAAGGGCGTAAACTCAACGGTCTGGACGGTCATTGTGTGTGTGATGCTGGTGCTGTAGGCAGTTGGGGTTTCCTATCTACTGTGTGAACGCTTGGTTGTGGGATGATGAAAACACCGGCTCGGATGGGAGCTGTTGAGGTGGCAGCACGTCTCAAGTGGGGTGTCCCGCACCAAAAGAGGCGAGCTGTCTAGGCGGTGATGATAGTACACAGTGCTATCTGCTCATGTCTTGGAACTTTGGATACATGTGCACTCCGCCGAATATACTGCATATGTATGGGCTTCTGCAGTATCTTGTACAGTGCGAAGCTCACACCGGTCATCACCCCACCATAGCAACGCCCAAAATGGCAGCTTCAGCTAATACCCGCGAAACATCGTGACAAGTTGCTGGTATTGTGCAGGAGTTGCAGCCGCCAGCTGCAGATCCCCGGAAATGTCTGTGCGGTAGTCTAGCGTAAGGCAAGATGCAAAAAGTGTCGACGGTGGCCTGCTGGGTCGTATCCATCTCTGGCAGCAAAGGCCTTTCAATTCCTGGCCGTCGGTTCGTTCGGACTTGGTCTTTGAAGAATTCTCTGAAGAAAGGTTGAGCCTCAACAAGTGGACCGGGGCTCATCGGACTCGCCGTTGAATCGGCACAAATGACTCGACTGTCCAGTGCACATCTGCCCAGATGCGTCGGCCCATTTCCTCATCCCCGAGTGTGTGGCAAAACCAACACCATGCCGCAGTAAGACGCCCGTTTCAACGCTTTCGAGAGGCAGCCGTACAGCCGGCAATAATCGCCCGGCTCAGACACGGGGCGACATGGCTCAGTCGAAAGCTATGGCGACGAGCAAGCAGCTAAGCAAAAGTACGGCATCGAAATGTACGAGTCCAGAGGCCTCTCGTCTGCGGTTCTTATCTGCCTGGCTGCCTTGATACTGTTCGGGCTACATAAAAGTCCGAAAGGTGGCGTTGGAAGACGTTCGGTTGCGATTGGATCCGAACCGTTCCCGAACCGTGGCAAAAAAGATCGACAGGCACACCGTTGTCTGTCCTGGGACATTGAGCATTCTTGGCGACGGCCATGTTAGCCTCCACGCTTCCCGTGCAACAGCGACTTTGCCACCATCTGAGCCGTAAACGTTGCAACTGCGAACGCGAACTCGGACGGTAGCCACAGTGGCGTTTTTGCAACGGTCCAGCCCCTGCTGTGTCTCTGTAACTAGCCTCTCGTGTACCTTGCCACTGGCGGTCGGCTTGCGATGCATTTGAAATACTTGGTGGCAGCAAACCGGTTTGACTGGATTGATTGACACTAGTGGCAAAACTGGAAAGCTTACCCCATGATGGGAACCGTCCAAGCTCTGGCTTTCGCCGGACCTTCCCGGCCACACTTGGGCCGCTCAGCGTCGGCTGTACTCGTACGGGTGTACTACGTACAGTCAGCCATCAGCGACATCGCTGCCTGCAAGATTCGCTCGCAGGGAGCAGCCAGTCAAAGACGGCCTGGCGTGGTGGCAAATCGGCAAGGCTAGACTCCCGGGATGGCAAGATATCTTTTGTGCTGAGGAACCACCTTTCGGGGAGATTGTGCAGATCGGCCTGCGGCTTGTCAGGTGGACAGGGGATATTGCGCGGTAGCCTAGACAATGGCGTGTCGGTCAATTGCCTCTCCTCGGGCACCCGTACTCGTTCATCTCGCAGTCTTGGGATTCTGCGGGCACGGATGCTTCCCCAGACAGCCAAAATGGCAATGACGAAACATGCACCATCAGCCATTGGTGCACAGAGAGGCGGGTAGGCGCGATGGAGCCAAAAGCCAATTGAGCCGCGACGGCGTCAAATGGGCGACGCCCAGGCGAACAACACGGCACAGGAAGGAGCTGTGCCTTCCCTGTTCTCTGGACCTTGAAAACGAGTTTTGGGGTGTTTGCACGTGCACGTGGACGCTTCTGGCAACATGTGCTGGCACGCACTGCCGCACGATCAGTGGCCCTGAGCGGCCCCGTGACGTATTCCTTCCTCTTCCGGCCAACGTTCGGCTCGAGCGTCAGGAGACTGACGAGAGCGCCAAAGTGGACGAAATCCCGACAGAAAAGTAACCTTGCATTGTCGACGCTATCTGGCACCAGCCCAAACTAAACCACTTCTCCACGCCAATAACCCTGCGAAAGCGTCCTCTCGCAAAGACCAGCCGCGCTAGATTGGCGTCTCTCCGGTGGTGCCACCGAGCTGCATCTGCCAGGATTGGCTGGCCATCCTCAAGCCATCAGGACGAGTACGACGTAAGCATCGTCGCGAGCGCGAAAACCCCGTCCCCTTTGCCTTGACAGTTGGCAGAACGGAGCACGGCCGATGCCGCCGAACAAAAGTACGAGTTGGTGTACTTGCAGGCAGCAAGCGATTAACCCAGCCGCTGCAATTGGTGACCGGGTCTGCGGGTGAGATTCTGCATCCAAGCTACCGAATACTATGTATCTTGCCGTTTGTCGCAGCCCAGCTAGTGGCAACCTTCGGCCGGCTGAGACGAGCTCGGAACTTGCTACTAACGTCACGGGATTGCAACTGGGTCAGGTTCTGGAATGACCAGGAAGCCTCTCTCCCATTCGCGGAAGCCGGGAAGGCGAAAGAAACAGGGACCAGGGCGACAATACTGCAGAATGGTTGGCGTGCGATGGGGGTGGCAAAAAAACAAGTAGCCCTCTCGATCAAGTCCGACCACACCACCTCTTCTCCCCCGCTGCGGACAGCATCAAAAGTGCGATTTGTGCCTCCCCTCCGGCTCGACTGGCCGGTCGACTCTCTACATCCACACCACAGCCCCTGCAGCAGATATATAACATGTACCCCAGCCGTGACCGTGACCGGGCCATAACTCTTGCTCCCATTCTGCTTGTGCATCTGCTCCGTCTGCTTCCTTCTTCTACATCCCTTCTCGACCTATCAATCCACCACTGCCCGTCAGCTGGTCGTGTGCCTGCAGGTGGCTCCAGCTTTCCACATGACCGGATCAGGAGAAGGAGCAGTCCCTGTCCACAGCCGAGAGCGTGTCATGCCCTCATGCTGTTGTACTTGTACATGCCAGTTACAGACGTAGAATCTGGCTCGGGACACACTCCGCTACTTGCCCTTATTTCCTTGGCTACCCGGCAGCACAACGGCTTTAGAGGTCAGTTCCTTGCTTTTTCTCTTTTCTTTTTTCTTCCCGCCTGCCCCGTATTCATTGTCCTTGCTCTTCATCTGCGCTGGTGAAGTACCGTTGGCGGCTGTTGTTTTCGGATCCTTCCTCGTTGCTTGCCTCTCCCCCTTTAGTACAAGTACAAAGCCTTCCCGTCTCGGATTGGGATCCTCACAAGACGGATCTTTCTTGGGAACAACTCGTTTATCTACGAGTACACACTACACTGAAAATCACAATCCCATCCCCGCCCTTTCGTCCAGTCTAGACCGTCTTACTCTTCTTCAGCCCAGCTCTCCCCTGTCCTTCCCTCACTTCATTCGTAATCACAACCTCAGCACCTGCACAATCACTATATTCTAGCACTTGTACCTAGAGCCTTACCTGGACACCTGGACACAGAGAACAGACAGTGAGAACCCTTAAACTGCCTTCACCCCCCTGTCAGTGGTGCCCAACCAGGGCTATTGTCATCCGCTCCCGCCCATTGAAGATCGCATGCTTGTACCTTTCTTCCACTATTGTCCATCCCTCAACCACGACGTCACACTCATACTGGTCCCTAAACTGACCTAGGTGTCGTGGCTATGCTTCCTCGCTTTCCACTTTTGAAAATGACTGGCCCTCCGGAAACTAACAGGACAAAGGAGGTGGTCTATCTGATTTTTTCACACGATTTTCACACGAAAGGAGCCACGGCCCACACCCACCAGCCACCAGGTCACTTTACGAGTACTCATCGTTGCTCGCTGCCCCACGCCGTCAATCGGGCTCAAGCCGTCCGTTTTGTCCGTCCGCCTAAGCCAAAAATTTACAGCACTCTCTTCGTAACAGCACTAGGCGGTACTTGCCACAACTGCGCGCCGTTGATACGACTTTGGAAACAGCCATTTTCTTGTCCCCATTTGGCAAGGCTCTAGTACCCGACACCTCGACTACCATCGTCCCTCTTCAAACTGGCTTGTCAACCGGCAACGTGCCCGAACGTGTCCACAAGCAGACCATAGCTTTTCGCTTGCCACTTCGTCGGCATCTTCATTGTTCCGTTTCTGATCTTTGTATGTTTATATAAACCCTGATGCCCCTCCGTACACCATCGAGAGTCTGTTTTAGATCCTTGTGTAAACCCTTTTCACATTCAATCTTAAAACAGCATTCGTACGTGGCACTCACAACAAAGGCCACACGTGTAGACTACGCTTTACAGAACCAGACTTGGGCATCTACAGCACATCGCTGAGGGGGAGAATCAGGCTTCTGATGAAGAGTTGCGGGGTAAAGGCTCCGTCCAGATGAACACCTCTAACTCAGGCGAGCCCCATCAGGGGGAAAAGTATTCCCAAGAACAACAACCCGGACCAGGTGACCGATCTGATCAGCAGCAACAGCAGCAACAGCAACAACAACAACAACAACAGCAGTACCAGTATCAACAGTATCAGCAGCAGCAACAATTTCACGGCAACGCCCAACAATCCTTCCAGCAACAGACGCTTTTGAACGGACATCAGGGACGGTTCGACATGAGCAGAATGGGACATTCTTTGCCAACCGCCGACTATGGACAACAGCAGTACAATCCAGGAACCACCTCGCATTCCGCTGCATCAGTTTCGCACTACACCCAGGCTCAGATGGGTGGTCAGCCTTTCTACATGACCCAGGCTCCTCTAATGCCAAATTCCCCATATTACGGAAGCCCTATGTCGGCGATGAGCCAACAAGGACAGGTCATGACACAGCAAAATGGGTTTGCCTACTATCCCGGCCAGGTGCAGCCGATGGCACCGTACCAATATTCTCAACACTCGCAGTATCCGAGTCAGAACAAAGGTACACACAACTACGGATGCTTTGTATATTTTCCACCACCTAACGCCTTCCAAGCACAGCCCAGGATATCGGCTCAACCCATTGTGGTCTCGTCCAATGCGCCGTATACGCAACGGACAGTTCAAAGACAGCAACAGAAATGTAGGTTGTGTAGTAACACTTCGCTTTCTCTCCTAGCTCAAATTGGTGAACATGATGTACTAATGGAACCGATTAGCTCAAGGTGAAAACAGAGCAAGCACCGTAGTGCGTGGCCCTCCAAGAAAACCGAAACAAAGCGGTAAGAAAAGCATATTATTCTCTTCCTTTTTTTGCGATCGTCAACTTCTATTGGTTGCAGATGCATACACGGAACTGATGTCTCGTTCAGGACACGCTATCTGGATCGGAAATTTGCCTCCTCAGACAAACTTGATGGAACTAGTCCAACACGTTTGCAAGCATACAGAGGACTTGGAGTCTCTGTTTCTCATATCGAAGAGCAACTGCGCCTTTGCGAACTTTAAAGACGAGTCGAGCTGCATAGAAGCGCAGCAAAAAATCAACGACACCCGATTCATGTCCGTCCGTCTCGTCAGCCGCCTCCGGAAAAATGTGGTCGACGTGGCACAGGGAATGATTCCACCAACGGGACCGGCATCATTAACAGCAGCTCCGCAACCCCTGGTACAGCAACAGCAGCAGAACCGGAGCCATGTGAGCACCCCGGAGGCCAAGGACGGAGACGCGGATGAAGAGGAAGACGGGGAGGAAGAATCGCCTGCAGAGGAAGCCGGACTAGATAATACCTGGGCATCTTCGACCGACATTAGCGCTACGACTTCCGTCAGCACAACGATAGCTTCGTCGCCTGCGGCAAAGGCCGAGATCGCAGATGGTCCGGAAGTGCGCTCGAAGGACAGATTCTTCATTTTGAAAAGTCTCACGGTGGAAGATCTGGAATCAAGCATGCGGACTGGCATCTGGGCGACACAATCACACAATGAAGAGACGCTGAACAGTGCTTTCAAGGTTTGTGTTTTGCTTTGTCAAATCCTGTCAATTCATTGCTTCTCCTGTTCGCTTATTCCAAACTTGGCGAGCTAACATGCTGTCTTTCTGCAGAACTGTGACAACGTGTACTTGATATTCTCAGCCAATAAATCGGGCGAGTATTTTGGCTATGCCAGAATGACATCGGAGATTAACAACGATCCGGCAGCGGCCATCGAGTTTGCACCAAGGGCGCAATCTTTCAGCGACGAGGACTATCCAAAAGCCATCCCTACCGAGGCGACAGACTTCGCGCCGCCAGGTCGTATCATTGACGACTCAGCCCGAGGAACAATATTCTGGGAAGCACAGCGAGATGATGCACCCGAAGCTGCGACAGCTGCTAACGGGACAGAGGACGGTTCGGTCACGGCTAGCGACGGGGCAGACGAGGTGAGCAGCGTGAAGAGCGGCGGGCTGCCAGAAGGTGCTGGCGAGGCACAGACGTGGGGGAAGCCGTTCCAGCTTGAGTGGCTGTCGACATTGAGGGTGCCGTTCTACCGCACACGGGGAATGCGCAATCCTCTGAATGCCAATCGGGACATCAAGATCGCTCGTGATGGCACTGAGGTGGACCCGACCGTAGGACAACGACTCATCGGACTCTTTCACCAGCCGCTGGTGGTGTCTGGCACATCGGGAAGAGGCACCAGTTTTACTGCATATACGGCAGTTCTGATGGCCTAGGGCTGTTGTCGGAAAGTTTCTGCAGCAGAAGCGGACGAAAGGTGGAAGCTGCTAGCAGCAGAACATCTCATCTCCTCACCGGTGTTGGCGGTGTGCTTTCATATTGTGCTCATATTTGCATTCCTATTTTCCATAAAATACAGAGGCCTATAAACTATAAACTATAAACTGTAACCAAGAAACACCTACTTGTCTAGTCGTTATTAGTCGTGAAGCACGGAGGATACAACGGCCATTAGTTAGCGTTTCTCTAGTTTGACCTTCTGCTCCGTTCCTATTGACCTTGACGCCCGCGTCTTCCCTGATCTTGCATCCGAAGACCGTATCTCGATCGAAAGAACAAGCCGAGATGGCCGACGACCGTCTGCATATCGAGCATTTGCTTATGTTTGGTAAGGAGATCGAAGCATTGGCAAAGCGACTTACACGGTGCAGCGTATAGTGTGTTGGCGAGCGCTGATTGGCTAGGCGCTACCGTATGTGTCAGGCGCCACTAAGATCACAGAGCTACTATTCCTCTTGCGGTTAGTGATAGTTTTATTATATGGGTCATGGCCCGTGCAATTGGTGGAAGCTTCCATTAGCTTCTAGCAACTTCTCATGATATCGAAAGCACCTTGTGGCGACTTAAGGAAGCATCGGGAAGCATCATATGCTTCGTGGCCCCGTGTCTTGTCAGCGCCCGAGACGTCTAGCATCTTCGCGAAGCTCGGAAAGGTTTCCATCATGGCGAAGCTCCAGGTATAAAGATGGCCTGGAGCATCCGCCCCAGTCCTTCTGTCTTTCTTCTCATCATCACGAAAAACAATCAAGACTTCCAAGCCTTTACAACTCTTTCACAACTCGCTTCACCAACTTTCCACAACTTCACAAGCCCCAAGAAACAATCAATATGCCTCTGTTCCAGCACCAGCCAGCCTACACTCCGGACCAGGCCTTCACCAGCCTGTTCCGTCTGATTGATGGCTTTGACAACTACTCCCGCGAGGTCAACAACGCTGCGCAGACCAGCGGCAGCAACAACAAGGTGGCCAGCCGCGGTCCGGCCGCCAGCCTGGTGTCGTCGACGCGGGCCTTCAACCCGCGCTTTGACGTGCGCGAGACCGAGACGGCCTACGAGCTGCACGGCGAGCTCCCGGGTGTCGACCGCAACAACATTGCGATCGAGTTTTCGGACCCGCAGACGCTGATTGTGAGCGGCCGCGTCGAGCGCAACTATGAGAGCGAGCAGCCCCAGCAGCTGCAGCAGCCCGAAACCCATGCCGAGGCCCATGCCGAGGCCGTCGCCCAGTCGCCGAGTCTCCGGGCGACGGTCGAGGACGAGGAGGTCGGCGACGAAGGCATTCTCGTCGGCGATGAGCACGCCGCTGCCCACAAGGAGGAAGCTGCTGCCACGCCCAAGGAGTCGGCAGTGACCACGACCAACAACACCACCACGGCCGCTGCCCCGGCCGGTCCCCAGCCGGTGCGCTACTGGTACCGCGAGCGCTCGGTCGGGCAGTTCCGCCGGGTCTTTGAGTTCCCCGTGGCCGTCAACGAGGACGCGGTCAAGGCCAACCTCGACAACGGGATCCTGAGCGTGTCGATCCCCAAGGCGGCCAAGCGGCAGACGAAGCGCATCGCCGTGTTCTAAACAGACAGTGACTACCTCAAAAGCATCACGAGTCTTTTCATGACAGTAGGACCAGTCTGCAGAGGATATGACCGCTCCTTTTTATCGACTCCTTTTCACTCTACGGCGTTCAACTATGGTTCGAGTAATGTTATCGGATGAGACTGTCTTTCATTTGTTATTGTGCACTGCTATTGCAGACTGGTCGACGTTCATTGTATCAGCACAGCAGAAACTACCTAATAAACATTGATAAAAGCCCAAATGTGCCTTGAGCAACTAAACGTGATATTCTGTAGCTAGTCTAGATCAATTAAGCATCACTAAACCCCGGGGTTTTTGCGAAGTTTGTAGTTAACATGAATCGTCCCGGAACAGTATAAACGTCTTCGGTTAGTGCAAGGCTATGATGTCATCGTAGGCTACCTGCTACTTCCCCGCTCGGCCACAAAGCCGTGTCGGAGTGAATGTCTCCACGTGACAAATGTGCGTCGAAAATCGGCCTCTCCGCCGAAGCGGAATCCGGGGCCGAATTACTATACCTTGCAGACAGATAAAGAGCAGCGACGACCTCGACATCGGCCTCGACGTCTTGCCACCCGCTGCTCCCAATATGTCCAGCCAGCTCGCCGACGCCGCCGAGGCTGGCTTTCACGATGCCGGGGCCTATGACGCATATCGGCCCTCGTACTTACCGGCTATTGTTGACAGCTTCCTTTCGCGGCTAGAGGTGCCGGCGACTGACGCGAAAGAGATCCGCCTCGTGGAGATTGCTGCCGGCACTGGCAAGTTCACGGAGGCGCTCTCACGGCTGGCTGCCTCGTCCAGCATCCCGTGGTCCATCATTGCGGTCGAGCCTCACGACCAGATGCGCGGCCAGCTGGCGGCCAAGAGCCTGCCACACGTCACCGTCATCAAGGGCCATGCGGCTGCCGTACCGTCGGTGGCTGCCGGGTGGGCCGACGCGGTCATCAGCGCGCAGGCTTTCCACTGGTGGGCATATCTCTGTCTTGTTCCCTGCCCTGCTGTCTTGCCTGCTGTTCTGACGGCTTTGCAGGTTTGCAAACCAGGATGCGTTGCGCGAGATATGGCGGCTCCTGAAGCCCAACGGTCTGGTCGGCGTCGTCTGGAACATTGAAGACTGTCCGCGTGTCCTGTTCCCACGACCATGATGTATTCTTGTTCTATATGCTGACGTTCCCACAGACAACAAACCCCAAGACTGGCCGGCGTCGACGCCCTGGGAGCAGCGCGTCAACGACCTTGTCTACGCGCTGGGCGCAGATGGCAACGCCCGGTTTCGCAACTGCCGCTGGCAGGCTGCCTTTATCGAGGCGGCCTCGGCAACACCGCCACTGTTTTCACCTCTGGCAGACGACCGCATCCGATGGTCGGTACAGCTGACGCCAGACGCGCTGTTCAAGCGGCTCCTGACGCTCAGCCAGGTGGCCAACCTGCCCGAGAGCGACGACGACGACGATGGCAGCGAGAGGCCGGCTAGCCGGGGAGCGTTTCGGCGGCGGCTGGATGCGATCGTACACGATGTTGAGCGCAACGCTGCTGGCGAGCTGACGGTACGCGCAATGACGTATTATGCGTGGGCGCGACGGATGTAAAAGGCCGATGCCGACTCTTGCACAGCACAGTTTACAATGGTCACAGGGAAGCCAAAACAGGAAGCAATACAGAAGAATGTGCAATTCGCTGGCATTGCTGCATTTGTTCGATACAAGTATTTTATGGCCCATGTCTGGCGCCACTGTGGCAACGTGCAGTGCTGTCTGATAGCTGCCATCATTCGTCTGCCGAAATATACATGACTGTGATTGTCAGCATGCGCACGAAACCAGATCACGGACTCTCGACTCACCGTTGTTGCCGCGCACAAAGGCGTCACCGTACGTCCTCCGCTTGACGCCGTTGACATACTCTGCCGTCTTTTCCAACGCAATGTTCATGTAGCCGTCGACCGATTGCAGCTCGCCTGCAACGTTGTCAGCATCGGTTGGGCATACTAGGGGGGGAACGCCTCGCTAACCCTTGTACACGACACCCGAGTTCAGCTTGACAACCACCGGGCTGCCAATGATCTCGCTGAGGAAGGCGCTGGGGTCTGTGCCCTCGGCCTGGCTGCCAGCCGTGCCGTTCTCCATGGCGCAAGAGGGCAAAGGGAGTCGATGGAGGGTAATAGAGGAGCTGGTTCGTCGACAGTTCGGCTCAGAGAGGTAGAGCTGGGAGAAGAGGGCGCAAAGATGGTGACCTGGCTGCTCTTCTGCGGGATGACTTTCTGGTTGGCCGTCGCGAGAGATGCAAAACTGGAAGTGGGGTATATGGATACATGCATAACCGATAGGACCCAGTTACCAGTTAGTGCATACATACTCCATACATAGTAACTCCGTACCGAACGACTTCCAGCCTCATCGTTTAGGCGGCTACCTTGTCAATCGGCGCCTAAAACACCACATCGGCACATTCCACACGACGACGCCACTAAACACGCCGACGATAAGCCACTAGATCCGCTCTGGAGTGTTGTGTTTACTCTCTGTGCAAATTACGATTGAAAAATCCTTGCAACCGGACCTCTGCGACTCGACTGTTGTGCCCGAGTCCCCGTTTTGGCCACCTTGGTTTGGGGTCGGATTTTGCTCCACAGGCTTTGCGGATACGACAGTCCTGGTGGGGGAGAAAGGACGGATCTAGCGGGACAGACGACGAGCATGGACGTGGACAGCAGCGGTCTCGGGGATGTGACGGAAGACTGGACGCATGCGTTTCTGTATCCACAAGGGCCGGCGACAGCGACGTCTGCCCAGCCAACACAGGCGCTGACGGCGTACAGTCCGGGGCGGGCACGCGACACAATGCGTGATGCGCTGCGGCAGGCGCTGCGGCAGACGTCGATGACGGGTGGCGTGCGGTTGGAAGCATCGCGAGAGCAGCAGACGCAGACGCAGACACAGACGCAGACGCGGACGCAGCAGAAAAAGCAGGACGCAGCAGCAGCAGCAGTGGACGACCAGCAGGACGCGTCGTGCGTGGGAGTGGGTGCGGGCGCGAGTGCGGGCTGGTCGTGGGCGCAGGAGCGGCGGGACGCGGAGGCGAGCGGAAGCACGCTGATGTTCCGGAAGCCGCAGGCGATGGCGACGGTGGTGGTGCGCGGACAGGAGTTCTGGCTGCACGCGGAGCTGCTGTGCCGGCAGTCGGACTACTTTGCAGGGGCGCTGCGCGGCGGCTTTACGGAGGCGTCGACGCAGCGGGTCGAGCTGGACGGCGACGACATGACGGCCGACGACTTTGGGCTCTGGGCCGATATGCTCTACCGCGTGCACTTCCATCGTGTCGGCTCCTTTGTGCTGCGCAAGGAAGAGACTGGCGGCTCGCTGTCGACGCGCCAGATCCTGACGCTCTGGCAGCTCTCGGACCGCTTCCTGCACCGGCCGCTGGCCGCGCTCACCAAAGAGAGCCTGCATCACCGCCTCGGACTCTACTCCGTCGAGCAGTGGCGCCGTCTCTACCGCTCGCGGCCGGCCACTGACATCCGCGCCCGCGTCGGCCGCCTGCAGGACGCCTATCGCCAGTGTGTCGAGCACGGCCTGCCCTTTGGCGACGACATCGTCGTTGCCTGTGCCAACTGTCCCCCCCAAGTCTACGCTGACTGTATCGACCTGCTCGACGCTGATTTCATGGCCCTCGTGTCACGCCGTATGATCCTCGCCCACGCGGACGACTCGCTCCTCAGCAAGGACGAGCGCGAGGCCGCCGCCGCCGCCTCCGCCGTCAACCTGTCCCGGATGGTTGACTGAGGGGGGGGAAGAGCGGGAAGAGCGCGGAGAACGGACGGAACGAGCAGAATGGGGACGCTTTTCGCAACGCGAATGGACAGCAACAACGGACTGCATTTACAAGCGACTGGGAAACAGACAGCGGGGCATTCGCCGCTTCAGGGTTTTGGCAGGATTTATCGGGCGTTGGGGCGAGTGGTTATGCTCATCAGGCGTCCTTTATCACAGTACCCAAGCAGTCATAAGACACGGGTCGAAAGAGAGACAAATGCCTGCAATTCAGCGCTCTATCCGCTGTGAGTCGAACCATGCTAACTAATCGTGCAATGAACACGTGCAAACTAACAATAATACAAGCAGGTGCGAGCATACAGATCTCTAGTCAGTGCTGTACAGTATTCTACCGTGTCGCACAGTAGTGGGCACACAGTGCAAATATATACCAAGCGTCTTTAAGCCTGCTGCTCCATGTGTGTCGGCAGGTTGTAATCAGCGTAGTCGGCATGCACAAAAGCGCGGTCGACAATAGGTACGGACTCGATGACATATTGAAGACTCTCGCTGGGAGGGAAAAAGGTCAGACAGGGCACGACACCAAAATGCTGGCAGGACTGACCTCAAATCATGGCTGTCCTTGAGCGACATGTTGGCGTCCAGCACAATGTCGACCTCGACAATCAGCTTGTCGCCACCGTGGTACGCCTGCAGGCCCTGGATGGCCCGGATGGTCTTGGCGAAGCGCATGGTCAGGTAGAGCACTGCTGGTCAGAGAGAGAGCGGCACAGAAAGAGGGAGCGGAAACTTACAAATGTTACGCTGGTCGGCCGTGGCCGAAAAGCCCGACAGGTGCTTGATGTGCTCGATAGACGTGCGCGACCAATTCAGGATGACGACCAAGGAGAGCAGCAGTCCGCCGAGGGCGTCCAGCCACCAGATGCGGGCATAAAAACCAACTGTCCTTGTCAGCTTGGCGAACGGGACCATGGTGGAAAACGACGACATACCGATAGGAAAGGCAATGGAGCCGGCATTAAAGATGACGTCGGTCATAGCATCAGCAGCCCTAGAAGAGGTCAGCGTCGTGTAGGTGGCAAGACAGCCGAAGCGACAGGACTTACAATGCTTGCACGCTGGAGTTCTTGACCAGTCGACACCACAGCCAGCAAAGGCCCTTGATGACGATGGTGTTAAACATGATGGCCAGAGCGGGGATTCCACTGGGGGCGTTAGCGGAGAACGAGAAAAGGGAACAAAGAAGAGTGAAGCCCACAGCTCAATGATGCTCCGGTCATCGGACGCCAGATGCTGAACCGCCTGCAGCATGACCTGCACAAACGAGGTGATCATGATGACAGAGAACACCAGCACGCCCAGGGGTTCCAATCGGCGCCGCCCAACAGGATAGCGGTACTGGTCCTGATTGCTGATCAGCCAGGTGGTCGTCCAGACGATTGCCGTCGACAGAAAGTCCAGCACCGCGTCCACCAGGCTCGCCAGCACCGAGATCGACGGCACCGACAGCACCACGGCCAGCTTGCCGGCCAGCAGGATCGCGTTCGCCGCCAGGTTGACGTAAATGGCCAGCGTCACCACCGGCGCCGTGCTATCCACGTCCTCGTCCTCCTCCAGCAGCAGCGGGATGTCCTCGACCCGGGGCGACTGGCTGCCCGTCGGCGAGGTCGTGTCGGCATCTGCGTCTGCTATTGTTGCTGCTGCAGCTGTTGTTGTCATCGTCGCTGCGCCATATCCGTTTCCTTGCAGCCCGCTGCCACCCGGAGTCGGCAGCCGCTCTTCGTCCGGATCGTGGCTGTCGTCCTCATCCTCGTCGTCCGTGCCATGCGCCTCCAGCAGCGGCGTCGTCTCGGCCGGCCGGTAGATGGCCTTGGGCGTTCGTTTGACCCGTCGGGCAGCAGCTGCCGCTGTGGCTGCCCCTGCTGCCGTGGCACCACCCAGAGGCGGCGTCGAGAGCTGACCGCTGCCGGTTGGCGACGCCGACATGGACTCCTCGGAGATGGTGGCCGGCACCTCGAGGCCACGGTAGGAACGGCTGCTGTGCAGGCTATTGTACTCGTTGAGAAGATCGTGGGGCAGCGACGAGTTGAGCAGGCGGTCGATGTAGAGATACTGCTGGATGAGCATGTTGTTGCGCTCATAGTATGCACGTCTGCCGAGTCAGGCCAAGGACAGGACAGGACAGCGAGACATGGCTTACAATGGTGCCGACAGGACCTTTAGCTGGTCCTCCGTCTTCCAGTACCGCTCCCAGCGATACCGCTTGGCCTTGCCGATCAGCCGCATGCTGCGCATCTGTGGGTTGTTGAGCAGGGCGCTGAGGCGGCGCTCGTCGTGACGCCGCACATCCTCGTCGTCGTGGTACAGCTCACGACGGTATTCGGGCGAGCCGGACAGGCCGACGGGGAAGCTGGCACTCGCAGAAGGCGTCACGGCCCCGGAGCCCGGCAGGCCGGCCCCGACGACGGCCTCCTCCTCATCCCGGACAAGGGACACGCTGGTGGTCGACGGGCGGCGGCGCAGAAGGGTTGCCAGCGTGCTGCCTCTGGGCCCCAGCGTGTAGGGGTCGTCCTGCATCAATAGATGCGAGTTCTGCCGGCTGAGAGCCTTGGGCGAAGACATGTGGCGCGTGTGCGGGAGCGAGGGGGAACGAGAGGCTGCTTAATGAAACGGGCGGCAGAGACGCGACGGAAAACGGTGCGGATCGACGCGCAGAGAATTGGAAAGGAGGATGGAGCAGAGGTCGGTTGTGCCAGTTGGGTGCGCAGTTCGCGATGTAGCCTTTCAGGAAGCAAACGCGGTGTCTCTGCGCATCCCAAACATTTCCTATGGAGTCGTGAATGGCAAAAAGGTATGGGAAAAAAGTTCGCCCAGGGAAAGGCCTCCATGCCAAGGCTCGGCGAGTCGTTCACTAATCGCGCAGCTCACACTAACACCACAGTACATACGTCGTAGTATTACTCCGTACTCCGTAAACGAAAGTCAAATCGATTCAGCTCTCCACAAGAGCTCCCACGTGATAAGTATCCGGCCTTATCGCAGCAAGCGCCTCGGCAGCTCGACGAGCGAGGTTAAGTTGCTGAGTAAGAATATAAAAATCGGTTACAGTGACTACGCGGCATAGCTGCATGCACGTAAGATACAGCTGGGACTGGGCAACAGCTCACGACGCAGAAAGAAGGAAAGAAGAGGCCGAGGCGATGCAAGCCCCACGACGCATGCGGCAGAGGATGGAGGTCCATCTGAAACAATACTGGCGTCTAGACTTGCGTGTCATTTCATGTCTCACATTTCCAAGCCTCGTAGCGATGCCTGACGGAGAGACAAGAGGGGAAACAAGAGAAAGAGAGACACGGAAAACCAGAGACAAAAGAAGCGGACGGCAGCGATGAGAGAGCGGTGAGACGGCCACGACAGAACGACCGATATATAGCAGGCAGCTGGATTGCCTGCAGGGCCACTCCGTACAGCCGCAATCCTGTAAGCCTGACCGCAATGCGTTACGCAACATCGGTGCTGCCGGGCGAACAGCACCACCCCGGACGGACGACCGACAAAAACGGCGGGTAGTGGAGAGAGGGGAGGGGTCAGAGGACAGGCTGCAGAAGAAAGATATCCGTTTTGTATTCCCTGAGAGGACGGTCTGGGGGGAAAGGGCGCCGTGAAGAGACTTCTAACCGAGGAGCAGCACAACCCTACATATGGAGTACATATGTATCTTACGTCGTAGTTTAGTGATAAAAGAGAGAGGCCCGCAGATTAAAAGGCCCGGCGCCTCTGACAGTCCCTGCCCACGACGTATCAGCTATCTTACGAGTTTTGTGCGTGCAGAATCAGCAGAGAAAAGAAGGAAATTGAAAAAAAGAAAGAGACCGGTTTGGACAAAGCAGATCGATCGGCCCCTGTCAGCGGTGCTGGCACAAGGGGCCGACAGGGGCTTCTGCAGGGGTACGGGTCTGACTGTGCGGGCTTTGTTCTCACTGTACTGGTGTCTGAGTACCTCGTATAGAGCACAAAGACGCCTGGCAGAAGGACTCGCATGAGTAAGTACTGCGCACTGATCGCCCCACACTGTACTTAATGGGCAAGTGTATTCTATATATTACCGTGCCGTGTGATTTGTAAATATTTGCTTTCTACCGCAAAGCCAAGCATCCTGACCAAGCTGAAAACTATGGTAAGATACGGAGTACTCCGTACTATGAAGTAGGCAGTAATAAGAGGATTGGGCCGATCGCCGCATTGAGGACTAGCCTAGACCATGGACATCAGTTCCGGCTGTACATAGTACGACCAGCACCGGCAATTATCGTGCCTCGCTGCAAGATTGCACGGCGCATCGACGTGTCCTGCTGCTACTGCTGCGAGAGACAAAAGACTGCCCCTATTCGGCTGTACGAGTCCTCGTACTCTCTCTGCTTCCCCCCAGCTGGCTGGCTCCACCGATCCACCAGATCTTGGTTGGCCAGACCATTGCCAAAAAAATTTATGATCCGCCCGCACTTTCCTGCTTTCTGCCCCGTTCCTGCTGCTGTTTTCGTCGCGACCCCTATTTTTTTTCCCGCCGTTGCTACTGCAACACTGTGCATCGCCACAAGGCGCAAAGGACCGCGAATGCGGTTGTTGTTCATGCGGCGATGCAAGCGTACGGGTACGGGCACGGGCACTTTGCACGCCGCAAAACCGGATTCGTGCTCGTGGTCGTCCATACTATGTACCGAGGACATGCTTGGCTGAGGCCTGAAATGAACTCTGGCCAGACGCATTACATACATAGTAGTACGGAGTAGCCCGAGTCTCCATCCAAGTAAACACGAGCAGCGCCCCATTTATTCCGCAGTGCTCGTAATACTGCCCCCGTTCTTGCCAGATGCGCCCTAAAGAAAGTCGTGCTGTTGGGGGGTTGGCCGGGTGCAGGCGATGGGGGTGGGGTGGCATTAGCACTCATGCTGCCGTTTCCAGGAACAGTGCCCCACCCAATCCCCACCGGCATCGCTTCTCGAGCAGCACATCTTGACTCAGCACACACGCAGTGGTAACTGTCCGATTCCTGCAACCGGTTTTAAATAGCTTCCAGCTGGTCCTGATGTAAGCCAGACATGTCCGTTTTGGGAGAGAGAGTTGTGTGCGTGAAAGAGGGTGTGGCACCATCTTACGATGGCCTGTCTGCTACTATATACTCCGTACATGCTACTCCTGCAGACCGTAGCATGCTACGCTGTACGCGTAAGATATCTTACATAGTACGGAGTACACGGCCGCTCCCCTTTCACCAAAGCTTTGACAGCCAGCCACAGGCGCTGTAGGGGCGCATCGCAGCTAATCGCAGCTGCATCTCCAGCCGCCCAGTCCAAGAACAGGCACCTCCTGTCCCCACGCTAGCCTGGTTCTCCTCTTCTATTTACGACCTAACTGGAGCTAGCTCCATGTAGCCGCTCCGTATTCAAGTGGCCCCTCTTCCCTTGGCCGTCGCTACGCCAGGCTCGGACAAGCCTGAGCCTAAAAAGAAGCATCCCCTACGAGTCAAGCGCGGCCCCTTTTGGCTCGGCTGGCCGGCCATCCTGGAGAGCTGTGGCAGGCTGCTCCTTTGTTCCGTTGGAAGAGGAGAGACGGACGACAGGTAGAAGGAAAGGAGTAAGAGAAGGAGTATGAAAGAAGAAGAAAGAAAGAAAGAAAAAGAGAAGAGGGAAGTAAGTAAGAAAGTAAAAAAAAAAAAAGTAAAAGTAAGAAGTCAGAAACGAAGGATGACAGCATACACGCTCTCGGCGCATTCCCTTCTTCGCCCTACTCCTGCTCTTTCCCGCCTCCCCAGTTCTTGCTGTTGCCGCTTCTGAAGCCTGCCGCCGTAACCTGTACCCGGCGTCTTCGTGGCATCGAGCTCTCTGTCTTGGATCTCTCTTTCCCCTCTCTCCTGCTCTGTCTATCCCCCAGCTATCGAGAATCCATTCCTCTGGCGAAAATCTGCCGGTTCCCATCTTCATTCCTCGGCCTTCCGCACCCAATCGTTCGTCAGCTGTTTCGGAAGCGGCGTTTGCACGCCTTCTCCGGTCCCCATATTTATTTTATTTTATTTTTGCTCTTAATTTTTCTTATTTTATTATTACTGCCATTCGCCGCTTTCTCGTATACGACGTACACTCCGTCTCTTCCTCTTCCTCGCGTCACCCATCCTCAGCCCGACCGAGCACCACAGACAACAATCTAGGGCCGCTCCATCACCACGGTCATCACGGAAAGGGCCCTCGCCAAAGCGTCCTTCACACTCATTCTGCCGCCCTGACCTCGCAGCTCCTTCTCCTAATTCTCCCTCGTTTACCTCATCTCACCGCTTGCAGATCTTCTTGCCTTCTCTTCGGCCTGCGTTATATATACGGTTCTCTTGTTCTTCTCATAACTTTCCTGTAAACGAAACGCCTCCGGCCACCTCAAGCTTGTAATCACTCAACCAAACCACCATACTACTTGTTCGCTATCTGCCCTTCTCTGCAGCTGCCGCTCCTTCCCGGTAAGTCGAAATTGCTCACATCAATTGTCCGTTTTTGCCTTGTTTGTGTCATTATCGCCATCCACCCATCCGTCGATCGGCCTTCTCTGCGGACGCTTTGTTTTTGTTTGCTCTTCTGTCCCTCCTGCCCGCCAGCCTGGTCCAGCCCTGTGTGGAAGACTTGGAACACAAAGAAAGACACCGGCATACCGCCTGTGTGGCCTGGCCTGGTCTGGCCTTCCTGTCTTTCACCATTGTTCTCAACGGCGCGAATCTTCGACCCCTGCAGACGCGACCGCGCTCCTGTGCGCTCGAACCACAAGGCCTACCACTACCCGAGACTTTCGCAACCCCGAACGCCTGCCGTGTACAAGGACTTTATTTGATGTTCTAGGATGCGGCTGGTGATTTCTGTGCTGGTGTCATTTGTCGAACTGTTTTCAGATGCTGCTGTTGTTCGCTGGATTTTTTCGTCCGCTCAGCTTCTAAACGTGCTTTGTCAACAACCTTTATGGGATCTTGACCCGGGAATTGCATCGTCATACATCCGTCACGCATCAGTGCCTACAATGGGGTCATAGAAACATGTTGCTAACTGGGTCTTGCTCCCCGCCATGCAGCCACCCGCAACGGAAGAACAGGACTCGCACTCCTCTTCTTGCCATCGTCTCCTTTTCCGCGTTTCACCGTGTCACGACCACCGGTTCCGAGCCTCTCCTTGTTTCTTGAACGGTCACATCGCAAATAGTCCCTCTGGGCTGTTTCAAATTCACAACTTGCCTGTCTTGAATGCGCACGGGCTGCTCGCCTGACGCCCTTTCCGCCTATCGAACACCCCCATTTCGTTCTACATGCCTAGATTCCCCTCTGCGTTCAGCCGGCGGAAATCGTCCGTCGATAACGTTGACCGTGCGGCTACAGCCGGGCCTTCGTTCCGTGTGTTAGACCGATCCGAAGTGACTGGTTCTCCAAAGAGTCCCAACTCCGACCATCTGACTGTTCGCCGGCCAGTCAAGTCCCGTACCATTCCCAGCAGCCTGGCGGAGGCCACCTTGGAAGAGGACAACATCTTTTCCGACCTCAAGACTAACCGGTACGTTGTTTCATCTACTTGTGTTTGTGGAAAGCGAGAATTCAAGAAGCACTAACGTAACGTAGCGGCAGCGGTTCATCCAATACCATTAAGACCATATCCACTGACAATTCCTCGCGGCACAGCAACGCGTCCACTGCCCCCTCCTCTGCCGACTTCAGCGCACAAAACCAGCACCAGGTGTATCAGGCGTACCAGCCATACCAGCACCAGGAAGACTGGAGACACAGTAGCGGCCAGGCCCCGCCTCCCATCCCAAAGTCGAGCTCCAGCAGCTTCCTCAGATCCGCTGGGCGCACCTTTTCTTTTGGAGGACAGAAAAAGGCACAATCCATCGCTCCTTCGTACGACGAGCGCTCTCAAGTGTCAACACCACCAGACAGATCAGGCCGGGAACGTGCCGCCACCGCGTCTACTACCAGCACTGCCACGCCTCCCAGAGTGGACGAGGACTTCAATCTCGACCTCGGCGGCGACTTCAGCAAAATGCTCGGCCTTGATAAGCGGGCGAGTCAGATGACCGTCCGCGAAGACGGACCGGAACGTCCTGCCCTGGCGCCTCGCTCGCTGACAGGCAATCGGCTCAACCAGCCACAGCCTATGCAGCTGGACGTTGCCTCGAAAATCGAACCGTCGCCGCTTTCGTGGGGTAGCCATCACTCAAACGACCAGCTCCTGCAGCCTATCTCAGCTCGTGCGTCTCCCACCAACGAAAATGTGCCGCCTGTTCCGAGACACGCTCTGCAATACGGCAACAGGTCGGACAAGACAGAAACGGCTGCCCCCATCCCTGTCTCTAGCTCTGCACCAGCCCCTCCTTCCGCCGACTCGAACTTGAAGAGAAGCAGTGCCGTTTTTGGCCGACGGCGCTCCAATGCCGAATTCCCCCCCGAAGCCGAAGTCGAAGCCGAAGACGATGACGCTGATCTGCTGAAGGACTCATTCTCCACCGTCAGCAAGTTTCTCAACGGTGCACACGCGACTTCTGCTATCGCCAAGTCATCTGCGACAGTCTCCAATCGATTCAGTGGATACAGACAGGTGCCGACCGGGTCGGAGGCACCGCACGAGTTGAACACTCACATTGAAGAAGACAACATGTTCGACACACCGCTGACCCCTGTTAGCCAAGCGGCCTCGCGTCCGCCGGTCCGCCCGCTCAGTCCGACGCAAAATAAGGTCATGACGCCGGCAGAGTTTGAGCGGTACCGGAAGGATAAGGAGCGTGAAACGCGCAGGTCTGCCGTCTTGACGAAAGCGGATGGAACCCTGGCGATCGAGGACGCGGACAATTATGACGAAGACGAGTTTGAGGATGAGGCCGAGAAACTGAAAGAAGCTGCGAAACAGAGACGCAAGCAGGAGGCACACATGGCTGTCTATCGTCAGCAGATGATGAAGGTCACCGGTGAAACTTCATCTGGCTCCGCTGCACGCCCCCCGATGCAGTCATTCTCGAGTCCGAGCCTGCTGGGTGTCGGCAGTTCCAACAGTCTTGCTGGGCCCGGACCTTTACAGCAGGCCGGCTCTGATGTTTCAGACGACGAGGAAGTACCGCTCGCTATTCTTGCAGCCCACGGGTTTCCTAATAAGAACCGCCCGCCAGTGCGCTTGACCACGATGATGTCGAACCCGAACCTTCGCGCCGCAGCCACGCCAAGCTTCCAGCGGCCCGGCACAGCTGCGGGCGATGCTCAAAGCGGCGGTGCTGTAAACGGTCGGCTGCCGCCTTTCGCCAGAAACCTGCCCCAGGACCCGTATGGTCTGGTCAGTCCTCCTGTCCGAGAAACGCTCCAGTTCAGCGGCGGTGCACCGGCGGTGTTGCCGCGGCCGAGCAGCCCGCTGCCACATGGGGGCCTTGTCGGAGTGATTGCCAACGAAGAACGGTCGCGCGCCTTGCGACGAGGCAACCAGCACGTCGAGGGGGCAAACAAGCCCATGCCGAACATGATGACGGGAGTCCAGTTTGACCCGGCTGGAGTTCCGCAGCACATGATGTACCCGGCCACGGCACAGCCCCAGGTGCTCTCCCCGGGCGACCAGGCCCAGATTCAAATGACACAGCAGATGCAGCAGTTTATGCAGATGCAGATGCAGTTCATGCAGATGATGGCCAACGGCGGGAATGCGATGCCGCAGCAGCGTCCCGAGAGCCACTACTCAAACGCCAGCGGGATGAACCCGATGATGGGCGGTGCAGGCATGGGCATGGGAGGCCCCGACATGATGCGACAGCCGTCCTTCATGGACAACGGCCCGATGGCCGACATGACGGGGCAGCAGCATGCCGACCCGCAGCATATGCGGACGATGAGCATGGTGCAGCCGAGTTCTGCCTCGTGGATCCAGCCTCTGGCACTCAACTCAGGCCTGGCCCCGTCGATTCGACTTCAGGGAGCCAACGGATATGCACCTTCGATTGCTCCCTCTGAGCGGAGCAACGTTGGTCTTCCAGGACGGTATCGGCCGGTGTCTCACATGGCCTCTGCTTCCCAGCCGATTGACATGCCGAAGCCCTTGACCGTGCCGGGGACGCTTGGTGTTGGCGCAGCCGATGGCATCGCTAGCGAGAGCTCCACGCCGGGCACTGCAAGCCCTGCCGGTTGGGACCAGTCGAGAAAGCACATCAACCGGTCGCCTCTCAACAACTCGTCGACTGCTGACGGTGACGACGATGACGATGAGGAAGGCTGGGCGGCCATGAAGGCCGAACGGGAGAAGAAGATCTCCCTTTGGAAGACGAAGAAGACGCTGGGCAGCGATATCGGTGCTCTCATCATCTGAGTGTGCTCTACTCGTCTGAGTGGCAGCAACTCGCGCCGTTTTTGCATTTACTTCACCTGTTTGGGAAATCTGGATACTATTTAGACCGCAGTCGTGTCCCCTGATGTCAATGAGGAGCTGCTGAGAGTGTAAAAAGAAACGGACGGAGAAGTCTTTTTGATATCTGAAAAAGAAAGAGTTGGTTACAAGGGTTTGAGCATCGCTGCATCTGCAATTTCTGCCTTTTTCTTCTTCTTTGCTATAGTTACCACCACGCTCCTTGTCATGCTAGGCGTTATTCCGGGCTCGCACATAATCACAGACGGATGGAACAGTCATTTTTGCTTTGTTCTTGTCTTGGACACACATCTCTCTTCAGGAACGACTCACGATAGACAACTCCTGATTCACAGGCAATAATATGATAATATCTATATTTCCGAACAGCTATATCTCTGTCCCTTTATGTTCCTATTTGGCGCAGTCAGCTCTTCCAAACAGTGGTATGTTTTGTGAGCGGTCGTATAGCCAAGATCTCTGTTGCCAGTTTGCTCGTCACTGGTTCTGTATTCCTGATGCCTTTTTGGTCTCCTTCCGTTCATTTTTTGGTCCTCTCTTGGTTCAGAGCTGTCCTGCCTGCCATGCCCGGCGCTTGACGGCCATCTCGACGGCAGCCGAGCCCCAGTCCTCGCCGTGGTTGTGGCTGCCGTCGACGACGCCGGCGCGGGCCAGTCCCTGCTGCTCGTTCAGCACGGTCAGCAGGCCGAAGATGACGGGCACGCCAATGTCCAGCTGCACGCGCATCAGACCCTGCGACACGCTGTCAGCAATGTATTCAAAGTGCATCGTCTCGCCCTTGATGAGCACGCCGATGGCGATGAGCGCGTCAAACGGCTTGGTCGAGGGTGCGTCCGGCGACGGCTTGGACGCGGCCGCCAGGTCGGATGTGCTGCCGCCCAGCAGATCGCCAGCCGAGAGGTCCGGGCCAGCCGAGGAGGCTGCCTGGATCTGGGACGCAGAGTAGAGTCTGGAGAGAGGATCAGAATCAGCACGGCGGTTTCCCTAGCGAGCCAGCGTCCAAAAGTGGCATTCTTTATTGGTCTTTCCCTTTTTACCTCTGGACGGCCACCGGCAGCTCCCATGCGCCTGGCACAGTCTCGACCACAATGTCGGCAGCGGCCACGCCACTCGCTAGCAGCTTGGCGCGAGTGCCCTCCAACAGCGGGTCGATGATCCCGGCGTTCCAGCGCGCGTGCACGATGCCGATGCGCAGGCCGGCACCATCGTGCTGCTGCAGCTGAGGACGCTTCTCTTGCATGTTGGCGGAAGGACGGAGAGGCGTGCTGAGCGTGAGAGACGGGTCGTAGGTAATGCTGGCGACTGAAAAGAAGGGCGAATGGGCTTTGAGAGGGTTCCGTTGCGATAACGCCTTAGCTATGGGAGCCTCCGTTGCTTTTGCAATACCAGAAGGTCTAGAGACGTGGAGGGGCAGCCGGCAGTCGTATACGAGAGGCGGGGAGAGCTAGTTAGTCAGCGGCACGCACTCCTTTGTAAGGCGCAAGACAATTTCCAAAAGAAGCCTTGCCGTTTTCCGCACCAATGAGAAGCAAGGCTAGCAAGGCTACGATGGGTTGCTCCTTCCACGAAGCTGCTTGGTACCGGAATAGAACACATATCAGAAGACATACCAGATACTTCTGGTCGCTCTTTCCGTTGAAAATGGCTCCCATGAAAAAGCTGTACTTTTCTGATTCCCTTGTCGTATTTCTCACTTCTCCTGGCACTCATCTTCTCCAAAAGTCAGCTGTGCAGTAAGCAACCAACGCACCATTCGCATTCATTGCACTTAGATGTCTATAAAGGCTCTCCCTGCCGACGCGACTCGGCTGTTAGATGCCTCATCCCTCATTGTCGATCCCGTCGGCCTTGTCAAGGAGCTTGTCGACAATGCCATTGACGCCCATGCTACCTCGATTGAGGTGCTCATAGCCCCCAATACTATTGACAAGATCGAGGTCCGTGACGATGGCCACGGCATACTCCGTGCAGATTATGACTTCTTGGGCCGTCCCGGCCATACAAGCAAGCTCACATGCTTGGAGGATCTTCGAACCAGAACCTCTGATGATGCCTCGCTTGGCTTCCGTGGCCAGGGACTTGCCGCTGCCACCGCCCTCGGCTACGTTGCGATCACAACGCGCACGCGCACTGATACCGTTGCTGCCACATTTCGCCTTACATCTGTCTCGGCTTCGAGACATAGCGGCGGTATCGTTGCGGAAAGTCTGAAACCCTCTCCGGCTCCCGTCGGCACGTCCGTCACGGTCACCTGCCTCTTTTCTTCGTTTCCTGTTCGCCGATGTATGGCCATGAAAGACTCTGCCCGGACCCTCGCTGCGATAAAGGAACTACTCTATGGCTATGCCTTCGCCCGACCGCAGCTAAGGCTGACGTTTAAAGTCTTTCAGAAGCCACAAATGGCATGGAAATACTTCCACCGTCCGACACAACAAGTGATACCAGCGGAAGCGGATAGGTGCGGCGTGGAGATGCGGGAGGCTACCCGAGTTCTCTTTGGTAACGAAGTAGCGCGACAGTGCCAAGATGTGGTTGTCTCCGCTGCCGATCTCTACGCCCTGTCGGCTGGTGGCGGCCAGCTCACCCTGGCACAATCCCTACCGGGTGACGACACTATTTGTGGACTTGTCTTTCAAGCCTTCCTGCCTCGGCCGGGAGTTGATCTCTCCAAATTGGCTCTGGGTGGCTTCGTCTCGGTTGACGGCCGTCCGCTTTCTGCTCGTCATCGTGGAGGCATTGTCTGCAGGTTGCTTGCCTTGTACCGGAGACACCTAGCCAGATCTACATTGTCTGTGTCGCATCAGCAAATGCACATCAACAACGCGTTCATACGGCTCAACATAAAATGCCCGGCAGGCAGTTACGATTCCAATGTCGAATCGTCAAAGACAGACGTGCTGTTTGTCAACGAGCAGCTTTTGTGCGATGCATTCGAGCGGCTTTGCATACGACTGTACGGAGCAATTGAGCCGTACAAGAGCCAACCACAATCGTCTGTTAGTCGCCATGCAACAGCTGGTACGGGACATGTCTCAGGTAGTCAGTCCATCTTACGCCAGTCATCTATTATTGGCATGTCCTCGCGGCCGGCCGTCACCCCATACAGCGGCCCAATCATGTCACTTGACGAGCAGCATAGTGCATCGGGAGGGCTTGTAGGGCGACGGACTCGACTGGGTGTGGTCAGCAGCAGTCCACGCAACGAGGGACAGCAGACGGCATCTGCCGGTGTATTGCAGAGGGGGGGGCGGAGACACCAGCTTGATGCCCAACCGCACGCGCACTTGACGCCCCCCAACCCCGGACGAGGAGGCTGCAAGCGTGGGTTGCAAACACCACCACCATCTAGCCCACTGCGACGTCGTCAAGGCGGGAGGCGTGGCAAACGCAGGGCAGAGAGCCCAGATCACGCAGACCTCCCTGGCCTGGTGAGCAATGATGCATATCGGCAGACAACAATATCCTTTGGGAAACCGGCCGGGACGATACACGACCGACGGGCGACCGTTGAAAGCAGTGCGTCATCTCAAGAGTCAATTTCTGCAGTGGCTGAACTTGCCACGCGGCCACAAGGAAATATGGCCGCCCCTGAACTCCAGACCATTCAAGATGCTACGCTTGCTGAAAAGAGGATGGGTGCTCCCGTACAAGAATCAAGTTATGCAGCATGCTGGGATGAAGCAGGCTTACACACTACGGGGGGCAGAGACAACGGCCAACGATCAAGGCGGCTGGTTGCGACCAGGAAACCGGTCTACGTCCTCGAGACCGACCTAGCCAAGCTGAGGAAGAGCTTTGCGAGGTATTCATCTGAGGGAGACAGGGATGGAGAATTTACCTGCCTGTCGCCAGAAATGATGGACATCTCTGCGGTTAAGCGCCGTTTGAGACGAGCCTTGGCCAGCTGGCTGGCAAAACCAAGGGCCAATCAGAAAGGCGGGACAGCCGTGGAGATTGAATTTTACTTGAGAAGGGGTCTGAAGGGGGTAGCAAACAAATAGCACAACACGGAGGGCGAGAGGTGTGTACGTGTGCGAATCTTGCTTGGTAAAATAACAGGTCGAAAATAATAAGGAGGGATGTAGGGGGGTGGGACCTGTAGCTATATTTGGGGACCGTAGCTGCTTTTGTTTTCATCTCATTGTCGAACACAATTCAAACTTAGAGTACGAGTACATCGTAGAAGAGGCCAGAAGTGTGCATAAATTCGTATTGAGGGCGGTTCGGATCGGCAGACATAACGCCGTTGAAGAAGATGGAATGTCAAGACGAAAACAAGTTTCAGTTCGTTTTTATGGAGGAAGGCTGATGCTCCGCTGCGGTACAACAAATACGCCGTGCCCCAACAGGAACGAGCAAGGCACAGCACGTCCGTGCAGAGCTGTACTCCGTATGTCCAAGGACAAACGCGTGATACGACTGAGCAAACATTGTTAGGAAGAAAATGGAAGTCAACAGAAATGGGGCGAGGCCCATCCACGGAGCACTCGTACTCCGTACTCCGTATGTATCCGTTGACAGCACCGCATCGGGATGCTCGTACTCGTGTGTCTTGGTCGATGCCAGCGGACAGAGACGAGCAGGAAAAGGGGGCGCGTGTGGGGAGGTGGACCCAGCAGGCAGTCAGTGATACTAGAGGATCGTGGCTTAGTAGCATGCGGAATAGGAGGGCAGGGATGCTGCTCTCTTGTGTGCACATCGTGCGACGGAACGCGAGCGAACTGTCCGATTGAGACGGATCAGCCGGCTTTGGACAAAATAAAGACGGTGACATTGGGCTCCGTGCGAGGATAAATAAAGCAACACGACCCTGGACCAGGCCGGGGGGACAGGCGAGGAGGAGAAAGCCGAGCAGCGGCAATATCTCCCAACTTAGATGGGGTCATAATAATGCTGGGCGAGTGCGCAGCCTCAGCCGAGAAATTGGTTTCAGCTACGCTACAATATTGCCAGAGGGAGTTGGTATTAATACGGAGTAAACACAGCGACCGAGATGGCATTCGCACCGTTGGCCACAAAGGGGGCTCGTATATGAAAGTAAGCGGACAGAAATTTTGTGCACTAGACGGGCATAGCCAACCAATGGGAGAAAAAAAGACAAAGATAATATAGGGAAGAAAAAAAAAGGAAAAAATGGGAGAGAAAAAACATAGAGGAAGCGCGGCTCAATGACGTTGCTCGCGAATACGCCGAATCCTCCGTATCTGCATGCATCAGTAGTGCCAAAATATGCACTAAACCACCAAACCACCACGCGAATCTGCGACTAATGTGGATCTAGCTCTTTAGAGCCGTCTTTTTGCTGGGCGCCCAGTCCAGCCGAGCGACACTTGTCTGGGGAGGGGGGGGGGTCCTCTCTTTCTCCCTCTTTTTTTTCTAATAGCCTACAGTACATAGTATAGGCTGAGTCCCACCTTCCTGCAGGCGAACAAGGGTCAGCAGCGCAGCCAAACAGCGTATTACGAGCAGATACGCATATGTGCTGCTGCGTATTACCGTGGTCAGGAAGGAAGAAAAAAGAAACGTTCCTTCCTCACGTCATCAGGAGTTTCTCGAGATTCATTTCCCACACTACCTTGTGGAATTCACGTTGTCTTCCTTTCCTTCGTTTCCATTCGTATCTAGCAAACGAGTTAATCGCCATACACCCCCCTTTATTTCCTTCTTCCCTCTTCCTTTCTTCCCTTTTGTCTCGCCTGCCTGTCTTGCTTTTATCTGTCGACCTGTTAAGCGTATTCCCTTCTTTCCGTTCGGATCCCTCTGGGCGCACGCAGACTGCCGTATTCGCCTATTGTTCAGCGTTTGCTTCCGTCAGGACCGCTGACCGTGGAAGACCGCGACAGCCGGCTGGGAGACGGCAATCGTTGCCGTATCGCAAAGGTGACGCGACGTTGCCCAGACCTCGTCAGATCACGTCCTTTCCACCACCCCTCCTCCGACAAGCCGACACGGAACTTCCGAAGCTTGTGGCCTCGCTCTGGCAGAACGGGCTCGCCGGCCAAGATGAGCGTCTCTTGACCTCGTGCAGACGCCCTCTTTATCCGTCTTCTCTCTCGCTCGTTCGTGTGCCTCGCTGCCACCATGCGCCATCCCAACACCACGGCTGCCTGTGATGGCGTCGTGGGCCATCGAGTCGTGCCAGCCGGCAGATTGGAACGGCGAGTAATCCACCGCAATCCCCCTTTTCGTACGTCCCACAGCCACGATCCAGAAGCGGCGGATACCGCCCGACTTTCACGGGGCTCCTGCTCCTGTTCCTGCTCCTCCTCCTTCTCTCACCCGCACTTGCGCAGACACGGCATGCTCTCCCGGTTCGCACCATCACCATCACAGCCGACGACGACGACGACGACGATGACGACGACTGCTCTTTCTTTTCGATCCCATCACCGGCTGCGCCTCTCTGCGAACATGCCCATGCCTATGCTCATGGCCATGCTGCTGCTGGTGCTTCTCGCCGGAACGGGCATACAGCCGACCGCTGCGGCGTCGGTTCCGTTCCAGAACTGCCTGTCGAACAACTACATCGACAATGACCTGGTGCTGCTGCAGTGGGTGCCGCTGCTCGTCGACGCCTCCTTTTCGACCAATGCGACTCACAAGCTCGTCATCACCATGTACGGCAACGTCACCGGCTCATTTTCTGGCGCAACGCTGCCGGCTTGGAACAGTTCGGCCTGGAACACGTCGACCGACGGCAAGATCCTCGAGAAGCCCGATCCGACGTCGGCCAACCCCAAGCTCACCACGCTCCACTCCAAGGTCAACGTGTTGAGCTACGAGCCGTGGGAGAAGGACACGGACTTCTGCAACACGTCGCTCGTCAACGCCCAGTGCCCCCTCGGCCCCGTCTTCAACACGACGCCAATCGCCTACGACACGCTGCCGGCTGTGTCCATCTCCAACAACTTCTACTCCACCTACGCCTTTACGTCCTTCTCGGCCACGTTCATCATCCGCTACGGCGACAGTGCCGTCACCAACATCGGTTGCGTGTCTACCACAGTCACGCCTGACCTCGGCCACCTGGCCCAGCTGGTCAAGTTTCTGCCCCTGATGGTCCTGCTGGCCGTCGGCATCGCCACCATCTTCGCCGCCATCTACAGCCCCTGGGGCACGCCCAACATCTTCCACTGGACGTCCAACTACGGCCGCGACCCCGACTTGCTGCGCCTGGTAACCCCGGGTTTTGGCGACTGCCTGCAGTACATCCAGTTCGTCGTCCTGACCGGCGGCCTGACCCTGAGCTACCCGGGCTTCTACCAGCCCATTGTCAGCCAGGCGTCCTGGTCGACGCTCATGTTCAACCACAGTTTTGTCAGCAAGACGACCTTGCCCAAGGTCGTCGACGGCATCTACTACACCAACGGCACCTACGGGCTGCAGGACATGGGCCAGCTGGTTGGCATGGCCCAGTCCGAGGACATCTGGCCGGGCATGATGGTGTGGCTGCTGGCCATTATCGCCGCCGCCCTGGCCCTTTTCCAGATCGCCTTCGGCCTGCAGTGGGCGTACCGATTTCTGCGGCGCATTCCCGAAGAGGACCTGCGGTCCAAGAACTTGCCCTTCTCCGTCGGCAACGTGATCCGCATCGTGTTCAACTACTTCCTGCTCCCGCTGGTGGCCCTGTCGACCTTCCAGTTTGTGGTCTCGCCGGGGTCGCCGGCGTACACGGTTGCGCTGGCGGCCATCACGCTGTGTGTGATCATTGGCTTTGCCGTCTGGCTGCTGCGCTTGATCATCTCGACCCGGCCACGGGCGGTCCTGTTTGACGACCTGTCAACGCTGCTTCTCTACGGGCCGCTGTACAACACGTACTCGGACGAAGCGGCGGCGTACGCGCTGACGCCGCTTTTCCTGACGCTGATCCGCGGCATCGCCGTGGGCGCGGTGCAGCCAGCGGGCATTGCGCAGATTGTGCTGCTGGCAATCTGCGAGGTGATCCAGATTCTCACGCTGCACGCCTTCCGGCCGTTCCACACGCAGTCGTCGATGAACGCCTACCACACGTTCTTTGCCCTCGTTCGGTTCATCACCATCATGCTGATGATCGCCTTCATTCCGGCGTTGGGCGTGTCGGAAGGGTCAAAGGGCTGGATCGGCTATGTGATCCTGGTCATCCACGCGGGAGTTATGATTTTTGGCTTTTTCCTGAATGCGATCCAGGCGATGCTGGAAGTGATTGCGCGCATGGCCGGTGCGGGTGGCGACGACGTCAGCGGCCAGACTAGGGGCGGCCTGACCAAGATCTTTGGCATGCGGCAGCTGTCGAGGCGCATGCCACGGAGAAGCGTGGGTGCGATCTCGCGGCAGAGTCAGCTCTCGAGCTCGGCCATGCTCTACTCGGACGAGGCCAGCAAGGGCGGCTATGCGATGCCTGGCGGGCGGCTGCGCAGTGAGTCTGCCGGTAGCATCGGCATGTTCGTGGCCGGAAGGCCGGGCCAACGTAGCTCGTCTGCGCTCGACAACCTCAGTCTCTACGGCGGGCCTCTGGTGAGCGGCGGGCGGAACATTGACGGGGGCGAGAGCTCGTTCATGCCGCCGACAATGGGCGATATGGGCAACTTTTCGTCGCAGCCGTCGCCGACGAGAAAGCCGCAAACGCATGGGACTGGCGGACCTGACCAAGCGGGAGAGTCGACGGGTCCGTACTACCGGCCTCCACGACGAGCGAAACGGACACCAGCAGCAGACGACGATACGGCGCCATCGCCTGCCGACCGGACGCGCGGGCTATGGGCGAGCGGTGACTGGTCGCCACGACCGGTGCCGGGCGATGATGCTGCATCGGACACGGTGTCGAGCCCGGTGGCAGCTGCCGGCGGAGCAGCGGGCGAAATCGGCGAGGTTGATGTGCCGTACATGCAGCCGTCGATGATCTCGCCCCGGACGGACTACTCGACGCGCGAGGTGGACTTTTACTACGGCGTACGTGGCGAGCGACTGAACTCGGATGCGCCCGGCCGCAAGCTGGGCACAGGACCTGCCGATCCGACGGGGACGATGTCCTCGGCCGCCGGCTGGTTCCGTGGACTGCTAGGCGGCAAGAGCAAAGACAAGGGCAAGGGATTCGAGGTCGTGCGCAGTGCACGGATGCCGCCTGCCATGCTGGCACGCGGGGGCGATTTCGAAGACGAGGGGCCGCCACCAGGGATCCCGGTAGCGATGGACGTGATCCGTCACGGACCTATCGAGTCGGACGACGAAGAGGACGCCAAGGCACAGGCGAAGAGGAGACGGCACAGCCGGTCTCGCTCAGCTGTCAGCGCGGCGGCCAATCCGGGCGAGGCAGAGCTGCTGGACGAAGACGGCAATCCGGGCGACGAGATCAGCGAGACCAGCGAGACAGACCGTGCAGAAAGGATGGACGATTTGGAGGACGTGTCGATCGAGCCGATAGGCCTGGTATCGGACGTGCCGCCAATGCTGCCGAACATTGACACAGGCGGCAGCATTCATATTCCCAGTCGTCACCAGTCCAAGGCGAGCCGGTATGCGGGCTCGAACGGCGGAGCGCCAGCGCTGCCGGGAGGTGCACTGCTTCTGGACCTGCCGAGCATGTCTCGACGAAGCTCGCGACAGTCAGGACCGGCACCGAGCAGCCGGGGACCTTTATGGGCAACCCGGCCACCGAGCTTGCCTGGCATTGCTGGTGGTGGCGAGAGCACGCTTGGCGGAAGCATCTCGCGTCTGCCGTTTGAGCGGAGCGGGTCCAATAGCTCGGGACAGGGACGCAGCTCGCCGGGATCGTCGTCGGCCGTGACGGCTGAGGAGTTCAGCCAGGTGGACCTGCGGGAAGGTGAGCTGTCCGCTCGCAGCAACACGCCTGGTGAAGTGGGTTATGTGCAGCAGGGCAGCATCAATCGGATCGATACAAACGACATCCATCCGGCTCTGCGGGACTCCGGTCACGCAGCCGAGATTGTGGGCGGACAGCATCAGTAGTGGCACCCCTTTCTTTTGTTTCTCTCTTCTTTCTTCTTTCTTCAGCCCAGCAGCATAGATAATTTTGGTCTCTTTTTGGGAGGGGTGGTCTTGCACGCGCGCACATACATACACAGCGATTTGGCGCTTTGGGGAACATTCATTCGTTTTGGCTTCAGTTGGAAAATTGGTCGCTGCACAAAGGGTGCCCTGGACGGCGGACGGAGGCACAGCAGAAGAGGCAGACTGCAACGTCGTATTTGAAGTATTTGGTCTACTGAGAGCCAACCGTGTACGCTTGTTCATAGCGGCAGTTCATGCCGGAACTATGCGAACATATATGCGAGATAAGCAGGGGCGCTAGTGTCGGTTGCACTTGTCGTTTGTGGTCGAGCGGGTGCCTCCTTCCCCCGCAAGTGTCAGGTTGTGGGAGCTGTGAGTGGCTAGGGCCAGTGGCGATCTCTAAACTATTATCTCTGTGCTCCTTATCTCGACCTTTTGACACTCGTAATTACCTTTGCATCGAGTCCAGCAGAAAACCGCACATTTCTTCCAGCCAGCTCTGTCGTTTATATAGCCCTGTCTGTTCCGATTTGACGGCTGTGCAGCTGCTCAGCATCACGGAAAGGTCCCGAACGCAATTGGGCGGCCAGCCGAGTTTGAGTCATTGGCAGCTTGTTGTTCTCTTGTTGTCCCATTGTCCATTGTCTCGACGTTCTCGACTATCTCGACTCATCTGATCATCCCACATGGCTCCCAGCCGGCCGATTGCGGTGGCTTCGCCGGCCAATGGTGACCGACGCGGGTCCTTTGCCGGGCTGGTGTCGTCGCTCGGCGCGTCGTTTGTGAATCCGTCGCCGCTAGCCCACGAAGCCGTTTTACGCGACGTGGCCAGCCTGTACGAGTCAGAGCTGGAGGCAGACGAGCGGACGGCAGAGACGGACGACGACGACCTCGCGACCGACTCGGACCTGAACTCGGACTCGGACAGCCAGCCAGACGTCGGGGCGCCCGACCTCTACCGTCGTCCCAGCGGCATTGCCTATGGCACCTCGCGACCGGCCATCGGTCTGCTGGCGCCCATTACCGGGCCACCGCTCAGCAGGCTTGAGCGCAAGGCGTCGCGTCACGCCGAGCGCAGCCTGTTGCGGGACAACCACCTGCTGCCGCCAAAGCACGCGTCCGTGGCAAATGGTGGAGGAAGTGCAGGGAGTGTGGCTGGTGTGGCGAGCAGCAGTGCCGACGTCGGCGTGGTTGAGCAGGCCGGCCTGCTAACACGGCTCTACAAGCGCATGTTCAGCACCAAGGTGCCGCGCAAGACGGCCGACGAGGAGCGGCTGCCACGGATGCCGTCAATGGCGGCCGACGGGGCGACGACGCCCTTCCTGACGCCGTCATGGGGACAACACGCGAGCGACAGCGCCGACACGACCACCACAACGCCCACCGAACACACCGCCCTTTTGGCTGCTCCGCCACCGGCACCCCCGGCAGGCGAGCCGACCAGCCACCGACACCTCGACGAGCAGTGGGAGGCCGCCGTGGCAGCCGGCCAGATCCACACGACGTGGCAGCGCGAGGCACAGACGATCGCGGTTTACTCGCGCTCGCTCATCATCACCTTTCTGCTGCAGTATTCGATCAACATCACGAGCATCTTTGCGGTGGGCCACATAGGCAAGGTGGAGCTGGGAGCAGTGAGCTGTGGGTTTTTTTTCTTTCCCTTTTTCCCTCCCCTTTACACACTTTGCTAAGCTCAGCAGTGGCCTCCATGACGGCCAGCATCACGTTCTACTCACCCGTGCAGGGCCTGGCCACGTGCCTAGACACGCTTTGCGCACAGGCATACGGATCGGGCCACAAGACGCTGGTGGGTCTGCAGCTGCAGCGCATGTGCTGCTTCTTGGTGCTGCTGATCGTGCCGTTGGAGTACCTCTGGCTACACGCGGACGGCGTGCTGGCAGCACTGATCCCAGACCAGGAAACAGCGGTGCTGGCAGGCCGGTACCTGCGGGTGCTAGCGTACAGCATGCCGGCGAGCGCGGTGTTTGAGTGCGCGAAGCGCTACATGATGGCACAGGGGCTCTTTATGGCCAACACGTATGTGCTGCTGATTGCGGCACCGTTCAACGTGTTGCTGAACTGGTACCTGGTGTGGCATCTGGAGCTGGGCTTCATCGGGGCGCCGATCAGCAGTGCCATCACGCAGTGGCTGATGCCGACGCTGTTGCTGCTGTACGTGCTCTTCATTGACGGGTCGCAGTGTTGGGGCGGCTTCTCGCGGCGTGTCTTCAGCAACTGGGGCCCGATGGTGCGACTGGCATTGCCGGGCATGGTCATGATCGAGGCCGAGTACTTTGCCTTTGAGGTGCTGACGCTGGCGTCCGGGCAGTTCGGCACGACCGAGCTGGCCGCTCAGAGCATCCTGGTGACTATCACGTCAACCACGTACCAGATTCCCTTTCCTATGTCTATTGCGGCGTCGACACGCATTGCGAACCTGATCGGCGCCCGTCTGCCTGAGGCTGCCAAGACGTGCGCGCGCGTGGCCGTCGTGGCCGGCGTGCTGATCGGCTTCTTCAACGTCGCGCTCGTTGCTGGCTTCCGCTACCAGATCCCCGGCCTCTTTACCAGCGACCCCGACGTGGCCGCGACGGTGGCTCTGGCCATTCCCATCTGCGCTTTCATGCAGGTCTTTGACGGGCTCTCGGCCGTGGCCAACGGGCTGCTTCGCGGCGTCGGCCGCCAGGAGATTGGCGGCTATGCCAGCCTGGCAGCCTACTATCTGATCGGACTGCCGCTGTCCTTTTACCTGGCCTTTTACCGCGACTGGAAGCTGCCGGGGCTGTGGGCGGGCGTGACGCTGGGGCTTGCGCTGTGAGTGTTTCCTTTTGTTCTGTTTCTGTCCCTTCCGCTAACTGGCCAGTGTCTCCATCGCCGAATACCGCTATCTCTACAAATACAACTGGCAGAACGCCGTGGAGGAGGCCGAAGAGCGGAATGCGTCTGGTTAGACCGTCTCCTCTGGCACGTTTAAATGCATTCCTTACATCATCATCACATGCTTGTATGCCGTGTAATGCTAGTGAAGGCTGGCTGCGCCCCCACTACAGCTGGCCCCGCTGTAACCTTAAAACCCAGCAGCCTGCAGGCCTGCAACCAACTGTCCTCTCCCAGCGGTCTTGAAACAGCCCCGCCGCAAAAGCACTCTGGATGCAGGTGGCCAGTCCGAGCCGCGCCTTCTGCCCTCTACCCACCTGCCTCCTGTCTCCCCAACGCTCCTGCCTCTCGTATTCTCGTCGACGTTCTCCGTACTCTGTAAAAGCCCAAGATTTGGCTACATAGGACAATCGCGCCCAGTTTTCTCTTTTCTCCTGCAATCCAGACGTCCTCGCTCTTCCCAGTCGCTTCCGCCTCCGCCATCCGACCGCTGCCACCGCCTTTTGCAACAGCAGCAACAGCAGCGGCAGCAGCAGCAGCAACAGCAGCAGCAGCAGCAAGCGTCTCGTCTCCAACGGTGCCCAACATGGGTCTCTCCGTCATCCAAGAACAGCAGCAAAGTGCGGCCGTCTCTGTCTCTCTCTCTCTCTCTCTTCCTTCGGCTGCGGCCTGATCCTGCAGGTGCTGACGGTCCGAAACAGTCCTGATAGAAACGATCAAGAACATCACACGAGGCGACGTGAGCATTTCTCAACACCTATTCTCGTCTGGTGGCGTCCGCTGACCGACGTCTGTCTACATAGTGGAAGGTTCTCGTGCTCGACGAAAACACCAAGAAGATCATCGACAATGTGGTCAAGGAAGATGACATACTCAACCAGAACATTGCCAGTATGTGGAGAGCAGGACGGAAGACAGAGGACGGAGCACGCTAACAAAAGACGTCAGACATCGAGCAGATCGAGGAACGGCGCGAGAAGAACCCGACGATGGACGCGATCTACCTGATCTCGCCACAACCGCATATTGTCGAGTGTCTGCTGGCCGACCTGGACCGAAAGCGATACCGGCGGGCGTTTGTGGTGTGGTCGTCGGCGCTGGACGGACAGCTGCGCCAGCGCATCGACTCGGTGCCGGCAGCACGGCAGCTGATCGCCGGCATCGAGACGCTGGCCATTAATTTTTTCCCGCGCGAGTCGAACCTGGTGACGTTCCGCGACCCGTGGAGCTTCCCGGTCCTCTTCCACCCGGACTGCAACGGCATGGTGCGACAGCACATGGAGGACCTGGCACACAAGGTGAGCGAGCTGTAGGCGGATTGCAAAACGCGGATCCCGGCTGTGCTGTCATGGTGCTGACTGAGGCTGCAGATTTCGAGCGTCTGCATATCGTCGGGAGAATACCCAAAGGTGCGCTACTACCGGCCGCGGGCACCGCTGCATGAGGCCAGCGTGCTGTGCACACATCTGGCACGGTTCGTGCAGGAGCAGCTGGACGACTACGCACGGCAGAACCGCGACTTCCCGCCGCCATCGACGCGGCCACAGAGCGTGTTGGTGATCACGGACCGGTCGATGGACCTGATGGCGCCGCTGGTACACGAGTTTACGTACCAGGCGATGGCGCACGACCTGCTGCCGATCCGGGAGGGCGACCGGACGCTCTTCCACATGATCATCAACGAGGGCACGGCCACGGCCGAGGAGAAGGACATGGAGCTGCAGGAGAAGGACAGCGTCTGGGTGGACAACCGGCACCGGCACATGAAGGACACGATCGACAAGCTGATGGGTGACTTTCAAAAGTTCTTGGACCAGAACCCGCACTTTACGGACGCGGCCGCCGACACGACGAACCTGAACGCGATCAAGGACATGCTGGCGGGACTGCCGCAGTTCCAGGAGATGAAGGAGGCATACTCGCTGCACCTGACGATGGCACAGGAGTGCATGAGCCAGTTCCAACAGCACAAGCTGCCGGACGTGGCCTCGGTTGAGCAGACCATGGCTACGGGGCTGGATGAGGACTACCGCAAGCCGCGCGACCTGCTGGACCAGGTGGTGCGGCTGCTGGACGACGATGCCATCCTGAAGGAGGACCGGCAGCGCCTGATCATGCTGTACGTGCTGTACCGCGACGGCGTGGTGGCCGAGGACGTGCGGCGCCTGCTGGCACACGCAGGCCTGCCGCCAACCACTTTTGACAGCATCGTCAACCTAGAGCTGCTGGGCGGCCGGCCGGTGCGGGCGAACCTCAAGGACGTGCGCCAGCCTCCGCCACAGGCTCTGTTCCCGGTCGACCCCAAGGTAGCGCTGGCAGCGGCCCAGGCGGCCGGCGAGGACGGCTATGCGCTCTCGCGCTTCGAGCCGGCCGTGCAGCAGCTTCTGGATCGTCTGTGCCGCGGCCAGCTGGACCAGGCCGTGTTTCCGTACGTCAACCCGCCGGCTGACCCGAATGAGGACGCGGCGCTGGCGGCCGCAGCCATGGGCTCTCTGCGAGCAGCGAAGCCCAGTTGGGCCGGCACCAATCGACGAGTGCCCGACAATCGCCAGCGTGTCTTTGTGTTTGTGGCCGGCGGCGCCACCTTTTCCGAGGCTCGTGCCTGTTACGAAGCCTCGACTCGCCACGGCCGCGACGTCGTTCTGGCCACGAGCCATATGCTGACGCCCAGTTTGTTTCTGCGCCAGCTCGCCGACCTCTCGGCCGATTTCCGCAAGCTCGACATTCCCCTGGCCCGTCCTCCGCCCAAGCCGCCGGCACATCTGTTTGAGCGCGACCCACCGCCAAAGCCGCAGCCACCGCCACCACAGTCGCTGCCAGCTCGGCCTGGCGTGGGTGTGGGCGTCGGCGGCGGTCCGGGCATGGCAGGTCGAGCACCATCACGGCCTGGTGGTCCAGTCGGACCGGGTGCTCCGGGTACTTCGAGTGGTGGAGGACCACAGCCGCCGACCAAGCAGTTTGGCCATATGGCGCTTGGTAGCGGCGGCAGCAGCTCGCATCTCCCGGTCAACGGTGCAGGCGGCGACCATAAGCCGCACAAGGACAAGAAGAAGCGGAACCTGTTTGGACTGAAGAAATGAGGCGGAGGAGCAGGCAGAGAGCCAATCGTATATAGGGGAAGCCCAGGAACCTTGTGGATATCTTACATAACCGCTGGATTACGTAATAATAAGCATTTCACGTTTTGATTCTTGGACATTGGACGTAATGTTTTTTATTCCTTTCCCACAAAAGCCATATATCAGCTGCAAAGATCCCCAAAGACGCCGGTATGCTCTGCCGAGTTTTGATTGATTCGCCACGTGGCCGAAGCCTCACATCAGGGCAAAGGTCTCGTCGTCGACGGTGGCGAAGATGACCGCGTTATCGGTCAGTTCCTGGATGGCCGTCATGGTGGGACCGTAGCCGAGCTTGAGTTCGTTGATGATGACGTTGACGTTGATGCCCTCGTTGCCAGTGGCCATGTTGCGCAAAAAGTGGTAGATCTTTTGGCCGTTGGGCGAGAGGTGTCTGGTGGCAGCGCTACCGCCGCCGTAGCCGCCGCCATCCTGGTCGACAAACATGCTGTCGTTGTGGGTGCCGGCCGAGTTAGCAGCACCAGCGCCAGCGCCAGCACCAGCACCAGCCTCGGGTGCGCCCCGGGTGAGGCACAGGTGGACGTACGTGCACTCGAGCATGTGGTAGCTGACCTCGTTGTAGTCGTCGATGGCGCGCAGAAAGTGGGCGCCGACGTAGCGTTTCTGGTTGAAGAGCTTGAGGCGGCCGAAGACGCGGACGTGCTGGTCGAGGGCAAAGCGGGCTTCGGCCTCCTCGTTCTTGTCGGCGTCGACCCACTTCTTGACCTCGATGCAGCCGGTGCCGTCGTCGATGCGGTACGTCACGTTGGTCGGCTGGGGGTTGACGGCACGGACCTGGCCGACGAGGGTGAGCTGGGTGGCGGCAGCGCCATCAATGGTGAACTCGGAGGCGCCGGGGTAGGCCTCCTCGGTGTCGAGCAGCTGCTTGATGGTAACGGGCCGGAGGGAGTCCTCGTTGTAGTTCTGAGGGGGTCAGAGAAGAGGAGAGAGGGGGAGAAAAGAAAGAGGGAGAGGGGAAAAGAGGAAATAGAAAGCGAGAAAGAGGGAAAGAAGAAAAAGAGAGAAAGAAAACGGGAAAAAAACGAAAGAGACAGAAAGAGACGAGACGTAGACTCAACTCACCCTTCCACCTTGACTCGCCGACTGTGAGCCACCACCCATGAAACCACCACCACCCTCGGCCACCGCCTCGCCGCCATATGACGTCTTTGCGTATCCTCCGTAGGAAGCTGGCGACAAGTCAGCAACGGCACGGCAAAGACTGCAAACAAGAACGCCCCAGCCAGATGGCCAGCACGAGAATCGACATACCCATGGCTCGTAAAACAAGGACGTATCTGTCTTCCGGGCGTGCGTGCGGGCGGGCGTGCGTTTCCAGACGTCGTCGAGATGCGCTGTGTCGAGAGGGGATTGGCACGGGAAAAGACAGGAAGACGCGTGAAAAGACGCGTCTCAATTAACGCCAGCGACCGTACGAGGGGCGCTCCAAGTGGGTCTTGTGCCGCCACAGTGGCGGAAGAGGCCAGTGACTAAGCAAGGTGGCACAACTTCCCCGGGCACAAGTGGACTGGACAAGATGCCTCGGCAGCAGCAGTCAACAGCCGAAGCCGCTGTAGCGTCCACTAAAAAGGCGGATCACGAGCTTCGACCAGCTTCCACCTGGGCCGCATCGACGCCCTGCCCCGGAACGACTGGTCCCTTTCCCCGCATCGCTCCTTTTGCTGCATATAGCCTGGCCCGTGTCTCCGTCTTTTCTGCTTTTCTTTTTGTCAGCCGTACAAAAGGGGATCGCCGACGGGACGCATTTACCCCTATCCCTCCTGTGCTCTCTCTCTCCCTCTTTCGCCTTTCGCCCACAACAAGACGAGCGACGAGCGCGGAGCGACGCCTGTTCTCCTCCCGATCTTCGCCCGACGCGATCAGCCCACCGCCCGAACGGACAGATGGCCCGCAGCTCGAGCTCGGCCGTGCCGGTGCTGCCGCTGCCCAAGGGCGTGGTCCTCTTTCCGGGCATCATCCAGCAGATCCCCGTGACGGCCAGCCGGCCCGACATTCCGGCCCTCTTGGCGAGCATATACGCCCACGCGGCGAACAAGTCGACGGGCGATGGAGGCGCAGCCGCCATCAATGCAGTGCCTATCGCCTGCATCCCCATGGCGTCGCCGTTTGTCGGACCGCGCGGCCAGCTGCTGCTCGGCCGAGACACCAGCAGCACAAACAGCACAAACAGCACAGCCAACCCCGGCACACCGCCAGGCGACGCGCCCGAGTTCGTCGCCGGCAAGTCCACCAAGGCCGACCTCTTCAGCTGCGGCGTGGTGGCCAACATCACCAGCATCGAGGGCCGTGGGGCCGGCGAGTTCATGCTGCACGTCGAGGGTCGATCGCGCGTGTGGATCGACAAGATGGTGCAGGAGCAGCCGTGTTTTGAGGCCAAGGCGACGGTGTATGCTGACGAGAGTAGGTTTTTTTTCTCTTTTTTCTCTTTTTTCTCTTTTTTCCTTTTTTTTCCTTTTTTTTCCTCTTTCTTCTCTCTTTCCCGCTAACCATACAGTCAACACGGCCGACAGCGGCCTGGTCGAGGTCTTTGAGAAGCTCAAGAATGCGTCCCGCGAGCTGGCCCAGATCCTGCGCATGGCCGCGTTCGTCTCGCCCGGACGGCCACACTCACGGCTCACGCCGATGCTGGCCCGCCGGCTCGACTCGTACATCCGCAGCAAGACAGCAGCCGATGCGGGCGTGCTGGCCGACTTCATGGCCAACATCGTGGTGGCCTCGTACGAGGAGAAGCTGCAGGTGTTGGTGCTATTCGACGTCAAGAAGCGGGTGGCCAAGGTGCTCGAGCTGCTAGAGCGCCAGGTCGGCAACATCCGCAATAGCGTCAAGTTCACCACCATCACCGTCGAGACCACCGACGGCGACCAGCAAGACGGGCCCCAACCGCTGGTTCCCCGGAGCCAGGGCCTGCCGTTTGGCGTCATCGTGCCGCCCGGCAGCCCGCTCGGCCACAACAACAACAGCCACAACGGCATCGTCCCGATCGGTGGCAGCGGGCTCTTTGGTCCCGGCGGTGCCTTCCGCCAGAAAATGGGACAGCACGGCCAGCGGCCTCAACCGCCGCCAGAACAGCGCGAGCCGGACGAGATCGAGGAGCTAGCCCAGAAACTCGATGCGGTCGGCCTCAGCGCCGAGGCGGCCAAGGTGGCCGAGCGCGAGCTCAAGCGGCTGCGCAAGATGGTCCCGGCCCAGGCCGAATACACGGTTGTTCGGAGCTACCTCGAAACGCTGGCCGAGATTCCCTGGTCGGCCGTGACGGAGGACCGGTTGGGACCCGGCACGCTGGCCAAGGCCCGGGCCCAGCTCGACAGCGACCACTACGGGCTCGAAAAGGTCAAGAAGCGTCTGCTCGAGTACCTGGCCGTGCTACGGCTCAAGCAGTCGGTCAACGAGGAGATCGACGTTGAGGCCAAAACAATACAACAGGAGCTGGAGCAGGCGCAGGCAAGGATGGCTGAAGAGACTGATGAGTCAGCACAAATGGCTGAGTCAGCACAAACGACAACCGAGGCACACAAGGCCGCACAGCAGCAGGTAGAAACGGCCATGGCCCGACTCGACGAGCTGCAGAAGCGACGGATGCTGGACAAGTCGCCGATCCTACTGCTGGTGGGACCGCCAGGTGTAGGCAAGACGAGCCTGGCACGATCGGTGGCAACGTCGCTGGGCCGCAAGTTCCACCGGGTGTCGCTGGGCGGCGTGCGGGACGAGGCCGAGATTCGCGGCCACCGACGGACATATGTGGCCGCCATGCCCGGGCTGATTATGCAAGGACTGCGCAAGGTGGGTGTGGCCAACCCGGTGATGCTGCTGGACGAGATCGACAAGGTGGGCACGTCCAACTACCACGGCGACCCATCAGCAGCGATGCTGGAGGTGCTGGACCCGGAGCAGAACCAGGCGTTTGTGGACCACTACCTGTCGCTTCCCTACGACCTGAGCCGGGTGGTGTTTATCGCGACGGCCAACAGCCTGGACACGATTCCGGGGCCGCTGCTGGACCGGATGGAGACGATCCAGCTGCCGGGCTACACGACGCTGGAGAAGAAGCACATTGCGATGCAGTACCTGGTGCCGAAGCAGATCCGGGCGAACGGACTGACGGCGACACAAGTAAGCCTGGACGAGGCTGTGGTGGCCCGGGTGATCGAATCGTACACGCGCGAGGCCGGCGTGCGCAACCTGGAGCGCGAGCTGGGGTCGGTATGCCGGGCGAAGGCGGTGGAGTACGCCGAAGCCAAGGACGGCGGACGACTGGAGATGTACCGATCCCGGCTGACGGTAGAGGACCTGGAGGGCATCTTGGGATCGGAAAAGTTTGAGGAGGAGATTGCAGAGCAGACGAGCCGACCGGGCGTGGTGACGGGACTGGTGGCCTACAGCTCGGGCGGCAACGGCAGCATACTCTTCATCGAGGTGGCAGCGATGCCGGCAGGCGGCAGCGGCGGTGGCGGTGGCCGCGTGCAGCTGACGGGCAAGCTGGGCGACGTGCTCAAGGAGAGCGTCGAGGTGGCGCTGTCTTGGGTGCGGGCGCACGCGACGGACCTGGGCTTGTCACGTGACCCGTCCGAAGACATTCTCCGAAACCGCAGCATCCACGTGCACTGTCCGTCGGGATCGATTCCCAAGGACGGTCCCAGCAGCGGTGTGGCGCAGGCGATCGCGCTCATCTCGCTCTTCTCCGACCGTGCCGTGCCGCCGAGTCTGGCCATGACGGGTGAGCTGACGCTGCGCGGCCGCGTCACCGCCGTCGGCGGCATCAAGGAGAAGCTGATTGGCGCTCTGCGTGCCGGCGTCAAGACGGTCCTGCTGCCGGCCCAGAACCGCAAGGACGTGCGCGATCTGCCGGACGAGGTTCGTGCCGGACTCGCCATCGTGTACGTGAGCCACGTCTGGGACGCCATCCGGCACGTCTGGCCCGACGTCCGCTTTCCCGGAGCCGAACGGCTCGCCGCCGTCGAGAGCCGGCTGTGAGTCTAGCTTTCGCCCCAACGAGCGAACGAGAACCCCTGCTGCTGCTGCTGCTGCTCTCAGACCGGTCTGTGCGTTCAAGTCGGATACGCAAGCGAGATGCCAGCACGTCTCCTGTCTCGGGCCGTTCTCGGTCTCCATCTCTTTATCGTCCGCCTCTCTTGTCTGAGCGATCTGTCCTTTCTGTCCCTTCTGTCCCTTCTGTCCTTCCACTCCGGTCTCTGTCCTGTCCTTTCCGTCCGGTTCGCCATGTATTTTCTAGAAACAAACTCCGTGTGCAATAAACCCAGAATTCCCAGTGACCACGTCGCCTGCGCTGGCCAGCACGCCCCTGCTACGATAGAGACAGGGAGGGGGCCAGATCTCTGTGCTCCGTACTACGTCGTATGTGTGCACCGCGTGGGTACACCGGCCCACCAGCCAGGCCTTTCCGCTCGCCTGTCTCACCCCTCTCTTCGTTCTCCTTACACGTCATCCGCTCCTGCCTCGGCTACACCAGGGCTCCCTGTTTGAAGGAGCGAGCGTGCAGGACCTTCGGGATGAGCTGGCGGTCAGAACCGAGATCTGGCCGTCTGGTCGATACGGAAACACACGGCACGTACCCCTGGTTGTGTCCTTTTGTCCTTGTCTCTATTGGGCGGAGCTTGGCTGAAGAAAGAATTAAAATGGTTAAAGTACTGAATAAATACACAAAGGAAACAAAAGACAGAACCAAATCCAGACCCAGACCAAAACACAAAGACGTAGAAACATGGAAAGCGGCTGGACAGACTCGGTGCCATTAATGCCAACCTCCAACAGCTTACGACGATATATTACATCTGGCTCGCAAACTTTGCCAGATCCTGCGGACTAAGTACGGGGGAGTCCGGCGACTCCGTCAAGACTATTCCATGCAGTGTCCTATTCTGTAGTCGACTTGCGAACAGAACGCAACTTAGCCCAAACAACTGGACCTCTTCTGACTTTTCACGGGGCTTTAGCGAGAACATTACATAGTACGGGAAACTCTCGTGTAGTACTTTTGCTGTAGCCTGTCAGAACTGACTACGTCTTGTTGGTGGCAATGTCCCGTCAACGGGGTCACTTCCAATCATGGATTGTCACATTCATTAGCAGCCCGTCGGCCCTGGAATGCCTTGGCGAGAGTCCGGTACGCTTGCTTACTCGTTCCCGTGCGCCGAATGGCGGCAGTTGGCCAAGTGAGAAGTTCGCCCTGCTACACATCCAAGATCGATCATCGTTACAGATACCGAGAGAGCAGGTAGGCTGAGCGCCTTGTGTAAGCTAACGTGCTCTATCTTTCTGCCTGCTTTCAGCTGAGCCCAGTGCCACTTTGATGCCTGACCAATCAGCCGGGAGCTACCAGAGGCTGACGCGATTATCTGCCAGCTGGCGGGAGCTGCCCTGTCTTGCGTTGTGCCGAGAGAATAGTTGCGGCCTTTGTGAGCGCAACCGAGATATGGGGGAGCAGGGTGTTGGGAGAAAATTCAAGGCGTGGCGCACACGAACACGTTGTGTTTCATATCTTGTGCCTGTGCTTGTCGCTGTATGAACCTGCAGTCCACGGCTGTCTTCTCTCTCTCTTTCGCTCTCTCTCCACACCGAGCCGGCCGCTGTCTGCCCACTGTACACGACCTTCGTATAGACTTAGTCGAGGGGACCATCGAATAAAACTTAGAAAGTGACCATCAACAAAAAGCCTGGGGGATGTGTGTCTGGCAGTTCTCTCGAGCGCTAACCGACGACGATGTCGAGAGCCATAGCTGAATGTCGCCACCGAGATCTCTTTTCACTGCGAGCGCTTCACTCGTCTGGACACGATGGGGCCGGCTGCCCGAAAGCACGCCCGGCTCTTCAGACCGCTTGCTTCCAACGCTGCAGCCGTGGTGGACTTTGAGCGCGCATGTGGGCCGCGGTTGAGAGAATTTTGCCAGAAAATAAGCAAAAAAAAAAAGAGACCGTGCTTGCATGCGGCGGCCACTCCGGCCGCCACTCGCTTACCAGAACACGCGCCGCACGACTCTTTTCCTGTGCGTCCGTATCACCACCAGTGAGAGGGGCCCATCACACCGGCTTGCTTCAACGGCATATGGAACACGTCTTCAAACCGAGCAGCGGGTACCCCTGTGCGTTGGATGGCATACGGATCTTGGTACCGATGCTCTTTTTCTTGTCCTTTATTCTCATCCCATCTCCGCCCGACACGGGAGCGCAAGCGGAAGGCCCTAGGAAATTTAACAAGAAATGTTCCCTTGCCCGCATAACAAGGGATTGCCCGTAAGGCGGCAAGGCGAGAGAGAAAGAGAGCGCCGAAGCGAGGGGCTGGGGGGAGGGGGGTGTAAGAGAAGAAGGGTCGCTTGCCGCAAATCGACCATGATGAAACAGCTGTTTCTTGCCGTGTTCGTCTCATCTCCGCTGCCGATGTAGGGGATCGAATAAAGTGACCTTTATTCCTCAATTTCCTCGACTCTCCAGCGCAGCATTTGCCGCCTGAACAACAACCGCAAGGCTATTGTAAGCCGTCGGAGCCGACACAGCGTCAGCTTCTGTCGGCAGTTCTCCTGCTTGGGCGCCACATTCAAGACATCTCATTAGACCGGCTGAATTTTCAGATCTCTGCGTGTTTCTCTTGCAGCACCGAAAATGCAGAGAGACACTGACAGAGACAGGCATCATACAAAATACATCGTAAGATAATTCGTACATCTGAAAGGCTCGAGGCAGGAACGAACGTCGCTCTGAGACATGGAGCAGGTGGTCTGACGCAGTAGCCCTTTCGGGGAGGAACGAAGGGATATGGGGCCTGTCTGCCCTAGACCGCATGGCGGACAAGTGGACAGAGAGAAACTGGCTGACAGTCCACCTGGGACATGTTGACTCGTATACTCGTGCATAGGTGTAGAGCACTCTCGCCTGATGCGTATTCGCTACTCATTTGTATGTCCCCCTTTTTCAACTTGTTTTCTACTGCTTGCTTATCTTGGCTGGCCCTCGTTCCTCTTTCAGGCTGCCAGCTGAAAGAAAGAACAATTGAGGAAATACATATAATTAGCAGCTCGGAAAACGGTAAGAACGCTCGGAAAATTCCGTACTTCATGATATTGGCGTCTTCTACTTCGGGTTATTACTTTATAAAATCCCCCTAGTCTCCCGGATAGTTCTGACCTCGCGCCAACCTCTTTCGCTGCCATGTACAAAGACAAGCAAACCTTGCCAAGAAAATATATTAAATGCTTACATACAGTACAGAGACTTGCGATGTCTGTGTGTTTCTTGTCGTCGTCTGTAATATGGACAAGGAAGTCTGCGCTATAGGTTCCACCCTACGGAGTACTACTGCAGCAAAAGCAAAAAGACACATTACCCGCACTTGCTCGCAGTGTGAATACACCGAGATACAACCACACCCCCCAACTGGCAGAATGGATCGACAGCAGCCTTCGGCTTTAAGGCCACGCCAAAAGAGGCAAGGTCAGTAATACAGCCACCGACAAACGAATAGAAGAGAGGATGTGCGATGCGGGGACTATGGTGTATATGAATGCCCGAGGCTGAAAACCTACCGGGCCGTTTTTTCTCAGCGGCCTGTGGCTGCGACTGCTACGAGCAAAAGGGGTCCCTTGTCCACCTAAACTTGGCCATCTCTCTCCACGCTCTCGTCTTTCGCTACCCCCCCCCCCCGAGAAACTCTGATCCCCTGATGCTTGCTCGCTCATCCTTGTCCTGTCTGTCCGAGTACGAGCACTGGCAGACAGACGGACACACGACTGTCCGAGGTGGCGCATTTCCGGCTTACTCCGTATGCCGTTTCTCTCCCCCAGTCGTGCGCACAAAGTAGCACGGCGATGCTTGGCTCGGCAGCCGTTTAATCTCATTTTTGTATGGACCTGCATACTCCGTACAGGTGCATCCCTACGCAAGCGACAACCTTTTGAACCAAGGACTTGGGATAATAGCTCCAATCTAAATAGCTCGACTAGGTCAGGTGGGATCCTGCGCTCGGACACTGTATGCGAGAGCACAGGTACTCCGTTCAGTCAGGTATACTCCGTACATAGTTTGACAATTGTAGGGATAAAATGGCTGTCTGACCCCGGCACGCGTATGCTGCTTGCCTGCACTATGGAGCGGTGGCGCAAGTTGGGTCGCCAGAACCGTTCGACCTGCGCCGTTCTAGACCGGCTAGAACGCCGACAGGTGTCTTGAGGCCTTCGGCTCGTACGAGAGAATACGCCATTGGACACGACGATCTATCCGTGCCCCGTAGCATGCGCTTTTAGCGAGCACGGCCGGGGAGGACGGCACATCGGGCGATGAGACGAGACGAGACGCCATGAGACGGCCTGAGCTGAAGAGGCAGACGAGGGCCGACGAGACGGCCAAAAGAGCGAGAGAGAGAAAGGGTGCCTGTGAGTGCTTGTGAGCGGCCTGGGAACCTTGCTGCTTCTCCGTCCTAGACGGGCAGGGATGGGCGAAATAAAATAAATCTCCGCACAGGCTATCCGGATCTGGTCGTCCCCTCGGAGAGTAAAAATAAAGAGTTGCACGCTACCACACGGGAAGTCTGCTCTTGAACCCATAACGTTGTTGTGTCTAGTGCAGGGCACATCGATCACCCGAGGTCGCAGGCCGTTGGCCAAGGTCCCCTCGCATTTCCTTTTGGGCCTGTTGCATGAGCTGTCGGAAGAGAGCGGCAATGGATGCTCGACTGATCTTCATATCAGCGTTCAATTATTGACATATGCTCCGTACTCCGTAACTCCCCGTCCTACTACGCATATAGTATCATATCTACCCACCCCCTTCCATCCGTCCCCCAGGCCTCATCCCATCGTCCCTCGCCCGAGAAAGATGACCCCCCGTCCGACCGCTCTCCCTTCTCATTCTAACGAGATGACTTTGTCTTTGGTAGACATTACAACACCACTGCTTTTGCCGTTTCTATGGTCCTTTTTGCCGCTCCTCCCGCAACACCTTGACAAAAGAACGTGCGTTGGAAC